ACCTTGATATTAAGCTAGGTTCCACTCCCGCCCTTTTTAAGTATGCAGATGACTCAACCATTGTCGCACCAGCGTAGAAAGGGGGCAGTGACTCGTTAAGTGGTTTAGTGGAGAAATTTTTGACTTGGACGAACTGTAATTCTATGAGCTGTAACCCTAACAAGTGTAAAGAAATACAACCATTTATGATATTTTATGCCAGATATATTGTATCTATTTTGATCTTTTTATTCTATTGTAATTTTGGCTGAACCTTGAATCTTTCTATCTGGTAACATTAGATGTGTATTTTTATCTAATAAGCAATAAAGACCATTATTATTATTATTATTACAATGAAATTAATATCGCCAGATGGTAATGGATAAGACGGTTGAGCTTCCTAAGCCAAAACAAAAAACAAAAAAACACAAGCCAGCTGACTGACAAAGGAGTTGGTAACTCGAAAGAAAGAGAAAGGCTTGTAGCCAAAAAAATGGAGTACAGAACATTTATTGAAATATAGGCTAAGAAATTTTGATGTGTTAAGAATAAGGTAAGTTGCTCTGGGTGATTAAAAAATACATTTATTCTAATGACCCATTTGCTGCTTTATTACATGGCTTGAAACTGTCAGGAGAATTTACAAAACTTCTCAGACTTTGGAAAGCTAATAAAGCATTTCAATAACAAAGTTAATAGAAAAGATGAAAAGGAGCCATAAATATCTCCAAAAGGATTCAACAGCAATAGGCCATTTTACAGTTGTGTACTTATTTGTCAAGCCTTTGATTTGGAGGCTGAAGGTGACCTGGTTGTGATAGAGACCAGTATCTAGTTAGCACGATTACAAAGTAATTTACACTTGAAAAGCAGCAATGTTTGTATCATAACAAGGCCACCCTTAGCCTCCACTCACTCCAGTTCAAAGGCTTGGCAGCCAAGCACATAACTGTGAAATGAACCATTGGAAAAAACACAAAGGGACATATGATGCTTTTGAAATCATTAATTTAAAATGAATCACATCCAAGTTAATTTCAATGTCTCGTCTATTTTCATTGAGACTCATCATTCTGCAATGAGCTTTACAATAGCACATTTAACAGTTGCATGCTTGGTTGCCAAGCCTTTGAAGAGGAGTGAGGCTAAATTTTTCAAATGCAAATTACTTTATTATCATGCTAACTAGATACTGGTCTCTATCACAACATGGTCACCTTCAGCTTCAATCCAAATCAAAGGCTTGGCAACTAAGTACACAAATGTAAAATGGCCTATTATAAATGTATCTAAAAACAAGAATACGTGCTAATTAAGCAAATAGGTGAGAATTATTTGCTAAGGCCCATGGTTGAAAGGAGAGGATACTGATGAGTATCATTCAAACTAGCATTTGATACTCAATTTTGGGTAGAAACTTTAATTGTATATTATAAAATTTTGTAATGGGAAACTTAACATGAAGCTTGTGATTTACATATAAATTTACAATCCATACAAATCTGTATGAATTTGCCAAGGATCACTCTAATAGGTTCTAACAAATATCTATCTTCCTCCAACTTAGATACCAGTATGTTAAATCAGATCCCAAGCACAGCTTGTAATCATTGGGAGACAGAGGATTAGGCTAGTATATACTAGCAACCACATCCATTGCAGAAAGGAAGGGCTGGCCTGATGTATCAAGGGAATCATAACTATTTAGTCATACCTGCAAATTATTCTCTAAGGTCTGTTTTCAGTTTACTTTTTTCATGACATTATTTTTTATTTACCATCAACTATAACTGTAACTACCCAATAAAACATCATGCCCTAAAGTGAGATGGACTGTTGGAATTTAACATCAGTGTCAAACAATTATTCCAGTGAGCTACTCATGAATAATTATCAGATAAGACCTTAACCCTTTAAATCCTAAGAGTGACTGGCATTTAAATTCTCCTTACCATATCACACCTGTATCCAACATGAAGGTCAGGAGAATAAAGGAGCTGATCACCAACTAAAGAAGCTCTTGATTGATAGATCAATTCTCCATGTTGGCTAAAGAAGCTCTTGATTGTTAGACAAATTCTCCATGTTGGCATTTTATGAAATGTTCAGAGAACAGTATGGAGAATATACATACTGATTTTTGGGTTATGATTTCGAATAGAAAGGAAACACCATGTGTCCATTACTGTCCCTTTAGATTTTGGGAACTTATAAACTTAATAAGAAACCATTTTATCCCAGATGTTAGAGATGATCCTACCACTTTTAAATTCAAGTCACTTTACCCCCAAAAAAGGACAAGAAATAGACCAATTATTACATAATACTGTGATTACAAGCTTAAAACTACTGCTGGACAGAGCATAATTTCCTAAGCTGATATATTGGCTAACTAGGAAGTGATGAGCAAGCTTTATTCACCTCCAAGAAGCTAAAGAGAGACATTATCATCTGTCAAGAGCTTAATTTCCAACCATTAAATTGACAGACATAAAGTACTTTTCGGTTAAACCAAAATTTAAGCAAAAAAAGCAAATCTTAAACAGTGAAGGAAATTGTCGCATAAAAAAGCCTAAAAGAGCCATAAGGAAGTATAAGGAGAATGCCACAGGCTTTGAAAAGACAGGCTTGCCACTGATGCATATTTTAGGTATGCATATCACCCAATAGTTGAGTTTACAGTATTGCAAAATGATTTCAATCCAAGATGAATTTTGACACAATTTAAAATTGCACTCTTCTTGAAATGTGTTTTTGGTTTCAAATAGGAATAATTTTATCTCCTCAAATAAATTCTGAGCCCTCTAAAGTAATAGAGAAACCTGGTCTCCATGGCTCCTCATGTGAAACACTGGACAAGTATCTCCGTTGATGCCATACCAAATGTCTGACTCTTTGGTGCGTTGATTGAACATTATCAATGTTCCCTCGTTACAGTCCACGTACATTTCTACAATGTCATTGCTCTCAAAGTCTGTAACAGAACTGTTCTTAACATGCATGTTACTTGAGAGCAAAAGGTGCTTCATTTGTATAGATTTCCACACCCACCATGTGATCCTCTGCAGGTGCTGATGACCCCAAAGCTAAAACCTTCATGGATATTGCCAAGTAATTTAGCTTTGCATGAATGTTTACCATTGTAGAATGAAGTAGAACTCACTACGTAGTCCCAACTGTTTGCACCAAAGGGCTAACCAGTGCCTCCCTTGCTGTGTGAGGTTTTAGATTTTCAGGAAATTCCATTTGAAAGTGAGTTTGCAGCACTAGTTCACTGGCACTGCTAAATGGTGATTTGAAGCAGTAAATAGCAGAGGTTACAGCTGACAGTAGATTGAACTGGGCAGTCAATTTTTCTTCAGACTACAGCACTTCACCTTCAGAGCATCCTGAAATGCGCAGAAGACACCATTTTTCTATGGACCAAGTAAACAGACCTCCACCCACATCATGTCCCAATAGCTTCACAACCAGTTTATACTGACCCTCTTCTTCAAAGTGTATGAGAAAACATAAGTACCATCTTCCCAGTCTTTCACCTCCAGGGATTTAAAACCAGCACCACTGCCACAAGAAGCTGTGAAAGGATCACCTCCTTCTACTCTCTTCTTTCCATTCTATTCCTTGACAATTATGGTGAACTGAACAGGTGAAACTTCTTCTCAACTATAAAGTTGATGACATTATCAGTACGGGATACTAAGTACCAAGTAATAGAATTCAGTTCCTGTCATCTGTTAGATGTTTGTTGTGCAAGTTCAAAATTTCCAACTCACTACCCTGTTTGATAGTCTTCTCTGTGAGCCCTACACTTCTTTGCACAATATCCAAGGCCAATTCCAATTCTTCTTGCTGAATTTGCAAAGTGTTCAGTTTTGCCTTCTTTAGCTCTTGTACCCCACTTACTAATTCCTCACTGCGAGTATAATGACTAACATTCAAGTCCTGAAATTGCTGTTTAATCTCTTCCACAGTTCTTTTTTGCTTGAGACTCAATGCTACTCTTCATCGCTGAAATACCACCCAGGGCATTCTTGTGGGCGGATGATCGAGTTTTTATCTTTGAAAGAATTTAAGTACATTTAAACACATTTAATTGAACTGTTCATTCACCAAGTCAGGCACAAATGGGAATATGACTGGCGATTCAAATCAAGAAAAACACTTACTTAGCGTATAAATATAACTCGCTAAACATTTTGTTGATGACAACTTTACACAAAGTGTGCACTTTTACCTTGGACACTTCCAGGATTAATGATCACTACATAACCCAAATATCTGCCTATTCTCGCTAGAGTAAGTTATTTAGATTAAGAGCTCTACACTTGAAACTGACTTGAAAAGATAAATTTCTTAAGTCAATCACATAACAACTCATCTCTGTTATCAGAAGGAAAAAGTTCTTCACGTGGAGGACAACTTTAACAGCCTTGGTTCGAATATTAAAAAGTAAATTTTTGAAAATTTATCTCCTTCATTTTTTTTAAATAAAGGCAAATAATCAAACAAACTAAAATAGCCTAGAGATCAAATCCTGCAAAAATTAAATGAACAAAATGCATATGACATCGATTACAGTTGGCCGTGAAATGAGCAAGGTTTTTTCAACTTTAACCTTATCGCATCGAGCTACTGCGATTCGCATATAGATAAGTGAGTTTTCATCCTCTAACAGTATCATCGCTCCTGAGTAAGTTGTAAGTCAAAGTCCAGTTGACAAGTTTGCGCCTACTTTCACAGCCTGCAAAAGTCAGTTCTGACTACATCTGGAACCTATCCTCTCCACTTGTATGCAAAACAAAAGTAGCATACAGCCTACCTGCATGACTCCATTCACTTCTTCGCCTTAAATTTTACTGAACGATTACGTCTGACAAAACCCTGCAAGGGTTTGCGGTGCTGTTTGGTATAAAAAAATCCGCCATCTTTCTTTGACTTCGCTGTCGTTGTCAGAGTCATTGTCACGTGACCTGACATTGATCCAGTATTTAATTGATCGCCGGAATCAAGTTAAGATGGCGGACGGAGCGATCGGAAACAATTCTAAGTGGACAGCTGGGATTATCATCATAGGAGACGAGATCCTAAACGGTCTTACCAAAGATACAAATTCTTACTATCTCTATAAGAAATTATGGTCCTTAGGAGGCAAGAGTTAAAGTGGGAAAAGTTTCTGTGTTTTCAGACGACGTGGAGGAAATTGCCCACGAAGTAAAACAATTCTTTGACGAGGATCTAGTTCTTAATGATGAATTAGTGGAACTAATTTCGAATTCTTATCAGCATGAAATTAACTCGCCCCATTTGAAAATGGCTCGTGTTCCTTCGTCAGTGAAACTGGCTTTTGGAAAAGATCCCTCGGGAAAACCGAGCTGTTTTCCACTCATATCTGCAAATAATGTGACCCTTGCGAAATGGCTCTTGGAATTCCTAGGAATTTATTCCTAGGAATTCCCAACCATAACAACTCTGGTTCTAAAAACCTAGAAATTCCTAGAAATTCCAGAGAAATTCCCAGAAATTCCCAGAAATTCCAAGTTTATAGCCAACAGGACTTGGAATTCCTAGGAATTCCAACTCAGAGAACCAATGACTTTCCCTGAAAAGCTGTAAATCTAAAAAATTCCTAGGAATTTCTGGGAACTTCTGAGAATTTTTGGGAATTTTTAGGAATGTTTAAGAATTACTGGGAATTTTAAGCAAAAATTTGAGGTTAATGATATAAAATAAATACTTTAAATTAAAAAAACCCAGCTAAAATTCAAGTATTCAATGAAATTTATTTAGAAGTCTAATTAAGGCTTACATGTAAAATATTTTTGATTAATTACTAACATCAATGTGTGGTAATATTAGGATGGAATTTGTTTTATTTTTCTTTCCTTGAAAACTTCATACAGATTAATCCTCAATTACAGCTATTCATATAAAATAGTTCTAATCAATCATTAAATTTGGTTTGACACAAATTGTGAATAAAATCTGTTGATTCTCTTCCATAAAATACAATATCTTAAGTTATATTTATATAGTTATATTCTTGGGAGTGAAGGGGCTAATTACAGACAAATAAAATTGATTTTTTGATTAAAATCTTGTTGTAACTGTAACAATAAATTAGAATGAAGTTATCCTAAACTGCAAACTTAGCTGCTGTTTATACTGTTTGTATTTTTTTTCCTGGGCTCACAATGAGTTGGCCTTGAACGAGGTTGTCAACAAGAACCTTGACCATTTTGTATCTGGATTCCTTGACATCTGAATTTGAAAAAAAATAATATATTAAAATATGTATGTTTAAAGCTCAGACCAGGCTTTTAAGATGGCTATGAGGAAAAGGGCATTCATTGGATTCTCAAATTGAGAAATCTCTGTTATATTGAGTGACTTTTATATTGGAGTTAGTACATCTCTCTCGTGGATTTTACTAAAAAAGGGCTGAATACATTATTTTGTTTTTACCAAGGAGGGCTTCTTTATGTACTAAGGTTTGTTATGAATCTTGAATGTTCCCAAACGTGACTAGAGGAATCTTGAAACCTTGCTGATGGGTTTATTTCATTGTAAAGCATAAGCTTAAGAAACTGCGGCATGCAAGTGACCGATTCGATTCTCAGAATTATTCTAGTTTCAGTTGCGCCGAGCGTTATGTAAGCTTAACTCAACCCGCTACATCTATTCTTTTATAAGATTTTGATCACGTAATGAATATCGCAATTTTTACTCACCACAAACTTTCAAAATCGTAGCTTTACAAATGGCCACTCGACCCTTGTTTGTACCAGTCCATATGTCAACTGTTGTCCCTTCTTTTAACTCCACGGCGCCAACGATTTTCTTCTCTTTTACAACACTCACGCTATTCTCGTTTTCCCATTGAACCACAATAATAGCTATCTTTAGAAATGTTATATTAAGCAAAACAGTTGAGGAAAGCGATCAACCGATGAAAAGTACATTCAAAGATGAGCGCCAAATGGAGTCTTCTTTGTTTCCGATCACGGGCATGATCACGTGGATCTTTTAGGACTTGTCATTGGCTAGCAAAGTGAATCCGCTGGCTTGCCGATTGCAGTGTTAAGAGAAGCGCCCAACATTATTCTGACTTCTCCGACCGGTTCTCGGCTTCCAGAAGATGGATAGCTTGGTGATATAAATAAAGATGTGAGCTCACTCTATGTAGAAATAATCGACAAGAATCGATCGTATTACAAATGCACGATTTGTGGCCGAAAGTTGTCGAGGAAACAAAGACTCGAAACTCACTTGAGTTGTGTTAATGGCAAAGGTGAGAAATAACACAAGCCAATCACAGTTTTGAATGCGACTACAAATCGTCTTTTACCCTCATATTTATAAAAGAAGGATACCACATTCGGAAGTATAAGAGATACATAGATGATCCCAGTGTACCAGTACCTAAATCTACAAAGCTTGACCGTAGCAAGCGTTCAGCAACACGTTCCAACACCGCCATCTCGATTCCTCAGTCAGTCGTTTCCACTGAACTTAAAGCAGTATTGACAACAGAGTAGAGTGCGTCTTACAAAGGAGAAACATTTGTACAAGAGACAGGAGTAGCTATATGCGATTACAGAGGTGCGTTGGAACTCTGGTCCACAAATAGTTATGCACTGCCCGAAGTATAAAACAATTTTGTTGATAGCTGACAGACAGAGAAGAACAACAAGTAAACTTAAGAGTTGTTATTATTGAAGTGTGACTAGCACTTTTCATTTTTATATAAAGAAGGACTTGTAATTGGCACCAAAAATAAAAAGATGTAATATTTTTTTGGGAGATCCAGTGATTGGGACATTTAAGAAATTAAGTTATGAAAAGAAACTTGGTTGGTACTTCTCACTACTAACAAGTCTTGTTGACAAATATTTTCAGATCAGAGTTTCAAATAAAGTAAATTGAAGACGTCATATAAAAGGTGTTTTTCCTCAAAGGGAACATTGATTACCTCTGTCTTGTCTGCATGCCAAATGTTTGCAAAGTGTGTGGATGATCCACAAGTATTGGAACTCTTACAAAAATGTTTTGTAAGAATAAAAACAGCAAAACAAATTACAGCAATTAGTCATGAAAATAGAGCAAAAAACTGAAAAAAAAAGCAGCAACAACAATCATGAAAAAAGAAAGATTAATTAGGTGTTGAATATGTTTGTCTAAGGCATGAAATTTCTACTAAAAGTATTGTCAACAAAAAGTCTCTGACAGCGTTTGAGGCAACTGAGCTTGACTGTTCCAAGGTTTTCTAACAAAGGCAACCAGTAATGTAGGTTAGGGAAGTAAGATAACAATGTAATTATTGTTAATTATTGTGGAAGTTGGCAATTTCCATTTAACATAACTGACAGCTGGTTCATGAGAAAATCCATATTAATGTAAAGATTTACTAAAACTTAGTTTGAGTAATAAATTTCATGATCTTTAAGTTATAAACATGTACATGTATGTATATCTCTTGGTAAGTTTTGTATAGTATACCTTTTATTGAGCCAAAGTTTTAAGCCTCTGAAATTACTCTTTTTCTTAAAACATTCACATTCAAGGTATTGAGAATTTCTTAGAATTTATGTGGACCTCAGGGTATTAAAATTGCCTCAAATTCAATTCCCAGAAATTCCCAAGAGTTCCACACTTCTTAAATTATAGGTAGTTTGTAAAGCTGAGAATTCCTAGGAATTCCGAGGGATTCCAAGTCCTCACAAAACTGGAGTCTTCCTTTCCCAGAAATTCCCAGTAATTCCAAGCTTTTTAAATCAGAGTTAATTTGCATAGTTGGGAATTTTTGAGAATTCCTAGGAATTCCTAGGAATTCCTAGGAATTCCCAGAAATTCCCAGAAAACTGGGAATTCAGTTTGCAAGGGTCATTTGCATAATTGGGAATTTTTGAGAATTCCTAGGAATTCCCAGAAAACTGGGAATTCAGTTCGCAAGGGGACTGTATGCTTTTCTTGGAGTGCCGCAGTTCTTGGAAAAGTCGTTTAGCCTTTTGGAAGATATTCTTTTGATTTCTAACCGCGAGAAGCGGTTTCTGCTGCGAAATATTTATCTTTCAGTAGAGGAGACAGACATTGTTTCCATTCTGGAAACAATGTCTGGGTGCTCCAGTTTCAGAATGTAAGTTTTGTTTCAGAACAATTAACAGTATATTTAGATTAGTGAGTAGGGGGTTATCATGACTGCAAGTTCTTTTCTTTATGTTTAATGGAATGAGATTAAAATATCTTGCCTCCCAGGTTGAAAAGAATTCATCTTACTTGATCATGGGATGAGCCTCTAACAATTTTTTTTGACTGTAATTGCAATGAACATTGCAGTGATTTAGAGATTAAGTTTGTTATAGAAGTCAGTCATGACGTGTGCTAGCCCTGTAAAAGACTCCTGACTGTGTTTGTGCCAATAAGGCTTTGAAAACCTCTGCAGAAGTCATTATATACTTAAGTTGAGTGAATAGTCATTTGTTAGTGTGGGCGCAGTTGATCGAAGGGCAGATAAAGCTATCCAACAGATAAATTACTATCCAATGAATAAGTGGTAACAAAATGTACTGCACTATATCCATCAGGTAGAGATTTATCTATTGAACAGCATTATCCATCCTTCAAACAATTGGGGGTAGATGTCTTAAGCAGCATCCAAGAGACCTTTTACATTGGAGATCTCAAATAAATTCTCCTTTCTTGCTGTGTTACATTTTTAGTAATGTTAACTGTGAGAATTTGGAGTTAAATCACAAAGCACTCCCTTCATCAAGGTTGATAAAGGAAATTCATGGAGGAAAAGGGTTTGAGAATCTGTCACAGTAACCAAAAACAGTCCCTTTGTGGATAAACTTTACATGGACAATCACAGTGAAGGAGCGCTTGATACTGTAATTTCTCCTCTCTTTCCCAAGATCTGAAAATCAGTTCTCCTCTCTGTCTCTAATAAGTCTTATATAATTGTAGCTCTGAGAATTTGTTGTTTAATCAAACAATACACTCTTCATGATATTTCACTTTTTTCTCATCATGTTTCTGACTATGTGAAATTGGAGGGCTCAGAGCAAGAACGATCCCTTGATTTTTCGGCCATTTTTGAAAGTGTCCACATGCCAAAATTCAACTACTTCTGAACACTTTCAAAAATGGCCGAAAAATCAAGGGATCGTTCTTGCTCTGAGCCCTCCAATTATTGTAAGGAGAAATTACCAAATGGCCCTCACAATTCTTACATTGAGGAGTCTCTATCCTTTCTTTCGTAAGATCTAAACATAAATTCTCCTCACTGTCTTTGATACAACTATAGTAATTGGAGTTCTGAGAATTTGTCATGTAATCAAACAGTATCATCTTATTGATATTTAACTTTCTTCTCATAACCTTTCTGACAGATGATGTACCAATATTGTAAAGAGAAATTACTCATTGGCTACTCTCAGAAGTAAAAGGGTTAACCTTCTCTCCACTGGAAAAATAATTAATATTATAATAACCTATTACTATATTTTAGGTCCACCTGGCCCTACCTCTCTAAACAAGGATACTAAGCAGGATGTGAATGTGGAGATACTGCATCCATGATCCTGGAGATGAATCAAACACAATTGCTTGCCTCAAAGGTGCCAGGGCTATTATAAAACAGACACTTCAGCTGTGTTCTCTTGATGAGCTGAGCATCAGTTTCAATGGTCAAAAGGACTGCACTGGGTTACTCTGCCTTTTGCATGCTGCAATGAATAAATTATCACTACCTGCCCAAGAGCTAAAGGCCTTATACTTTCTCTGCAAGTCACAATTTCCACAAGCAGAAGGGTTCTTGAACTCTTGAATCTCATAACAGGAAACATTAGAACAGGTCTGAGGACATTGAAAGAAACTCAACCTAGAGCCAAGGGTACACATCACTAGGAAGCACCCACAATACTAAACCTAAGCCTCCCTTGAAATGAAGTGATGGTGGTAACAAATATAAACCAGCCTACATGTTGGAGGATGGGAATCTAGAGAGGGCAGGGAGAATCTGATTGACCTTTTTGTTAATTAAAGAGCATTGTTAGATTAAATTATGCCCCAGATTTCTCATTTTTGGAACAATCAACAGTTGGACAAAGACTGAGCTGTGCTGTAGATTAAGACTAAAGAGGGTTATTTCAACAAAATACTTGTAAAATTAAATAAATAATCAAATTGATAAGTGTGCTCTTTGTTTTTGTTTATTTTACATTACACTCATTTCTAAATATAAGCAATAACTCTTCCCTAAAAATGCATAGCAACTAAGACATCACACTACCAAACCTTATAATTGCATAACTCAATATCCTGCACCAGTATGAATTCAACCTCTATTTCTGAATTGTCTTCCGAATTTTTTCACCTTTCATCTGAGATATTTGCAGAAAATCATCAGATGTCATAATTGTATAGCAAGTTGTTATGTTTTTACAAATTTTTGAAATATTACATAAGTTATGTCATCATCTTCTATAAACATTTGCCTCTTTTGGTTATCCAAGAAAACCAAATGTCAGCCACACTGCTCTTTCTAAACACATGCTTTGCTGTTATTGGTTCAGTGCATCATTAAATGTTCAAAGTGCCTTCTTTACTTCATTTTCTGGCAACCAACATTTTATCTCTGGTGACCACTTTATTATTTTTGGTTGCTACTCAAAAAAGTGACTTTAAAAGCATTTCAGCTTAGAGTACCAGTTATACAACACCCTTAAAACTAAAATCCATCTAAATTTAATATTTATAATTTTTTTTACCAAAAAACAAGGAAATAAAAAATTGTTTCCTCTTTTATTTCATGGAGGAGTACAGTAGCATAATCAATTACTTTTGTGTTGTAACAAGAATTGGATTTGTCATGGATCAAATTTTAACCAGGGAAGGAGTTAGTTGTTTGAAAAGTGGTTAAAGCTAATCTAGGATTAAAAGTTAACCTTGGCTCTAATTTCTAGGAGAGAAGAGCATGTTTAAGAGTTTATTGGGTTTTATCTCAACATGACTTAAAACTAACAGCAAAAAAATGATCCCTTTGCAAGGCCATTAAAATGAATTAAAAATTTACACTAACCCTGGTTTATGTTAATTGTGCTGTGAATGACCAGGGCCAGGTTGTCAATGTGGAGAAAGTATACAGTGCGTCCATGTTTTTAACCATTTCTCTCTCAACTTTGATAGTATTTTTGGCTAATGTACATTATGCAAGTTATTAGAAAAGAGAGATGGTAAGTTTTGAGCTTGGTAAAGAAATAGAGAAAGATGTTGGCTTTCACAATTTAAAAATTTAAAGCATAAATTCAACATTTTTGCATCATTTAAAAGTGTAGATTAACAAGTAAGAAGGAGGACATCATTTTTCTCCTTAACTCATTCTTGTTTTCTCAAAGAATTGAGGAACTTGTTGATTACCAATATCCATTTCAAACACGAGATGTTTCATACCACTGACAGAGAACATAGATTTTCTTGTTTTCCTAAAGAACTAAGGACACCTGTTGATTACAACTACCCATTTGAAACATGGGACGCACTATGCCATTGACACCTTTCCAAGTGTCAAACTCGTTGGTACCCTGATTATACATTCTAAGTGTTCCATTATCACAGTCCAGGTAAAATTCAATTATGTCTCCACTACTACAAACTGTCACTTTGCTTTCCTGAGACCAACAACGCTGCTGTTTGTTTCCTAATATCCATGTCCACTGGTCATTACAAGGTACCTGTGCAGCAGGACTAACACCAACGCCAAAACAAAAATTGTCAAAGTTACTACCACATATTTGTACTTTCCATGAATGCCTACCAAACTGAAATTGAGATGTCCCAAAGACTGTTAGAGGTACTGAAACAAAAGGTTGGTTATAGGGCATATATTGGTCCTCAAAAGGAGATTTGGCATAGTGAAAATCTTCGACATCAAAAGGAGTTTGGACATAGAAAAAAGCTTGGTTCTCATAAGGGTTATATGTCCCATAAGTTGCCCTCAGTGAGTCACTGTCCAGGGTAATGGAATTATATTGATTTGAGTAATCGCCATATGCTGTGCAAAGTTTCCAATTTTCAGTAATCCATCTACAAGGACTATCTTTCACATGAGAAGCATTCAGTTTCACTGACATTTGGTACTCATTTGATTGTAATTCGTTTGGAGTAAAACAAAAGCCGTATGTTCCATCGCCACTATCTTTAACATAGTCACTAAATGCAGTTTCACCAGATTGGGAGCGAATTTCTACTTCACAAGCATCAGTACCTTCTTCTCGTTTCCTTCCATCCCACCCTTTAGCAGTTACTATGAATTCAACAGGCTGCCCACTGATTGTATTGTACATCAAACCCTCTATCCCATGTCCCAAAGTTACAGTTGACATACTGGCATATGCCCTTATATGACTAGCAACATGACCAAAGTTAGTGATCTTCTCCAGCAATTGATCCTCAGCAAGAAACTTAAATATATCATGCACCCGTGGTTCCAGCTGCCACTTTAATGAATTTAGTTCTTCTAATCGGCTTGACATTTGCTTGCGCATGTTCAAAATCTCAACTTCATTTCCATTTTCCAAAGCCTTCTCTGTGAATTCTACACTACTTTGCACACTTCCTAAGGCTGCTTCCAGTTCTTCTTGTTGAATTTCCAAAGACTTCTGTTTCACTTTTTTTATTTCTTCAACATCATGAATCAATTCCTCACAGCGAGCATTCAGATGAGCTGATAATTTCTGAAAACAGTTAAGCACTTCTTGAACAGTTTGATCTGCATTTAAATCAACACTTCTTCTCATCTCTGAGACACCATCTATTGCTTTCTTCAGCAACCCTGCTTGTCCCTTTGTCTTTGAAAGAATCTCCACCATGATTTTCTTATTCTTTGCAAAAGCATCTTTTACAAAAGTATACTGGTGCTCTCGATGCTTCACAATGGTACAGTCTCTACAGATAGCCTCCCCACATGTCTCACAAAACAGCTTTAACAACTCTCCATCATGTTCATTACAAAGACTGGGTTTGGTTACAGCCACAGGTCCCATCTTTTTAGCTTCTTCAATCGACACCACACCATGTGAGCTTGTGCCACGCCCTCTCCGATGAGCTTGTGTGCAAAATTCACAGAGGAAATGGCAGCATGTATTGCATCTGTACACAGGCGGATCGCCACTCTCACAGTTATCACACTCCAATTTACTACTCCCTGAATCTCCATGAAGGGAAACCATAGATAATAAATTGTTCAAGAAGAAATTAATTGGCAGAGAATCAACTTCACCATCTGAAATCTGTGTAACAAAAAAAGAGATACTATTTGGAAAATTTGAATCAATTCACTTTTCTCCTCCTTATTTTGTCGTTTCCAAGCTCATATCTAACAATCAGATTGCACATTTTTAACTAAAAAAACAAATTTAAATAACTAAAGCAGGAAGTGGACAAAAATTACTTAATTATGTTAATAATTAAAAGTGAAATAGCGGAGCTTAAACTTCACTTTTTCTCCATTAAAAAGTGGTGGTAGCATTTAAGAGGTAAAAGAAAAAGACATCCGATGATAAAATTTCCGCACAGCCCATCCTACATTATGCATTCAGTTCTTTCCAAGCACACTAATAGAGGCGTCATTAGTTCCTCAACGTTGTTACACTAGTTTAGTCCCACATCACCACAATCAACAATAATTTATTTTCACAAACCAACCTCTACGCTGATGCGACAAGAAGGACAATTTTTTTTTTCTTTAAAAATAACTCAAAAATCAACGAGGCGGTTAAAAGCAAACTAGAAGGCAATTTGCATATGATCAGTTTAACTAACTTCTCAAAACGGCAATCACGCAGTTAGCAGTATAAATTACAGATACTGCTTGTGGTTTATGGTTAAAAGAGAAATTAAAACTGTGAATTAGCAGTGGCAACGAATTTGGCATGTTAGTAGCGAACATATGGCGAAATCGACGAGTAGCGAAATCGGCGTAAAGCCATCTCTGTAACGCGATGGCGGCTAGAAAGCGAATTCGAGTATCCTCTGAAAAATCACTTTTTCTGCACAAAGATTACGGAACGTTGCTACATCGTGCTATAACTTTATTGTTGTTTCACATATCCTTCAATCTTCAAAGAATACTCGTGCAGCGTAAATTCAAATCCACCCTTTCATTACTCCAATGCGCACATGTGCGTACAGTTCTACAAAGACCCTGTAGAGGTGTGGCCGAACACTCAACGATTTCACATCACGACTGTTAAGAACAGTACACCACATTCACAAGCTTACCTCTACAATAATCCGACAAGAAGGGCAGTTCAACTTCCAAGCTTTTCCTTTTCTACAGACCAGCCCCTCCAGACATATTTTGCAGAAGGAATGAAGGCATGGAAGAACTTTGGGATCTTTGAACTGCTCCAGGCACACAGCGCATTCCAACTCCTTCTCTAAATTTTCGGCCAACGTTGAAGCTGTAGCCATCTTTGGTAGATATCCTTCCTCACACGAAAAAGAGTGAAATAATCGCACAAGTCAGTTCGACGAATGAATGTAAATCATAACAGCTTAGAAGTTCTAGGAAATCGACTGGAAAGTCACGTGATAATTATGTTGTCGATATAACGTTCCACCCTCTATTAACGTAGGTACGCAATGCGTACAAGTATGTCTAATTAAAATATATTGAAGTTCACACGGCAACCAGGTGGACAATCAGACATGGTTTGATGCTACTCTGGTTTACAGATTTAATGAATGTAACCGAAGAAGTTACAATTCACAGACCCAACGTTTCGACACTCTGTCTAATGCCTTCATCAGGGGTGATCTAAACGCTGCAACAAGAGATCCTTTCATATGATCACTAATTAGCGGCCTTTTTTCTGACGAGGAGTAAATAGGCGTCAGGAAGCAAACCGCCATCGTCACGATTTAAAGGAGCGTGGGCGGCGTTAATATACCAAGCCTCCAAACAAAGGCGCTGGTGGTAACGCCGATTAATATTAGTCGGTGTGGGTAGGTTTACGGTAGACACTTGTCTCTAAATTACCCTGAACCCCTCTGGACACATTTAAATCAAGAAAGGGAAAATGTCTATCCTTTTCACGCTCAAGGGTGAATTGGATCGACGGCTCTGCTGAATTCAAATGCCACAGGAGGTGCTCCGCTTCATTTCCGGATACCGCAGAAATAACATCATCGACATATCGTTTCCAGAAAAAGGGTTTAACCGGTGAAGTGGTTAAGGCCCTTTGTTTCACGTCTTCCATTACCATGTTAGCAATGACAGCAGAGACAGGCGAACCTATCGCTGTACCAAAAACTTGTTGATAGTAGGTGTCGTTATATGTAAATTGCGAGGTTTTGAGGCAAAAAGAGAGCAGATGAATAATATCCCCCACAGGCAAAGAAGTTCTTTGTCCTAGGGAAGCATCTTCTCTAAGTATCTCCTCCGCAACCTTAACGGCAAGATCAACTGGGATTTTAGTGAAGAGCGAAACAACGTCGAAGTTACACTTCGGCAGGCCTGGAAATTGCGGGTTTTTGATCAAGTAAAAAAAAAAATAAAATAAATTGCTTTTTTCAGTCAGAATTGGAAAAAGGCTAAAGATTTTCAGGCTACCCATGATCTTAAATTGACACCTCTCAAGGAGATTAACTCAATGAAGTAATTAATATTCCAGCCATAATTTTTATTACCAGATGGTGATGGATAAAGTAGTCGAGCTTCCTAAGCCGAAAAAACGAAAAAAAACAAGCCAGCTGATTTACAAAGGAGTTGGTTACCCAAAAGAAAGAGAAAGGCTTGTAGCCAAAAAAATGGATCACAGAACATTTATTGAAATATAAGCTAAGAAAATTTTGATGTGTTATGAATAAGGTAAGTTGCTCAGGGTGATTAAAAATTATATCCATTCTGATGACCCGTTTGCTGTTTTAACATGCCTTGAAACTGTGAGGAGAATTTATAAAACTTCTCAGATTTTGGAAGCTGATAAAGCATTTCGAAATAGCACGACAAATAAAAAAGATGAAAAGGACACAGATATCTTTATAAGGATTTGACAGCAATAGACCATTTTATAGTTGTGTACTTAGTTGCCAGGCCTTTGATTTGGAGTGAGACTGAAGGTGACCTTCAGTCGTGATAGAGACCAGTATCTAGTTAGCACGATAACAAAGTAATTTACATCTGAAAAACGGCAATGTTTGCATCCTAACAAGACCAGCCTTAGCCTCACTCCCGTTCAAAGGCTTGGCAACCAAGCGTATAAAAGTAAATAGGACTACTCACAAAGGGTCATATGATGCTTTGAAAATCATCAATTTGAAATTAATAACACCCAGATAAATTTTCATGGTCTCATCCATTTTGACTGAGACTATTCATTCTGTAATGAGCTTGACAATTATAAATGTATATGGATGAGAAACAAGAATACCTGCTAATTAAGCAAATAGGTGATAATTATTTAGCTAAGTTCCATGGCTAAAAGGTCTCCTTCATTTGATACTCAATTTTGTGTACAAATTATTATTATTATATTATAGAAATTTATGGTGGAAACTTAACATAAGCTTGTGATTTACATATGAATTTCAATTCATACAAATCTGTATGAATTTGCAGAGAAACATTTTAAACAGTTCTAACAAAATATCTATCTTCCTCCAACTTAGATACCAGTATGTTAAATCAGATCTCGCGAACAGCTTGTAATCATTGGGAGACAGAGGATTAGGCTGTATTAGTCACCTAGCACCCACATTCATTGCAGAGAGGAAGGGCTAGCCTGAGGTATTAGTGGGATCATAATTATCTAGTCATACCTTCAAAAAAATTATCCAAGGTTTGTTTTCAGTTTATTTATTTATTTATTTTTTCATTACATTAATTTTTTATTCACCTTCAACTATAATTGTAACTACCCAATAAAACATCATGCCCTAAAGTAAGATGGACTGTTGGAATTTAACATCAATGTCAAACAATTGTTCCATTTATCAGATGAGACCTTAACCCTTTAACCCCTAAGAGTGACTGGCATCTAATTTCTCCTCACCCTATCACACCTAAATCAAACGTGAAGGTCAGGAAAATAAAGGAGCTGATCACCAACTAAAGAAGCTATTAATTATTAGGCAAATTCTCCATGTTGGTATCTTAAGAAATGTTTAGAGAACAGTATGGAGAATATGCATACTGATTTTAGGGTTAAGATTTCAAATAGAAAGGAAACACCATATGTTTCCAGTATTGTTCCCATGGATTTTGCAAACTTATAAACTGAATTATAAACCCTTTTATCACAGATATCAGAGCTGATCTTACATCTTTTAAATTCAAGTCACTTTACCCAAAAAAAAGTACAAGAAATAGACCAATTATTGTACTAATAAAAACATAATACAGTGAGTACAAGCTTAAAATTATTTCTGAATAAATGCATAATTTCCCAAGCTGATATATTGGTTATTAGGAAGTGATGAGCAAGCTTTATTCACCTCCAAGCAGCTGAAGAAACATTATTGCCTGTCAAGAGGTTAATTTCCAACCATTAAATTGACAGAAAATAAGTACCTTTTAGGTTGCTATATGACATATGCTAGGCATTCTAAAACAGTTGTTTACCTCAGTGTCAATGAAAGTGGTGGATATTTACCTCTACTTCAGTGAGTAATTTTCAAACAGGATATAATTCATTGAATACAATAAATTGATACTAAAATGAAAAAGTTAAGAGACAGCTACACTTTAAAAAAAAACTAAGTATAAAGTAATTGTTAATCAAAATTTAAGATTCAGTCCCATAAAAATCAAAATTTAAGCAACAAAAGCATATCAGAACTTGACAGTGAAGGAAATTGTCATATCAAAAAGCCTAAAAGAGCCGTTAAAATAAACATAAGGAGAATACCAGAGGCTTTGAAAAGGCAGGCTTGCCACTGATGCATATTTTAGGTATGCATATCACCCAATAACTGCAGAATGAATGCAATCCAAGATTACTTTTGACACAATTTAAAATTGCACTCTTCTTAAAATGTGTTTTTGGTTTAAACTAGGAATAATTTGATATCCTCATATAAACTCTGAGCCCTCTAAACTAGTAGAGAAACCTGGTCTCCATGGCTTGTCATGTGAAACACTGGACAAGTATCTCCGTTGATGCCATACCAAATGTCTGACTCTTTGGTACGTTGATTGAACATTATCAGTGTTCCTTCGTCACAGTCCAGGTACATTTCTATGATGTCATTGCTTTCAAAGTCTGTAATAGAACTGTTCTTAACATGCATGTTACTTGAGAGCAAAAGGTGCTTCATTTGTTTGGAGTTCCACACCCACCAGTTTCCCAGACTGGCCAGATTGCCATGTGATCTTCTGCAGGTGCTGATGACCCCTAAGCTAAAACCTTCCTGAATATTGCCAATCAATTTAGCTTTGCATGAATGTTTACCATTGTAGAATGAAGTAGAACTTACTACATAGTCCCAACTGTTTGCACCAAAGGGCCGACCAGTGCCTCCATTGTTGTGTGAGTTTTTGGATTTTTGGGAAATTCCATTTGAAAGTGAGCTTGCAGTGCTAGTACTGGTACTGCCAAATGGTGAATTTGAAGCAGTAAATTTTTGACCAGATGTGAAACATGAAGCATTAGAGTATGGTTTTGAGACAGCAGAGGTTACCGCAGACTTCAGATTGTACTGAGCAGTCAGTTTTTCTTCAGACAACAACACTTCACCTTTAGAGCTGCCTGAAACACACAGAAGATGCCATTTTTCTACAGACCAAGTAAACGGGCCTCCACTCACATCATGACCCAACAGCTTAACAACCAGTTTATACTGACCCTCTTGTTCTGGGGTGTATGAGAAAATGTAAGTACCATCTCCACAGTCTTTCACCTCCAGGGCTTTAAAACCAGCACCACTGTCACAAGAAGCTGTGAAAGGGTCACCCCCTTCTACTCTCTTCTTTCCATTCCATTCCCTTGCAATTATTGTGAACTGAACAGGCTGTCCACACAGTGTACTGTAGATTATGCCCTCTGAACCATGACCCATCATCACAGTTGATGTCTCAGCGTTGGTCATGACATCTGTAACAACACCAAAAGATGAAACTTCTTCCTTCAGTTCTTTTTCAACTATAAACTTAATGGCATCGTCAGTACGGGGTACTAAGTGCCAAGTAGAAGAATTCAATTCTTGTAGTCTGTTAGATATTTGTTTGTGTAAGTTCAAAATTTCAACCTCACTGCCATGTTTGATAGTCTTTTCGGTGAACCCTACACTACTTTGCACAATATCCAGGGCCAATTCCAATTCTTCTTGCTGAATTTGCAAAGTGTTCAGTTTTGCCTTCTTGAGCTCTTGTACCCCACTTACTAATTCCTCACTGCGAGTATGAAGACTAACAGTCAAGTCCTGAAATCGCTGTCCAATCTCTTCCACAGCTTTTTTTGCTTGAGACTCGATGCTTCTCTTCATTGCTGAAATACCATCCAGGGCACTCTTGAGGGTGGATGCTTGAGTTTTTGTCTTTGAAAGAATCTTCCTTACATTATTTTTTCCATTTTCAAATGCATCACTCACAAAAATGCATTTGTGACCCTGATGCTTGACAACTGTGCAGTCACTACATACAGTTTTGTCACATGTTTCACAAAAGAGCTTAAGCATTTCTCCATTGTGTTCTTTGCAAAAGGATGGGCGTGACATGTAGACAGCCATAGGTCCTTCCTCTACAGCCTCCTCCAGGTTCATCAAGTGGTGGCTTTTAGTGCTGCGGCCCCGTTTATGTCCCATTGTGCAAATCTCACACAGAAAATGAAAGCAGGTAGCACACCTGTTGACAGGGGGGTCTCCACTGTCACAGTTATCACACCCAAGGCTACCTCTTTCCAAAAGAAGAGTCAGCATGGCCAACATGTTGTTAAGCATGAAGTTATCTGGCAATAAATCAACTTCTCCCTTGGGAATCTGGGAAGGCAAACAGAGGGATTATTTAGAAGACATTTTGTGCCTGTTGTGCTAATTTTCAAAAGGACTCCAACCAAAAAAAACACAACTGAGATAAACAATAAAAAAGATAATAATAAAGATTTGAACAAAGAAAGATGCCTGAACCCTAATCAGAAAACATCTGATAATCAAGTTCCTTATCTCTTGCAACCTTGCCAATGACATTGGAGTTGTTTTGAAAATGACACCAGTCCCCCCTCCTCGTTCTGAAATACCTTTCCGACCCTCCCCTTCCATGTGCAAAGATCCTGAGTTCCTATTGCATAAAACTGCGGATAAATCAGTTTCCATCAGCTTTAACTCGCAATCAATCAGAATAATTTCAATGTACATGTTACTTCTTTCGTGAAAATATCAGAAATTTTAAAAAATGAATGTTATTCGACGAAACGATTTTTCTGGATACAAGTTGATACTGTAGGAAGCAACGCGCAACAGCATTCTAAAACCAGGTGCTAAAACTATCAACAAATAATAGGCAGAGAAAAATCAGTGGGACTGCCAACCTTTCTTAAATGTTTCATGTCAAACATGGCCAATGTAAGCCAAATTAGACAATTCTCGTCGTGCAAAGATGGTAATTTCCTCCTGATGAGCGACGGAAATAAGATACACAGAGAACATCATTAAAATCAACAACTCACCTCCACGCTCGCTCGGCACCACGGACACCCAACCTTCCAACCGATTCCTTGTTTACTCAACATTTCTTCCAGGCATGACTTACAGAAAGAGTGAAGACATGGCAGAACTCTAGGTTCCTTATATTGCTGCGAGCAAAATCCACATTGCAGCTCCTTCGCCAAGGTCTCCGCTAAAGTTGAAGCTTTCGCCATCCGATCCGTGGAATGAAATAAAGGTCACGCTAAGAATGAGGAGGGAAATTGTCCTAGAAAAAAAATCCAAATTTTTCAACCGATAGTCTTGCACACTCCCACACTGTTGCAAGAAACACTCAAAATAACGGCAGCAAAGGGTTTCCGCACCAGATCATGTGATCGGCTCAATCTTCCCGCGGAAATTCTTCGTGCAAAAATCTGACCAATCCGAAAATATTCTCACAGTTAGTTGTTCGCGTGATTATCAAAAACGTGATCAAGAGTGTTAACGAGTGTTGTCCATTACACACAAATGTCACAAATAAATTGCGATGGAGAAACGTGATTTCCGATGGAACAGGCGAATTATATTTATGACACCTTCCAACGGAACTAATATTACAAGAAGTGGTGATGCGATCGAGCGCCTTCCAACGATAAAAGGTTTGATCGTCCAAGTTTCAATGATAAGGAAAAAACTTAAGGTTGACTGCAAAGCGCATCTTCAAAAGTTGCATTCTCCTTACGCTGCCTTTTGCGTCTCCATAGTCTGAGCCTTAACCTTCACACTTTAGGTGTGAACATTGGTAGGCACATTCTCCATACATTCTCAGTACATTTCCTAGTATACTGATAGGGAGAATTTGTTTAGCGATCCAAATCTTAGAGATCATCTCCTTTATTCTCATGACCTTAATATTTTAATCAGAGTAATACTGTGAGAAGAAATAAGATGCTGCTGGTTGTTCTGAGGGGTAGAAGAAAAGTTATAATGCCCCCTCCCCTCCCCTCCCCCACGAGATGGGATTCAAGTTTATCAGAAGGTTACCCTCACCATTTCAAGAGCCTTCGCTGGTAATTCGCCGGTACCCATTATACTCGTGGGTGGAGAGGGGCACTGGGACAGTTAAGTGTTTTGCTCAACAAGTACACAAGACAACCTGGAACTCTTGGTCCAGCGCACCATGCAAAAGGCCACCAGGTCTCCTGTGGTGAAGTGCTTAGTTGCCTTTGATCCTTTCCACCCTAATACTAGTATGCATATTCTCCATACTGTTCCCTATACATTCCCTGAGGTGCTGATGAGGAGAATTTGTTTCATAATCAAGAACTTCTCTAGTTGGTGACCATTTCCTTTATTCTCATGACCTTAATGTGTGATTTGGGGGTGAAATTGTAAGGAGAAATTATATGCAAGTCACTATTAGGAGTTAAAGGGTTAATAAAGAATAATAAAATACCTTAATGTGAAACTTTTATATCTTCTTTTATTAAAAAAAAAAAAGACTTACATGACACTTTATTAAGTCTTGTAAGACTCCAGTTAAAAATCAAAGTTTTACAATATTTTACAGTATACTATCTTTTCTTAAAATGTACATCTTTTTTTTTTCATTGATTTCTTGCCTAAATCGCTTTTTGGTATTAAGTCAGGCTTCAGCAAGAGCTAAAAGGCACGCATTTTGTGCAATTAAATAAAGTAAAAGAAAACGCTGGCTTTAAAATTTTTGCAAGAGAGCCGACAAAGCTTCAACACATCATTAATTAGCTGCTCTAGAAAATAAAATTGCACAGCAGAATTTCTGCCTAAAAGTGGAAATAAGTAAAAAAGAAATGATACCACAAGGTAACCCTTTTGAAACCATTGTAGGTGAAAGAAGTAAAACTTAAAAACAGAAGACCAACGCGTAGATAAGGTCTCGCAGCTGCGAAGTTCCGACTAGTAAAAATTAATTTACCAGCTCAAATTTGATGGAAGGCCAGTTTTTAACAGCCTACATCTAACGTATTAACAAGGAGCAGACCTACATTTCCTTGTGACATCACTTTGCGCGATAACACATGGTCACGTAAGCATAAGAGTAAACCCTGTTCCATCACGCATAGGTCACGCGTGTTCACACACGATCTATGATGAACGGATAAGTAAATTTCTTTTTCGAGTGAAGTTTGCGCGAACCCCTGACTTGGAAAAAAGCGAGCGTCTAACCAAAGAAACAACACGATTATTCACAAATTTCCCATTTCCTTTCCATTCAATAAATAATTTAAGCATCACATGTTCAACCATCCCCAAAATTTCAATTCTTTCGACAAACTGTATAAAGAATCGATGCCCTCCTAAGGGGAAAGGGGGGGGGGAGAGGACGGGGGACGGGGGAAGGGGGACGAGGTCTGTTCGCATCGAACGTTTTCATGCCGGTCCTAGAGCCACTAAAATAAATAAATAAGTTACATGAAATATTATCAATAAAATATGGTAAATCGAGACTAAAATAATATATTCCGATGCTGTTTATAAGGGCTGATCACGATTCTGTGCGACTTCAGTATTACATAGTGTTATTTTGCTACGTGGCTACAAAACCAAAATTTTTTGGTTGAGAACACAGCTTCGAAAACGTGACACGAACAGACTCCCAATAAGTTAACCGTATTTTGACAGACTGGCCTAAGATGAACACCAAAAAATTCCCAAGACTTGCGAGTTGTCACACAAGATTTCTCTTGCCAGGTAAAAAAATGATCAAATAAAAACAAAGTTTTAAAAGGTAGCAAATGGACGAATATTTGAGTCCAAACAGAATAAAAACAAATGACAAAAGATCATCTTTGCGCATCATCGAAGCTTGGCAAAAAAAAGGATGACTCTTTCAATCACCAATGACTTGGCAGCTGTTAAAAACTTGAGCACATCAAAACAATACGAACATCAACGGTAAAATGTGAAGCAAATTAATTTGGTCAAAAATGTCATCCAAGACTAAACAAATCCCTAGAGTCGAACAAGTTTCAAATGAAGTTCCAAGACAACAACAAATTCTCCAGGTATGACAAATTTTCTGTTTTAAAACAGTCAAGCTTCACTCTGAACGTTGGAAAAATTCATGTCGTGTTGAGGAGTGTTATAATCATCGAAAGGAATAGACAAAACGTTAAAACACTCTCCCCAAACTCACATAACCATTCCAAATCCGAAAAATCATTTCAGACGCATTTCCCCCGAAGGCAATCGAAAAAAGACGAAAACTACAGCAGCTAGCTGTCAAAAGGCATGCGCGCACGGGCTAGTAGCTGCACGTCTATACAAGAGATAAGAATTAAGCGGCTGGCATCGCAAGCGCATGCGCATTTTTAGAACACTGTACGGCGTTGACGCCATTTTTGGAGGTTTGGAGGCATCAAAGGGGGCGGGACAGCCGTAGTCGAAAACCCGGTATTCTATGCCCCTTGTTCCGCCAAGGAGGGGAATTTCCCCCTTATACAGGCAACTTACGGTGTACAGAAGAAAACGGCCCACATATTCCTACCGGAGGAACATTGCCCGCAAATTTATGGGGCAGAGGGCAGCGGAACAGAGCAGAACCAGGCGGGTGGGCGTCGTCGCCGCGTATGTCATCGACTGCCAGGTTTTTTTCGGGATCCCTAATTGCTAACCACCGGACTTTGTTGAACGCAAACCCCAACCATAGGGGATTCGTCTCCCGGTGAATGCTGCCGTACAAAATCCCTCCGGTGTCCCACTGAAATCCCCCGCGGATTAGTCACCGAATTAGGAACTGTGGTGGATGATCCCACGCAATTGACTTCATGTTCCCCCGGATTAAGTGACAAGTTCGTTGCAGAGTAGTTGAGTTGCGTAAACGCTTCCGGGGGGAGAGAGCTACCCACAGCTGATCCATGAGGCTCAACAGTCATTGAATTGCAAGATGAAGACGACGAGTAATTAGAAACAGTTTCTGAGCTGCAATATACTCCTCCACTGACACCGAAGTCTCGTCCCTGGCTTCGTCCTGCCTCGCCGCTGTGAAGAGATGTGTTAATTGAGGCGGAGCTGTAGGCTGACGAGCCTTCACTGCGAGCCCCTGGCAACGTCGCAGTTTGTTGAATTCCTTGTCCAGCGATTCTCGAATCGGAATTATTACAAGTTCTCTCATTAGTTCTTTTAAATTGCGATGACATCCCTCCGCCCCCATTGCCCCATGTCTGTGGTCCTTTTCCACTTGGGCTGTCGCATTCCATGGCAGATGACGTCACAGTCGCGTGCACAGTAGGGTCGGAGCATGCGCGTGTGCCACTGCTGGACACCGCAGTGCTGGTTGTGCTTGAAGTTCTATTCGTCGTACCTCCCAAGGCGGGAGAAGAATTCGCTGAATGCGAGGTGTTTGTGCTTTCGTCAGCAGTCTTTTTGAAGAAGCAATGTTGCAAAGCTTGGTACGGCGCTATTCGAGCTTTCGGGTCATATTCAAGCATGCGCAAAACAAGGTCCTTTAATTTTAAATAATCTTGAAGTGAATGTCCAGATTCTCCTTGTCTTCTGCCGCCCGGTCCGCCTTTCTCGCATCCCAAAATATCGTGTAGTTTCCTTGTTCCCGGCGGTCGGTATTCCTTAGGTAAAGGAAACAAAACGCTTAAGCAAATGTTTCTGAAAAGGCAAAGGACATATATACTGCCATCTATGGATAGGCGACTTCCTTCTCCAACCATTAAAATACCTTTGGAATACAGGTCGTAAACTCAATGAGTTCCACAATTTACATGGTCATGGCAAAATTTTAGAATACGTCAAGTTCCTTCACTTGGCGTGTAAGGAGCGAGGAAGGAAGAGAAAGAGAGGGGAGATAAACAGGGCGGGAACGGGGAAAGAGAGATGGCGGAAAGGGAAAAACGTATAAAGGGAACGATGGAGAGAGAAAGGAAACAAAACAAGGAGAGACCGTGGGAGGGAGGGTGATAGGAAGGACAAAGGGAAGCAAGAAGGGACGGGGGGGGGGTGTGTGTGTGTGCATGTGAGAGATAGGAGAAGGGAGAGGGAAAACGTGAGGGGGTTGAAAAGAAGGGGAGGTAAAAGATGGAAGGTGGAGCAGTGGGGAAAGCTGCTACTAATTTTCTGTCTCTAGTATATTTACAGATTGTCTTACCTTTTTACCGTCCTTGCTAGATTTACAAGCGTATGTACCATCTGGTAAGCGATCGAAAAACTTCCTAGCTTTAGGCGCACTTTCCAACATGTGATTTGGAGGAATGCCTAAAACCTCGACAACTTTCATCATTTGATCAAACTGAAGAAGAAAGACAGCATAACTATGAGAATAAGGACGTAATGGATATTTCAAACTAAAAGTACAACGGAAAAAATTTAATTTTTGACGTCATGGACAATAACTATTCACATTTGCGTGAGAGTAATAGTTGTTACTTAGAAAAAAACAATCATTCATTCACCTCGTTTGCCCCACTGAAGAGTGGTTCTCCGGTGTGCATTTCGACCAAAATACATCCCAAACTCCACATGTCAATTGCAAGATCGTAAGGCACGCCTAGAAGTACTTCCGGTGAACGGTAAAACCGACTTTGGATGTATTGGTAAATCTGCGTAAGAATTAAGAATTAAGAATTAAGAATTAAGAATTAAAGCCAAAATGAAAACCCACAAACATGGAACACGAAAAAAGCGCGAGAGGAAATCGAGCATCATAGGGAAATGGACGTGAACTAAAGGATCATTGGAATATAATGAGCCTTAGAGGGGGATCAGCTCAATTTTATAGTAGCACAAACAAAATCCTTCGACCCTTTCCCCCCAAAAAAAAAAAAAAAAAAAAAAATCAGGCAACACATAACGACCGGTCCCTGAGAAGTGCAAAGCGCGTTGACGAAATGCGAGACGCACGAAGCTTGCAAACGCAATCATAACAGTAAACGCTGATCAACTAAGATCTTACAGAGTTTACACTAAAAATATATTCGTATTTGCCGCGCTATGTCAGACGCAAAAAAATAATCATCAATGAACGAATAAATAAACATAAATATATAACATTATGATTAAAACGTTGCTAACCGTGGGCATTTTGACAGAAAAGTCGGAAAAAGGGCTTAGTTGCTTTGAGATTCGAATAATTGACGTAAAATGTTTATGAGAAGAGGAAAGATGGATAAAAGTACGACAGAATTTCAAACAAAAATCTATTAATAACGATGACAGCAGGAAGTCCATGTCTTCTGGTCAAAAACGTTTCAATTTATAAGTTAAAACTATCTGTCAAAGTTTTCTTCCGCCTTGATTCCAAAGGAAGTCTTAACTGCGGGAAAGTTATGCCCGCACGGAAACTGCTGTTACCAAGAATAAGCCTGATTCATTTTTCAAAGGAAAACTGAATTGAATAAAATTTTAACTGAGGTCTTTACAGTCCATTACAGCGGTAAGGTTGGAAGTATAGAGGTTATCTTTTAACTAACAAAAAATTGATATTAGGCCAGCATTTCGCTTCCACCTGCTAAATATTGTCGCCAGAAAGTCTGGCCTCGTCGAAAAGCCCGGAGGGAATTTTCACTTTTAATTGCAGTCATTTCGTGATTTGAAAGGGCTTCTGAAAGATTTTGAAAAGGAAACTATTACGTTGAGGCAATTTAAACACAATCGATGGCTCGAGAACGACAAAGACGCATCAACAATCTATTTTTTGGTGTAATTAATTAACTGAAGTCGTAATTGCGAAATATTCCTCCGACGTTGTTTTGTTTTGTTTTTTTTTTAGTTTTTTTTTTTTTTCTGTCGTGTACATTTAAGATTTAAGACACGTGCTAGTCTCGTGCACAACAAACTTTAAATACTAGAACTTCAAGAAATGGAAATGACAGAAATTACCTCAAAACACCTTGCTTTTAATCAATAATGTAAAATGTGTGGTGTAGGAGGCAAGTTTTATTCAGCAGAGTTGATTTGCATACTTCCTAGACACTTTTCAATTACCACACGGCTCTGTTTGCACAAGACAACGCGCTGTGATTGGTCCGTGTTCACCAACAGTTGTTTAAATATTAATTCGTATTATGTCGGTACTTCTGAGAAGTATTGTTGCTTGCCTTTGTTCCCCTAATTCATTATGAATCGGCTGTCATCGTCAAACGCGTTGAAGTGTGGAGAATATTCACTCTGATATCACAATGAACACTGCTACGCGCGGGTGTGTTTTCTCTAGCTGCAAGGCTTTTAGGACAATAGGAAAGCCACATTTTTTCTTTTCTGTTTAAATTGTTCGGCTATACACTAAGAGCCCTCGAGAATCAATAAGCACCAGTCAATTTCCGACAAATTAATTGATATTAGGATGAAAACCTCAACATTACAGACTCTGAAACGTCAAACATCGAAATTTCATAACATTGCACCCACAGTTGTCAACAAAAGAGCTTGAGCAAAATTTCACACGTAACAGAAGATACTTGTAGATTTCATCTTAATAGAATACAAACTGCACTAATCCGTTGACTGAATAACATTCGCACAAAAAAATATATGCTTTAGAAAGATCGAAGTTGTTTATTTTGTGTTCAGTTCGGTTTTCCTTGACCTTTCCAACAGATCTCTAGCGAAATTCGAAAACAATCACTTTGCCAATGCAATCAAGTAGACTTAAAAACAAAATATCCACCAGTCGATTGACGAGTCCATAAAAGCAAAACAAATAACATCGACAATCAGACTTCAATCTGAGAGTTTACTAAAGGCAAAACACTTCACTCTCACGGCGCTTCTCTCAACCATAGAGCCTGTGTTCCAGCGAGCTAACAGGAAAACATGTCAAAAAGCTTAGTGAAAAGGAGGTGGGTGAGTGGGGATGGGGGGGAGGAAAGGGAGCGTAACTTACAAATGGACGGGCTTTCCATCCAGAAAGAGAGGGCATAATGCACTGAAGTCGGATGATGTGTTGGAAATCGAGATGGAGCGTTACCTTCCTGCTGCAAAACGATTGATAAGTGCTAGCAAGCGTGGTGCATATTCGATATGACTCAATTATTGACAGCCATCACATCCCTTTCCTGTAAGAACACCGTTAACACCATTTCAAGTCCGAGGGCTTTCCCTGGACGAGACTTCAACACAACTTTTGTAAAATATGCGAGTGTAGATGTCGCCTGTTCAGCCAATCAGGTCACTAAAAATAATTTGGTGTAAGCAACGTTTCCCGTGCTCGCTACGATAAAAAGCAACACGCAATGTGTCTCAACCAATTTGATGAGAAAATCTGACAGCACCCAGTCAGCCTCAAAGATAATCGTCAACAAGCTTTCGCAATTCTTCCCGCGCTTTTCACCAGCGGTTTGTCTCAACCTTTACCCCGCAGTACGTCTCAACCAATAAGCATAAAGAATCTGTCTTTGCTGCCATCAGCAGCAAAGAAAATAACCCTAATATCAATTTCACGTTTTTTTCCCGCACATGTCCCTGCCATCTAAATATTCTGTCAAAAACTACATGATTAAAAAAGAGATTTTTCCCTGTGCTTTTCACAGGCGGTTTGTCTCAAACTTAACCCCGCAGCACGTCTCAACCAATAATAATAAAGAATTTGACTTTGCCACCAATCAGCGGCAAAGAAAATAACCCTAATATCGCTTTCATGATTTTTTCCCGCGCTTTTCACTGCTACCAAAATGTGCTGTCAATAATTACATAATTGGAAAAACGCAAAAAATTATTTTATAAAAATTATCAAAACAAACGGAACAAACCAAAGATACCGTTCTTACCCTTTGCCCAAGCTGACATGAACTTCCAAAATCCACAATCTTGATGGCACTTCTTTTAGGATTGCACAACAAAATGTTCTCAGGTTTCAAATCGCAGTGAATAATATTTAGTTCAGGCGTTGACAAGTACAGTAACGCGGTGCACATCTGCTGTGCGAATTTCCTCGTCAAATTCAATGACACTCCTCTAAAGTTCGTGTTTCGTAGCAAGTCGTACAAATTGTACGATAACAGTTCGAACACTAAGCACAAATGATTCCTGTACATAAAGTGTCTCTTAAGCCGCACTGTTGAGAGAGATCAAATGAACAAAATCAATGAAGTAGAAGTGTATTTCAGTAAAAGCAAGCTGAAATCTCCCTTCTGTGTCTTATGCAGGTGTTAACCCTTTACACTATAACATCAGTATGTATATTCTCCATACTGTCCTATATAACTTGCCTATGGTGTTACAGAGGAGAACTTGTTTAAAAATCAAGAAATTCTTTAGTTGCTGATCATTTCCTTCATTCTCATGGCCCCAATGTGTGATTTAGGGGTGATATTGTAAGGAGAAATTAGATGTTAGTCACTCTTAGGGGTCAAAGAGTTAAACCCTAGTGGCAGTAGTTTACCATACATTTGTTACTAACTATCGCTTTAAGAAGTATAAGACGTGTGAATTTGAATGCTATTCCCTCGTTGATATTTTCAGTTGTTCTCATCAGTGACTGCTAGAGAATTTCATTGATTTCGTATGGAGAAATTCCTTTGATTGATCATAGTAAGAAAGGGGTACATTGAGCAGCCAGAGTAATCCACCATCATATTGGTTTTGCCAACTCTGCTCTGTGATTGGTTAAGCAAGCTAGCGTTTATCTCTCAACCAATCAGATGCAGAACTAAAAAATTCGCGCTTTCCCGCGCTTGGTATAGTTTGCTCTTGATACTGTCCTTCGTTCTGATTGGCCATAGCGATCATTTACTTTTGGTTTTGCGTCACACAATCGTATTGCAATTTTAAATGTTTTCACTCGTGACAAAGCTGAATAACGTCTGCGCATGTCACTGAGCTTATGTATCCATAGCGACGTAGATATAAATAAAAATGGCGATATTTTTCAAAATTTTGAAAGTTTCACCATATTCATCCACTGAAACTCCTATTTAGCAAACTTAAACAGACTATCCCCGAAGACTACCGAGCACACATATCGACTTTGTTCTAAGTCAACCTACTCCAAATGCATCTTTATGATCGAAATGCAACAGTTTGCAGGTAAGTTTGCATGCAAGTTTAATTAGCTTATTGTGATGTCATTGTTTTGCTGCACCAAGCTCTCAACCAATCATTTGTGGAACCTGAATTGATCAAGAGGTTGGTCACACGCGTTTTCCCGCGCTTGAGTCCGTCTGCATGTTTTATTATGGCGAGTTTTCATTGGCTCATTGTGATATTTTTCTTACAACTGATTGGTTGTTTCCTGGTTACTCTTACCGATGTAGTATTTTCCATCTGGATCGTGTGAGTTCATTAGCTCCAACAAACGAACTTCTATCTGAGCTTGATTCAAAAATGGCTTCTTGTTTTTGATTATCTTTATAGCGATGTATTCGTTTTCCTGATGATCATACGCTTTGCACACCTAGAAGGAATTTAAAAAAAAATTGAAGAAAACACCGTCAACTAAGTTTACTGCCCACTCTGAACAAGAAACTAAACGCAATAAAATAGAAATACATTTTTGTTATAGCAAAAGTACAAGATCAACTCACAAAGAAACAATATTTAAAGGTGTGCTATGACCAAAGAAGCCTGTATGCTTTCAAATTGGGAAAGAAAACAACGACAACAAATAACTAGCCTGGTTATGACCCGATAATCCCAATTGGCCACCGTAGAGTTCCCAAGCCGACGTCTCAAGCGTAGCCCTTCGTCAGAGCGAATCTACTTCCATAACTATCTTCGCTCTTACGAAGTGCTAACGCTCAGCTTAAGAAACTTTTTAGGGTGCCCGATTTAAATCATCAAATCAGTTGATAAAACAAAATTATTCTATTAAAACCCCCACTGTCACGCCACCAGTTTCTTCAGAAACTTACCCCCTTTATTCGATTTTTACCCTAATGTTGGGTTTTTTTTAATCATGTGCTTTTTTTTCTTGTTTTTTTTTCTGTTTAATGCAACATACCAGTAAGAGAATAATAAATGAAATCAACACTTTGTTATGTTTACTAGATACTCTAACTTTCATTCAGGGTTAAAAACATGAAAATGAAAAGTTATTTCAAATATTGAAAACATGACATAAATTCTACTGCTTCAGTAGAAACAAAGAAATTACATGGTTGTATATATTGGAAAAAAAATTGAAGCTCCACAATTTACTCAAATATTCTGCTCACATATATGTTAAATATTAAGTTGGAAATTGCAGGGGAAAACCCTAAGCATTTGCACATTTACATATCACAGAAAAACACTTAAAAATGCTGACTATTAATTCATCCAAATTCTAACCCCCCAAAAAATATTTGGGCTGTTTGTGAGTCAGCCTGAATAGGGCAAAAAATTAGTCTCTATTTTCATCAAATTTTGTGTAATTGTAATACTGAAGTTGGAATCTTTCCACCCTAAAAGCTAATTCTGATTGCCTTTCAACTTCTCCTAACTTGGGCAAATCACTCTACTGTAAACATTCACAAGAAAAATACAAAAAATAATCAAGAAAATTAAAATAAATATTCTGCATGCCAGTCGTGTTGAAAAATAACAAAACAATCACCTTTACATAAGTAAATATATTATTACTAAAGTGCTGATTGTGATTTACACATGCGTAAATTAGAGAAAAAAAACAGAAAAAAAAAATTTATATTTTACCTGGCCAAATGAGCCTTTTCCTATGAGAGACTCAATCTCATAGCGATCAAACCACTTCTCCCCTGTTTTAATGATGTAATCAAAGTTTTCATCGTCATAGCCATCATTGTGCAGTCGAGGCTCTTTTTTGTGGCCGCCTTCATCATTCTTCTCCAACTCCTTGCGTTTCTTCTTCTTGGCATAATACACCTAAACAAATAAACATTGTTATAATGATGACGCAAGTGTCCCGTTTGAATATACACAACTCAAAAATTAATAAAAAAAAACTAAAATTGGAATTCTTTCCCCGACTCGTGAGATATAATCTTGTTTTAACTAACTCTAATTCTTGAAAATTCAATCAAAAAGTCACCTTGAGCAACATGAGCGAACCAAATCTGGCTGGCGTTAAGAACTTGGGGTTTCAACATTTTAAAAATAGTTCTAGGCATTTAGATCACTTTATCTTGTAATTAAATTCTTTGTCAATACACTTACAGACTTCTTTTATGTTATTTATACAGTAGCTGTAGTATAGGATATTTTCAGGTGTTGTTTTAAATCATCTTCATGCTGTGTTTTTAACAAAGGCAAATTTCTAAGTTTTTAGTCATTTAATATTAACAAAGGACACTGGTTAATCAGTTTGTATACTTTTGTGTGTTTTACTCTGAGCCTCTAAATGTTAAGTTATTATTCTTGTCATTAATATTATTATTATTATTTTCATTATAATTACTATTATTATTATTATTTTCATTATAATTACTATTATTATTATTATTTTCATTATAATTACTATTATTATTATCATTATCATCACCATTATTATAATTATTATTATCATTATAACTACTTTTATCATAATTATGAAACACTCCTCTTTTCTGACCAACAAATCTAGAGAGTGTACACACTTACACTGTATCAAAGTGTATCTTTCGAAGTAAATGCTCAACTGTTTTTTTCTCCTTATCAGAAGAGCTATACACATGATTACAAGGCTAGTTAATTTTTGTTTGATTTAATGAGAAAGTATTGATTGAAAAAAAATTTGGTCATCTGAAGTAAGCAGAGTATCTGCTTCCTGTAATACATTAAAATAGCTTCTGTCTTGCTGCATTCAAATCCCAACTCACTAAGAGAAAACCCCAGATTTAAAGTTAGGCTCAAGGTGGAAAAGGTTCATTTAACTGTGGATTAACCCTGTGATTCCCAGAAGTGATCAACATGTAACTTCTCCCTACAATGTTGATAACTTATCCAGCAAACAGGTGACGAGAATACTCAAAGTTATCACATAGAAGTTGCTATCTTGATCTAACACCAAATGTTTAGCAGCTAGAGGGGAGAATTAACAATCACGTTAAGAATTAAGTCATTGGACATTCCACGTTACCTCGTTAATGTGCTTGTAAGTTTTGATCAAGTCCACACTGAGCTTTCTTAGGGGTGCAGAGCTCGGGTCACGAAACGTAGTTGGGATCTTGCCATAGAATGTTTGAACTCCAGCAAAATCCACCTCATCTACCGGTTGGTCTTCTGTGTTTCCAGCAATGTAATTCATGTCAGAAGCTACTCTGGATGTCTGATCTCCATTGCCGTCTTTAAGGAATAACAGAGAGAAAAAGTGAACAAGTAACATTAGAACTGCAAAAAATACCACCAAGTAACATAGCAACATCACAGAAGTAGTAAAAAAGCCAAGAGAATCAGTCAGTACAAAGGACAGACGTTTCTGAGATGGTGAAGGTAACCACAACAAGAATGTTATTCAAACTAATCCTGACAAGCTCTGACATTAATGGAACAACTTGAAAGAAAAGTTGTGTTCTTTAGAGAATTACCGAGTACTAGCAAGCCTGTCTCAGAATTCTGAGATGCCCAGCTCTAAAGACATTTCATTTAATCGCAGCTATTTAAGTTACACGCAGTTTGTCATCTCTGGCACGTGGGTTCTGCCAAAGCACAGCCCATGGAAAGCTGTCTTAACATTTTAAACTAAACTACAGAGGCAAAAGATCTGTAACAAGAGCCTCAAAAATAGCAATTAACCTCCATTTTCCCTGCCTGGAAGATAATTGTTTTGGAATGCTCTTATAGATGTTCCCTTGAAGATGCAACATGCACATCCAACTTTGTCCTCATTTTTTTTTTTGTACTGTATGAAACTACTTTCAACACACAAGAGTTGTCAAATAATTCTTCAACGAGGAAAAAAACAAAAGAGGAAACAGTAAATCAAGGTAACACAAGGAAGACTGAGGATGGAGAAAACAGGAAAATTCATTCTAAATTTTTTAAGATGTACAAGCTTCCAGGTGGCTTCTTTATCAACAGTAAATCTTGTTACCATACTTGACTCTGTGCTGGAGTTTAAATATTTTAGATATACACTGACCTCTATCAGTAGTTGCACCCCCAGGAGGAATGTCCATCACCTACTCCAGCATGACATCCTAGCTGCACAAAGAGAAACACTCCTGATTCATATGCTGGCAATTTTAACACCAAAAATATTGGAACAAAACAAATGCAGAAACCTGTGTCAAAAGCACATGCATTTGTTATGGCTAAAATGCTTTCAATGTCTGTTTTTTCTTCCTTTTCTTCATTTTGGTTCAAAGTTTAAAGCCTTAACATTACTTTGTTATGACATCCACAACAGCTAATGAAATAATTAATTGGATTTTGATTTCATTTTAAAAGACAAACTCAATGGAAAAAAAGGGAAATATTAACAACAAATTGGTAAGATTCTAAACCACTACTATCATAAGATTTCATCGGTTACAACTGATACACTTATATCAAAAATAATTTCCCTAATGGCATGTCTAGCCCACGTGCACCATAAAAACTAATGGCGCATGGAGAGAGAGCATAATCCTGCCGCTAATCAATTCCTTTGAATGGCAGGTTTCAAAATTAACCATGAACATATCTGTCATCATCAAAATGTGAATAAAACTACTGCGGGCAAGGACACTACCTGTTCAACTGGGCACACACAAAAAAAGGAAAAACATATGAATACTGTGAAGGGTTGAAGGTATGTGAATACATAGGAGCAAATAATTCTACCACAACAATATCAGTCAAGAGTAGAAGGGCCTCAAAGGAAGTACTTTACACTAATTGGTGTCATTCATTTGTGACAAGTAAAATTAAGCATCATCAGAATCGCACACATGGGTAAACCAAGAACACACCATGCTATAAAAATTATGCTGTGAAAAGTATCTCATAGTAAAATGACGCTTTTTTGACTCTCAACTGGTGACAATTCTTAGGGGTAAATTATATGCAACATAACAGACCAAAAAGCAAATTGTAAGACTGACTTTTGAGCAAAACAATTTGTCAAGTACTGTACACTTTAAAGTTGGGTTATGTTATCTTTTCTGCCAGATGTTAAAATTGAAACAAAAATACAAAGACTACAGCAATAAATGTTTGCCCTTTTTTCTCCAATAAATGGTTTATGTAACTTAAGATGATTGTTGTAGGCATTTTCTTTCTTCTGCTTGCACAGAGACCCCCTGGACTGATACAAATCCAGTTTAACGTCACAAATAGTGACATGCTGGGTACAATGCAATGTATTTGATTTCCACTTCATGTTTTTAACCTAACTCTCAAGGCTAAATTTAAGACTATCAGCACACAAAGCCTTACTACCGAGAAAAATAAAAGACTTGAGAAATAATTTCACTCACACACACATGTAGGTTAGAAATGAAAATGACAGATTTCTGTATAACATTAAGCTCAATAAATTAATTCCTCAAAGCAGCTTCACAAATTAATAATGGAAATCTCTACAGAGTAGTATTATGAACAACTTTGTAAAACTAAAGGTTCATTAGAAAAAATATTATTTTCAGGTAGTTCTACTGCTATTTTAAAAAATACGATCTAAGCATGATTGGATACAAGCTAAAAATTGAACAATTCAAGACTAACTTTTATGAATTCCAAGGCCTGCATTTTTCCATCAACTATATACAGGGGCACACCTTGAGTGCAAAGGATTACTACAACATAAATTTTAATGTTCACAACCATGAATGAAATGTTAAACATTAATGAAAAACTACCTTTTGCAGACTGATGTAGAAAATTGTGCTAAGTTTTCGGGGTAGGAAGAACCTCTTGTCACACTATAAATTTTGCCCCATCCGCGCTAAAATGTTGAGCCACACCTCACAAAAAAACTACTCAATTTCACACACGACCTTTCAGGATATCAACCACAAGGTATAAAAGTGTTTAATAGTGATGAAATTTTAACTTTTTTGTGGTATTTACTTGGTCATAAAACGATTTAATTCACGCAGTTATGACAAGAGAAGACTTATGAACAATGCTTGTCTGAAATGAAAAAATGAATTTCTTTTGTTACCTGAGTAAATAGAAAGAAAAGAATATCCACTTCCACAAAGTATTTTTCCCTGCTCTGTGACCAACAAGTGAATGAAACACATGAATTATAAATCTAGATTTCAACCAATGACTATTTAATTAACCTAAAACAAAATTAACACACATACAACAGCTAACTGAATTGCTTTGCAGTTGTGAACAGATATGATTTTTTTAATCACATTTTTGCCATTTTAAACTACTTTCCAGAATGTTGTCTACAGGAAATTACCTATATAACTTACAGTATGACTAATTCTTGTGTACTTTGAATTACAGAAAAGACTTCTGAGTAGAAAATGTTTGGTTATAAATAAAATTCTTAAAAAAATGCTATGATTCTTCATAAATAATCAACTAGGAAGTTGATTTGAAACTCCTGTTGAGACTGCCAAAATGGACAAACACTTTCAATCCAAAACAATAATTAAACAGGCCATTTATTGCATTTATCACAAAACATGTAAATCTGACTGTCAAATAAAAGCTTGGCCTCATGCAGGTTTTTATTGACTTTCTTTTGATTTTACAGACATAGATTCAGCATTAGCTTGCATTCTGGAGTCACACATCAGACATTTCTGATCCTTTATCCTTTTTGATTGATCAACATCAAGAAGGGTTCAAAATATTTCAAACCTCAACTCTTGACACCAGTTCTCAAAGGGTTCTGAACGGTTAATTTTTGTCACTGTTTCCCTGACAGCAGTCATTTAAACCAACAACTAATTGTTTCCTACAACCACCCACTGTTCTGATATTTAAACATATTATCAGTATCAATGGTACTGCTCAGAAATACAAAACTGTTTTTAAAATGCTTGGTTAATTAACAAAATGGTTCAGGTCATGTCCACTGTGTAACTCTGCATTTCTCTTTTATTTCTTGTTCTGTCTTTCACCTTCTTTTCTTAATTGAAACAAAAACCTCTCTTGGATGCACATGAACAAGTAACTGTAAAAAAGACTTGTTCAGTAAAGGATTCACTCTTGAAACAGGACATCACTTTACCAGTTCTAAAAATTATTAGTTGGACATATATCATACACAATACTCTGGAAGACAAATAAATAAAAAGTTACAGAAAGTTCCCAATGGCACTTGTTATCAAATGATATCTAAGAAGGGCCAAAATCAAATTAAAGCCCAAGAACATAGCCTGTATTACTACTATTATTTCTTTGGAGGGCATTGAGAAAATTAAAACTGAAAATAAAAAACAAAACAGGGTAAAAAAATAGGCTAAAATACATTTTACCCCACCAAAATCTTCACTTCAACCCACAAAATGTGCCACATTGCCTAACAAAGAGATGTTAATTAACATCAAGCTTGATAGAGGATATTTCCTTATTTGTCAACTTCAAATTGATTAAACAGTTGTCTTCCAGGCATTATAATGTAAGTTCACTCAAACAGCTTTCAAGAGACTTTTTAAGTTTGAATCCAACTCTTTAACAAGAGATAGAGGTTGATGTTGAGTGTTATATAGTGAATTGTTAACCCTTAAGTTATATTTTGTTTCCTTCTTTGGGGGTTTAAATGTCTGAAAGGAGGTACATCTAACTTCCCCATTTAATTGCAAATAATTTTTTTTTAACTTTTGAAAGTAACATGACGAAAGTAAACAGGAAACTTTCGCAGCATCCAACTCTTATTACAATATTAATGAAAGCATCCATGATCTGGGAATTCTGGATCTGAGCTACTTTAATTCAGAAATGGAGTTGTTTGTTAGTACGTTCTCCTGTTACATTATCCAATCTCTTGTGAATTCATTTCTTAATTACAAACCTTGTAAATGGAGTGAAAGTGATTTTTTGTGGAGTGAGTGAAACGTGTGTTCACAGCTGTTTTTGTACGTGGATTAAAACCACTCCACTATTATTAAATTAGACCTCTGATCTATTTAATTTACAATTCAGAACTGAAAATGAATTAATATCATTGAATAAAACTGCAAATGGCATTAAGAATTCAATACAGCTACTATTTCAGTAATCAATTACTGTTAATCAAGTCCACACTAATCTGTCAAGTAAACAATTCAAGTGACATTTGTTTGTTTTTCTAATAGATCTGTCCGACAATACCTAAAACATAATTCAAAATGGGATTACAGTCCAGTTAGTGGATCATTTGAAATTTCCTGGACACTATCAAAAGCTGACTCTGATAATTCAATTACAATTTTGAAGCCATAAAAATATTTAAAGCATCATTAGACAATTAATTAATCACTAATTGATTTGTCTTGCTACATATAAATCCCTTCTCTAACCACTATGAACATTCTTAAACCTACATGGCTTTTTTAAGAACACCCATCTACTTTGAAGTTTGCCGCAATTTCAGAACCAAATATTATTGCTTTTAATCACCTCAAAAACTTTCTACAAAGATATTTTGCGATGAAAATATTACTTGGATTAAAAAAAAAAATGTCTGAGATCAAAAATCAACTACCAATATCAGAGTTGAAAATAGTTTTCTATTGTTAGGTTGGAACGTTCTTGCGCCCAGTTGTTCAAAGAATAGATAATGCTATCCAACAGATAAATCACTATCTAGTGGATAACTTTTAAGAAATGTACTGTGCTATCCACCGGATAGCAATTTACCCAGTGAATAGCATTCACCAACCTTTGAACAACAGTGGCCTGGTTTGATACACTTTGCTGAGCACAATCATAAGGCAAAAAGTAAGCAAGTCACTCTTTGGTCTTCTGAATGATGTTGATCTTGCATTCATTTCTTTCAAGTAAAATAATTTCTCTGCCAAGATTATTAGGTTTATCTTATTTGGAAAAATAAACTGACCGTTCTTAACAATAAACTGACAAGTCCACTTGAGTTCTTTAGAAAAACTGGATCGGTGAAGGCAAAACTACAAGTGATGTAATGTTGAACAAGAAATGACATTTAATCTTCTGCCATTAATTTGTTTTATCATTGCCTCGAGCACTGAGTACAATTCTGAGACTGCATCTTGGGTTGGAAGCAACCACATGGTTGAGTGACATCAAAACACGCAGTATTTTGGCGCAATCGTCGTCTACAGAAGAGGCCAAGATAAACCAACTTAATGGACCGTGTAATTTCGTTCCTCGCTTAATACTTGTGGAATTAATAACAGAATATAATAAGTGTACATATTAGCATTTTTAAAACATGCTACATATCGCAGACAATGTAACAAATTCATAGAAAAGCACTTGCAGTAGAACAAGAACACTTTCAGAAAATGCTCACGACATCGCAATCGAATACTTTTTTTCGCATAGCCATGTCAAGAGGTCGTCTATAAGCTGAAATCCGCTCGCCGCGCAAAATGGCTTAACGAATTGTCTTTATGGAAACCCATCTACGACTCTTATGAACTGTTACAATCTACAGACACTGAGGAAATCTAATCTAAAGATTTGAGAACGACTTATCTTTTCATTCTACTCTGAGAAGGCGACAGGATAATAAACAAGAAGCCAGCCGCACGCACCGAACTGTCGGCTACTTCAGCCCAATAGTCATTGATTTCTAGAAAGACGGCTACAGAACTAGCAAGAGCAATACAGATAAAACTTTATCTTTCTCACTAACGAAGTAGGCATTTACTCTAAACAACTAAACTGGACTTAAAAGCTAATCTGAACCCAAAACCGGTCTCATACAGGAAATATCAAGGTAGACAAGGCAGCTATGGCGAAAATTCAAATGAATGAAATTATAAACATGGCGGGCCAACATCGACGCTTTCGTACTCATGGAACGAGGTTCCAAAGTTTCATACTTTGTCTCTCATCGCATTTTAGGTTGAAATTCACCGAAACTGAAAGTATATAGCGAGACGTACTTTTCGGATTTGAGGCGTCCATACAATGAACAATGATTATAAGCGACACTGTATGTCGGGAGGACCGCCAACAATTCAAGACTTTCGGACCTTTCATACAAAGCGAGTTACGGTTGCGCAACGAATGGACGTTAACCAACCGATAACATCAGGATCTTGCTTTCTTCTACCACATTTCCGCCCAAAATTATTCAAAATCTTAAAGAATATTGATTTCAAACAGTTGAGACCTGGAAGATCGACAACACAGACAATAACACCAGGTAATTTCCCTTCGTAAGGCTGTCCTTGGCGACTTAAAATCTACAGTTCGCCGCGCGTCAAAATCTCTATCAGGCATAGTTTCTCTGAAACCCTCTTCTCAAAACGACGAAGAAGGCTGCAAAAAGCTTTCAAGAAGGTTTTCAGGACAATTCTAAACTTCGCCCCACACTTATCAACAGATTTAGGACTAGAACAGAGTTATAGATTTTCTCAAACAGCAAAACCTCCTTCGAGATCGCACTTTCGCAGCTGACACCATGAAAGATGTAAAATACCGCGCAAGTAGTCAAGGTAAATTAAAGACAGATTCTCACATGCACAACGGGTATCCTTTTCCAACAAACCATAACCTTTCCTAATAGAAACATATATTACGTTATAAACTTTGCAAACAGTGCGCACAAGCTGCTGTCACAGAGCTCGCTCATTAACATTTTAGCAAAAATAAACCACAAGGGTGTTTTGACAGTATTCAGCTCTTGGGAAGCACCTTGAGTCTACAAGGAGATCTCTCACATCTCATGGCCGCTCAGTGAATACTTCAACCCTTTGGTTTATCTTCACTAAGTTTCCGAGCGATCTGGAGCCCGAGCAGACAAGATAGACCGCCAAATTCAAAAACTTCTCTTAAGAGAGAGTCCTTCGCGAAAAAATATTTTCATATCTCGCATCTACAGACTTACCTGTGAAATTCAACGATCACTCTTCGTTCCTCAACGCGCATAGATTTTAAAGAAATCCATTCTGGTTGAGAACAACCACAAGCAAAGGGCTAACAATCCTGTGATCCCCAAAAAGTTGTCTTTCAACCAAAATTTCCTTCTTCCGAAAAAACAAAAATCGCGCGCTGAATCAGCAATCACGTTGAAGTTGAATCAATCGAACCGCTCCCCAATTACAACTTTTCCAGTCCTTTTCACACATCAATTATTAAGCTCCTGACTTGTCCAAGGAAAGCTTTTCAACGAAATTCTTAACTGAAACCGAAGTTCCATACGGTGATCGATTGCTCGGCGTTAAAAAAATTCGAAATTCGAACGAAATATTGTCCGATAAAACCGTTGAAAGGAGGTCGTAACAAAAACCTGATGACGCGACGCACTGTTGCTATGACAATGTCAATTACAAAAACGAAGAGATGTAAGAATTCGACATTTAATCAGTAACGACGAAGAGCAAGCTTAACCGTGGTCTTTTTTAGCCTAAAAACCTCTTTTTTTTTTGTTTTTTTTAAGCAGCAGCAGCAATAAAAAGAAGCGGAAAAAATTCTCACAAAAGAAAGCAAACACGGTGAACTTGACAAAACGAGAGGAAAGATAAAAGTAACAAAACTGACTTCATTTTAGTAATTTTTCGACAGTTCTAGATTCACCAGGTTCGTATTAAAAAGAAATTACTTCTTTTCCAATACGTGACAGGAGTATTTCTGTGGTTTTGTATGTTTAACAACATTTGACAAGAGAATTAAGATATTCCTGGCTTCATTAAACGTGAGTATGAGTCATGTCAAAATGTGATCATGCCGTCTCCTAAAAGGGTGATGATCTCATAATTCCAATTTTCCACCTACCAACAACGAAGGCATTCATCCAAATTAAAAATATTCGTTCAAAAGAATGAATTCAATAACGGCAAAAATGAACTTTTAGAAATATATGTGTAGATTTTTTTCGGAAGCGGGAATGGCGGGGGGAATGGGGGGAATCGAGGTGGAAAAAAAATTGGCAGTTTCGCCAGCCGTTCCCCATCCGCTTCCTCTGCCGAAAAGAAAAAAGAAAATAAAAAAGAATGTACAAAAAAAGTCTCGAACTCAAATTATCTCTCCGGTTTAACCTTGCAGATGACATTATGTACCTTCTTAGTTTAGTGTTTATTAAAACAAGATTCGAAAAGTCACTTTGCTTCACGATGGACTCTTTTTCACGAGTAAGGGATGGTATTGTAACCCACTCTGCAAAATGTTTGGAACCTCAGTGAAAAAAAGACTTATTGCCAAGCTCGCTTGGGGACTTAAAGGAATTTTTTTTAATTTAAACGCTTCTGTTTTTTTTTTACAGCAAACAATTCATTTGTTGCACACCGCGCTTCGCCCACTCAGACGCCTACAGTTTCTGCTTTCAAAGTTAATCAAGGCTTACGTAGAAGCCTAGAGGCCCATACATTATGCTAAATAGTAAATGTATTAATAGATCAATTAAAAGTAAACAAATAAAGAAATAAAACAACAATTTGTTCCGAAAAAGATGTACCTTAAAAACTAGTGCGGTACTCCTACTTAGCCCGAAATTTTTTTAACCATAGAGTTTAATTAATTTTCTACACGTGCAGTATGCAGGTATTTATGGTTCTTCATTTATCAGCGCGCCAAAGCGGCGCGTGATTTTATGAGCAAGAACCTAAATGAAAATAGCTTCTGAAACGCTCTCCTGATCGAGAAGAACCAGTAAATAGGCATGAGAAAATTGGTGAAGATTTCAAAAGTAGTCCCGAATCGTCTTTCTCTCGCTCGCCCCACTTTTACTTGTACTTTTACTTTTACAATCCAGCTCCCTGGAACAGGGTATTGAAGTAAAAATGTAAGCCCCCTGTTAAACTTCCTAATTATATATAATGAAGGTTTGGCGTTTAGTGAACGCTTCCAACTCTACCCTATCTTCAAGAAATAAAGGTTTATATACTTTCTACAAGTTTTTTTTTTGTTTTTTTTTGTTTTTTGTTTTGCTATTTAGTATGATTCAAACAGCAATAGAAAATCCTTACGCGACTTCGACCCCAAAAAACTTTCAAAGGAAAACAAAGTCAAAGAAATGGTGGGAAAAAATATATCACCGCTTTTCACGACAAGAAGAGATGAAATGATTCTTCTCAATACCGGAAGTTGAGTAAAAGTGTCCCTATACGCGCACACCGATATGCGTCTGTCATGAGTAAATAAAGGAAGAACAGAGCTGAGCGATTGGAAGACTGCGTCCTGAACGCGACAACGCGATGATTCAAGTTTCGCCTTGACGGCTTTATTTTACTGGTCATATGAAAAAAAAAACACTTTACAGTTGGTCTAGAGATATGGTAAATGATAAAAAAAATCGCTCGTAAAACCAAAGGCTCATGATAAAAATAAACAACCCCGGCGAGGGAGAGGTTGTTCAACCTTTGGACAGGTGATCATTATGCGACGGAAGTGTTTGAAAGTTTGAAACAGGAAGACTTAATTTCAATACATCACACTAAACCAAAAACACATTAAACTAATTTTAAACCACAAAATATTTGACGAGAAGCTCCCAACAAGATGTTTCCTACTAATAAATTTTGACTATGTGACAAATTTCGAGATTATTGGTTTAATAACTATTTTTGATTGGACTAGCACATGATCGAGGGTTCTTTAATTACAGTCTCTAAGGCTTGGGGCAAAACAGTTTTTAAAATAATAGTAACTCACCAAGGAATCGAAGTGTAGCAATTCTTTATAAATCTTCTTCTTATTTTCAAAGTAAAGGAATATTTCGTGCATCCAAGTTCTTTCGCGTGTTTTTGCTGCGCTTTGTGTTGAAAGAAGACGTCGGACACGTGCAGCATGTAACATGCGAACTGACAAATACGCACCCGTGTGTCACGGTTGTATGTCCATGGTACTCAGCCGATACATGACAGGATTTGAACTTTAAAGTCACTTGACATGACTGTGACAACCTGCTGGTTTGTATTAGGATAGCATTTTGAATAGTTACAGAATAAAATCAAGTACTCTTAGACAATAATGATTAAAAAAAAAAACCATCCCATTGGCTGAAGGCCAAGTTCATCTTGTCGATACTCATATAAACAATCGAAAAAGAGACCGCCTTCCTTATGAATATGAAACATTGAGATATAACGCCATTCCGAGCTCCATAAAATGCTCTCATCTGAGAAAACTTTCCATGTCGGTGATGATGCGAGTTATCTTCAAGTCAGCTGGAAAACACGTGTTTTGAGCAAACATGCATTATTTATAACAGAGGACGAGCTAGTGACTATTTTCTGATATTGCTTTGACCTGTTATGAATGAGATAATATTAGATTTCAGATAAACAATCTTGCTGTCAATATGAATAAAAAACCATCATTGAAAATTAAAAAAACAAAAAAAAAGATAAAAAAACAAACAGGAAAAAAACAACAAATGACTCCGCACCAGTTTTTACCCGGACCTTCCACGGCAAAGAAGTTGTTCAGTTACTCAACAGGATCCGTCTACGAGATTCAGCCCCACCCTCTATTTGCTCGTAAATCCCCTTTTGACCCCTTATCTGAAAGTCCATTGTTTGTCGTGACCTGCGCCTCAATCTTACCGGTCCACCTTCCGATATGATAGATAAATGTTCCCTACGAAAACTCGTTTTCATTTAATTCATCATATGTTAGTTAAACAAGAATCGGACTCATTCTTGATAAACCTGCGTAAAATATGTATGTCTGAAAACTCTATACCAGGTAGTGACCCATGCTTATGGCATAGTAACTAGAGAAAATCAGGAGAAAGAGATCGAGAGGCAGGTTCCACAGGCAACGCTCTTAGATAGATGACTTCGACTAGATTTATTCATAGCAGCCTCACGAACGGAAGTGCATGTGCAATCGGACACGTCCGTGTAAAGTCTAAAATATATCTGATCTGGAAACAGTTTGATCAGGAGGTCACACCCTTTGTTATTTTATTTGTTCAATTGTTTGTTTGATTCATTTTGTTTGTGTCATCAGATAAACCTCAACTGACATTGTCTCTTTTCAAAGTCTTTCTTTAGTAACCAGTTAGTTACTATGGCAAGGCTGAAACATTCTAACTCTTTCACCTTTCGATAACAAATAAGCTAAAGGGAATGAAATGAAAGTCAATTCAGGAAAAAAAAATTAGCTGAAGAAAGGGTGTGATATCTACGTAGTTTCTGGCATTGTACTTTGAACTTTGATGTATGCGATGCCTTTTCGAGAGATCTTGGTTCCAGCACAGGCTGCCTCGCTCTTCTGGGAATTTTGCATGATAATTAGCTCTCGCAAAGTAAAAAAAAATTGAATAAGTACTGAAGACTCATACACAGAGAACTGCACCAAGCACGACTTTAGGTAAACTGACTTAAAAAGTGATTATGCGTAAAAGGAGCTGGCTTTAAATACAACTAGACTGTAAAATAATGTGCGGTATGAGAAACGTGCGTAAAGGTGTAACTGACGAAGAAAAACGCTAACAAACTTAATAAAAAAAAAACACTAACGAGGAGGTATGAAAAAAATAAAGAACGAAATAATTAAATACGAGTTTCCCGAAAAATAATTAGCAAGGGCTTAGGTCTTACCAACCCTTCCACCAGAACTGTTTTACTCAATCATGTTGCAAAGTTGATTTTAGCACGATACCACTACCAAGCAGAATTTGTGAGTTCGGCGATTCCATATGGATTTTTTTTCTAATTTCAAAAGTTTAAATTATGACCCTTTGATTGCCAAGTGAGGCCCGTCAAAGAGTGCAGTACTGGAAAAAATCGATGCAATCCAGTATTTAAAGCCACCGAGTTTTAGTCCTAGTTCATTATTTCCAGGAATCTCCTGGATTTACAACGATTCTCTTCATCCGTTTTCATCAAAGTATACAATTACCAAATACCCTAAAGTGAGGTAAACAAAGGTAAAAAGCAGAAGGAGACTTAAGAGATATATCTCCATGCATGGAAAAAAATTGTGTCTTCTTTTACAAGGATGGTAGCATTTTTGTGAAATTTTCCAATTTCAGATCAGCTGCGTCGTATTGACCTCCTTCGGTCTGTACGAAGAAACCGGAACGAAACGGTTAATTGAACAAATTTAAGAGGGTGGGTACGTTATTCAAAACGAGAACCTTCTGATCCTAGTTTTGTAGAGAATTAATTTCGAAAATAAACTCAATAAAGTCTTCAGCGAGCTTCTCTCAGTTCCCTTCTCGGTCGTGTCCTTAGGATGTCACGCAACGCTAATAAGTACATCACGTGACATATTACAAAGTCAGCTTCTCGACCCACCAGCAGTGGTTTCAAAGTTAAGATAAAATTCTTAAACGAAAGCTATAATTTCCCGTGGACTGCAGTTCAAAACACAAACTACATATTTCTTAAGGGAAGCAAATAGCTATGTTTATAAATATTTAAATTAAGGTGCATACATTTAATTAAGGTGGCACAAATTTTAGACAATCAGTGCAGTAAAAGCTGCGATACTCTATACAAACGAAAAACTTCCAATACTCTTTTTGATATAATACTCAAAAGTAAATGTTATCCATTAAGCTACATTATTCTTCTGCCTTTACAGACCCCTTCTCCATTGGTGGAACCTAAAATTCAATTAGCGCAAGATGGAGGGGATAGGGGAGGAAAGGTCTGTACTATAATAAGTGGCAAACCAGCCAGAGCTTTACTTGACTTCCATAGCATGAGACAACCAGGACAGTATTACCTTCCCCCCCCGGATAAAATGTCAGTCCATCACAAGGTCTCCTTCCAGCATTTCATCAGGCTTCCCTGACAATTCATCAGTATCCAGTTATATTCCTTGATAGAGGAAGGCACCGTGAGAGTTAATTGTTTTCTTAAAAACACAATGCGGTGACCCTACTAGGTCCCCAACCCAGACCACTTGACCCCAAGTACAGTGCACCAACCATAAGCCACCAGTACCACAAGGGAGGGAGGGGGAAGCTAAGGGCTGAAAAGCATTCACTAATACTGAAAGTTTCTAAGGGGTCTTGGGGCACATTTCATTAGGGGGGGAGGGAGAGTTACATCTCTTCATGTCCACTGAGTCTTTGCTGTAAAGAGGTGACTTCAGCACTCTGTATAGAGATGTCTACTGTTACAGATGTGCACCTTTGACATTTTGGTACAGTGAAAAATAATTTGATTGCAGCTCTACTGGGTAACAAATACCAGAGTCAAGGACAAAGGTAAAGTAAAAAATTGAGCCTAGTGACTCCTCTGGTCACAGCTCATCCTGGTTTCCATAGTAAAATTGAGCCTAGTGACTCCTCTAGTCACAGCTCATCCTGGTTTCCATAGTACTCTGGCTACTCCCCTCTGGATGGGTTGCTTTAAGTCAGTCACATGTTACATCCCAACATTCCATCAGGTTTCTTGGTGTGTATGTAAGTATTTTATTTATACACATAAACACCTAAGAGTTAACAAAAACTTGATTGAATGCGCATGTTAGACTCAAAGGAGAAAAAATTAAAAAGTTAGTAGATTAAAAATGACTTGTCAGTCAACGTTTGAGTTTGTATTATCACTGAGCATTTTCACTCATTGTTTGTATTTTGATTCACCTTGTGGGTGCATCAAAATATTGCACATCCTGTAAAAAGACTCAGTGATACTACACCAAAAAGTATTAACCCTTTACACCCTAAGATTAATATGCATATTCTCCATACTATTCTTTTTACATTTCCCATGGTGCTGACAAGGAGAATTTGTTTAACAATCAAGAGTCTCAGGCTGGTGATCACTTCCTTTTTTCTCATGACCTAAATGTGTGATTCAGAGGTGATAATTTAAGGAGAAATTAGATGCTAGTCACTCTTAGGGGTCAAATATATATATATATACTCTCCTGGCTAGAAAAAGGCAGTGTGAGAATACATTGTCTGGCCCAAGAATATACCACGATGGCACTAGCGGGGAAGGGGGTACCTAGGGCTCATTCCCTTAGATGTTCACCCAAAGTCCAGTGCTCTAACTGATCAGCCTCTGCATGTTTCACAAATACAGGAAATTTTAATGTTTAACGTAAGAAAGCAAATGAGAAAGGTATGCATGTAGTTGTTCATTCAATTATTCTGTGAAGCTGGGTTAACATAAATGTAGGTGAATTACTTATTGATACTCAAAAAGTTACTGTGTTATAAAAGGTGATCTCTACTAGATAATCTCACTTCTTACAATAAAAATTAATTAATGAAGTGATTCTGCATCTAGTTGAAGATATTTGTAAATCAAGAAAAAAAAATGAGGGGACACAGGTTAACAATTAGTCCATTGGCATTCCACTAAACATTTTTAGTTCTTGATGGAAACAGAATCTTCTCTTCCTGAGAGTCTCCTGGGTAAATTCTTGATAAAGAAATGCCAATTACAATCTTTTTTTAAGCCATTTACGTCAGCAAAACTCCAAATCGTTGTTAGTCATTAGTCATCACCTTTTTTTTTTTTTTTTATCAAAAAACATCAGATTGAAGTATGCCTACATACAGACATTTCTGGAGACAAAATTCTATCCAAGAGGCTATCTATAAGTAACTTATTTTCATATTCTGTCATAGTTTCTTTTTTAATCAGAGTGGAAAGACTAACACAATAATCATGAAATGATAATAATAAAGATAATGATAATAATAGTAATAATTATAACAATAACAAAAGTTCTTAAAACATATTTCATAAGTCTCAGTGCATTTACAAACTTAAATTTATAATGAAAAAGTAAAAAGAAAAACATTAGTTTTGAGGAAGTTAATACAAATTAGTGTTCATTGGAAATAGAGTTTAAAATTTACCAAATCTTCGAACATTTCTTAGGCTCCTACCTACTCAATTTGGAACAATAAGGGGTCAAAGTCCGTGCAAAGTACAACACTAGGGGGTGGGGAGATGAAATGGGACAAGATGTAATATTGGTATACCGTTCGGAGAAATTGTAAACGCAATGAAAAACTATTTTAGTACCACTGGTGGTGCAATATAAACTTTAGGGTTATTTGTTTTAACATCACACGCGAATGTTTACATTCATAAATAACAGATACGCACGAGTTGTTGTACATTTCATACGCGATCTATCAAACTTCGCTCGCGTTGCAGACACCGTTCTTTTATTACTCTTTGCTTTCAAATACCCCGGTCAATACTCATCCCATCTTATCAGCGGTTTTCTTTAGTTCGAATTTTGGACCTTTCTCCTGGAACGCGCTCGGGTGACGAAAAGATCCACCGATCCGATCCCAGACTGTGAAATATTGGCCGTAATTACAGTTGTAGAGGAGGTGGTGATCTGTGTGATGGGCAGATCCGTTAACGAAAGGCTGCAGCAGCTCAGGCACTCTGTAGTCTCCATCGTGAATTGACACCGTCCATATATTGACGAAAACAAACAACACCAGATACACAACTTTGTTGAGTGGAAAAATAAATGGGTAAAGATGATATGGCAGACTCTGCAGGAATCCGTCGATCGGATGGAAAGCGTGACTGGCGAATGGGGTTGGCACCTTCCAACGATGGTGGACTTTGTGCAAATATTTGTACACTGAACGATGGTGCAATCCACGATGAATCCAGTAAATCAATGCGTCGGTGAAGACGAGAAAGCCAGTCGTACTCAAAATGATGTCGCGGATGAGATGCGGCCAGCTGAAATTACTTGGCAGGTACAACTGACTGTAACCTCGCACCTCCAGAAGGAAAAGCGATACCGTGGGAAAACTCATAAACGGTATTGATTTCAAAGTCACAATGATTTCCTTGTAGATCTGGTGTTCTAGAATCAGCGGGTGTTTCATAAGCGCGCGGTCGAACACAAAAACGAAGCTGAAAGTTGCGAGCGAAAGATACATAATAACGCCGCCGATGTTCGTGACCACGAAGAGTGAGATGAATTGCCTGTAGCAGTCATTTTCTGGCCACGTTGCGGGGTACACGTACGGTGTAAAGAAATTTTGATCGAGTATGTCAAGAACAAGGTCCATTTTGAATTACACTCTCCAGAAAAGTAAACTACACCGTATCCTTCTCGGGTCAAAGCTATCACGATAGCAGGTACTTTTTGGTCACGGTATAACAGAAGTTCTAATTGGTCATGCATACGTGTTCTCATGGAACATCCAATTAAATTTTGTGTACTAATTAAACAAAATCCTCCTGATAGCTGGTTTTGTATTTAACTAGTAACTTCGCTAGCTATGATGTGTGTCAATGTCCTGAAAAGCTAAGCAAAGCAAAGAAAAGCAGTACAAAGAAAAAAAAATTGGATGAGCTCAATTAATATGTGATCGTTTCCTTCATTCTTGTCGGATTCAGGGATGATATTACAAAGAGAAATTAGATATTAGTCATTCTTATGGGTCAAAGGCTGCCCCTCATGTACCCCTTTATTGTTCTTTCTACTGCTGGACAGAAAAAGTGTAACATGGAATCTACTTGCTAAATAAAGAATAAGCACAAATTTCACAAAAGAAGACTGTATATTTAGTATTTACAACCAACCATTTCCCTTATTAGTTTTTATAAGCATGAAGATTAATTGAAATGGTCATTTTCAAAAGAGATTTCCAGTTTGAATAGAAAATTTCCAATACTTGTCAAACCTGCTAGTTTACTTTTAACAAAAGATTTGGTACTAAAGTGAGTAATCCAACTGAAAGGAAGAATCTACAGCCTTCACAAAAGCTTGAACTGCATTTCATCTGCTGGCTTGGTGCCTTCTTCACTAAATAGCAGTAGACAGACTAACTTTTGCCTTTTACAAACATCTGCATCATATTCACAAGGAATTTATGATACAAGGTCATAATGGAACTAATAACATTCTAAGTTCGCATTTCTTCCACATTATTGTTATCTGTAACCCAAGCGCTTCTTTTCTTTTGCTTTCTTCTTAACAGCTTCTATACTGCGGTCTTTCCAAGTACTTTTCCTAAGCTTGATTGGTCGATTCCCAATATATTTGCCTGCCAATGTACAAAAAAAGAAATTCAATAGAATAAATTGTTGATAAAGAGTACAAACATCTTACTGTTCTTAAATTATATATTTTCATCTTGTTACACTTAACAAATTTTTCCACATCATGGTCTTGTACAAAAAAAAATTATGCTGCTATTTGGAAGATTACTTTTACTTAAAAATAATCAATTTACCCTTATGCTAGGGAAGTATTGGGAAATAAATATGTTCCCAATCACCCCAATTGTTTACCACCCATTCCAGACAATAGGGAATGTCTACTGTGAGATATCAAATTTTAATCCATCACAAAACTCTTGGAAGGTCTGGAAACAGCAAATTTGCTGACCATCTAGGATTTTCCCAACATATGAAAAACAGCCTTTTTTTTAAAAAAGGATTTCATTTTGAAAGGTAGAAGCAAGAGAAATCACAAGGTAACATCATAATATTAAAAAAAATAGCCCAAGACATTCAAAAGAGAAAAATCTGCTTAGCATCCAACGAACTCTCCAAGTTCTAATATCCATTGAATAACCTGTGAAGTTTGCTAGTTTGACTCACAGATACAATATACTTGCATGACCTTTACCCTCAGTCCACAATAACATCACTGAGACTTACCATTCATTTCTTTCATAGCTTTGACAAAGTCATTAGGATCTTTGAAGCTAAGGAATCCATACCCTTTGCTTTTGTTTGTCTTTTTATCACGAACAACTTTAGCTCTTAGTAAAGATGGATATTTTGCAAATGTTCTTGTGAGGATCTCGTCAGTAACCTCATTTCCAAGATCACCGCAAAACACACGAAAGTCGTCTAAAAACAATAAATGTAATGATCATTAGTGAAAATACGTATGTTTTCATTAAGAGCCTGTAGCCGACTAAAACTGTCAGCAATTCTACCATACTAAGTCTGCTACTTCCAAATAATTTTGCCATAACTAATGATAAAAGGAAAACTACCATTATGAGGTCCTACCATTAAAGATATTTGTACAGCAGCATATTTCCAGCTTTGATTGGAAATGATTGCATAATTTACAGATAGATGTTACAGTACTATGCATACACAAGGCCAGGGTGTCTAACCATAATCAGCTCCCTGATTGATTGACTCACTGGCCAAGTTACCCTTTACACCATAACAAAGCGGTATTCATATTCCGCTTCTCTCAATACATTTCCCAAGGTGTTGACAAGGAGAGTTTGTTCAACAATCAAAAAGCTTCCTTAGTTAGTGATCATTTCCTGAATTCTAATAACCATAATATGTGATTCAGGGGGGATATTGTTTTGAGAAATTAGATGGTGGTCACTCTTAGGGGGTGAATACAGCAACATAGCACAAACAACCTCACCATTCTCCCACTCTGCTAATGACGAATCCTCCCACACTTGGTTCCCTGCCACCCTCAAAAATTTTTTCTCTTTGGGTTTTTTTTTATCCTTTGCCTCTGAGTTCCCAGCCTGTGAATATGTAGATCCCCACTCTTTCTGTTCCTCAGGAGTCATTACTGGCACGGCTGTGGCACCAACCGGCCCTGCCACTGGCATACCAGGTAACGGAACAGGCATGGGTACTGGGACCATGGGTACTGCTACAGGACCCATAACAGGCATGGCTCCAGGATTAGGGACCATTTGCGGTACCATAGGAGGCATCCTGGGTGGCAATGTCATGGTATGTGGTATTCGAGGACCAGGTAACTGATTGGGAGGGGCTTGCACAGGACGTCGGATTGGACCCTGCATATGGGGACGGACTTGATTCAAAGTGCCCTGGACAACTGGTGGTCGTAAATTAGGATTAGAAGGTTGTAATAATGGACGTGGGTGTGCTCCTTGGACAAAATGCTGGTTATTGGGCATTTCTTGTTGTGGTTTTACCTCTGGAACAGTAGCTGCATTCTGGATTGCTTGTGATGCCATACGAAATGTGTTTGTGGCTATGACTGGCCTTGAAATTGGATGTTCTGCTATTTCTTGTTCAAACCTGAAAAATAGCAAGGCAGTAGTAAGCATCAGGGAGCAAATACTTTTTAATAACAAAGAGGGGCAGCCAAAAGTCTTGAGTATTGAAATTTTTTCCTTGATACCTGCTACAACTGTTTGATCTGTAGCAATTAGCAGACAATGCTAATACAAATCAGCACTCTCCTGTTGCAGTAATTAGATTGTTGCCATATTTCCCTTCATCCTAATTGGCTGTCACAATCACTTTGGTTTTGGTAAAAGGTACACATAATCACAAAGCACTTTTAATCCTTCCACTCCCATGATCTCATTAGTAATTCTCTTTACTGTCTGCCATGCAATTCTTGTGATATCACTTCAAAGAATTGGGAATTAGATCAACTAGTAATCCCCTAATGATATTTTCTTTATTCTTATTACTTATCTGCTTGATATTGCATTGGTACTGTTAGGAGAAATTCTATCTTGGTCACTTACTGGAGTTTAAGGGTTAATGGTAGTTACACATTAACTCCAAAAGTTTATTCAATAATTCAGAAACAAAGACAAGAAATAAGAGAACCATTTCAAAAATTAACACTTCACTACTGTCAACCCATAGGAAAAAGCGAAAAAACATTAATTGACGCCCGGCGGAAACAAACATTCTATATGTATATAATATGTAACAAATTGTAATAAATAGTTAAAGCCGGAAGCTTAACGTATTTGTCAATCATTATGAGGCAAGAAAAACTATGTTCTGACATTATGGAGATTAGATCTGGAAACACGGATTAAAAGTCAACATTTGCCGACCATTACCGTGACATCTCTTCTTCCAGCTCATTTCGCCGGCTTTGGTCCTCGATCTCTGCCATTCCACTCATTTCTGTACCCGTTTTTTCCTCAAAATATTCGATATTTAGGTTTGAATTCAACTTAAATAATTCGAAAGAAAAACACCGCACGTTTATTTTGCGTTGCGCTTTGTAACCTGGCAAGCGTTATTTATGTCGTATAACCTCACACGATCAGTCACAGTCACAGGCAAGGTTAGGAACGTGACAGTGGAAGATCGTCACGCTACACATTCTTCTTAAAGATTATTCACGTTTACTATTTAACTCCTGGATGAATACGTTTACAGGTGTGACTTTGTCCTACTCAGCGCTATAAATGGTAAGGGAGTGTAAAACTAACGACACAATAAAATTTTCTTTACTTCCGGTCCGTTTTAGCATGTCAAAGCCGTTTGGAAGATTTGTTGCAATATTCACCGGAAGTTTGTCGATTGCTTTATTGCTCAACTTAAAAAGCTGAAACATTTTCAAAGAAAACGCAGTGAGCAGGTGATAGCTTGAAATATGTTTTCAAGTTTCTTTCTGGCATTTATCCTGTCATTAATTGGGCCAAGCTTAGCCCAAAAGAAAATGTGTCCAAAAATATTTTTCCAGAACATCGACGAGAATGTTTTGCCATGGGTCCAAGTGGAAGGAGTTTACGAGTTATTCTCGAACAACGATGGCTTTCCTGTCTATCTTAATCGTCCTTCGGGTCTCTTCTTCTACTACAGAGATCTTACATCGCAAGGAGAAAAGCTTCTCGCTTTTGGGCTCAAAGTCACAGAAACATTTGGTGTTGTTGGTCGTCTCAGCAACGACTTTGATCCGAAGACTTGGTTGTCGTCTGGCTTGCTAAATGAGAAAGATTTGTTCGGTGATGTCGTGAAAGAGTGGTCGTACTATTCACCACTCGATAAGACATTTAAAACTGTCTTAGGACCACCTTACATCAAAGCTATTTGTGTGGACGATGAATACTTTCGATGCAATTCAGGAAAAGTTTATTTGAATGACACCATCACCGGAAATCAAGCTGAAATTCTTAACGATCCTCGAACGGACTTTTTCGCCAAAGTTCCGAACGTTTATGAGTCGATCCGTTCCGTATTCAAGCACAGCCGACAGGAATGGTATTTATACTACCGGGATGGCTACTGGAGGGTTAGCACCAGTTATACTGGATCTGGGACCGATTTACTTCGTACGAAAGATCTAGCACATAGGCCAGAGTACGTGACAAACTATTGGGAAATTTGGACTACAAAGGGATGGACTGCTGGAAGTGGATTGAGAATGAAATGTCGAGGAATCGTCAATGGAGAAAACGAATGTTATGACAAGCCTTGTAATGGCCAGGGTACTTGCGTTTACACCGCTGATAATGAGACAGTATGTCTCTGTCAGGACTCCACGCACGGACCGAACTGTGAAAATAAAGACGCATGCTCCGACCCGGGAATTCCAGCTAACTCAATTGAGGTAGTTCACGCCGGAAATCGTCCGGGAGACATTTCCACTTCGTTTTGCGCGACAGGCTACCGATCTTCGCCCGTGGAGTTTTTCGTTTGCGAGCAGGATCATGGAAGGAAGAACTGGTTGCTTGAGTCAAAGGCCACTTGTCAAGTTCCACCGCCTATAACTTCTGGTCCGATACCGCCTCATACTTCAGTCCCCGCCCCAGGCCCTTTTCCATACCCCACGGGAAATCCAGAGAATATCCCAACCAGTAAAAAGCCTTTGGATCAGTCTGAAGCGTTCATGATATTTGTCATTGCTTTTTTCGCTTGTCACGTTCTTTGTCCAACTTTCATATGGTTAGGCATCATGCTAGTCAAAATCGTCCGTTTTTCTCAAAGGAGCCGACCAGGATCCCCAGAGCGTTTAGAAGCTGTTCAAAACGCAATGCAAAGTCGATATATGTTAATGATGCAGGTGTATTCCATTTTCATGAATTTCACTTTCTGGGTGTGGCTTTGCGCAGTTTGCGCATGTCTGGCAACAGGTGATGGCAAAGCGCGCTCCTTTACGTTTTATTGGGCTGCTGTCATGTGCGGAGTCTGCGCAGTGTTCGTTACCTTAGAGGCTTTTTTCTCGAGTGAAAGAGCAGCGTTACATAACATGTTCTCCTGGGAATACGTCAAGTCTCTTCAGCGCGAGCCTCCGTCAATTGAGATGGTGATTGACAGGTATGAATGGAAACACCAACGTATGGCTGTCTATCGGACAAATGTTTTAACAGGACGCCAAGAATACCAAGGATCAGAAGATCGCTGGAGTAAGGTCGGGAGGAAGACTGTTCGCCAGCCATTTGTTTACTCGTCTTGGTGTGATGAGTCAAATTTAGAGGTCTCTGAAAATGGACGACTTTTTAGGCTTCGTGTTCACATAGACATTACACTTGACAGAACGGCTGCAGAATCGTTTGAAGTTCAAAAGTCAGCCTTAATTGAGAAAACACGTCATTTGAATCATCATTTTGATTTCTCCCGTGTGGATAGCGTAGCCAATCACCATCCGTACGTTGTGTTGTACCATAAGAAGGAGTCCGTGCCCTTCTGGATGAACGAGCAGTTCTTCTGGTGTTTTACATTTCTTCAGTTGTCTTGGATTTACAGATGGCTCTTCGTCTCTCAAACAAGCTCTCTTCAATTTACGCTGAGAAAGAAGGTGTTTTGCCAACCTGTTTTCTCGGAACAGACCGCATTTAAACAGGTTTATCCTGCTCAAACTGTACCTGGCGCACATGATGACATCATATAGGACATTGAGGCGGCTAACAAGCCCTTGCTCAGCAATCAGCAAAACTCTACAAATTATCTTGCAGTTTAATTGCAATGGAATAATGATAGATACTAAAAGTGTATGGGTATCTTGACAGGATAAAAAAATTATAGGAAGAGAGGAACTCGCAACTGAATGTCGAAAATAATCCGCGATTTCATTAGTGTCACTTCACCTTTCAGCCCCAAGAGTGACGGGCATCTAATTTCCCCTTTCAGTATCACGTTTGATCAAATGTAATTTAAGAAACTCATGATTGTTAAACAAATTCACCTGGTCGTTAACTCGGGAAATGAAGAAAGAGAATATCGATACTAATGGTAGAGTGTAAAGAGTTAATTTTGCTTTGTGATTGACCTCACGAAGAAAAAAAATTCTCACGCTCTCAACCAATCAAAGGCGTAATTGAAACCAATAAGGACTTCGAGCCTTTCTTTTTCCCGCGCTTTATTCCGTTTGAGAGGTTTTTTCCTTTGGGTTCTCATAGGCTTACCTGAAGTGTATTCCGTCCCTCTGAATCCTTTGATTGGCCCATGATTTACTACCTGCGCCTTACTATTCCCATGTAATTGCAAAATTTCTCGTGCAGTTTAGCCTCAATTATAAAGATGACGGAGCTTTTAAAACGAGTTACGAATCCGAACATTACTCTTTCCCATATTTCGCGGTTTATCCACGAGTTAAAACGGCAATGGGTTATGCGAGGAAATAATATCAAGGCAAAATTATGGGGAAAAAGGGATTGAATGAAAAATCAAGATCGAAAGATTGATGGGTGGGCTAAGAATAGCTGCGTATGAGTGAGTTAGTGGAAGGAAGTTTCAAAAAATACAATAAGATCATTTCATGTCCACTTGAAATAATTTTTATATTCAAACATGACCCGTGAATGAAAAGCTGAATTAAATGTGATTCGTGAACCATATTGTTTTCTGTGATGAATTTCCGGCTATTTGAAAATGTGTACGTATTGTGCTCACACGGCTGTGGTTAGGTTTTGATTAGGGATTTGACTGTATATGGACTTCAAATGGATCAATTGAAATCATAAAACAGACCACGAGTGGTTCTTTTAAAAAATAGGGTAAGACATTACGTCCTATTTTGTCGCTTAAGTCTGATCAAGACCAGAAAAGTACCAAATTCGTGAATTTGGTTTTCTATTTTCATGTGAAACATGATCGTTTTGAATTTCGCGTGAACGTGAAATAATTTTGGATATTCTTCGTGATGCGTGAAAAGGCCAATTTTTCTTACGTGACTGAGTTTTACGAAGTGAGAAGGTAACTTCAATTGTTCGAATATTAAGTCTCTCTTTCATTTGATTTGGGTAACTGAATACCTTGAATTTATCAACGAATAAAGTTAATTCAACGTCGTGTGTTATATTTGTGTCAAAAATACTTGTCATTGAAACTATCAGACTTAGGATATGGAAACACGGAACGGATGAGAGTGAATTTTTAATTAAACATTTCTTCCGGCAGTCAACTTACGCAATAACTTACGCAATATTCTGATAGGTTGTTAACCTACCAAAATAGTACTGTCTACCTTGAGTGAAAATCATATTACTCTGTACAGGATCGCCGCTCAGAGCACTTTTTAAAACTGCAACCACTTAACAGAGTGTATGAAACGTTAAACGAGCAAAAATTCGCCGGCGACTCTGTACAGTTGACTGCAAGCAAGTCACGTTCGTGTATTTCGGTGACGTGCAAAAGAGGTAAGATCGAGTTATTCTCTTTTTTGGGCGCATGAAGTGATTTCTTCGTTTCAGTTAATAAAGGTAATTTAGCGGAACCCTTCGGAAACAAGCAGAAAAAATATCTAACTTTGTTACACCTTGTTTTACCTATGGATAAAGCAACACATTTGTCTTTCGATTAGACGTATGTTTGCGGATATAAGCGAGTACTTTACGAAGAATGTGACACTTTCGGCAAAAAAAAATCGCCGAATGTGCATTATGAAAAATTACCCGTATATAGATCCAAGTGATTCCAGAGTCCTAAATTATGGGCAACTTTAATCCTGTTATCCCAATTTTTCATGCATTGTACCATGTTTTGCCAAATTATCACTTGAAACAGGAAAAAATAATTTTATTTACAATTTTCAAGCGCAGGTTGTTGTTATTACAATGTTTAGCCGATAAAGAGTTCCTCATGAAACCACGAACGATCAATAAATAGAAAGTTTCACGATTGTATTGATCACGCAGACTATGAATAATCTCTCCTTTTCGGCGAATTCTGTCGCGCGAGTCGAACAAATCCAGCGAAACAAGAGCGTTATGGCTCCTAAAATGTTAGCGCGTCGCGCAAAAACTCTAGGAGTACGGCGCACAAAAAGTTTGTTTTTTCGCTGATTTTTTTTTTTTTAACTTGTGAGCGGATTTTGCCGAAAAGATGGGACAGCTCATCGTCTATGGATCTCGGGTGACTCAACGTTGTCGCTGTTTACCTGTGAAGAACTGAGATTATCTGGACAGCGATCAATATCATCCATCATGTCTCTTTAGTTAGCTACCTTTATTTAGTCGAGGGCACAGTTTAAACGTCGAACTGCGCACAGAATTAATCATTGAGAGAATTAGATTTATGTTAAGTTTAACATTTGAATTAGTTGAGTTCGTCCAACTGAATTTGGATCGACCCACACGTTCTGTCTGTCTGCCTAGATCGGATGGAACGTGTGAAGACAAACGTCCACCTTTTGATAGATGCTTTATCAGTGGTTGAACTTTACCCGTTTGAGTCGTACAAAATTGCAATTTAGGTTGTCTCATGTGAAGTTCAACGTTTCAACTGGGCCTCAGAACGTAAGTCAGAGTGAGGAAGGTGAAAACTAATTAGTTCAATAGACGGACACAAATTTGCCTCCTCAGACCATGAATTCCACAATCAATTTTGACGAATACCCCAGTGTGATGCCACTGGTCATTAGCTTGGCTGTCTGTTTGCAAATATTGGTGCCGTGTTTGCTCGGCTGCTATACTGGCTACGTCAGTTTAATCAGATCGGGAAGCGATTTCGAAAGGCCGCTGGACTACTACGAACAGCTCAGAAAGAAAGAGAGGCAACAGTTTGAGGAGGATCAGGAGAAACGACTACAGAAAGCTGCCTCTGCAAAAAATCAAGAGGACCTCGATCAAGCCGTCCAAGAATATCAACAAGCCGTCCTAGATTATGAGGAGAAAATCGTAGGGGAAGAAAAAAAATCCGAAGGAACTCGTCACATTTGTCCGTGCGCAGGGCTTGTTTCTATGTTCATGTCTTTCTCTTTCTATCTGTGGCTTTTTTTCCTTGTTGGTTGTGAGATGACTCATTGCACCACCTACGGTTCAGTGTTTTACGTCATGAAAATCTTTGCCTCGGTGATGGTTGGCGTCTGTGCCGTGATCGTCCTGCTAGAGAGCTTCTATTCCGAAGAGCTGCATTACCTTAAAAACATCGTAGAAGATGACACAGCTTTGGAGTATATCCAACGCCTGCGAGAAGTCCCCCCGAGGATAAACATTGCTGTGGAGTGTTATCATCGCGAAGAGCGAAATAGAACGGTCCACCGCAGGGACCTTAAACGAAACCGAGTAGCTCATACAGAGACCTATACTGTGAAAGTAGTGACACAACTGGCATGTGAAGAGTTCATAATCGGGTCATGGGTGGACGTTTCCAAGAGAGACAGGCCACCCCTGAAGGGCGTGAATCTGGTTCGCATTAAGTGTTACCCAGAAATCCTATTCGGTGACCAAGAAACAGAAGAGGTTTGTGAGAGAAAGCTGAAAGAAATGTCAGAGAAGATGGAAGGATTGGACGAGTATACCTCTCGCTGGAAATATATCGACTTGGCATGTCTCGATTTGACCTGGGGAAAGCGCATCTCTGCCTACACCGATATGAATGTGAAGCCATTTTGGATGAGTCCCGTATTTTACTGGATCGCCACACTGCTGCAAATGAACTGGCCTTACCGCTTGCTGTTTAGAGCCAGAACAGCGGAGATAAACCTGTTTATCATTAAAAAGATGTACTGGAATACAACACGACCAAGAGAGGTGGAATTAATGGAACCCATGGACGACCTTTTAAAAAAGAAATCACTCGAAGTAAACTCAAAAAGTTCAGACGTTGCCACAACGTCTGAGATAAAAGATAATCCATCAACAGGCAACCCAACCGACAGTCGAACTGGTGCTTCCGAACAAAGCAGTACAACGTCATACTCTGACCCAATTTCACGTGCAGAACCGCATCCAAATGTGCCTTTGTCGTCTTACAAGGACACACCCTGTGATTACAAACCGCTTCTGGCAAAAAACGTGCGACTTCCTGTAATAGCAGATGAGGGGTTTTTATTTCAATTCGAAAGCTATCTTTTAAAGGAAATTCCAACTAATGAGATGAGGCAGGGGGAAGAGGACGGGCCTCCCTCATCTTTCGTATGTAGCATGCCGAAATGATGGAAGGATTGGACACGAATAGACCAGGTCTGCATGGTCTGTATGGTGATATAAATGTCTATCAAAGAAAGTTTAAAAGATCCCTGAGTGGTAAAGCCGCAGGGGAGCTTTGTTTCATATCTTGTTCTAAAACTTTGAACACTGATGAAATACGAATCTTGAAAAGTAATGTTTTTTAAGGGCGAAATTGGTCGATCGGGATATGTCCACCAGTGGAAATTACGTTATTCCAAACACCTGTTAAATAATGACACGAAAAAATAATAACTTCATTTTTTTTATCTTGATTATAAGCTCGAAAGATCTTACTATCTAAGTGTTCATCTTCCAGTCGTTTTTCAAAACTTAACAAAAAGACAGGCTAGTGTTGTTGTTTTATTTTGTTTGCAACTGCACACAAGCTTTTCAAGTTACTCATTATCAATTACGGAATGGATAGCGAATAGCGTAGCCAATTAGATTGTAGCATTTTTAGTAAATTCTAAAGCTATGTATCCAAACAAGACACTGCAAAGGATTGTTAAATATTTTATTTTAGGAGCAAGAGTTATTTCCGTCTAAGGTAACTGACCTTGCTTTTTGGGGATCACATAATTCTCAGAGGGAACAAAGGGGGTCAGTCGTCATTAACAGAGCCTTTCATAAAGGGAGCATTATAGAAAATTGACTCCCATTAACAGCCAAGAAAGGTGGGAAGGGGGGGGTGGACAGAAACGAAAATCCTCCTCCCTCCTCGAGGCGATAAGGACGGGAGAAGTTTGCCGAAGGTCGACTTATAAACGCCTATTTTTTGTATTTTTGAAGCTAGAAACAGTGGATTGTCTGAGTATGTTTTCATATCTGAGCCAAATTTGAGTTAATGTTTTTCTTCTTCTACTCACTATCTTCGCCAGATCGACTTCACAGGCCACGAAATCAACTTGTAAACGGCCAGGGTAACACAGTTCATAACCAATATGGCTGAGATCGTATAACCAGTTTGCAACTGAAAACACGCCCTTTTTGGTTTTTTGTGAAAGTATTCCTGTGATTTTATAACAACCCAAAGAATTATTTTCGTTACCGTTAAAAATAAGTGGGAAAAATTGTGTTCCAGAGAAATTCATACAGCTTCTCTTAGGCTTTTCGTAATTCAATCAGCCACCTTCTTTTTTATTTCTTTGTTTCCAGGGAAACTGTGGACAGATGACTTTAATTTGTAAAATAAACACAAATAGTGTGTGAAAATTTTGATCTTGCATTTCCTGTCATTTTCCTGTTTAGTCGTGCAATTTTCCGTCGACATAAAAACCTGAACTGCTTAGCCCAAACTTGTCAAAAGTCCTTTTCTCGTACTATATGATTCAAGTATACAGCGAGGCTTACTTGAGGTTGTCAGGGCGAAGCGGGAGAAGTTTGGGCCGCGCGAGGAGTGCGGAGCCTTATCTTTCTCAGGAAGTTATACAGATATAGGCAGATCCTTTTTTCCTTGCACCAATACTATTTGCATGACAACGTCTGTGTTACTTTATGTGACTGGCAGGTCTATTTTCAAAATTAACAAACTCTCAATGTCTTACTTTAAATTCTGACCTCGAAGAGAATTGTCATTCTTTTGCTTATAATCCTCAAAAGGACTCTGTCAGACTTTTAAAAACCTCATGGCTCTCTCAACGGGATAGAAAAAAATTAATTTAATAGCACATTTATTAACCTAGATGAACCACTCTTGAAGTACCAATTTACCAGGTAGACAACTTTATTTCAGAGCGCAGGAACAAATCAACGTTGATATATACATGTACATTTATCAAAACATGATCAGTCATCCCCATACAACTTTGTGAAGCGTTTTCAAAATAAATTATATTGAAATTCACTTTTTTAGGCTTCCTTGCAGGTTTGGAAATCAAAATAAACATAGGTTACTTCCAAATACCAGGAAATATCCTAGTAGCCAAGTTAACTCCCATTAATATGGTTGTTATTACAGTAAAAATTGACTCCGACAGAGAGAAGGACTGATGCAACCTTAAAAAGTATAGGCAGCGGTAAAGATTTTAAGACAAAAGCTCTTTGGAATGTTAAAATTATATAGAAATTACTGATTTTTTTATTTCAAAATGTGACATAAGTTACAATAAAATCCTAGAAACTGAAATCTATTCTACTGTTTGTCCTTCTTTGGAGGTGGTCTGTAACAAAAGAAATGCAATGTCCATCAATAAAATTTCCTTCTATGACCACTACTTCTTTTCCTTGCTAATGTAAGAGTCAAATGTTTATATCAACATTCCTCTCTCCCCTGCCAAGGAATTTGATCCGTTATACATTGACAGGAAGTGGAGGAAACATCAAAATCAGAAAGGTTCTAAAATCTTGCTTAAGTCAATAGAATATATATAGTTTCTCTTTGAAGGAAATGTCTAATTGAGCACTGCTGTGTGATACAAGTATTTTCTGAGAAGTATTCCCTTATATTGGCTTATATGTAAGAAACAGGATCTAAAATGTTTTTTTTGCAAATAGGGTATAGTTTATAATGAAACTAATCATGGCTTTGGAGAAGGGGTTTTACTTTCCAAGTATAATTTCAATTTCAATGCCCTGAAAATAATTTCCCAAATGAGCCAACTTCTTACCCCTACTAATGAAAAATGATTAATAGGAAATGCTTGAAAATACCAATTCCCGGCAAGCTTTGGGTTTTGTATGTTTTAGTACAGGAGATTGTATATGCTTTACCTGTAAATTCCAACAACTACAGCATGATCTCTCTCGTACGGTTCCAGTGTCAACTGTTCCTGGGGTTTCATTTTCTCTGCTTGCATCTTCTTCACTTCTCCAGCAAATACTGCAGCAGGTTCTGCTGTTGAATCGATGCAGTTTGCCTGGTAGTGACACAATGAAACAAGATCTGTCATTTATGTCTTATTATGACACAATTATATGGTCCATCACTACATAACCTGAATACTGTACTGATAATGCAATGCTTACATGTGGTATACCATGAATTACAAAATAACTGACGTAATATGAATGCCCTGATTGGTCCAAAACTGATTGTTTTTTGCACTGGTAACCCAATAGAAAATTAAGATACTTTTTTTAGTTTTAAAACTATTTGATTAAAGCAATTAACTGTACTTTAAATTGCCTCACCCACTTATTAACCCAGTTAGGATGTTGGGAGACTGCCAGGAAAAATTGTGAATCACTCACTTCCAACTAATGATTTTCCAACTCTTTTTGTGTTCTACCAACATCCTGCATGGGTTGTTACACAAGTAAGTGGATAAAAAGTGGGGTCTATTGCCTTAACCCTTTAACTCCTAGGTCAAATTTGTAATTCTCTATACTGTCAACCATACAATTCTTACAATGTTAGTTCAGAGAATTTAGTCTTGGATCAACTTATTATCCCCACATTGATATTTTCTTTATTCTCATCACTCATCTGGTTGATATTGTATAAATATTTTAAGGAGAAATTCTGTCTTAGTCACTCATAGGAGTTGTGGAGTTCAAAAACCATAGGCCACTTGTATTTTCTTAATATACTCAATAGGTGTGTGTATATCAAGAAAAGATATACAGGACTGACAAATGGGATATTCCTTGGTATAAGATAAGAGTTTTACATAAACTACAACAAAGCTTAATAGTTGGCCTAAAAATGTAGAGATTATTATGAGTGGTTTTGATCTGGCTCCATAATGTGAATGATCTTGATGATGTTTTAACAACTTCGTCAAAGGGTGTATAAATAAATTCATGACACCAAATAAAAAGGATGATTAGCAAATAAAGTAACCAAAACTAAATGCTGAAAAAAACTGAAAATATAGCTGCTAACTAATAAGACAAAAGCACAGATTGGAAAAACTCAGAGTAACATAGCTTTCTTAAATTCTGATAGGCCGTATTTCCTCGGAAAAGGTGTAAAAATGAACATCTTATTCCATTTTCTGCATACCTTTATAGAAATGACAAAATGTCCTCCATTTTTCAGGAAGTTATGAGCATTAATAGCAACAATACGGGCTTGGTCTGGTTGAGCCACATCAGCAAAAATAGTATCTACCATTCCTAGAAAATAAAAATTTTACCAAATTTCTAATTTAAAAAAAAAAGAAATATGCATGGAACTCAAATAGCTTAAGTTTAACATTTAATTCATGTCTAGTAAAGTTTGTAGAACACTGTCCAGCTTTGCTTGTGTAATTCATGTCATCTACATGCAACACTGGCTGGGAAATTGGCTTCACTGGTTACCATATTAAACAAACAGATATAGTTGCCTTATGTTCTTGCCAATTCTAGTCCATTGAAAAAATATTGGGAAGAAATGGCACCAGAACAATTGCTTAATATTACACTGATGTGAGAACAGTGAAAATTACCAGGCACTTAATTTCTCAGATTTAGGTAAGAAACTACAATGTCAAGTAACTGAAGAAAGAAAACCCACCAACAAGCATTCTGTATTTATGTGGATGTCTGGCATCTTCTATAATTGGAATGACATTTGTTCTTTTTTTCGCTACATTTATGAGGTCACGGCCAGATCTGTGAGAAAATTCAACTGCATACACAAGACCATCCTGAAAAGCAACAAATGATGGATAAACATTGAGGGGATCTGAAATAGTAACACTCATTCATAGTTTTTATATTTTCTTCATGGGGGATGATCAAGTTTACAAAATTCTTGAACAAATTTGTCAAAACAACGTAAGAAGCTATACTTTCCCTGACAGAATCAAAAATTATTTGACTGTAGATAAATTTTCTATCTTCCAGTATTTTCTTGACGCTAGTCTGAGATATTTGCAAAGAGACCTTTCTGATAGTTTTGGAGATTTTTGTTTCCCTTTCACAGTTCTCCCAGTTTATACTGGGAATTATCACACTTTAGTATTGAGTCATTACCTAATTTCTAAAAAGTCAAAATCTTTTCTTTCATCCTTTAGCCCCTAAGAGTGACTAGAATCTAATTTCTCCTTACATTATCACCCCCGAGTCACAAATTACTATCACGAGAATAAACGAAATGATTAACAACTAAACAAACTTTTGATTGTTTGACAAATTCTCCTTGTCAGCACCCTTGGAAATGTATAGAGATCGGTGTGGAGAATATGCATACTGATGTTAGGGTGTAAAAGGTCATTACTTACTGGACCAACAATATCAGAAACATGAGACACAGTTGTTCCTGACGCAGCTCCAAGGTATAACACCTTAGATCCAGGTGCCATATGTATCTTGTCGATTCCACCAAGAATAGCTGCTGCAAGCTTGGAGCGAAATGGGTTCCACACCCTGTATTCAACTTTTTCAGCACCAGCACCAACATCCTATACAGTAACAAAAGGTCCTTTAAAATACCCTTTTCTAATCCCACACATTTCCTACACATCTGTATATTTGGTTTTCAATCCTGACCACAAACCCTGCAGGTACAATGTAGCTTATTAAGGTTACCTTAATGTCTGTTTAACACTTGGAAATTTGAAAAAGAAATAGCCATGTAATATATTAAAGTTCATCATCCTCCCACACTCCTTTAAATAATGATGATGGCAGCTTACTTCCTGACGCCTATTTACACCTCGTCAGAAAAAAAGGCAGCTAATTAGTGATTGTATAAAAAGGACCTCTTGTTGCAGCGTTTAGATCACTCCTGATGAAGGCACTAGACAGGAGTGTTGAAACGTTGGGTCTATGAATTGTAACTTCTTTGGTTACATTCATTAAATCTGTAAACCAGAGTAGCATCAAACCATGTCAAATAGCCATGTTTTCAACATTCCCAGTGTACTAAACAAATAAAACACAAAATCTAAAGACACAATGAATTGATTGATTCAAGAGTTTGCCAACTTCAGATAATTAACTTTGATTTTTCACAATCCAAATTTCAGATCAATGTCTTCTCAATCCATCTGGGTGTCAGAAGGTTTAAAATGATTACTCAACTTTTATTTAATTCAAAGATAATTCTCTGAGATGGTTATGATGATTCTCCTTAACTTTTGTCAATGAAACCAACATGTTCATTACTGAATGACAAGGAGAGTAAAAAAAAAAAAAAGTGTATCTTACTGGTGCATCCACCGATATTTTTTTCTCTCCATATACTGTTTCTCCAGGGACTATGTTCTTTGTGACCAGTGCATCTTCCTTTCCGCGAGCAATAAATACTCCTATTGTTATGAAAAGAAAAATCAACCATAAAGAATGACTAAAATATTACTTTTAGTCTTGTGCTGGCCTTGGAGCACCCAGAGATTGGTTGATGAGCAGTATATCAACACCCATATGCTTTAACATATTTCTGTTGCATTGCCTTACCTTCATTTGCGCATGTCAGCATTTCCTGACATGCGCCATGGTTTCCTTGTATTCATCAACAACGCCATATGTTTTGAGCCTAGAAAGGCCCACGTTCCATTATCATTTGTATTTTTTTCTCCCTTTTTTTTTGGTTATTTACTGTATGCCTATGTTTCTAGTTTTGAAAGTTGAATGAAGATACTCCTTCAAGTCACATGGGTCTGTCATACCATGTTTTGCATTCAAATTACCCACCCACATCAGTATAAGCAGGATGGTGAAATTAACTCTCACACTTTCAAGATCTCAGTAGTAATTCTCCATACTGTAAGCCATTCAATTCTTTTAAGATGTCAGTTCTGAGAATTTTGTATTGAGTCAGTTAATAATCCTCTAATTGATGTTTAGTCTGATTGGTATTGTAAAAAAAAATTCTGCCTTAGTCACTCATGGTATTTAATGGGTAGAGAGAGTTATTACACCCTGTTACTGAAGCCTGCATTCAATTCTTTCTAAGCTTGAACTTTCCATAACTAACAGCAACTTTAGGTTACAAAAACTGTCACTGTTGAGCAGGATAGTTAAATTAGGAGAGTTTTTACTTGTCATCATTTTAACTACACTTGGATGTTAAATATCACAACATTTCAACCTTTCAAAATTACCTTCATGTCTATGTGGCTCAATTGTTACTTTGGCTCCACCTTTAAACCCTCCACGACCACCTCCTTTCAACAACAACAGCAACATCAATAATGAGAAACTCTTGATTTTCAACCCTTTAATTCCCAGATGTGATTAACATGTAACTTCTGCTTAAAATATCCATATATTATCCAGCAAACAGGTAATGAGAATACTCAAAATTATCAGGTAGAAGTTTTTAATCCTGATTTAACACTAGATTCTTGTGATTAGTTTGCAAGGAAATGTGTAGCAGCTCAAGGAGAGAATTCACAATTACATCTGGGAGTTCAAGGGCTAAACAAATTCTCCTTGTCAGTGCCTTGGGGAATGTATTAAGACTAGTATGGAGACTAGACTCACTTATGGTAAGTTGCAAAGGGTTAAGGGCACTAGGGAACTACCAAGGAAACCTGTGATAAAGCTACCACCCCTATCCAGGAGGGGTAGGCATATAGTACCCTTCCTAGCCATGCACTGCAAAAATAAGGGATAAGTATCTACACTTATGGGGCACAGGAGGGGTAGGCCTACAGTTCTCCTCCTGGCTATGCACTGCAAAAATAAGTATAAGCACCCACACTTATGGGCCACAGTAGGGGTCGGCATACAGTTCTCCTCCTGGCTATGCACTGCAAAATTCAGGGGTAAGTACCCACACTTATGGGCCACAGGAGAGGTAGGCATACAGTTCTTCTCCTGGTTATGCACTGCAGAAATCAGGTATAAGCACCCACACTTATGAGCCACAGGAGGGGTAGGTATACAGTTCCCCTCCTGGCCATGCACAGCAAAAATCCAGGATAAGTACCTACACTTGTGGGCCACAAGAGGGGTAGGCATTCAGTTCCCTTCCTAGCCATGCATTACAAAAATCAGAGATAAGTACCCAAACTTAAGGGCCATTTGGCCACTTGATCTGTGACCTATTTTAATGGTCCTTTGGAGTTTGTACTTTACACAAACTTTTCTTTTACTTAATCTAAAATGTGTTCACAATTACGTGCTGGTTGTGTCAATGATAATATAAACAATGACATCAAACCTCTGCCTCCGCCTCTGCCTCCTCCACGACCACCAAAGCCTCCACCTCTTCCACCTCTGCCACCTCCTCCACCTCTTCCAAATCCTCCACCTCTACCACCACCCCCACGGAAACCACCTATGAATATAACAACAATTCTTAGTAGCTGCAGAATACCATTCCATTGCACTGAAGAAAACTAATGTTACAAACATAGAATCTGGTGAGATAAAAATTGGAAAGGGTCAAAGCTCACTTCAAATATCTCTATTTGTCACTGCCTGAACAGAGGGCACTCTGATCTTCCCACAAACTGTGTTTTTGTATCTTTTTATTACCAAGATCTAGGAATCAATTCTATGGACTGTATTTTAAATATTTCCTGTGATTATAGCCCTGAGAATTTGGTATTGAAATCAAACAATATCCTCTTGTTAACAATCTTTTCTTTTCTTTTCATCACGTCGACAATGTATTGATATTGTTCAGTGGAATAACTCATTGGTATCTTCTAGAGGAGAAAGGGTTAACCAGCAGGACCATGGTCTGTTCCGTGATTGAGGTATGATTTGAGTCAGCACTGTATTCTTGGGTAGACAACCTTATGCTTATAGTGCTTGGGATTCTCTCTCTACCCAAGAGTGTAAAAGAGTACTAATGAACTCAAGGCTCTGGCTGCCTGAAAAATTTGTTGAATGAAAAAGCAGCTGTCTCCATGTTGGATTTTTTGTTGAGATCTCTTGGTAAGGCACAATGGGCTTTTCTGAAGTTCACCATCACTGAGCAGCCTTGCTTTAAATTTCAGCAGGTGACCTGAGTTCTTTGCAACCCAGCCGAATGCTATAAAAACTTGACCAATTGTTCAGGTTGTGAGAATTGTGGTAACTCATGATGGACTGCAGCTGTAGCACCTCATCCAAAGAGGGTATTAGTAGTTCTAGTGTTTTCATGCAACAGTCACATGAATAAGATCTTGCTGTCTCTGGTAATGTGTTGCTGTGTGCTCATATTAAATTACCAACTGGATATATTAAAATACAAAGTCCTGTTTGGCTCGAAACACACGGATGAGTGATTAGACTTTTGATAGCTTTCCAACAACAAAATTTTCATACAAGATTATGTACGACTTTGTGAAGGATGACATTAGAAGTACACTGGAGCACGTTTTAGCATTGTCCTTGAGATCAACATTTATATCTATCGAAATTTTGGGCTCACATGCAAGACCTTCATCCCTGATCAAAATGAAAATTTACTTTGCAGCACAGATTTGAAAAAGAATCCGTTAAAACTATAATCAGACACGAGGTAAACGCAAAACCTTGCAGTATAACAGCACGATTCGATTCAGCTGGGAATTCAGTTAGTGTATGATGTTTACAAACCTCGTCCGCCGCCACCTCTTCCACCTCCTCCGCGGCCACCACGCGGACTAAAACCTGAAATGCGTAATTCTAATCAGTAGATGATAAAATTCTGCTTGATGAGCAAGAAATGATAAATTACTTACCTGGTCTACCCATTGGAAAAGTTTCAGGAACACAACTAACGCACGTGGTATGATATTACCATAATGCGCATGACCACGTAAGTCATGCTGCTCGTATTGCATGTTGGGTAGAGCTCCTCGCCGTAAAAATCCAAAATGGCGCAGAAGTTGGTAAACTTTGGACAGAAAATTGCGACGGCAACGCCTCGTTTGGTCACTAGAATATCATTTCTAGCCCTTGGTAAGAAATCAAAGTAATTTTTTGCTATTTTAATCATTCTTTTCTTCTTCTAGATCTCTTTTTTCTACCTTATTTGTTTATGTAATCTTGTAACGAAAAGACCAGCTATCGGTGGGCTGATATTCGACTTACTGTTAAAACTTTGTGGTGAATACTATTGCAAGAAATCTGTTGTAATAGTTTTCACCGTTAAGTAAATTGAATGCAATGTAACATAAGCGATGGTTAGAGGAGCAAATTGGTGAAAGTGATCCAAAACGTAAGAGATCAAATCGAAGGCTGAAGGTCTAGCTTCGTAGTGTGGCTGTATTTCTCACCTATTTAAGAAGTTGTTTTAATTGTTTGTGTAAATCTAATTCCTACTTTGAGATATTTATTGCAATTTATCGCTCTCGAAAGCAGTCTTAGTGTTTTCGTTTTGCAAGATAAATGTGATTTAGCCTGTTCGCTTAACCAATACTCATTTTGATGACAATATATATTCGGCCACTAAAAACGTTTTGGAAGGGAAATGTTTAGATTGTGAAGATACGAGTTTTGTAATCTTTTAAAAAGTTATAATCTGGCGAAGTATTTTCTGAAGAAAGGATCTTCTGAAAAATTACAATCTGGCAAAGTATTTTCTGAAGCAAGGATCTTTTGAAAAATTACAATCTGGCAAAGTATTTTCTGAAGTAAGGATCTTTTGAAAAATTGCAATCTGGCAAAGTATTATATGAAGCAAGAAAAGTAGCAGGAATATGTGAAAATGTTGAACTCAGCTAATTTTGTGAGTAGAAGGAAAACTAACTCAAAATTGGTTTTTGCCATAGAACATAAGGTTCCCTTTCTACAAAATTTGTTACTCTTTCCCTCTCATTCTTGATTTAGCTGTCCCAGTGCCACTGTGTTGGAATATTACATGGTAACGGCCAATAGTTACAACAAGAAATTTTAGTTTTAAAAACTATTTTTTTTTAGATATAGGTGTTTTAATTGGCTTAGTGTTTTTTGCAAAACATTTTCCTAAGGGAATGAGGAAAGAATAGTAATAAGATTTTACATTTGTAATAAGTGTGTGACACCTTACTGTTTACATTCATTGTTGACATTGCATCTCACAGTCTTGTTTGATTTTTTTGAATGTTGTATGAACTGTACTGTAATTGTACTGTCTGTTTCTATATTTCTGACCTCAGTTTGTTGAAAAATGTCTATGTAAAAACAGCTGGAAGTGGTCTGTTTTTTTTATGGTAATAAACAAGTGGCTGATGAAGGCTGAGGTGTGATCAGAAGCTAGTTTTGTTTAATTATTTTAGACCTTGCAAAAATTACTGTTTATTTAGATAACAGATTGTCTTTTACACCCAGATGCTGCTAAGAAAGCACAGCCCCCTGTTATGACTTTCTTGAATAATGCCAAAGTGGAGATGCTTCCTCCAAAGCCATCAGACTGGCCAGCCATCAGGAAAAGCTTTCTTGGTCTGAAAGAGTCTGCCATGAAGGGCAAGTTCCTTGATGTTACAGTTAAGGAGGCTGCTGCAAATACTTTGGTTGCTGTGGAGATTGCCTTCTGGTTTTATGTTGGTGAAGTCATAGGAAGACGAAGCCTGATTGGTTATGATGTGTGATAGACTGTCAAGTTGTGTCTTTGTTTCTGACTTAAGTGTGTTGAAAAGCTATTTTTTGTTCTTTGTGTAAAATCAGTAATTATTGACCTGGGTTTTTACAGTAATTAATAAAGGATTAATTTCCAACTTGTTGTGAGAAGTTTTCATTACTTTTTTTGTTCTCTAAATTGAATTTACTTGAGAATTTACTTCTCTATTGCTTAAGAACCATCAGGTTTGCTAAAAAAAAAAGTCAAATTGAGTAGTCAACAGTTGGTTATTTTTCTATCAACTGCAAGAGTTAATGTGTATTTTGACAACAACCACCACATTTACCTGTAATTCCTCTGTTTTTGTGCAGTATGTACCAAAAAGAGAATTCTTTTGTTAAGTCAGAAGTGTTTTGCTGTTAGAAGTTTCGGAGTTCAGATTTGAAAAGATAGAAGAGAAAAGAAATTTTTAAACACGTGGGACTGAAAGAAACGAGGATTTGAGCCCTTGGGAGTTTTAATTTCATGGTCAGGTACTTGACTCATTAAGCTAAAGAGAATCTGATCTCTTTGTGAGTTAAACTCAGAGCCCTCTTTAATGGCTTCCGTTTTGTGTTTTGGGCATTTTGGGCTATGGTTTGTTTATACTGAAACGAAGATATGCATAAAAGCCCTTCTCTCTCTTTTTCAACTTAAGTGCAACTTTATTTCAGGTGTTTTTTTTGTAAAATTATAGGTATTTTTGTCATCACTCTTAATTCAAAGTGGCTGCGTTCAAGTACCTAAGTATTCAAAAGCTCTTACAGATGCCTAAATTGTATGTTAAATGTTATCTTGGATTGCTTTGGTTCTATTTCGCTGCACCCTGGAAATGATCGAGAAGGTTCGCGCCGCCCTATCAACCAATCACATGCAAAAATAAATACCAACCACGCCTTTGCCACGTGCTTTTTCCTGGGCTTTGGATGCTTGGTTTGTACATGTCTACTTTGAGTTTTCATAGGCTCGTGGTGATAGTTTGTTCGGTTTTTTTTTCGAAGTCCACTCTAAATTTCACAAAGGATGGAGCTAATATTTTGGCCTATTAAATCCTTTTAAAAAACGCAAGTTTTCTATTTCTTCTTCGCGAATGTCGAAATTGATCCGACAAGAACATTTCATATTATTTAAATAAGACGGACTCCGGATTTTTTAGACGGCAGATCTCTTCTAATTGCTTAGAAACGTTTATCTTTCTTTTAAAGCATTGTTTCATCTGTGTTTCTCGAGGATGTTCGTGACCCCGGCCTCTGAGCCATCTGTGAAACAAAGCAGATGTATCCAAGTCAGTTAACATCATAATATCACATCGTCAGCATCAAGCGAAAGGAATGAATTTCTATCATGATATCCTTATACCTCGTGTGAAAGTTTTCTTTCTCCCCCGTCACGTGGTCCATGCAAACTAGACACCGATGGTCTCTGAGGTTTGACGTACACCGGATTTGAAAACAAGCTTTCCAGCTGAAATGCAGGAGTATATGCAAAGAGAAAAGGAATAAGTAGATATAAAACGAAATGATGAAAGTTTAGTAGAGATGATAAGACTTAACGGTCTCAGTAAATGGTAACATTACCGGATCAACGTCTTTATCTGAGTAACTACGCACCCACCTTTCCCATAACCCAACAACAGTCAAATTTACGGTTGATGTTGGGTAAGGGGAGGGGTAGGTGTGCAGTTGCTCGGATTTTGACATTGATCCCTGTAAACTTTACCTCGTTTAAAGAAGCGCCTTGATGCGTTCCGCGTGATGTTCGTCGGGGTTTTCTTTCTCCCGATCCTCCAGTCGAGGCAGAGGATTGGACACTAAGCTTTCGAGTGTCTGTACTGCTGTGCACATGACCAGCGGGCTGCTTATCGCTCGGTTTCGCTGGATCATTAACTGGAGGAAACATCGGCTCACTGTGGGATTTCTCCACCTTAGTATGAACCTGAATAATTGATACAGGAACGCAGCACTTTACCACATAGAAGAGCAAGCGAGATGACGTTAGTTGCATGAAGGCTCCACCAAGGGATCGATCACTATGTATCACGGGGGGGTCGGTGTAACCTGATTCTCTCATGAGGCTCTCTGTACTATTCTTATGACCCACCATAATTGGCAGTCAATATTTTATCTTCTCTTTTGGTGTCGACTGACCCCCCTCCTTTTCCCCTGGAAACTATGTGATCCACCTCAAACGCCCCTCCCCCGGGATAGACATTGACTGGCGATGTATGTGAAGCAAGGAATATTATTTGAGGTTTCTTTGTATGACTCGTTGCTACTCACCTTTAAATGTTCAGTCTGTGGATGTTGGAAGGTTCCACTGTCCGCAACTGGTGTCGTGTAGCTCGCTAGACCGGCTATTGTCGCCGATTTACTTATTCCCTCCACCTCGTTCTTGCTGCTTTTTTTCGGCGTCAGTTCGGGTGGTAGACTCTGTCTTTTCGTCTGTTTCACATTCACTTCAGTGATATGCGGCTCTGGTGTTCCTGGTAGACTTGGATAAGCATCGTGGTCAGGTTTTTGTGGCCTCTCAGAGGTTTCCTTTTTCACTTCTGGTTCGGATTCCACCTTTGATGCTACTGTAACCTCTAGTGGCCGAGGATCGCTTTTTGGTTCGGAGGACTGGGATCGCGAAGAACCTTCTTCCTATACGAGTGTAAAAAGTATTTCTTAGTTTAAAACCCTTTCGCAGATTAAGGATGATAGAACATGTAGAAGCCCATCGGGACCTGCCGTAAAGAAAATTTTAAATTTCAACCCCATTACCTCAAACACCTCTTAGAAATTGTAAACTAACAATTAAAAAAAAATGTAATTTTGAAGATGTCCAGTTTCAAATGCGAGACTGACCTGAGGTGACCTTGTCTGGGCCCTCACTGATATCAAAGGAACGTGTTCTATCGCCGGGCTCTTGCTGCTGATCTTTCTACGAGACCCCTGTAACTTAAGAAGGGTATTTATTTTGTTATTTTTCATCCACTTAATTTTTTTAAAAATAAAAATTCGAGATATCTGATACTACCCACGAAAGTATCACCTCACCAAGTAGCTTTCTCTCGCTATGGTGGGTAAATTGGGAAGCTTAAAACCTCGGATTTAATTTTGGCCAAGAATAATTTTTCGTTTTAGCAAATATTCATGACCATTGAAAGCAATGTATCCTTTTATTTATCTTCAAACAATAACCTACAGATTCTTCCACGTCAAAAAACGTTCGTTGTTAAGAATGACCAACATGCCTACCTGTGGGTCTTGCACATGCGCGGGAGGATTGCCTCGTTTACTGCGCTCCTTGTCCGTCAAACAGCCATCTTCATGACTACAACGGTGAACCCCAGACTGGTAATAACCTTTTATCTGCGCAGGAATTAATTAGTAGCTTATTAGACTTCTCGAGAAAAAAATGGGGCACATTGGTGTTATTAGCAGTTACTCAAATGCTTTTGGTTCTATACCAACACAGAAGGATCTTGAAAAAAAATACGAATAATATATGAGCAGTATTTACTTACATCAATGTTTAAAACGCAGTGGAAGAAAAACAAAAATATTCCCTGGAATAAAAGAAACTCGATGTTAAGGGTCATATGCAATAAGGTGATCACTCAAGATTCCTTCCCAGCATGGGCGGCCAACATTTTAGGGTAAGGAAAAGCTTTCGGCTAAGGGGTGGCCCCCCTGATTTGTATGCCTTAGGTTTTTAATACAAACAAATGGCGCGGCAAACGATGGCCACCCTCTTCCGTTAAGGGCACACGACTTGAACTGCAGGCTAACGAACAGGTGCACATCTACCCTACAGTGCGTGAAATTAATTCTTTTCTTCTGATAGCCACTTAGCTCCTAAATTCTTCAAAGTGGTAGCCAATTCAAAAAAAGTCGGTCGCCATTTTCAAAGACAAACAAAACCTTTTTTTTTTACGCTGTCATCGTTCTAGGAATTAAGTTAGGGATCTTTAATGTGCTCCAAAGTGGACACTAGGATCCAAGATGGCGTCTAGTTATCCCCCAGAACAGAACAACTTCAACGGATAATGTTGTACATTAGTCATTGGCTTGGTAGTAAGAACAATCTTAGTCTTTCGTCGGAAATCAAGCCCCACTCAGTTCGATTGCGCGTTTAATAAGTGCGATCCTGATTGCGCGCATAGATTTTGCCCTATCAACTGAAAATTTGTTTATGCGGTTGATTTGCAAAGAAAGCCTCCCTCGTTATTTAAGATCAATTATTTTGCAAGCGCCATATGTGTAAGAAGAACAAGAGAGGTGGTAAATTTTGAGCTCCCTTGTTGACTTGAGAAAGACGTTACTTGTTTTGTTACGAGTGCAGGGCGAAGAAAATTACTGGGTCTCAAACAAAGAATCGATTCAAGAAACTCCATTTCGCTGTCTGATGCTCTGCTACTGAGTCACAGAGAAATCGATGGTGAGCCAGGCTATTCAAAATGTCGGTATGTGGTTTACATTTATTTTGAGATAGTCCGTACGATGAACAATCCACTCACCTGAAGCCCATTAATAAGTCCAAAAGAGAGTTGAAAAAGGACATCATCGCCCTCTCGGAAAGACAAAATACCAAAAATCCATCCAAGACACAAACCAAGTAACATTATACTATTGGTGCGGATGCCATATCTGCAGAAAAAACGAGTATCGGGGATTTTTTGAGCAATTTTCAATTGAATGTCTAAATCGAAGTAGAAGACTTTTGGCCCTTATTTGATCATTCCGCCGTGGTAACTTTAAAATGCTAGAAATTATTTGATAAGGTTCCGGAAATTGAGATCAAAATTGACGGAGAAAGCACAGCACCTTGTATATCGTTTTTCAAGAACAGCTCTTGCGCAGATATCATAAGAAGGTTGCCGTAGGTGATGAAGAACGACGGACAACATCATTAAGTTAAGCTGTATAAAAACAAACAAAAGAAAGTTAGGATTTACAATGATAATTCGAAATTTCGTTGACGGATGACTTCAAGTCCTCCAAGTAACTGGAGCCCTGAGGCACTCGTTAAAATTTTCACCCAATTGGTCAGTGAAACTATTGTTGATCTTAATGTTGCTTCTTTTTGTAAAAATTGTGCTTCTTTCAACTTCAGTGCATCTTTGAAATAACTTTAAAAGAGTCTGAAAAATTTTTTGATAGGTTTTGAGAACTGAAACGTTTTGTTAAAACAATTAGACTTTTCATTTTTCTGTTAATCAATTAATCGTAAATAGACCATCATATTCTCAATTATGGTGATGGCTGGTTTTTTTTCCAACGAATCGTATCCCTAAATTTGTGAAATCCCTTCACCTTCATAAAAAACAAAAATGATACCTAATACAAATTACACACACGAAAAAGTTCTTTTACCGTCGCAATGAGAAGACACGGAATAACTAGCGCCCACAATATGCGATCGGAAGGCCAGCAACAATAAATAGACAAACTGAAAACAAAGAGAGAAAAAAACAAGAACTTAGTACAAAAAATGTATAGACTAAGTAAATACTTGACGAAATAACTAGACTGAATGATTCAGCTGTCACATTAGGAACGGACTGACTGCTTGCAGATTGACTGATGACAGATTGAGAGATGGACTGACTGATCGATTGACTCACTGACTGACTGACTGACTGACTATCTGGCTGACTGACTGAAATGACGAACAAAATGACGGGCGAACCGGATGTCTCACTGATCGACTTACTGATCGATTGACCAAACTTTTGGCTGATATGCTAGCTGTTCATGCAGTCTTGAATAATTGTGATAAGAATATAACGCTTACACTTGCTCTGACTGTTTTGATTTAAACCCAATGGCAAGAGATATTGCTATCACAGTTACTGGAAAGCCTAAAGAGGAATACGAAATAAAAACTGGTTAAAATGACAGCGGAAGCACTTTGTACAGGTGTACAGTGCAGTAAAAAAGGTTGAATTGATTCAGGCGTAATCCATAATAGCGGAGCTCGCAGCACGCTCTGCGCGCGGAGCGAAGCCCCATATCTATAAAAAAATGAAAGTAAAACTGGCAACCTATCAAGCTGAGAAATTTTGTGGTAGTATATACTGCTCTTTGCCCATAAGCAACTCATTCATGCAAACATGTTTTCTCATTTACCTTCCCCTAACATTACGCTTCAACTATTTCGCTAACTTATATTTATAAGTTAATTTATATCTATTTCGTTTCCCTTATCTCCTTTCTCCTTTCATTTCTTGATTCTCTTCAAGAAGCTTGCCTCTCTACTGCAAATTTTGATTACAGGAAGACAGCTGTTTTCCTCTCAGGTTTTTTCCTGCTCATTTTGTCAAAACTTTATTGAAAAAAGTATCCTGTACGTTTATCCCTCGGGGCACGTGATACTGCTTGTTTTTTTACCCTAATAGAACAGTTCGCAAGCAAGAGTTGAAAACCCAAATCCAAAGTTTTGTCCGCAGTCAAACATTAGTTAAAAAAGGGTTAACATTATCATTAACCAATAGTAACTCAAAGTGAAAAGAAGCAAACTGCTTGAAGCGCGGGAAAAGCGAATGACCAACGCGCGATTGTTTTAAGTTTTGCATCTGATTAGTTGAGAGGATGGGACAAGTTTTCTGGACCAAGCACAAAGCAAAATTCAGTAAAACCATGGAAATCCCGAATTACTCCCTCTATTGAAAATTTCTCTGTCCTACAATCCGCGGCGATTGGTATTTTTTATTACAACTTTCTCCTTTTGAAACATTTTTAGCCAGATACTCACCCCAGCCAAGTAGCAAATAATAAATATTCTTTCTTAGAGGATGAGAGCTGTTGGTGTGAGTAAAGTACAAGAATAAACTATCCACTAGACACCAGGAAAAACAAGATGAAACGGAATAATGAAGAATGACCGACATCGCTTGACATCCTTCCTGTGAAGAAAATGGTTATGCACTTATTGAGTAAGGTGAAGGTGATATTTATTCTCGAGCCACGTGGCACACCTAGCTTAAGCTTAGTATGAAGCCACTAGGAGTAGCGCTACTCACCCCTAGAAGGGATGCAAGTCAGTTGCATGGCTACCCTCCGGAATTTCTCAGGCCTCCTTGACCCTTTTATACTCCTGGGTGGAGAGACAGGTATTTCCGATAGTGACAACCGGAATTACGTCTGCATTCGCAGTCTGCTGAAGGTTGGCCTAGTTTCAGACTCTTAGTTCAAAAGGGCGGGCACACTTAGAAGGTTAGGTTTAGGCCAAAATAATTCAATGAATTTAAAAAATGAAAGGGCTACCGTTTTCCTCACAACCAAAACTGCGTTTTTCTCGCCTGTCTACTCGCCTGTCTGCTCTCAAGAAGAGGTTCTGAACCTATCAACACCTGCTACCTTTCCACTTTGTACTTTGTTAAGTAAAAGTTGCCACAGTAATGTTTTAATATTGGAGAGCATTTACAGTCTTCTCACCTCCTTTTTATAAGCAGCTATGCTAAGCAACAGAACAACTTGAGTCAGTCCCACAGCCAAGATCAAATGCTGTTTGATAAGAAACGACTCTGTCCGAGGTCTAGAGTAAAAAAAAGTAGTCGTTGTTAAAACAAATCAAACGAAAACCCCTTTATATGTCTTTGCGATTGAATAGTGAAACTGTAATGCAGATGAGGGATTGTGAGCAATCATCCAATAATGCTTCACGTGTCTCTCTCTATGTTTTTTCTGTTAATCATAACCATTACAATTTCCTCAAATGTGACTGGTGAACTGACTGCTTTATTTTTCACTAATTATTATGTAGAGATGTAATCGGACTGTGAAATCGGACAGTTAGCTCTAATCGGACACCTGTAATCGGACAGTTGAAGCAGCCAATCGTACTTAGTCCACTCAGCTTAATCCACCAATCACAGAATTGATCACAATAACCATAGCAACAACCACTTATCTGAGAAAAACTGGGGAATTTCCAAAATGGAGGAATTGTTTTACTTTAGATATTTTCTCCATTGGAAATATTTGTTCTACATGTACTTTTTTTCGGAAATTGTAATGGTTATAATTAATTGGTAACAGGAATTCGTGTCGTCCAATTCTGTCTGTAATCATACTCGTGATACTTTCTTCATTTGCGTCTCTCTTCTACTTTGAACTTAGATGATGGAAATATTTCCCCTGCCTCTCAAATTAAAGATGGCGACGAACACATGAGGTAGTTTTCCTTGACGAGTTCAGTGTTTTTTTTATGGAAATTTTCACCTTCCCAGGTTATTAATATCCTGTGTAACAAGATAATTTGGTTTGATTAACTGACATGATATTGTAGATTGGCCACGGTAAAGAGTTAAAAAAGCTGTTGTTTGAGCATTAGCCCTTCGTGAGAGCAAATGACGGAGGGCTGACACTGGAAACGTCAGCTTCTAAACTCTTTTATGCATTTTTAAATGGCAAAAAAGTAAAAAAATTAAAATTGGCAGCCTCTTAGAATCGAAGTGCACTTGAGCCATGCCAAAAAAATGAATAACATTCTGGTTGCGTGTTGGGGGTGTTTCCCAGCCATTGTATGAGGGCACTCCCCAGTTTTAAGCCTGAAAGCTAACAGACGACTTAAAAACGTAAAACATTCGTCAATTTTTCAAAAAATTCAAGCAAAGTGCCTTTGTTGTTAACAAATAATTTAGCATCTGGAAACAGAAAATTAACTTTCCACCAATAGATCGGAAACTAAAATGTTCAAAACCTGGGGAAATCCGCGAGATTTTTTGCGTTACCCAAAATTCATGATCTATAAACACTGTCAGTGATTTATTGTATGTTTTCGCTATATTCCTTGAACCTGACTCAGTTAAAAAGGTGTAAAATTTCCAAAAAATGGACACTTGCATCATATAAACCATTTAGATTTCCTTCGGGCAATAAGTCGGAAATTTTGATAATAATCCCGCTATTTTCCCCATTTCCTTCGACAGCACAGCCGGTGAGGAGTCATCGGGTCTATCAGGAGAAACGATGAAAAAAGTCGCTTGGTAACTTAGTTTGAACGTTGGAAACATCCTCTAAGTTTTAGATTTGGTGAAGTAATCATGAAATAGAGGCCAAGGTACTTCAAGGGTTTTCCGACATTGTTTCAAAATGCAAACATATTGGTTCATTTTTCCCAAATCTATTTAGTAGATCCGTGTACATTCGCCATTAATTGAACGGATAAATGTATGCAGATTTCCGCGATTATCTCCTTGTATTGGAGATAGCACCAATTACTTGAAAAATTAATGATAAATAAACATTGTGGAAAGAAAAAAGACATTTGGATGCTAATTAGGGCCATAGACTAGACCATATTTTCAATGAACAGCTTGTCGGGATAAAAAAATACATTTTAAAATCGGTTCTTAAAAAAAAATGAAAGAAAATCGTATCATGGTTTTCGGCAATGCCTAAAGGAATATTTGGAATGGATTAAGATGGCATTTCCTCTCCGTTATCAAATTTATGACAATGGCATATTATTCAGGCCGAATGCCATCTGGGAAAATTGGAGTTAGTTCCATTCATATACTTTGCATCCAAATGGTTTTGAGGTTGCCAATAGCCCCATATAAATGATTTAGATGTATATTCAGTATTTCAATTTCGCGATGTTTTTCGCATGGTTAAATTTATTCTTATATTTTCGTCAGTTTCGAAAGATGAGAGCATCATAATATTGATCGATGTTTTGGTGTTTTATAATGTTCCGTACGCGAAAAATATATAAACAACTGGTCAATTGACGGTTGAAAATGCAAAGTTCCTCGTTCAAAATGTTTTTTTTTTCATTCTGCTTGATGATCTTTTTATTCTTGCCCGCATTGAATTGCAAAAGCTGTCAAAATGTTGAAAGACAGACGAAAACTACTGTATATCGTAATGGCTGTGGGTAAAAATATACTTGATCGACGCCTTAATAAATGTTTGCCGCTTTGAACCGAAAGAAAGTTCTGTCTTCTTTTATCTCTTCCACTTTGAACGTAGATGATGGAAATCGAAGAAACTGTATTTTGACACAAAACTACACATCTCGCTGGTTCGAAAGAAAGAAATACGAACTCCGTTCAAGAAATTTTTTTGCTACAACAATAAATCGTGGAATATACATCCACATTGGTTTTTGACGCGCGATTTCGTTCGTATTTATTCAGCTCACGGCCGGAATAAGATTAAACTTTAAAAATACAAGGTGTGCTGTCAATTTATAGGTAAATACGGGGTCGATAGTGAAAGCCTCAGGGAAGTTTCAGCGACTCATACACGAAGTGTATGTATCAGTTTTCTTAAACTATATTTAGCACACGAGCAGAAGTTCGAAACATCAAGGAGTCAATTTGCTGGCCTCGATTAAGGCTTTTTCGACGAATTCCAATTTTTGTTTCTATCATTTGCAGACATTCTCTAACATTGTCAATTACAATTGCTCACCGCAGATTTCATGATATTCAAAGTTTTGTTTGTACCTGCCAAAACCATCCTTGTCTGCATAAATCATGTTTCATAAGAGTGATCAGTAATAGTTTTAGGTAGACTCATTTAAGCGTTGCAAAACGATTTCATTCAAAAGGAATTTCGTTAAGGCGGAAATGACAAATTTAACAAGGGTTTTCTGTGGGAGTCAACGCTATTTTAGTCTGTCTTAAAGCACTAACTTGAGATAAACTATTCTAAACATTGAAGGATATGAACAATGAGAAATGTATCACCTGAAAAATATAAAAGCGATAGTGGAAACCACGCAAAAAAACAGCGAGATTCCACAACCAACGATGGCAGTTGCATCCAAGCCGTACTCTCTCGTAGTATTTGGTCTCATTTTCATTTCATCCCGTCTTTAGTTCATCAAAACTGACGCACAGCGCTCTCGAACATCAGTTGCTTCGGATGGTTCGCGAATGCGGAATCTCTAACCGGAAGATCGCAGGATCCTAACCACCCGGCCTCTAACAGTTCTGCTTCGGTGAGTGCGTCACTATCTTAAGTGAGGTTTCTCTGAACTGGATGCTGTACACGACCTCTTCAAGTCATAGCGGGTAGTTGTTATGTTCACGTACAATCAGTAAACCGAGGAGAACACCACTGCGGAGTTCTTGGGACGTGAATAACGCCCCTGTTGAAAAGAGCCGCTCGACAATACTAAGAAGGACTGAAACACCGTCGCTTGCTCAGTGCAGAACAAGGCTAACGTTGTTTTATTCTGTGGAGTTTACATCGGTGAAGTGGCAATCCTTTAATATAAACCAACAGTCTGTGTTTTTGTGGATCTCGCTAGCAATTGGTTCTTGTATAACGAGCTTGCACGTGATCAAACAGGTGCTTCTTAAGTCGATTTAATAGTTAGCTTTGAAATACTGCTCGACAAATAGACATCGACGTTTCGGTGATTTCCACACAAAATAATTGAACTCCAAAACGAATTTATATGTTATTTCCCTGTATTCAATTTCTCGCGTGCAAATTAATGATGGAAATATAATCGCTAGTTCGCGGGCAATACCTATTCAATTTACCCATTCAGTTCGAGTTGAGTGGCTACCGCAAAATATCCCGCAAATAGAACGCGTACAAAATAACCGAAATATTCCGTTTTCGCTTTGAATGAAAACATACCAGTGTTTCATACTCTTAACATTACTATCACGTTTTCTTTTGTTGTGCTGATGCCGTTTCCAGGGTTATCATTTCGTCTGGAAACTCTTCATTGATGGTTTAAGTAGCTGGTATTATCGATGTCGTAAATCTTGTCATGTGTCGGTCGTTCTCCGGAACAAATTATCTTGTACCTTGTAATTCATTTTATGATAGCGCTCTGAATTTGTAAACATTAGGCACAGCTACTATATTTAAGTTAATAGCATTCACTGAGATTATGGGCGAATCGACAGAATATCCACGGAAAATCAAGCAAGTATACTAAATATGGAAATTGGGCTTTCAGGTTTTTCTTTGTTTTATTAGAAACATTATCTGCTCTGTTCTACCCGCGCTTCATGAAATAAATAGCCTCCCTAATTGTTGAAACTTTTTTTTTTACATTATTTATTATTCTCTTCATCGTGGCACTTTAATTCATATTTTGTATCTGTACTTCAGTTAAAAAAAAAAAAAAAAAAAAAAAAAACGGAAACGCTTCTTCAGTCTTTACAAGTGTCAAATAACTTTAAAACATACTTTATTGCAAAAATTATTTCCTTTTTCGATCTGGTAACTTTTCACGGACGCTTCATACCAACCCAGCCAATTTTCCTGACAAACAACTCCTTGAATTTTTTGAGAGTAATTCCTCAGATGTAGGAACGAAAATTTATTTCTGGTGTAGCCTTCTCGTGAAAATCGTGTAGAGTCTCCCTGTTATTCAAATTGCATTTCGATTCTTTGACATAACGCGTTTTGAAATGGAACGAATTGATATATTTGATGTTATTCCACTTTATCGCTTTCATTGTGGTTGCAATTAAAGCCGGTTACTGGCTGTAAGACTTCTCTCCGCCGTCTTTTCAGCCTTCGCGCATGCTCTCGTGTTTGGGTTTTACCTGCTGGCTAATGACACCATCGGCAGCCGCTTATGGGAAAGATATTATTAAATACCTCTCACTCACTGTTTATTTATGTTTTTTTTTAATTATCATCAGGGTTCGTTTTGTGTACTCTGATATTTGTTCACTGTATATCGATATTTTCAAAACATTCTCCCTGTTTGGAGGTGTCCTCAGTAACCATGAAAACGGGAAGAGGACTATGCGGTTTCATTTAAATTTGTCGCATAGCCCGAAAAAGAGTCTTTTGGTGAAAATTTATAGATCAAACTGACATAGAATATGAGATCATGATACATGCCACATGGACTGCCACATGAATTTTTTCTTTTAACAAACTACCGCGTTAACGTTCCAAAATGCTTCTGGAGAGATCTTCAGTTCGGACAAACAAAATGACTTAATGGCTGTCGCCAAGACGATTGGAACCCTGGAGATATCGTTAAAAAAGCCAAGATATATTAATTTGAGAAGTCTCTTAAAGCTATCATGACATCCTATTAGTTAAGATTTGGATCAGTCAAGATATGGTTAAAATGGACAAGATGTATGTTAATTTGAGAAATCTCTGAGGGCTATCATGATATTTTATCATTCAAGATCTAGATCAGTTGAGAGATCGACGTCTTTGGCTTGTAAGTTTTGTTTACCCATTTCAGGTCTCAAGGGATTTTCCATTTTTTAGCACCTTTAAATTATGCATACATAGAAAAGATTTCACCAAAATATTATCACAACCTAAAATGGGTAAACAAGCTGAAGGGGGCTCTCTGACGCGCGCTTGGTCTGTATTCTTCAGCCCTATTTGAGACAACCTCGTCCCTAGGGTTCCCCTTCTTCCTACTCCTCTCTCTCCATCTCTCCCCCCAGGGAACGGGAAGGAGGCCCTAGATTCGACGTTGAGTTCGAGAGGGAGTCTCACGCACCCTCAAACCACACCACTCCAAAAGCTGACATGCTCATCTTTCCCTTCAAAAGCGATTTTGAGATTGAAAGCTTGATCCAGTAACAATTTATCAATTTTATTAGCCACAGATGTGAATCGCTACGAGTGAAGCATACAACATACATCTGATCAATTTTAATACTGTTATCCCTCCCCAGTCCCAAGCACGTCTCCTCTGTGACGTTAATTCATGAAATAATACAGTGACATTTTTCTAATTTTCAAAATCTTGCCCTAGGCTCCTATCAATCAGGATCGAGTTACAGTCTTCGTTAGTAGTTATAACATAGGGAGAATAGCAATTTAGGTCTTAACAAGGAAGTTGTGTATACATATCTGGCGATATTTCATACTATACGTATCCCTTTCACTACACGATTTCCACTCAGATAATATCCTGCAGGTTCTTCCAAAAGGAAAAAAAATAAAAGAAATAACACAAAACAAATTATTTTTCGCTTCGTCTTCTATGATTAAAATGTTTGGAGTCTTCGTTTCCATTGACTTTGATGTGAGAAAAATGAATCAGTCTTTTGGTTGTTGAGTGATTTGAAAAAAGTTCTTCATAGAAAGAAATAATGATGCCAAAATTATGAAAGAACGGTTTTTAACTATATCAAAATGAAATCGAATAATATCCTGCAGATATCAGAAAATGAAAAAAAAGTAACACAAAACAAATTATTTTTTTTCGTCTTGTTGATTAAAATTTGAAAAAGTTTCTTCATAGAAAAATGAATCAGTCTTTTGGTTGTTGAGTGATTTGAAAAAAGTTCTTCATAGAAAGAAATAATGATGCCAAAATTATGTCTAAGAACGGTTTTTAACTATGTCAAAATGAAATCGAATAATATCGCTTTTTCATACATAAATTCGCACAAGAGCGCTCTTCTATTTACCGTTTGTAGCTGAATCTGAAAACAAGTCTACAGAGGAACCGAAAGGCTTTGAAACTAATACTGTAATATTACCACCTCTCGGTAAACCTCTTCTGAGGAATTCCAAGTTCAAGACATTTCTTCCTATTGAATACCATACATTACTTTTCCTATGTGGTCTGACAATATTTAAGTAGATCAAGACAATATCTTCAAATTTGTAACTCTTAGGAGAGGAAACTAATCCACGAAGTAAGTAGACAAAGTTTCTTTAGACAGACAATTCTTCCCTCTCTCTCCCCTCCCATGCAAATTGTCGCGTTGAATGTAAGTCAGGCGTCTGCACTGTCAAGGTGTTCTGCTCCTTTGAGCCTGAGGCGAGCGAAGTCTTCAAAAATAAGGTCGTCATCCTCATTCTTGTCAGGACCACTGAAATAAAATACAACGATTCGATGAATTCTCATCACTAACATCAACACATTTTCATCTATACTAGTTACGAAAGTCTGGAATTACATCAAGAATATTATCCTTTTCATAAGTAACTTTCTCTCAGTGTTCTGTAAAAAAGGTCAGAGAACTTTACATTGTTTTCCTATTTGACCTTTACACCCTAACACCACCATACATATTTTCCATACCGTTCCCTATACATTTTCTATGTGCTGATCACTGTCTTTACTCTCGTGACCTTCGCGGGCAATTCAAGGGTGACATTGTAAGCGGTAGTTAGAAGTCAGTTACTCTTTGGGGTTTAAGGATTAACAGACTACAATGGTTTAGTGAACTACCTCACTTATCACTCAACCTTTTTTTTTCCCCGCTGGTTAGTAGTTTTAAGCCTCACACTGGCTTTGAATAGCTAATGTAGAGAGTGCTACTAACACAAATGTTAAAAACCTTTCCACTGTTGAATCCAAATTTATTATCCAACATCAAGTATGGCTCTTGACCATTTCTATGGAATTTTCACAAACTGTTGCTCTCAATCCTTAAAACTACTTTTCACATGCCCGGCACTCCCGGGCTTTTTCCATAAGCGGTTGCCGATGGTGTAATAAATGGCTTTACCGCTAGGCGAAACCCAAACACAACAGTTTGTGATCTTACAAGTGGCGGTAGACCGCTGGCCACCGGCTTTATTTGAAATCCTTGTTAATATTACGCGCGTTTGTACACGCGTTTTTACTCACTCAGTGTCAAAGTCGATTAAGTTGTGGTCTACAGGAGTGTCACCTGAAGCAGCACCCGCTATAAAAAAATCATACTGGAGTCAGTAACGTGACGATACGCTAACAAGTAACATAAAAAGCCTTTTCTTTTCGTTAAACTGATGAAAATGTCTTGTTATTAGGAGAATCAAGGTCATACGTCTCCTGGTCATTATAAAAAATGAGTTATTGAACATTAAAGCTAATCTCTCCACGAGATACAAACCGTTACGAACCCCTTAACCCTTTACACCCTAATATCAGTATGTATATTCTCCCCACTGTTCTTCCTACATTTCCTAAAGTGCTGACAAGGAGAATTTGTTTAACAATCAAGAGCTTCTTTAGTTGGTGATCATTTCCTTTATTCTCATGGACTGCAATGAATGATTCAGCAGTATTATTGTAAGGAGAAACTAGATGCTGGTCACTCTTAGGTTTAAAGGGTTAAAGATCGTAGCGTCCAGTCTCCTCTGACGACACTTTAACTTTTCTCAACGTATGGAAACGACATTCGGCGATTTTCAGAGAAAAAGATCGAACACTTTTCTGCCTCCTTACCAAGCATTTGCAAACAATAATTAAGTTAAAGTGACGAATAAAATAAGTACCCTTCAAATTTGCTTCAAATGAGAGTTTTGGCTGATGACCTTCTTACAGTTTCATGCAGTTTACTGGAGTTGGAAATACTTGGAGCAGATAGGGAGTTGATAATTTATCACGAGTCGAGAATTTTGTTTTTCATTCAAGAGTTTTCAAGTGCAAGAATCCTTGGTCCCTTACGGGAAGCAGTACCGTATAGAAGTAAAATCTTTGAAAAGAGAAAAGACCTCGAAAACGTCAAATGGAGCACAACATTCTCGAGCAGTTCGACTTTCCTACCCGACCCCCTTCCCCCCTCCCAGTGTCCTACCTGCTGCTTCCTCTGAGAGTACTTGCGGGGCTGGTGTAGACGGCGGTGTCTCATCTGGAGGTTTGGGATGACTTAATGTGAACGGTAACTCCAGTGTTACATCACTGATAAGAAAAGAGAGGAGATTTAACGACAAAGCATGGAGAATTTTAAACGCGAATAATATTTGTCACATTGGGTGGACCTAGCAAGAGAACAGCCTCTGCCTTTTACTTAACTCTCTTCCAAACCCCTTCCTCACCCCACTCCCCCCCTGCCAAAAAGAAGCAAGATTGCCGCTCTTACCCGCCATAAGCCACTATGACTCGCACTTTGACCTTGTATTTTACTATGATTCCAAGATTTTCTTTAGGAATGGTGTCATCCATTCTAAAAATGAGGAAGGAGATAATAAAATAAAAAAGTACAGTTAAACTCTTTCATATCACGAACTCACGTAGAGAACAGTGACAGCAGGCTGCCTTGTAATCAAATTTACTGAAAATCGTGACAAAGTTCTAGCGAGGGAGGAAGGAGATTTACGCACCATAAAGCAACTGCAAATTAATACAAGCGTCAAAAATAATCTAAGCCAGCAATCTTTAAATATTTTAGTAAAGCTTCCTCATTGGCTGAGGAAAAAAAATGCTATTTTGTGAAAAAAAAAAAAATGGTGCGATTCATGAATAAATCACATCAATGAGAGCCAATCAGATTACAAGGATCACAAGTGATTTCAAAATGGATGTAATACAAGTTTTGAATTGATCAGGATGTGTGGGCTAAGTTCTACTTACATCGTCGAGGAGGCTAAATTAGTATCCTCGTGTTTTAATTTTCCATCGAGTGCCAAGCCTCTTTTATCCTTACAAAACAAGAAAAAATCAGAAACCAGCATTAGATAAGTGACCATTATCAACATCATGCAAGTACGTGTTGAATGCTCAGGAGTAACACTAGTTGGTATCAATACGCCTGCAGAGCCGGGTGATTTTGACGAGTGAGTGCTCAGTATTTTGTTGGTGAAAATTAAAGCTTCCATCTTTGATTTTAACAGCAACAGTAGGCTTGGGAGAGAAATAAATTTGTACCAAAGGGGTGAGTGACGGTCAAATGAAGGAGATGGAAGGGGGAAGGGAAATAGAAATCATACCGTCTTCTTATCGCCAGTTACTGAATGACTTTGCATCTAAATACTGGTATATAGTTATTTCTATAAACATAAGTGGTGTAGGATAACAAACAGCCTTTATATCATACCCTGTTGTTATTCAGGAGTGGTGTGAGGCGGTACACTTTTGATAAGGTTCCACTCTGTCCCACAGGGAAACCATCTCTACAAGGAGAAGAAAAAGTGAAACAATTAAATTTAAAATTATTACATTTATTCCTGTAATCTAGGTAAACAAAGTTAAGCTGTACATTTGACAATTCCTTTAATCCTAAAAGTAACTGGCATCTTTCTCCTTTCTTACATCAAATGTACAATTGTGAGAGGGTAAGAATAAAGGAAACAATCACCACTTAAGAAGCTCCTGATTGGGAAACAAATTCTCCTTCTCAGTAACATGGGGAACATAAAAAGAGAAGTGGGGAGAATACAAAAACAAATGTTAGTGCATTCCACTACAACATCAGAACTGGCTGTAGTTTGCATCTTTATGAAGTACACAGATTTTTCTTCCTCTCACAAGTAATAGATATACAATTTCTCTCTTAAAACTTTTTTTTTTGATGCAACAATTCATAATGATTTTAAAATGTAACCAGAATTTGTTGCTAACTTTATCCTTAATGCTTACTCAGATTCTAACGATGCCACAGGACACTTGTACTGTGCAGTTGAAAATAAGCAGATGTCAGCAAACTGTCGTACTGCAAAAGAAAGACACAATTCTAGGCTAAAAGTCTAAAGAGCTTGTGGCTTTCTAAGAATTCCACAATGTAAACACATGCATGCAGTGAAAAGATGAGAACATTGCTGTGCTCATAACACTTTGAGAAATCTGTCTTTCAAAGGCAGTGGATACAAAGTTTGCAATCGGGAAAAAAAAACAAACAAACAAAGAAGAAGAAGAAAAAAAGAATGAAACAAATGAAAAAACAAAATATATAAATTTGGAGTATTTTTTTTTCTCCAATTCCCTTACTTGTAACTTTTATTTTCCTGCATGTCCTGGAAGAACTATTTGCAATATGTACATTAACCCCAATCTCCTCCCCATGGTAATACATCTGCAAAAGAAAAAGATTTCTCAGCCAAAGTATTTTCTACATCCATAACTGCAAAAGATCCACTTTACTACAAATGCAAGAGGAGGGTGACATCTGCATCACAATCTCCCCAACCCCTCTCTACACATTTCTGTTGCTCCAGGCAACTTCCAACTTTTCCTGATCTTCTACACCCCCCTTGCAATTTCACACCTTCTTCTGCTCCTATCCCTTTGCCATTGTGCCCTTCTACACCACCTACTCAGCACACACCCTTTCCCACCCCACCCATAGTACTTTGGTATCCAACACTGTACCTTTACCCCTCCCCCCTGCTCCATCCTCTGTGCCTCTAAAAACTAACATTACCTCTTTGTCCAAAGAAGCTTCAATGTGGAGCTTATGAGTGCTAAGCATGAATTCCTTTTCTGTCTCAGCCTGAGGCTGTGGAATGAAATTCAACACAGAGATAAATAATACTACTAATAAAAGATAAAGATGAAGCACACAAAAGATGTGGCTCCCAAAATTAATTCAGGTACATGTATACTCAAAGTGCTAAGCAAGGTCCCAAATAGTGAAGGTGCTCATTCTTTACCCCAGATCTAATTTTTCAGCTTACCTGAGGCAAGGGTCGCTCTGGTGCATAAGTAATCTTTCTGATGGCTAACCGTACTGTGTTTCTAAAATCAAATAATAAAAATATTCAGAGAACAACAGAGGAACACACCTTGCACCTTAAAAAGAGAGTTATGGAATTGTAAGTAACCATTAGAAGATTGTCAAAGTGCTACAAGCTATCTGCAGTAAATGATTGAATTACCTTTTGTGTGGTTTTTCTTCCATAGATTCACTGATGTAAGTTTTAAGTTCATAATCTACCCCACAAGGCTGAAAATAACATTAAGCAATTGTCTCAGTTAATGCAATCAAGAAATAACTCATGCTACTTTCCGCAGCATTTCTAATTCATTTTGACAATATAAATTGACCGAAGCTGAACAAATGTACCTCTACATCTTACAAAGTTCACCTAAAAAAGAGTTTGACTAGTATTATTCTGCATACCTTGCCAGTGTCTCCTGGTGCTGGTTGTAGAGTTACAGATGAAGGAGAACCTGGGGGCAACTAACAGGAATCACAACAAATGCAATTAGACAAATGTACGTATAAATGCACTAGTTGGTAAAAATATTTTTTTATAGTTACTGTAGTAATGGTACTTCTTTCACTTTTAGGACCCAGGGTGAGCAGTAACTGACTTACCACTTGAATACAAAGAACAACTTTATTGTGAACATTAATGAATTACTTTCAAGGATTTCCAGAGGAAAGCAAACCTCAAATTTGAAAGGATAGGCATTGGACCCAAGTTTCTTCAGCAGCCTTTCTTGAAGTCTTGTAAGCTGAACTGGATCTTCTGTTTTTGGTGGATAAACTTGTGTAGTGGCCTGTAAAAAGGAAGAGTAACATACCAATGACCACTGATAGAAATGACTCTCTGCAACTACACTCATCAACTGCTAGTGAATTTGGGAGCTGAAATCTTTCATACTTTGCTTAAATGTGTTGTAAAAGCTGAGAAGGTTAAATATTTTTTCCTTCATAGAAGCTGCTTAAACCAGTGTTTGTTGACTCCAAATTTAGCCCAATGAAAACACAAGTTTGTGAGTACTTGAATCCTATGGAAAATTCAGTTTTTCAGTTCTCTTTTTCTGATTTTCATTCAGTTAACCCTTTACCTCCCAAGATCTGATTTTTAATTCGCCCTTCTACCTGCTACACATTTTCTTGTAAAGAAGTAATGAGAGCTTGGTGTTAGATCAAGAAAGACAACTCCTCTGCAATAAGTTTGAGTATTCTCATCACCTGTTTGCTAGATAATGTATGGATATTGTTGGGGGAAGTAGCATGTTGATCACTTCTGGGAGTTTAAAGGTTAAACCCAGTACAGGGTCTAAGACTACATCATTAACAAGACATTCAATTTAAAAACAGGACTAATGGTGTGACTTGACTTGTTCAGAGTTGCTCAGGCTTCGTGTAGATGCTAAAATTAAAATAATCAATTCAAATCATCTCCTTTTTTTGTAGTAAGAGGGTGGCTTATGACAATAATCCCATAACTGTAGAAAGGAAGTTTCAATCTTTACAAACCAGAAACAAGTCTTTTCTGAAAGTTAGTCCAAGCACATCCAAATCTTCACGTCCATATCTATCAGTAAGAGGAAAAACATTCTTTATCAAAAAGACTTCATATGCCAATTTGAAAATATTAGTGACAGAACTCAACCACAAATTATTTGTGGTAACTCTCATTTTCTATGTGTTAATGTGGAATTCCACTTTGCACTTTTATTAAACAAATATACAAATCACCTTGAACAAACAAATAATAAGTCACTAGGAACATTCAAAATAAAAGTGCAAATATTTATGACTTACTTAAATGCTGCCAGAACATGGGCAAACACTAATTGGAAAAAAGAAAAAATAAATGACACTTGCATATTGTTCTAATCACTAGAGTAACTTTTTTAAATGCTAGAAAATTGTTTGGCATGATTTTCTCAAAAATGTCTAGGGTCCTGTTCACACCTTCTACTGCTGCAAAGCCAAACTTAATTAGAATTAGGTTTGACTCTAGCACAGCAGAATCCTGACTCTGATTCAGATGTTGGGCTTGATGCGTGCAAAAATTCAGGATTTACTGAAGCCAAGCCAATAATTTATTCTTGTTACTCTCAGTGAGAGTGCAATCCTGCCTTTATTTAAGTTAAACATTATTCATAACTTTTGTTTGGCTGGGCAGAGGAACAACATTTGAGTTGGAGTAGTGCCAGAGTTGTGTAGCATGGCAGAGCTTGTCAAACTCAATTGCTTGCTTAATTTAATTAAAAATTTTCATCTAGACAACACGCTTCCACCATGCTCTTGTCAAACTTAATTGCTAAATAAAATTTGACAGAGCAGGAGCACAATGTCTTAATTGAACCTAACAGTTGATAGTTGTCAAAAATTTTGAACAATATTTTTTTTCTAGCAATTTCTCTGTCTCTCTTAAAAGAGGAGGTCAAAACCGCCATTTACCCTGGGAAAAAATTGTCAAAATTTAAATCTACATATGCCAGTCAGCAAAGTGGCTATAATTTACAGAAATCAGCTACTATCCCCTTTGTCATTTAAAATGTTTTTCAACTGGAAAATTACCTCTGATTCACTCTGAAATAGCACACCAACTATAGAATTTGACAGCAACTAATCCTGGATAAGTAGATAGTGTTTACAGGGTTTTTGTGACCCCAGCTCAGAATCAGAAGTCACCTATAGCCCTACTCATAAACATATTTTGTCAAAATAAACACTTATTACAAATTGCACAAGTTGTGTAAACTCTGTGATGCTTTTAGTCTAGGTTTAAGCTTCTGATATAATTCATGACAAGCACAATTTTGTAATACCTTTTTTCCCATCTTTGACAAACTCTGGATCTATCAGAACAACACCATCTGCAAAATAACCCCAAAAAAGTAACTTAGACAGAAGACTCATAATTTTATGTGCCTGCATTTTCACCAGATCACTTTTTTTTCAACTTAATTCTGCTAACCCTTTAACTCTCATGAGTGACCAAGACAGAATTTCTCCTTACAATATCAACGCAATATCCAGCAGACCAGTGATAAGAAAGACAAAAAAACATTGGCTAAAGGATTGTTTGTTGATCCAATACCATATTCTCCAAACTAACATCATGAAAATTGTGTGGCAGACAGTAAGGAGAATTACTAATGAGATTGTGGGAGTGAAAGGCTTAAGAAATCACAGTCAAATATTAACTTACCCACAGGATCAATGTGTTCAATGTGGTCTACAAAATCCCGTTTGCCCAAATAAGTAGTGATCTGTGGGGTAACAGATGTTAGCATTATTGCTTGTCTAGTTGAGAAAATAAAATTATAGGCACCTGGTCTTCTGAATCTGGTTATCTTCTTTCTTATACCATACATATATCACAATGTTGTCCAAGAGTTACGATTTCAAAATCAAAAGATTCATTCAGTGCATTATTACATAATCATGAATTCTTCTGCATTTCCCTGAGAATTAGCTTAGGTGGGAGGGTCATGAATTTAATTGAGATAAAAAATTGTAATGTGTTAATCCATTTACTCCTTCAAGAGTTATCTGATTGTTGAGTCTCCTGATAATAGTCAATTAAGTGGTTAAGAGGAAAGATATGAGAATTGGATAAAAAAAAATTCCATTGAATCAGCTACTAAATGCACTGTAATTTATTACGCAAAACTTAAATCCACAGAAATGACACTAACATTTTCAATTTTTTTAAACTCGTTTATACAGAATATCTGTAACACATTAATCATTGGCTCTCAAAAGATTTGTATTCTGATAGCTCAACAGAAATGCACTATCATCTCTACAATGAAGAAGTTTTAAGATTTTTGGAATTGAAGTGTTTATTTAGCAAGTTGGTTGCAGTAGGAGCTGCTTTGTTTTGTTAACATCCTTTGACATATGTGTAGCCTACAGGGAAACTCTTTTGAGCATCCACAAGCTTGACAAAGCTTGCTTTTAGGCTATCTCCCTTCCAGGGCTGTTTTCTGATAGTTCTACACAATGTTTAAATAAGTGTCTTCATTTGAAAAGGAGCCCCTCTACTGAAAGAACAGCTTGCACCAGATATAGCCAACCTTAAGGCTAGTGCTTTCAGCAATCATCACAACAAACTCATAGAACAGTTTTCACATTGAGCGTGAATATATGAAAATCATATTTTGTGAACTGCAGTTTACAAAATGAATATGAAAGCAATCTTTGCAATAAGGTATCATTTTCACCACTGCTAAAGTAATATTCATTAATGCAAAGATCACTTTTACATTCATGCTGCAGTACACACATATGGTTTTCATATATTCTCCCTGATTGATTCATCACTTTACTGGTTTTTTTAATGAACTAACATGATGACCAGTTCTCAGTTAGCTTGTTAGCTCAGTTGGTAGAGCACTCCACCAGTATTTCAAAGGTCATTGGTTCAAATCCTGTAAATGCCTGAATTGTTTTCAGGCCTTATTTTCACTACTGCTTAATAGATAGTGTTCATTATTGTTAAGATTGCTTTCATATTCAGTTTTCACAGTTGTAACACCAAAAGTAAGGAAGCTTATGATTCTTAAAATCTCCTTGTAAGTGGCATTGGTAGGGAGAATATACATATTGATGCAAGGGTGCAAAGGGTTAATACTGGGGTAAGTTTTACCTGTGTGGACGCCTTAGCCTGTGTCTAGACTTATTAATGAATATTACACAAATCCACTACCCTTGGTTCAGACTAAAGCAAATGATGCTATCATCCACTTAACACAGATGTTTAAAAAGTGTTTTAAGCGAAGCGGCTGATTGCAACAGAAAGACGCCAAGTCTAAGATACATTGAAGTTAATTTCAAGAATTCTTTGCACTACATTACTTTGCTAAAAGGAAACGTAACTAAATCACACATTTAAGCAAATATGTACCAACATGGATAAGGTTTGAGAATATTTAACCCATCAAAAGATAACAACTAAAAAGAAAAATTAAATAACAGTCTTAAAAAATGTCTTAAAAATATCATTTTCAAAAATGTGAGTTTCTTTCAATTAATCAAAAGTTTTAAGAAAAATTTCTGAAAAAAGTTTTTTTTTAAAATTTCAACAAATCAATTGATTCTAATTCCTCTAAAATATGATAAGGGTAAATTGTGCAATTTTTCAAATCAATCAATCTAAACTTGCTTTCAGTCGAGTATTTCTCTGTTAATCACTTTGTATAGTAAACACAGAGAGAAATGGCCTTCGTTTTTAAGGTATACCTCTTGCCCGCAGCCATTATCCTCACGCGCCCATTAATTTATATGCTTCAGGCATCATCTTTTTTAATCTCATGTTCTTCCAAGGCTTGTTTTCCAAAAGCATGCTCAATTAAAAAGCGAAACAAAACAAGATGTACTCCATAGTACAAACTTACATCTGCTTCAGAATTACAGCTAGAGCTATATCTTAAAACAATTAATTTAACATCGTTCAAAATAAAGACGTTTCGCGTCCTTTTTAGGACTGAACAAATCTTTTTAAACCTCCTTTCATATGATAATTTTCAGCCAACCTAGATGCTAAGCTATAGCAGGAAACATCTGCAAAGATGTCCCCCTTCGTTTTCGTTTGTTTGTGGCTCTAATTTATTCAAACTACCTAGTTTTAAATTTGATATGTACACAACTTTATTAAGCCAAGAAGAAAATTATAGAAGGTATAAACATAGAGATAAGTGCAAGCATTCTGTGCGATGTTTACATCAGTTTGGACCCACAAACGAAACCTCAGACATGCATAAAGGCTACTATCATGTTTCCACTGATTTTCTTTCAAAATAATCTCAATCCCAACCCAAAAAACGACGTTTTTCGGTGGCTTATTATACCTCAACACCAAAAGTGTGAACATTTGACCCACAAGCCATCAAATATATAAACGAATTAGAATATATTTAACGAAGCTAAACACCAAAACACTGCGCTATCGTGCATGGTAAATTTAATACCCTCGTTTAAGAAAATACTACATCGACTATATATAGTTCGTAATGTTTCAAAACGATGCGTGTCGGGCAATTAAATTTCTTTAAAAGCTAAAGCAAGGAAAATTAACTGTACCTTGCTGTTTGGGGATGACTTCTTGAATACACTGCAAAAGGAAGATGACTTGTAAGCTGAGATCACAAACCGAGTGGATAGATATAAGGCACTGTTTTCGACCTCATAACAGCATAGCGCAGTCAAATTAGATCGTGTATACCTGTCTAAATTAACGAGCTTTCGAGCGAATCGCAAGGGGAATCGAAATAAACTGTGCCTTAATTGCAGATGAAACTGAACAAGGAACAAGGCTAACTCACCCTTATCGATAAAAACAAACATACCATAAAGGAAAAACATAAATTCTTTCGTGCCTACTAACCGAGTACCCGCTTTCTTCGCGTCGCTGCTCTCCATGTCAACCACAAGTAGGCAAGATCATGAAGTACAAGTTCGACTGCGATCGTCAACGCCTTCAAAGATGAACAAAATGGAGCGGCCAGCTGAAAACTCAGGTCTTAATAGGGCGAACACAAACACCCTGACCAGACCAGCTCGAACGAAGTTCGGCAAGCCACGTCTCTCTGCGAGAAAATTACAGCGTGTGAAGGATAATCGAAGATGAGTCACACTGAAGTGACTAACAGATGGCAAAATACTGCAAAAAATCCGTTCCTCATCGGTGTTAAGTAAGTACTACAATGCCCAAAACCCCTTTGGTAGCTTCGATTTAGCGCACCCTTTTCCACAGAACCAATGCTAGGACATGCGCATTGGCTACAGAAGTATTATGTGACGTCACAAGAGTCAATTCTTCGATAAAAGAGCTGAACAGGTGCAAGGAAGCGGCTAATTTTTTGGTGAATAATTTAAAACTTTCCCTCTAATTTCGTCTGAAATCCTTCTATGATTCTACTTCGAGGGTTCTTTATACCATAAATGGAGCTAAATGATGATATTAGATGCCCTGTATAGAGTGATTCTTTGGAAAGATATCAATTCAGACGAAAAAATTACACGTGCCCCGAATTTTTTAATTAATTAAAACAAAAATTCACCGCCGAACGAGTCGTAGACGAGGTAATTTTAACGGTCCTTAATTATCCAGAGGTTGTTCTTTACAATGCCGACGACTTTTAAAAATCTACATTACTGTTTTAGCTAACCATGTTGATGAAAAAAATTTATTCTGGAAATACTGGATAAACCTTTGACTGAAGTAGTTGCTCTTCTTATCATAACCGCATTTACATTAAATAAGAGATGTGACTGAGAACTCTCGAAAACGCTCTTATCGCTCAAATATCTCAATGAAAAAACCACACCGACGTTAAACAGAGCAGATATTATGAATCTGCATTAGTAAAGATAAAATCGTATCGTACCGCTAATTTTATCGGCTCTGACTTCCGTTTTAGAACAGAGTGTGCTTCAGGCACGCGAATGGGCGAATTTGCGGAAACGGAGAGAATTCCTCCCATCGATTGTAGATCGCATTTTAACATTCTTTAATCCTCTTTATTTTGTTTTTGAAGTAAAATTTTCTTTGGATACACGAAGATTAATTGAGGAATGCCAAAACGAGGAAGATAACTCGATCGATATTATGAATTTTAATTAGTACTAGCAGTCCAGTGCTGTGCAGATTGATGGAAATTGATTGATACAGGTACTTTAGGCTAAGTTGTCGGCGGTGTTATGTGTTTACATTTGAAAAACCTTTACCATATTGCTTATTTGATGGGTCTTAAAGGTATGAATAGGGCGCTAGAGCAATTGTATATTGTCGTTTCAGCTTTCAAGCGCGTTTAATTCATTATTCTAGTGATGCAGTGAAAATACGTTTTTATCAATTCAAGTTTCGAGGGGATCTTTGTTTATCTTTACCTACACACCTTTCTGACATGAATTAAGAATGAATATTTCCAGAGGATGCTATAATTGACAAGCAAAGCCGATGGGTTTAATGAATAAGATCTCGACAAAACGGCCGGGATACTGGACATTTTCAGTCGCTTACTGAAGGCAGAGAGAGCAGGGTTTCACAAATTCCTGAACTTTATTTTAAATGTTTAGATACTCGACAGACCTTTTTCAGCTTCAATAAATTAAAAGAAAACGGGAAAAAAAGACGAATTTGCCAGCAGTTGAGAGAGATAGCAAAAACAAATCCTAGGTAAATATTGCAAATTTTACCAATTTAAATCGTAGTAATTGGAAACGCACGATATCAGTTTTTCTGTGAAACTTCAGATGTCCTATTTTCAAGTTGAAACGGAAATTTCTATGATTGCATTTTTCAAATAGACGAGAAAGCTTATTCTTGCTTCACGTTGGTGAATAAGTTGTTAAAAAGGGGTCTTTGAATTCAAGTCCAACAGATGAGGAGTTTTTTTCAACAAAAAATTCACCAGGGTAATTTATCACAGACGGGTTGCTACATGAAATTACTTTGGCAAGAACAAATTGTCAACAAATACTGATAATGAAGATATAAAAATAAGGAAAACATAAATATGAGATCCTTTAAATTTCAGGATTTCAGGATTCATATTTTTGATAAAGTGCGAGCTGATACGTTGAAGAAATATTCGGGTGAATAATCTTTCATTTTTTTTTCTTTTTTAGTCCAAAATGCGTGGTTTTGCTCCTTAGTGGGGTTACACATCCGTTCAGCTAAAACAAAGAAAAAAGGGTAAATTTTAGGACTTGATTTTTGATAGGAAGTGAACGAAAGGCTTTTTTTCGCGCCCTCAATGGAAAGAAGATACAAAAAATGGCAGTTAACTACGGTAAAGAAATCAATGCTAAATTGGATACCCAAGGGTTAAGAATTTAGATGTGTTAAATAAATTTCTATCTCTCGTCGAATCAAGTTGTTGAGTATTAAAATTTGGTGGAATCGCATCAACTACCCTAATCAATCTTATTCAAAAAAACTGATCAGACATTTATTGTAATCGTCCTTCTAATTATTACTTGTGAATATGACTTGTTGGCTTCTTAAGGTAATTTTTCCTTTTTCTCAGTTGTTTTTCCATCAGGTCTTCGCCATCCAAGTTTCAGTACGTTACGATCGTCGACCTCTTCACCAAAAGAGAGGAGACTGGGAACGAGAATTGACAAGGACATGAATTTAGGCGAAACAAGAACTTGGTCGTGCGCACCGTTCGTGTTTTCTATTCAAGATTGCAGAAGTGGATGAGAAATTTTTCCAGCGGGTTAGTAATGATAAAGACTTGCAGGACTTTCCTCTATCGAACGTTCACGTAATTTACTCTGTTATTGATGCTTAAAAACCTGAAATAGTTAGAAAACCAAGGGTGAAATCCATGGACTTAAGAAAATTAGATTCGGTAAAAATACCCTTAATTAATCAGCAACACATTAACTCTTTAAGACCATAATTAAAATGCCACATTTGTTATTGTCCAGGCCCTCACCGTATTCTGTAGAAATTTTACGGGTGCAGCACCATTTGCAATTACCATCTCACTGACGTGTTCCCGACAAAATAAAATAAAATTCAAAACTATTTATTAGAAAATCCAAGGGAGAATTCCAAACAAATGGTACATAGTCAAGCAGAAATTGGAATTCGTAATATGCATAATGAGTTTTATTTACAAGAATAGTACCTAACGTATGTACTTTAGAGGACGATGGTGGTGATCTATAGATGAAAATCTATGAATCCTCTCCCATAACAGATTGTTATTACCCGGCAAATTAAAACATGAAATTCACTTATAGCATCGCAGATGGAATGATCGAATGAATTGTTTCTCTCTACTAGGAAGTCTATGAAATTTTAACTTTCAAAATTGTGTTTAAATGCTCTATGACGCCTCGTCGGTAGCGTTTGAAGGTTCCGGCGAGGGACGAGAAGGAGACGAATGAGGCCGAGACCTGGCCGTACTTGGACGAGAGGAACCGCGCGTCTTTGGTGACCCTGCTCTTGAGGATTGTTCGGACTTTGGGCTGGCTGTTCGAGATGGCTGTTTAGAGCTTCCAACGTCCGATTTGTGTGATTTTCCGGACACCGGTCTCGAAGGCGAAGATTTCATCGACGAAGGTCGAGACGACGGCTTTTGACCCGATGGCGGTCGGGATGACACTTGTTGCCCTGAAGGTGGCCTTTCAGGTTCCACCGGTTCGTCAGGTTGTTTCTCTGGTTGTTTTACTTCCATCGGAGGCTCTGGTTGCGGATACTGTTCCATAACAGGCTCTGTTTCGCCATGGATAATCCTATGAGCTGCAAGAAGATGTTTCCTTTGGCTTCTCTTCACTGCGAATTAAACCAGACAGTACTGTTAATTAACATAAACCTACCAACGTTATATCAAAAATGGTGCATTCTGATTGACTACGATATTCGCTTAATCTTATTTCACAAATGGATTCCATGTTACCGTGCATCTGTTCGGTAGGATATCACATAGGACGTCATAATGTGCTAAGAAGAAAAAAGTGGCACACAAGGTGCAGCCGAGTGTCACTGATGTTACTGCCACTTTTTGACGTCTTATGTGATCTATTACTGAACAGGCCAACGGCAACATGGAATCTATTTGTTTAACGTAATAAAGAAGCAAAATGTTTTCATGGTGACCTCATCTTTGCGTCTGTCCTCTGGCAAATAACAAAATTCGCATCTAATTCAGGTTATTATATAATCCGTGATTATAGTGAGTAGAATGAGTGGCCTAACTTTGTGTGGTCTAGCAGCGTTATTCTATAACAATAGGATTACTCGCTCTAGATTTCCATGCATGATGGTCGATTTGAGCGTCGCCTTAATTCTCTCTTTTGTGGTGAAATGGGTATCCTCAAGGAAAATATAGAAATCTCGAGCTCATAATCTAGTTGTTAAGTATCCTGATAGCTTCTAGGTTCTCTGCAATTAGCCTGAATAGCTGGCCACGTGGACTCATTTTCTCGTCTCAGACCCCCTCAAAGCTTACAAAACTAGCAGTTACGCAAGTTACAGCGAAAGGGATGATTTTGTTTTTGGCAAAAAACGAGTGACGTCTGGCTTACCGTTCTCTCTCATGGTGATTTTCTGTACTTCTGGCAACAAGAACGACGTGACTAGCTCGGCAACAATTTCTTCAGATTGAAGTCTGGTTCGGCTGCAGAAGTTGATAATAAAGGATACTAGTAAGGTTTTCAGAGGACAGGTTTATTGCGAACCATCTTCTGACATAAATATACACTTGATTGAGAAAAACCACGAAAACCCAAAACAAAAATATATTTGGAATTACAAACTTCCTTTCCTAAATTTTGAAGGAGAAAAGAGATAATCAGGTTTAACACCAAGGTTCACGAGAACTTAAAACTGGAACAAACTGAGACTGCAATTCTAACATTGTTCGCTCTCAGTCCTCCAACGCTTCTACGTAAAATCCGGAATACTTTAATATCTTCATCCTTAAATCATAATATCCTCAGTGCAACAGTTAAAGTACCCCTTACGTTTTCTCCATGTCGTAAGCAATTTGGTTGATCTTCTCTGCTTGGTCTTGGATTTCTTTACGAGCCTGAAAAGGTTGGTATCGTGTTATAGCCATGATTAGACTAGTATGCTACAGTCTGATAAAACACTTCCTACGTTGGTATCTCAATAAATTGGACTGCAACAACAAGGAAACGTTGTTGATAAAATTTGCCAGCCACACAGAATAAGTTGGTCCACTTCAGAGCCAAAATAGATTGAGACACTGAAGAAATTTGCTTGCTTTGATTTTCACTCTTCAACCTCTATGAACTAAACGGAAGCCGGGCTTGTTCTCTGTCCTCGCCAACTCTGCCGCTGACCTCCTCTTCTTTGGCAATTCCAGTTCAGCATCATACCTTACTCCGATTTTTAGCTTTTTAAAAAAACTCCTGAGTACCTCCCAAAAATTTTCATCAACTCTCTTTGGGTTGGATACAGAAAATTTCCACAACGCTAACTCTGTCTTGTTGTTCACCCATCGTTTTCTGAAGATTGCAAGGACTTCCTTTTGTAAGAATGCGTGACCAGATAGGAGTTTTTGGGTACTCCAAGAGAGCGAATAAACTTAAGAACCAGAACCATCCTAAACTCACCTGTTCTTCGGCCGTTTTGTCGATGGCTCCCATAATGATATCCTCAAGGTACGTATCAACAGTAGACTGATGAACCTTGACAACCTGAACACAAATCAATCAATCACATGTGAGATAACTGACGTGACAGGCTACTTCTTTCAAAATCAGCGGCCCGAATCACACAATCACTAAAGGACTAGACAAAATGGAGAAAAAAAAAGGGAGAAAGGGGAAATGAAAAACTTTCAATTAGATATCGAGGTACTGCTGCTGAAATACAATTTTTCTTTAAAAAACCCCACCATTCCGTAAGATTTCTTACCGGAGTTTCAGAGTTTAAATTGAGGTTTTGACATATTAGCAAGTACATGAACAACAACAAAGTAGCCAGTCTAAGGCAAACGTAAAAAAAATTTCATAAACCTGCGGGTTTCTTTATTTTGAAATAATTTTTACTATTCAGCCGCTATACTGGTGACAGTAAAGCACTGTTTAAATCATTGTTTTTTATAATTATTTTTCAAAGCGAGAATAACATCATTAATTGTTAAAATAAAACGAAAGTCCCTATCAAAAAAGAAACCATTTAAGTGAAAGCAAAGTGTCGGTTAAAAATTCTAGCAGTGTAACACAAATAATAAGTATCTTAAGCTGCAACATGCCTTTTAATTATCTTCCTCGATTCTGTTTTGACAATCAACGGAGGAAAATAAGACACTACAACTTTGGAATCATCTGCACACAATTAATTGTCGGTTCTTGCTGTTAATGGCGACATTTGCGTCTAACTACGCGTCGTTTCTGGAAAGAAACTGAATTTACAGTTTCCCTACATTTGCGCCTCCGCTTTACGTAAAAAGCGAACAAGATGGATTTAAGAGAAGGAAGAAAATAAAATACATTTGAAGAATACCATTGAAGGTTAATGGTTACACTACTATGTTTAGGTAGAGTACTACTCGTTCTTTCTCACCTGTTTGAAAATCTCATCTTCTTCGCGCCGTCGTCTCTCTTCAAGTTGTCTTCGTCCGCCCTCTTCGGCTTCACGAATCCTTCGTTGTCGTTCAGCCAACATGGCAAAAGCATGGATTCTTCTCTCTTCCTAAAATATTCGAACCATCACACACTTGGTCAGTCCATTAAACAAGACATTTTTGCGGTTCGAGATAAACCAAGACTTGAAAGCCTTTTAAAAAAGGACAAAATTGAAAGAACATCTTCGAGAGCGGTAATGCGCGGTTCGATCGCTCGTGGTGATTCGTCGAAACACTTTGACCGCATACTGTTTAATTATGTCTTGACAAGTCTTTTAGGAAAAATTAGTGAGAAAAGAATACCACAAACACAAAATTTTCGTTCCTCGAGCGATATTACGAAGTAATAAGAACAAAGCAAGAAAGGAAAAAATTCCTGAAAAACATATCAGCCAAGAAAGTAATGATACTAGCACTTAATCTCCAAATTTTTCGTCTACTAAGAGCAAAAGGAAAACAAAAAAAGTAAAAGCTCCCCGCTTTTATTTTGATCGTTTTTAGAGTATTTAAACTTTGCCCGCAACAATGCGATTTCAAATATATTGTTACGGATATCTATTTTATTTTTGTGGACCATATAAGGTGATTTATATCTCGATTTCCAAACGTAATTCTCTTGACCCGTTGACGAACTAAGGCGAAGTTTCTTCATAAACCTTCGATTCCTTTTGCCGCACACACGCCAGATACGGAACAGATAAAAAAGTGGAAAATCGCTTGAAAAATTCCCTCAGATTTGAAACACTTTAAGAAATTCAATTTCTAGCAGTTTCTCCGTCCTTTTCAAACGAATGATGGTGAAAATTCATTTAAAATTCTGATAAAAAGTGAGTCTGTGTTAGTCAGCGTTGCTTTGGGAAAATTAAACATACAACAGTCACTACTTGATCAAGCAACTCTAACGACAATAATTTGAAGGAGAAGACAGGCTAAAAGGAATTCCTTTCAAGGCGCTTTGAAAGACGTTCGGCAGCGAATGAAACACTTCCGACCAAACGCTTTAGTGGACAAAACGAGACAGGATGTTGTTGAATGAATTCAGACTTAATCGTAAAAATTTCTCACCTGAAGTCGAATCAGCTCCTTACTCAAGAAATCAAACATGTCTGCAAGGGTCGAGCCTTCCATCTGAGCTAGGGCTTCTTCCACAAAAGATTCCTGGTTAAACGAAATGAGTGAGGACATATTAGGAAACAATTTAGACATAGCATGGCAAGCAGTTTTATAAGTGACAACCAGTTTAAACAATCAAAAGAAATATCGAGATCGCTAAGATGAGAGATTGACAAGCGAGAAACTGTCTCGGCAATGGAGTGTAGATACAGGCAAAGAAACGTGTGTGTATGTTAGTAAAGGGGAATCAGGATTGAATAACATTTTAAGCTACACTGTTGGGACACCTTCTGCGTCTCGTGCCCCGCTCAGTGATGGTCTCCAAGATGGCACACAAACATTGGCGATTAACTACATTAGAAGAGGGGGGTGTGTGTCAAAGAATGTTCGCAGGCGTCGTTATGGAGACGAGTCCAGTGGCAGAAAGTTATGTTTTCTCGACGATCAACTGGCCTACACTGTCCTACTCCAACAGAGCTTCTCTCGATTTTTGTACATGATGAATAAAGGGGTATTGTTACCCTTCCCTGGCTAGGATGCTAGTTTTATTACTGATAACGCCTTAACAGTAATATCGTCAATTCTCACATCGCCAATCCCAGGGGTAGGAAAGAACTGTGAGAGTTAACTGTAATGCCCACAAACACAACACAACGATCCCGCCAGTGCTCGAAAAAGAACATCACGGTCCGCAATAAAGCCAGTGAAGAAAGCTGACTGATAGGTCCTACATGGAACAAAATAGTACACGCAATTCACTGCGGCCATTAGGACTGAGAATTTCTTGGACAATTCGTCACATTGAAGGGGCGATGTGCAATATAAAATTTATCAGAAAGCTCATCATTTCACGAAGATTCTCCAATCACGTTCTGTTTTTCATACAACGCTAAAAACATACGGTCCATTCGATCTGTGAAATCATTGGCTGACAAACAATGTACCTTGTTAGTATCCAGTCTCCTCTGCCTCTGCAAGCTCAACACAGCTTGTCGCTCATTTCTCTTTTCTACTTGCCCAGCTTCTTGCAGCGCATGCGTACTGCGTAGCTCTTGAATCAACTCTAGACGCTTCTCCTTTCCTTCAAACATCTAAGGTACAGATAGAAAATAAAATAATAATTAAAAACATTACATGTACGAGAAAATAAAGAGCTGATAGTGCCGCTTGTCCATAACTGAACAAAGTAGAGAAACAGAAAGCATTAGTTCTAACTCACCATATTTTGAATGGCACGACCACGGATAACTTTCTGCAAGAAAATCAAAGCGAGCTCCTGTTCCTCTTCAAGCTGAAATAATAGAAAGAGGAAGAAGGAGAATGTGTCAGTCCAAACGAAGGTCTTATGATATGGTACCGTTGTCATAACATATGGACGGTTAGGAATCAAAGAGTCCTCAGGAACCAAGATATATCGAACAGGTTTTACAAGAATGATGAAAAGAACCTGGGAGTAGAATTGTGTTAGTTTCCGAATTACGTAGTAAATTTACTTTCAAAGATGTCGAGAAGGACTAGTCGACTAATCAGATGGGGCCTCGTCAGTCACGGCTCGATCACGTGCGCTTTCGCGCATTTAACGCGCATTCACAGCTCTTTTCTAATTGGAATTAAGGAACTTAGAGGTTAGGAGAACAACACCGATGGAAAAAGTCGATTAAAAAAGGGAGTCACATTGTTCTTCAGAATTCAACAATGGCTGGTTGTAATTACCTTCTATCACGGCAACAGACCCCAACTTAAGTACAACGTGTGAGCGCAACGTTGAGTTCCAGATCGGAACGTAAAGACCACGCAAAAGTTGGCGATTTGACGCTGTTGTTTTGCGGAAGGCGGCCAATAAATCCAATTTAATAAACAAATATAAAACGCGCCGAGTGCATTGTTGAGTTATATAAGCACTTGAGAATTGTTAAGAACACTCGAGAAGTGCGAGAAACACTCGCCTTCGGCTCATGCTTCTCCGCACTGCTCTCTTTTCTCTTTTATAAAATGTATCACGAATTGCGCGCGCTCGAACCGATGACGTAGACTGCGTGCATTATATCTCAACAGTGCACTCGTGTGACGTAGGGCGCGTGCTTTATGGAAATATAATTAACTCGTTCTGACCAATCATGGCGCGTACATTTCTCCGAACGTTTTGAAACAAGTTATAAAACACACGGGGAGGGGGAAAAGGGCTATTCTTGTGCTCGTTAAATGTCTTGTTTCACTTCGTTCTCGTTGCTATCGCCGTCACAGTTTACTTGAGGTCTCCTTTAACTCTTGAAATGAGTTCAACTGATTCCCAACAGCTAGTTCTCAACTCTTTAAGAGTTATTAGCGAGTTTTGTCTCTCTCACCTGGGATGGAACTTGCACTGATGGGGTCGGGGGGCGCGGTATCGGTTTCTCCACCTTCACCAAAAACTTCAGAGGTTTTTCAGGCTCTGGCGGTTTCTTCGCTAACTCAATCGCATTCGCCACCTCTTCCAGCTCCCTCTGACGTCGCTGCTTCCTTTTGACAAAGCCTCCCTTGCCGCTGGACTTTGGCTTCGGAGCCTGAATCCGGGGCTGCGTCACAAAGTCTGGGAGTGAAGCCTCTAGCTCAAGAAGGCCCTGATAGGTGTTCAGATGGAAGCTCTTCACATTATACTGTTCAGATCCCCGGTCCACGAATACTCCCACACGAGACATAGGAGCATATGTCTGAGAGTCGAACTTAGAATAGTCTCGCACTATGTCTCGTCGCTCCAGTTTGCCTTCTACTGTACGTCTTTTTTCATTTAACTTTCTCACAGCTGGAAAGACAAAAACATTTTTCAGTAACTGCAACATTTCAAGACTAGGTGTAATTTCTAAAAAAAAATTTAAACATCATTTAAAGACTCCGCAGTTTAGTAAAATATGTGAAGGGAAAACAGCAACTGGATTATTGTGGAATTATCTGTAGCATTTGAAATTCAACACAACTGCCAAACGGAAGGGCATGTTTCAGTTTACCGTGTATAACTTCCTTAGAAACCTCGTACTAACCGAATTCGAGGTAATTTATGAAACTTATGTACCGAGTGGAAAAAACGAGGTTTCGTAACTTGCAGTACAGACCGAGAAAACGAGATTAGCAAGAAAATCATGATTACCCAGGCTTTCAATTCAAACAAACGCTTAAATTTAGCGAGCCGTACAGTGAAATATGACTCGTTTATTTGACCGGTTATGGCGCACGTACTACCTGAGTGTTATAATAACGTTACATAATTATACACCCGCTGAACTAGAGAGTTACAGTGTACAAGCAGAAAACAAGACGACAACTTACTTTTAATATGCTCCGTTTGAATTCTTTGAAATTTCTTATCTTTTTCTTGTTGCTTGTTTGACCTGTGCAAAGAAAATAAACGATAAATTTACCTTAAAGCACCTCTTTTTGGGGGAGGGGGGGGTTAACAAACGAGAAACGTATTGTTCTTTCACAGACAAGAAGAGTTCTCGATTGGAATTTATCAAGAAATGTTTCCTTGCGCAGGTTTCTAGGATAAAAGAAAACGTCATAGGGTATAAGTTACAAACTAAACTAACCATAGTCTATCCAGTCTCTTTGTGTTCAGCTCAGCGTGATCTTCCTCTCTTTGTTCAAGGATTCTCTTCAACACCTCAAGTCGTGCCTCTTGCAACCTTTAAAAGAGGAGGGGTGAGATTTACGGAATTCAACATCTTCATATATATATATAGGAAGTCTGTGTATTGATTTTTCCGTTTTACAGTGCTCAATACGTAGAAGTAGAGCGCGATATATGTTGGGATAGGGGAAAAAAACAGAGAGACTATACTTTCATCCCTACAAGCCTGTTTCGTAGTTGCTCTCTCATCAGGGGTTTTTATTGTCCAGAATATTCGTACCATCGTTTATATACTTAATTTGCATAAAAAGAATACTTGAATTGTTATGCAGTAAAGTTTTGTTTCTGCGGCGGCATGAGGACACGAGCTCATTACGTTTATTGAGTGATAATAATTCGGGTCGGCGAAAGATGAGTAATTTTTCTTTGAGGCAGAGGTTACATCTTTTGTTTGCACAGTTGTGGGGCGATCTTGATGAAAGGATACGCCACGAAATATAGTGGTTAATGTTATTTTCTTTAAGGGTTCAGATACGCTTTTATAAATGCGCGCGCCGTGATTGGTCAGAACAAGTTCATTATATTTCCGTCATACACGTAGCCTACGTCATCGGCACGTGCGCGCGCAGTTCAAGATACATTTTATAAAAGAAATAAAAAGACTTGTTCCTCGAGCACTGTTGAGTTATATAAGCACTTGGGAATTTTTAAGAACTCTCGAGAAGTGCACTCAATAATGCATTCGGCGCGTTTTTTATTTCTTTAATATATATACAGTACAAATTTCTATCAAATAAGTGAACAAAAAACTTACTTCTCAATTTCTTGTTCTCTGAATGACCACTCTCTTCGTTCTTGTTCGTCCATCATTCGCTTTCTCTTTTCAAGATTTTCTGTGTCATTCAGAGCTGGAAGTGTTGCCTCCCTGTAAAGACGAGAAGACATGAACTGCATCAGCTCACGTCAAACATGTAGACGAAACCTGTTGAGACTATTATGCGGTTCAAAGCTGAAGGGGTTCAAAGATGTAAAACCTATTTGTCTTAAGCATTCTTGATAGGCATCATGAACTGAAGACCAAAGCTCATCCATAAGCATAAACTTCCTTCATCCTTTTGTCAAGAAAAATTTTTCTTACCAAGCTCGTTTGGCCCTTGCTCTTTCAATCATCTCTACTTCCGCTAGTCCGGCTGGCAAGCCATGACCTTCAAGAAATAATAATTGAAAAAATGTTCAAGTTCATTATTCCTGCGTTTGTAGTACTAAGTACTCTGTCTGCTATTTTTGTTCTAAACTTCAGATACCTGATTTGATTAAATGGAAAAGGCACTTCTATATATACAGTGCATTGTCAACTCTTTATTTCAAGTATTTATTTCATAATCTGCAAAATTATATATTAGTAATTAATTCCATCAAGCAACCTGGCATTTTATCAAATTAACCCTTTGGCCCCTGATAGTGACCAGCATATAATTTCTCCTTATGATATCAACTCTGAATCACATATGTAGGTCACAAGAATAAAGGAAATGATCACCAATTAAAAAAGCTCTTGATTATTAAACAAATTCTCTTTATCATTTTAGGAAATATATGGAGGACAGTATAGAGAATATGGATATTCATGTTTGGGTGTAAAGGGTTAAGGTTATTTCTGGCTGTTACCCTTCATGTTCATTGTTATATAAAACTGAGACAATTGTGACTGAACTAAAGGCAATGGTTGTATCAAGTGTATTGTTGTTGCTGTTTCAATTACATATATCTAGGAAACTAAACAAAGAACAACTGCTCTGTAATTGCAACAATTATTTCCAATAACTCAACAAATTGATCTACAGTTGATTGGATCTAAGCATGCACACTTTGTTTAACTTTAACATGATGATCATTAAGCTTGCCATCTACATGTATTAGGTATAATTTTGCATTTTTTATTTGTTTATTTATTAATTTTTGTTTATTTGTTTATTTTATGCCATTTTGTAATTATAACACATCAGTAGAAATAAAAGTGTAATTTCATATACATAAATATGATATAGCTGAAGATTTAGCATGTAGCAAGGAAACCTGTACGGAAACCAAGAGGCTTATGCAAGCTACAGGCTCCTATTTTACAAAAGTGAGGTATCAGTTTTATTGTGTGATTTAGGTACAAGATATTTTAGGTTAAAAAGGGATCACACATAATCCCAAAATTGATATTTTTCTCATGAGAAATAAGGAAATATCTGGTTGATAAATGTATTGGTAATCTGTTGTTTAAGGAGAAATTCTCTCTTCATCACTCATGGAAGTTAAGGAGTTAACAGGTGCTGGTAATCAAGCCTATAAATCACTAGTTTGAACTCAATTTACCATATGAAAGAGTAGCCAGTGTGAGTAGCTCGGGTTGTGAACCTGGTCGTACAACATACTCTGGAGTATATGGGTCTGTTTGTGTCTCACTGTCTCTGTAATCAGTTTGTACTTCTACTGTACGTGTAGCTGGGGTGGGTGGCCTTTCAGCTTCCATTTCAGGGGCAGCCAAGGGGTCCATTCTGTAATTATGCATGTACAGTGATAATTAGTGTCAAATAATTAAAATGGCTGACCAAATCATAATATCAGCCACAGTAAACTCAAACTGGAACATAATTGTCTCTTACTTAGATGACTGCAGGAGAACATCTGGAGGAACTTGCTGCAAAAATGGAATAATTGGCCTGCGGAAAAACTTATATCGGTCTGTCCCAGAAACATGCACCTTCTCATGATGTTTAGGAGGAACTTGAACTGATGGATCATAGTTGAACCTGATAGAGATGAAAAACCCAATACTATAAATTACATCCAAAATAAAGAATTACTGGTACTACATTTATGCTTTAAGTGAAATTTCATTCAAATTTATGCATATATATGTTGCTTGTTTTAAAGATTGACAAGGACTCTTACAATCTTGAAATTATCTGTTTTTTCTTTTCTTTTTTTTCAAATTCTTTTGATAAATTTGGGTTAGGATTGGATAGGAACCTGTTTTGAAGCTTCTCTTTAAATTTAGCTAATGAGTAAAAGTCTTAATAAAGAACAATCTTAACTACAAAGAGGCCCACATAACTGTGTTTTATCTACAAAAAGCCTTGCATAACAGTAATTCATTTAATAGCATTTGTAAAAATTATCACGCTTATCTGATCAAACATATCAAAAAAGGCAAAGGGTGATGGATAATGGTATTATCCATCCTTATATTGGAAAAATACCATGCTGGTAGGGTCATAGATTCTGGTTTTGCAACCAATATTCAAGAAATACAGTAAGCCTTACTTGGTGTATCTGATGAGAGCTTCTCTATCTTGATCAGCATATCCCCTCCACTGTCGTGGTATGAACTTAGGCACAGGGTCTGTCACCTCCAGGTGGATGCTGTATCTTGGATAGTGACGTAGGTCACTGAACATTGTCTTGAAATGTGGAACTCGTTTCTGTAGTGTAGACAGAGAAAAGATGAAATTTGATGACTATTGCTTCAAAGCAGACTGTCCGAAACTGATAAGATACCCTAAAGATCAATGCAATTAAAGAGTGGACATCATATTTCAGACTTACAATTCTGTCTGTCCCAGTGTGCGCCTTAAACGTTGCTCTTGCATGGTCCCTATCACTTGATAATGTGTACAGTGGATCTGAAAGAAAAAAAATACGCTTAAAACATATGTATACCAGGTTTCAGCGTAATCAAGTGTATAGCTGCAGTATGTATTTTGACACTGCTGATCAGTTCTCGCCACAATGCAACACACAAAGTGTGAAAATTATTGCTCCCTCGTTAAAATACTTAGATGGACTTGATTCGTTCGTCATTTAAATTCAAGTTCTCATTTCAATTTGATGCGCCTTCCATATTCAAAAATTATCTTTCTCCCGTCCATAAGATCTTCTTCAATCATCAAATGCACAAGGTTACACCGATGGGTATCAGTGGGACAAGGTATAATCGTTTAGGGTAAATGCCAAGGATTGTCTTGAAAGTATACTAGACCACTAATTTCGTTATTATCCTCACAGTGCACAAACAAAGGAAAAAAAGTTGAAGGATGCTTGGTAAGTTTGTTGCGCAAAAAAAGGGGAAGTTTCAATCACAGGGTACGTCCCCAGGTGGAAATCTTATTAAGATCTTGGAAGATCTTGTAAGATCTTGGAAGATCTTGTAAGAATCTTATAAGATGGCAATTAAGATGAAGATCTTACTAAGATCTTATTAAGAATTAATAATCTTAATAAGATCTTGCCAAATTCTTGAACAAATCTTAACCAGGTTTGAGCATTGTAAGATCTTAAAAGATCTTATTAAGTTTATACAAGAATCTTGTAAGAATCTTGACAAAATTTTACAACACATGGGGATTAAGATCTTGGAAGGTTCTTAACAAGATCTTACTAAGTTTATTTAAGAATCTTGTAAGAATCCTCACAAAATTTTACAAGAAATGGGGGTTAAGATCTTGAAAGGTTCTCAACAAGATCTTATTAAGTTTATTTAAGAATCTTTTAAGAATCCTAAAAAAAATTTTACAACACATGGGCATTAAGATCTTGAAAGTTCTTAACAACATCATATAAAGTTCACTTAAGAATCTCAGTTGTAAGAATCCTAATCTTTAAGAAAAGGAAGATCTTACAAGCTTCTTGACAAGATCTTGGTAAGTTTGTTTAAGAATCTTAATAATGAAGTAAGATCTGTAAATGTAACATCATTAAGATTCTAGACAGGATTTCATCTAAAGTTCATCTAAGAGTTTTGTAAGAATCAAAATTTTAAGATCAGTAGGAATTTAAATGTTCTTGACAAGATTTTATCAAGTTTATTCCAGTACATTCTTGAGTAACTTGAAATGCTTATCCTGTTCTGTTCATAAGAGAGCATGGGGATGCATAAGGCTTAAAACCTCTCACACATGATTTGAAAAATCCCATGTCCAAAAGGGGATCACATAACGTCAAGTAAGCTTCTATGGTATGGTGTGCAAATTTTAGACCCGAGAACACAATACACATGCAGCTGCTTTCTAACGAGGTAATTGTTCCACTGGAATTATGGTATCAACAGATTAAATTTGGACAGACTTTTCAGATTACATTTGATGATTGATTATGAAATATACTGAACAGCTAGTTTAAATAATACTAATCATGTTCATAAGGAGTGTCTAGAAAGGGATTAAACCTTCCCATCTTTGCCTTGAACATAAAGACACCCATAGATAATGTCACCACATTCCACAAGCAAGAGACTTTCGCTGATATGGTTCAGAAAAAAAAATATGGCAGTATGCAGACCAGCCAGATGGCAGGATGAAAAGATGTATTTTAAAAAAATTCATAGCTACCTATTTGTAAAAATATTTTTCAAGAAAGTTGCATGAAATTTGTACTTTCACCAAGGCATTCCACGCCACTGCACATACGCAGAATTGCAAATTGTACTCTTGATCATTGTTGTTAACCGTTTTTGCATCATATCGTTTCGGACAAAGTTCGACAGAAATTCTACTTTGGTCGAGTGTTATCTGCCTGGTTGCGAAATTTAAGTGTGCCTTACAGCCCTAAAGAAGAAGAATGATTTTGAGAATTAGGACTTTACCGACCAAATTCTTTACAAAATAACTAACAAATAAACATCGAAAATTTGCAGACCGGTCAGATGGCAGAAATTAAAAGTATTTTAAAAAAGTTTATAGGTAGTTACTTACAAAATACTTGCGAGAGTTGCGTGACATTTTGTACTTTCACCAAGGCTCTCCCCAGTCTCCCGCTACGGCCGGCGCAAAATTACAAATTATTCACTCGACTGTTGTTGTCAACCGTTCACGCGCCATTTCGTTTCGGCAAAGTTCTATAGAAATTTTACTTTGGTTGAGTGTTATCTACCTCGTTGCGAAATTTAATTGTGTCTAAAGCCCTGAAGAAGAATAATGATCTCAAAAATTAGGATTTTACAAGCCAAGTTCTTTGCAAAATCACTAATGTTTATACTGTCGCTTAAAATACAGAAAATGACGCAGTCGGTAAGTAACATGAGTTTACAGCACACCAGAGAAGATAAATCGCGTTTTGCTTTTCTTGTGAAAGAACACTACGATTACACATTCAAGGTTGCGATATCCTTGTTTTATTCTGTCACGTGAAGTGGCCTCAGTGAATAGTTTACACATCTAAGCACATAGAAAGCACACGTATGATGATTGTGCACGACGACTCGCTTTATAACTCAAGGAACACATTGGTCTTGGTAGTTTAAGTATCTTGAGAAGATTTCTAAAAAAAAAAAAACCACTAGTGCACGACTGGTAATGAAGCAAATGAAGGCAAATCATCCCGAAGGTAAGTGCTACTGACTTTTATTCATTAAGTTCACGTTATCAACATTACACATCTGGAAGGTGATGCGATAGACTTATTTCTCGCACTTTTTAGATTCTTTCAGCATGGACGAAAAAAAGTGACGATAAGTTTATGTAATTGCAAGGCCACGGTATTTTTATACAAGGCAAATCATAAAATCTCGTTAGGGTTCGATTTCGTCAGGAAGCGTTTTTGTTTAGAATTGAGTGGAAACTGACACGAGATGTAACGCTATCATCATCAAAACCACGTAACGGCGGCTGCTAACCTTACTGCACTTGTAGCAATTCTCTCAAGTCAGTTTTAATCCAGATTGTTCTGGATTTAAGTGTTGTAGGCAGAATCATCGTAGCTTCCAGTCGTCTCGCATGGAAATGGTTCACAATAAACAATTAATTTGTCTTCGGCTTTACTAATAACCACTAGAAGTTAAACTAGAAGGGTGCAATAACAACGCGAAATCGATTATGGAATTCCTTTATTCCCAAATAATTATAAATTGCCACGTTCTACTTAAAAGTTTCCACTGGTGAGGATGATGATGAAAGCCAAACTGGGTTTGATTATCACGGCCGTGTCCACAGTAGTGGAAATCTTCCCAAAGCAAACAAAAATTACCAAAAAATGGGAAGTTCTTCTGATGATGTAAGAACTCTAAATACTCAATGTTGGTGCATGATAGTTCATTTCCCCCCCTCCTTCAAGACTTCATTGACTTAGATGGCTTAAGGCAGAATTTTGGCACTGTTATCCTGTTAATTTTACTCTAACACATTCGATACCTGTATTAATTCCATGCAACATTTTTTGTATTTTGTTTGGTTCTGTTTAGTTTTTATTTGTTTTGTTTTGTGAATGTGTGTGTATTTTTTTTCTGGTTTTCATTTAATGCTGAGTTATGATTCCTTGCTTCCCTTTCTCACAATTTTCTTTGTTCTAAAGGTTAATGAAACTTAATTCAGTGGAGGGATTGCTCAACAAATGTAAACATTTTTTCAATTCATATTCACAGGAGAACAGGAGAGATAGGATCACCTGTAAAAATGATTGTATCCTGAATAAAGTAGACTTTGAGTCCCATCTTAATGCTACAAGCACAGAATGGGATAGAAGGGTGGCAACTCCTCTGATTGTAAAAAGGTAATTTTTCATTTATCAACTTTTTGTGAGAATTGGGAATAGCTGTTTCAGCAGTGCAAAGCGTAAACAAAGTTTGTTGGATTGGAGTTGGGCAGTGCAAATTGCCAAGATTCATAACTGGGAACTTGTACATAAAAATTTTGCTCTTAAAGATGATAAATTCTTGTTAAAGATAGTCACTACCTCCTTTTCTTTGCATACAGATGAGGCATGATGGTGATCAAGGAGAACCATTGAGAAGCTCCTCCCCTCTACCTTAGTAAGTACTCCTCACAAGTCAGGCTACTGAAAGCTGGAATTGAAGTCAGAGCAACAATTCTACTGCAGACAATAGATTATGATACTTAATTATTTAAACACTGAGGGTTTTTTTTCAATCTTGATTCTTGTCTCCTAACATGTTACATTTCATTTTAGATGTACAATGAAACCAAACTCCTATTACTCCTCTCTGGCAGGGATTTTAAAAAATACGCTCTCAAGGTTTTAGTATATTTTGTACCTGTATACAAATTACTATTTTCTTTTTTTCTTTTTTTCTTCCCACAGGAGCCATAATACAGAAATTTGGTGATGCCCAAATGAATAAGAGGTGGTCTCAAATAAGGCTCTACCTGAATAAAAAAAATTGCTTAGATTCCAAGAGAAAAGTTCACAATGTAGAGGGCAATGTTGACAAGTCCGTGGACTGAATGAACTAAGGCTTGGTTGATATTTGTACAAAATTGAAATATATGCAAATTTACTTGTCAAGTAGCTGTCAAATTGACTAAAATGCCAACTAAGATGAGTGATAGTGAGCTTTAATTCTTTGAACACGTTTGCTGCAATACAAAATTTTGTTGTTGTTTTTTTTGTTTTCATGCTTAAATTACTCTAAAAAAAGAAAAACTATTTCAGTTTGAATCAAACAAAGAACAATTTAAAACTGGGACATGCCTTTAGTTATTATGGCTTTTTTGTGAAAGGATAACTATGGTAGTTCAAATCAAACTGTCAAATGACTCCAACAATTAAAACAATTGTTTTTTAGATTTTTTAAAACACATCAAGGGAAGAACAAGAACTCTTCTTGTACAATTGTCATTTAAATCGTGCATGTTTACCAGTTAATGTTTCTTATCAAGATCTTTTTAGTAATTAATTTCACAGTGTTGAGAATTTGCAATAAATTTTGCTTAAATGTTGGATGAAGAAATTCTTTCTTAGTTGTGATCTCCATTCCTCGATCATCCAGTTACTGCATATTGCATAAACCATCAGTTACCTACTATGGTCTGAAAAAAATGTGATATTTAAGAATTTTTACAGATTCTGCAAAAATTCTTGTAAGTTGTTTGAAAATCTCACAAGTTCTTGTAAGTTCTTTTAGAGATCATTAAGACATTGTTGAGAATCTTAACAAGTTCTTTTGAAAACTTGTGAAGGTACTTAATTAAGATTCTTGTCACAGGAATCCTACCAGATCTTGTAAGATTCTTGTAAGTTTCTTACTAAGATACTTATCAAGATTCTTAGTTAAGAATCTTATAGGATCTGGTAAGATCTTGTCACAAGATTCTTACAAGAATCTTGTAAGATCTTACAAGATCAGGTAAGATCTTGTCACAAGATTCTTACAAGAATCTTGTAAGATCTTGTCACAAGATTCTTACAAGAATCTTGCAAGATCTGGCAAGATCTTACCACAAGATTCTTACAAGATCTTGTAAGATCTTACAAGATTCTTACAAGATCTTGTAAGATCTTACAAGATTCTTACAAGATCTTGTAAGATCTTACAAGATTCTTGTAAGAATCTTGTGACAAGATCTTACAAGATCTTGTAAGGTCTTACAAGATTCTTAATTAAGAATCTTAATAAGAATCTTAGTAAGAAACTTACAAGAATCTTAGTAAGATCTTAATAAGATTTCCACCTGGGGTCAAGCAAATGGAGCTTCAGAAAAATAGATTTCAGCTTTGTTTCAATATCAGCCCAAATACTTACCATAAAGGTAGTCGTGAGTTCTGGAGTTTTGAAGTTTTCCTTGAGTTACAGTTTGTGTTGAAGACATGGCTTTTTCTCTGGATGAATACGGTAATTTCAGCGTAAAAAAGTCTTCATATTCTGTCAAAACAAAATGGCCGGCGTGAGATTTACTTTAACCTGTTGCCATGCCGACTAGGCGGTTTACACCAGCGCTGGAACCCATGCCTCGGGCGAAAAGGCGCATTGTTGTCATATCAACAAAGTTTCATAAAGAAGATAAGATCGAAGGAAGAATAACGGAGGACAAATTATCCAATATCACACCAAGATGACATACGCTTCCTCTCAGAATATAATGCCATTTGTAAGTGAGCTTAGAGCTACAGGCCACGGGGAAGTTTGGGATCATACAGACGAAAAAAAGCTTCAGCAGTTTGGTTGGAGATGCACGAATACCGAGAGTTCCTACAACACAAATACTCTGATCGGCAACTGGAATGAACAGCGATTTGACATCAATAGAATTTCAAAACCAAAACCAATTCCTTCACAGGTAAAATAACTGTAAGGCCCTCTGCTTCATCAATTCAATCAGGATTTTTTTATCTTAGATTTCTCGCAAATCAGAACGAACAAAGTCCAGCCGTAAGTACCTTAACCGCAACCTTTTCGATTCAAATCTGCAGTATAATCACTATTTTGAAACGACGTATGGTACTGGATATCATGCAGTTGACAGAAGCAAAGTACCAGAGGCGTTAAAACATCTTGAAGGTGAGCAAGAATGTAATTTTTTTTCCTAGTTCGTAATTCTTCAAAGCGTGACGCAGTAGGGGTTGCGTTACATTCCATTTACTGTACAAGCTAAACTCTAAGGGATACCATTATCACAGCCTCCATAAGGTATCACGAGCCTTTAAGCAACCCCAGGTTGAACATAACCACAGTTATCATTGATATAAAGACTAGTAAACAATGATTGGAACTAAGGCCTGCCATTCCTAGTAGCAATTGGGGGAAGGAGGGGGTTCTGAGGTGGACAGGCATACTAATCTCCCACTTCCTTTACATTGACTTCCAGTATCTTAAACCTTCAATTCCCACTTTCTGCCCTTTACTGGTGTACATTACTGAACAAGCAATAGAATGCTCATTTTATTGGTTTATGACATATATCAGTGTAATAACCCACTTAGGATGTTGGGAGAACACAAGAAAAGTTTGTAACTCACCATGCAGGTGGGGAGAAGTGATTACCAACTTTTCACTTAATTTTTTGCCCAACATCTTGTGTCAGTTATTATATATTGCTTTTATAAAATAAATATGGTTTTACCAGTGCAGCAACCAATAGGTTTTCGATAAATCAGAACATTCAAATCAGAATTTTCCCTTCTTCTTTTCCTTGTGCCAGTGCATACAACCAGTAAAAACCAGGCTTAACTGTTAAGTAGAGTCATGTGAAAGTAAACTTGTGGTTGAAGATCTGATTTTAAAATTTTTTGTTTTTTTTTCTTTTAAAGCAAGAGAACCAATAGCATTTCCAGGTCATCAGCCAGAACTTGATCCAAAAGTGCTCAAGAAACAGTACAACTCATTTGTGACAACATCTAGAGCAGCCTTTGGTGATCCAACTTTGCAGAAATAAGTCTGATTAATTATGAAAACCAGTGGAAATCCCAACTTGGGTTAATTTTTGTGCTTCTAAATAGTCACAATGCCCCAAATTTTTTGTTAAGAAAGCAACAACATTTTTCACTAAGAATAAAGAGGCAGACTTAAATGTCACTCTATGGTAATGAAAGGTTCTAACAATTTTTAAATAGTGACATACAATTTGTTTTCAAAATTGACATCACATTTTCAAACAAAAGCACAGTGTATTAATATATTTAGTGCCAACAAATAGTTTTGCAATATATTTTGCATATTTATGCTTTCCAACAATTGTCACAGAACAGAAAATAAAACTTTGAAATTTAAATAAGACTCAATGATAATTTTGTGTACTTTACTTTTATGTACACATGCAAAGTTGTGATATTTTAAACCAAACCTCAAAATAACTGGCCAAATGAAGAGAGACCACTTTTTAATAACAGGCTTCAAAAAAATTTTTTTTAAACTTGATTGCAGCACCAATCCATATGAACAAAATCATGTTTTGTGTGAGCTTTAAGCAGAAAATAAAAAGTATATCAATAAACTACAGGGAATGTTTTGCATCAAGCACTCTTCTTTGCCATTGCAGCCTTTGCTCTCATGAACAACTGCATTCCTCTTGGCAATGCTGAAGCTTGGACTGCATCCTCTTGCTGCTCTTTCTCCTTTAACTTCATCTCTGCCATATCTGCCAAAACATTGGCAATTTGAAATTGGATTTGCTGGCATCTGAAAAGGGGAGAAAATAATTTTAAGTATTTAACGTCATACTAAAGGCTGACCATGAAGTTAAATGGCCCTTGATGGCAGAGGAGGAATAAGGGTGTGGCATCAAGACCTAGCAATCCTGACTCTGTCAAGAAGATATTCTGTTGTTTTGCCAACCTGTATGTCACATAAAAGTGCTATAGAGTGTGGTACATAGACCTTACCCATACAAACCTAAGCACACTCAGACAGAATATTTGGGGTTAGATTTGCAAAAAAAATTATCCAAGTGGCTATACACATGTAGACTGTGCATCACTTCTACCCAAATTCTGTTGAGGCTTCTGGGCCACCCCCCCCTACCCTTTTCCCTAGGACATAGGATTGTAAACTTGGCAGCTTATTCTTTGCACTTGGGATTCCCAATGACCCTCTTAAGGGGGAGGGATGTTCCTTGGGATGGAGCATTTGTGACAGCACTTGCTTTTTACTGCTGTGACTTGGGTTCCATTCCCAGACCTAATGTCACATTATAGTTTGGGTTTATAGTTGATTCTCCTCCATGATCTCCTGGCCTTTCTCCATCAGTTGTCAGGATTTTTTCTCTCCAACAACACTCCACCTACCTATTCAATCTGGTAACAGTGAAAGACTGGTCAGAGCAGGAATAGTGTAAGTCCAACAGCTGCCTCTAACCATTGTGGGCCTTAAAAGTTTGATTCCCAGACCCCAAGTGTTGCATGTTAGCTATTCCCCTCTAAGCACTCCTATTCTTTTTTTTTGTTCAACTTATCAGGGTTTCCTCCCCTTACAAAACATGTATGACAGACTTTGCCAAAAATGAGTGACTACTTGTAGTTCATGCTTTTGATAGATTAATTAAACTTTTAAATCAGACTAAACCTGTAAGTGTAAAGATCCAGATGGTCTGTTGTAGTAAGGAATGCCTCTATCCATGTTAAATTGGCACAAGGATCAGACATGATTACATAATCATCATGACGTAGTGTCTGTTGGAAGCTCTGGGTCATCTCTTCAAAGTTAGCATACTGGCTGTTTTTCTAATGGATGGATATAAGGTGGTAAGTACTAGAAAATCCTCCTTGAAAAATAAATTCCATGGAAACATGGAGATCATTAGAATCCTTAGGAAATATTCCTTATAATTCCAAGACATGCAAAAGAAAATAAACTCAAAACTTGGAATTGCTGAGAATTTCTGAAAATGATCAGACACCAAATGTTGAAATGTTAGTGGAAAACTTTTCAAGATGACATAAGTGTAGGTGCAAGAATTTGTATTATCATTTTTTGTTAGTGTTGGTGTTTCATAGTTTCGTGTTAGGTGTTTATTTTCTCGTCTTCCATTAGTGTCCTTTGTCAGTTACCAGTTTTGTACTTGTTATATTTATTTGCATATCGTATATATATTGGTTGTGCGTAATTCATTTGGTTAGTTGTCTAGTTTGCGAAAATTATCGCTACATATCTAGCTCTGGGTTTCATGTTTTCGTCTTTGGTTTGGTCACATTCGTCTTGTAAGTATCCTTGTTTATTTCGCTTTGTCTTTTTCCAGTACTTTCACTCATACGACGTAAGTTATTTTATGCTCATTCGCGTGTTTGTAATTTTGTCATTTTCAGTTACCGTATTCAACAATGTGTCAAGTTTGTTCTAGTAAAGTTTGAAATACGAGTGATTAGCGTTTGCGGCTATAATAAGGTTCATGTTTTAATTCTTGGGAATTACTTAGAATCTTAATTGATTTCTTCAATGGAACCAAAATGTACTTTCTTGAGCATAATGAGTAAAACTGTCAGTCATTAGGTTTGACAATCTTTCTGGTCAAAATGGTTTAAATGTAAAGTATTATTTTGACAGAGATGAACACTCACTAAATAGTCTGCATTTCAGGTGTTTCTAGGTTATCTAGATTTTAACATACAAGATTTTTGTCACCAAAAATACATCAAATGGGCTACGTGCATTCAAGCTTTGGTTATGATCCTTCTCTTTGCTGACTGCAGGTACAGTTGGGACCATCTGAGAACTTCAAGGTATTTATACAAATGATTGGACTTTTCATGCAGCCTTCCCATGTTTCTTGTGAACAGACTTTCTCATAATCTAACAATTAAATACCTGTTTTTCTAACATTTCTCTGACATCATCACGTTGTCTTTGGAAGAGGAAATCTTTCTTCATCTACATAAAAAAAAAACTTGATTGTCAGTGACAGAAAATCTTCATCCTGAAGAATTTCTTTGAATTTTAAATTACCAGTAATAACCACTTATCTGTAAACTTTTAAAATTAGGGACCCTTGATACTTCTGAAAAGTAAAAAAAACTTGAACTCATTAATTATACAGTTGATTTGTTTTACTCTAAGTTTTAACCTGTAGAATTGCTTCACGTTCTTGTCTTTGCTGTGTAATGAACTTCTCTGTGGCCTCATGTATGTTCTACAAAAAATTTATAATGTAAGACAGTGTTTTCAATCACGGAAAACTATATTTAAAAAAAAATATATAGAAAGAGCAGTTACTGAAGTATTAACATACAATTAAGGACCAATTGCTTTGACAAAGGGCTAATGCTTGAAATGTCAGCCTTTAAACTCTTTATGGTGGCCAATTTATGTTTTCAACTCTGTTGTTAACATCTATTACCTATTAACATACAAGGCTAGGAAGTGAATGACTATAGAAAAAAATTTGCATTAACAATACCATGTACTTATTGACTGAATGAGAGGGCCAGATAGGAAAATACTGCTATTTGGCTTGAGATCATGACCCATAGACTAAGCACAGTAAGGTCTGTGCATCATGAACAAGAGGCAAAATTTTATTTTCCTGCCTGGCAGACATGAAAAACATTTCATCATTTGGAATGTTGCTCTGTCTTCTGCTTCGTTAACTTTTCTCAGCTGGGATCTCAAGGGGCCATACAGGTTTGTACAGCCCTGCTAACACCATTGTATACAGCCACAAACAGGGATTTATGAAAAAAGTTTTTCAATAAAAGCAAGTATGTTAGGACAATTAACAAACTAGACTTACCATGATGATTATTCCAATAAACAAATTGGTGAAAATGAAGTGGCCCAAGAAAATAAAGATCACAGTAAACCACTGGCTGTAGGGTCTTTTGTCCAAGTCTTTCTGGATTTCTGTCCAACCATCCACCTGGACAGAACAATTTACAAATTGTAAATTTAATTACATAAATTTAACACATGCTATAGAACCACCTGTCTGTGTTCAAAATTAATGAATTGACATTCCTATGGGACATCATTTATTGCTCACTCCTGGAAAGGGGAGTAATATAATCAGAGATACAGTAGACTAATATTTAGCCCACTAGACTCCCTGTCAAGAGCTCTGGTTTCAAGACTGGGTCAGATCATTGTGTTGTGTTCTTGGGCAAGTCACTTTATTCCATTAGTGCTTCTCTGCCTCAGGGCTGGGTGGTTCAAAGCTGGGTTAAGAAAGCCCAGGATTAGTCTGGGTAATCTGTTTTCAGATCTGCAAGCTTTAAAACAAAATTTCAATTTCAATTCTTTTTGTCTATAATCTGATGATTGGATGCTCTAATAATAAAAGAGGAACATATCTCAATAAAGTCTTTTGTATAAAGGAGTAAAGAAACCTGGATTAATTTTTAACCCTAGGTTAGTGCTTATCAGCCTTCAAACAGCTAGGGTAATTAACCTGAAATGGAGTGGCATCCTGTCCAGGGGAAACAAACAGTGAAGTTATGCTACACTACAGAGACATGGATAAGGGCTTTTAATTGGCTGAAGTTCATATTTAACCTTCACCTGGGAATAGGTGGGTTTAAGAAGACAGAATCCTCATAATTTGCCAAATTCATTTAATTTTTAGATACAACAGTTTGAAATGAAAAAAAAAACAAAACAAAACAAAAAAAACATGAACACAACCCACAGTAACAAATGTGAAAAGTGTCAACATAGCAGTGCTGAGAGTTCCCCAGTTCTCTTTATCACCAGTCTCCTCTTCATAACCAAAAATATAATAACCAACTACAGCAAAGAAAGCCATCAGCATGACAAGAAGGATCACCACATTGAGTACAGAGTTCCTAATAGTGTCAATCAGTGCTGTGACAAGAACTTGGAGGCCTTCAATGAAGGAGATGGTCCGTAATGTTCGAGCAGCTGCAAACAGAAGATAGAGCAAGTTGCTACAAATTTAACCCCTTAATCCCAAGATTTGATTGTTAATTCTCCCCTCTAGGTACTACACATTTCCTTATAAATTAGTTATGAGAATTTGGTATTGGATCAAGATAACTTTTACCTGGTTAGTCTGAGTAATCACATTACCTGTTTGTTGGATAATATATGGATATTATAAGGAAAAGTTATGTGTTTATCTGGGTTACTAAGGATCTGAAAGAAAAATTTGGGGAGAACTGGTTGCCTAATTATCCGCTCACTCAGCTTGACTGAACAAGGTTGAAGACCTGGTCTGGGAAGCTTTGTTCTCGTTTGGATAAGCTGACTCAATTGTGCAAGTCACTTGTGTGTAAACTTCCCTTCTCCTCAATCTAACTGTCAAGGTGACTCTCACAGACCTCTTAAGAGCCTCAAAGGTGTGAGAATCTTATCACCCACATTCAGCTCATCCATGATGACTTGAACATATGACAATGCCAGGATAGAAAAGTCAAATCTGTTATAACTGCTTTTCCAGTAACCCCTTGGTTCAGCATACAGCTTCATCAGGAACTCCATGGTGTAAATGGCAAGAAACAGCTCATCCAAAGCTTTGAAGACATTCTTATGTGGGACCTTCCATTCCTCCACTGTCTCAAAGCCAATGACAAAGGAATTCATGACTATCACCACCATGATGAAGCCATTAAAAACTGAACTCTGCCAGGCAATTTGAAGAAATAGAGAAAACAGTTCAAATTGTGAGGTAAAATGTAAATCCCATTAACTGCAATCTTCTGTTGTCAGCTCAATTTTCTTCTTGTTCCTATAAGTGCACATTTTCATTTGAAATTTAGAGAGCTTGCATATCACAATAACTTGAGTAGATTCTTGTTATGAGAATGTCATTCAACTTAAAGGAGACCAACATGTCAGCTTGGTGGGCAAAAACAAAAGATGTTTTGCCCTGAAATTATGTTATATGTTACAGTGATAGCACGGACAGAGAACACAAAAATGGATTGCTAAAATTAAAATAAATGTGTGTGTTCTCATCTCGCCTTGGCAGAGGGAATTTCTCCTTGCAAAACCTTGAAATAACAGTTTTGAAAATTTTACATACATATTATTCGATTGGTTTGTACGTCAGCTGTGGGGTTCATTGAGAAATAAAGTACTTGGGAAGTTTGGAAAGCTCTTAGGAAACTGTGATTTCTCCTGGGTTTGCCTTTAGCGACTAACGCTCTAAAAAATTCCAGCACGTTTCACATCTCATTGAAGGCATTCTGATATATTAAAAAATAGGATATTCACAAATGATAAAATTGTCAGATCAAGGCTGTATCTCGATAGCGATGCACATACAATGCTTTCATCTCTTAAAGTTCACGAATCTCCGTAAATTGTTGGGATACACTATTTACGAGATGAACCAATCTGTACACCTTCACCTGATTGTACATCAATAACTTTAAAGAACTCCTGAGCTCTTGGTGTAATGAAATAAGCCGGGCAATTTCATTTTTACTCTTGGTTAAAATGCACGCTCACTCCCAGTAACTTTGCGAGACGTCGTTATAAAGTACTTACATACAATAAAGTTATGCAACAAAGGAAAAATCTTACCGTTGTTATTTTCTGTATATATCTGTGAAACTTTTTATCTACACGATACCTTGAGTCTCTTCGTTTCCTACAGCGTTTATTTGATTTTTTTGTTGTTTTAATAAAAAGAAAACAAAATAAATTTGGTCACGATTAAACTTTGAGCTGGCTTTCGCCAACCAACCGCTGCAGTTACTGAACAAAAAGGAGATTTTCACAAATATAATATACAACGTTTCTCTCAAATCTTACCTTAATAGCTCTACAATTACTTGATTTAGATTTGGATACATGATTGATGTAAGACTTATTTGTCAAAAACCGGAGATTTTTATGTTACCACAAGGCATAAAGGATTTTCTTTGTAAACTAACAGTTCAAACGGATAGTCGTGCCGAGACCTCCTTCTGGTAACCGAGGGAAACTGGTTCGAGGTCGTTCCTCTTTAAATCTCAAGGGAGGGGCAAGGGAACTATGAAGGCTCAAAAATCATTCTACAAGTAATCTACCATATTCTCAAAGGAATTAAAACAGGCTACTATCACAAGCAGTACATTTTACAGTTTTCAAACGATTTATTTCATTGTGCACAAATCTACTTTAAAAACTGCAGCAGTGTTTCTAAACTATTACTATTTCTTTCAATCAATAAATGGCGCCATAGACAGTTTTTCTATTATCATAATGCTACACATTGCACAACTCCACAGCTACATATAACACAAAGCATTCCAGAAATGACTTAAGTCAGGTTGAGTCATACCATCTTAGTGACAAACAGTAAGTAACAAACAAAACAACAACACAAAGAAGTCAAAAACTAATTTAACCTGAGGGCAACAAAGAGGCAATCATAGAAGTTTCCTTATAGCAATACACAACAATAATCAATGATTCACAACTAAGTATCAATAATAACATTATCTTTTGTCTAAAGCTCCTTTCTTTCCCAAAAATAAACAATTTCAATTGGGTTTTTGATTAGACCCAATTTGCAAATGCTGACCTTCATAACATGTTACATTGATACAATGTTCATTCATAAGCAGAAGCAGCAAGGCTTACTAGTGTCAACATAAAAACATAATGGCAGTGTGCCATTAAGAAAGAGCTTGTGGGGCCCTTTCACTCCCTGTATCGACCAAGCCATAACTTCTCCTCACAATACAAATACAATATCAAGAGGACAAATGATGAGAATAAAGAAAAATATTAACTGAGAATTTTTTTCTTGATCCAACACTAGTTTCTCAGAATTAATATTAGAAGAAATGTATCACAGACAGTAAGGAGAATTACAAGTTCTTGGGAGTGATAGGGTTAAGACAACTTAAGAGATTACTTACACTACAAGGTGACTAATGAGCACTAGTCTTATAAAAATCTTAGATTCTAGGACTGCAATAGAAGTTCCAACCATTATTCATGCCTGAGTTTGGAGGTAAGAGAGATAAACATGCAACTGTGTAAGAAGCTACTACAAATCAAAAAAAAAAAAAAAAAAAAAAAAACCCATGGAATAGGTGGGATAAATTTCAAAGGAGACTTTTCTTTTTAATCAGATAAAAAGGAAAACAAAATTCAATCAACAGGGAGGCTCAAGCTTTGGAGCTACTTGTACTCATGAAGGCAGAAAAAAAAAAAAGGTAGATTAATGTCAGCATCTGAGCAAGTACACACTGAAGCATCCCCCAACCTAACAACAGTCAACTGTTAAGAAGTTAGGTTTATTGTTGGATTAGTGGATTAGGGGAGGGGCTGGTGCACAGTTGCTAAGACACTGATATTGATCCAAAATGACAATAACCAGAGTGGGTTGTTTGATCATGAGAACCTGTGAAAGCTCTTTGTTGTAAAAGATATGGTTCAAATATTCAACCCTGGCAAATAAATAATGGTTTGACTTCTATCAGTATAGTTTCGTTGATGTGCTATTTGCAACACAATGAAACCTGTATCAAGAAGTATTTATGAGACTCATGCTGTTGTCTGCTCAATAAGGAGTCTAGGTAATAGCACTTTGCAGTACCAATTACATCATTATTGCATTTATTGTGTGACCAGCTTTACGCATCTCTCTTTCCAGACATCTTTGACCCTTAACTTCAGCTATATTACCAAACATGATACAAAAATAAACTATTTTCAAACCCATTTTTAATAATAAATTTAACAGTTTAGTGACTTGTGTAAACTGATTGTAATTTCCTAAGATAATTATTACAAGGCAAGCCAAGCCAAGCAGATATACAGAACCACTGAGGAAATCCTAAGAGATGAGCTACACCCATCACATGGGGTAAGAACTGTCAAAATGTTTCAGTTTTCATAGGATTCCTATTCAGATTTTTAGGAGAGCAATTTGCTTACTAGTATTACAATTGCACTTTCATTTGGAAGAATATCAGCCTTAAAAATAAACTAGCTTTTTCCTTTTCCTAACTTATTAAAAATAAAATACAATCACTTCATGCTCCACTGATAATTGAAATAATTTGTGTATCTCTAACAACTCTCAGTAACACAAAAATATCAACAGGACAAAAAATAACATTGTTCATGAGCAATATAGGGTGCAGAGAAGAACTATCACTTTCTGCCTTTCTGTGTCTTCTGATATTGTGCCTGTGCAGTTCTGTGCAAAATAAACAAAAGTAAATAACAAAAAAGTGAAGCAAAACAACAAATAAAATGTGCCAGATCTTGTAGCTAATGAAATCTGTCCTACTGAACAACACAGAAGTGTAATCCCAATGAAGCCAGACTCAGAAAGTCTTTGTTCAAAGATGTTTCAGTTTCCTGGTGTGAGTGATGTTTGAAATAAAAAAAAAGGAAGAATCAAAGAATGTTAACATAAACAAACAAAAACAAAAGAAACAATAAATAATGTCACCCAGTTATCTGACTATAAAGAAAACAAATTATTTTACATCTTAATGTTCAGTCATGTTTACCTAATAAGAAGTTGCGGCATCTGTAAGATACTTTAAGTAAAAGATACAATGTTTAAAAGCAGTTTTAAAAGGAGGGTTAAGCCTCTTGTTTAGCAGAAATCTTGGAGACAAGATGAGTACAAGTTAATCATAAATAATTTTTAATAATCAGTTTTAATAAATAATCTATGAAGTTCTTACTTTCAAAGTTAAGAGTTAGCCAAACAACACAATTATCCTCTGTTAATTGTAGAGGTTAAGGGTCTAATGATAACATTCTCACACACAAATTAATTAGAAAAGGTTGCCCATCACTTGATTACATTGTAATGCAATGGAAAAACAACAAGTTGCACTAAGAAATTACTATTTGTTGTTTATGTTTTAATAGGTAAGATGATAAGATTTGTGAAGCACATGTTACAATGTATATCCCCAAGTAAACAAGGATAAAATAGATTCATTAACATTTGGTACTGATCTCATAAGAAACTGAAATTTGTCTAATTTTTTAAATTTTTATGTTAGATTAAGATGTTAAGTTGTGCCTTGAAGAAGCGTCAACAAGATAGATTCATCACTTTGAACTGAAAAGAGGATTACACATGTCAATAAAAAGCCAAAAAACAATGGCAAAACAAAACAAAACAGAATAGGGTTTTAAGAAAGTGAAAAGAACTGAATTTAATTAACTGTTTCTCTTGATAGTTTGTGTGAATAAACTTTTTCTTGACACCTTGAACTTGGAATGTTAAGTTGATTTAAAAGAACAGTGCTTCAAGTTTGTCTAAGGAATGTTAGAACTGTGTGAAGAAACCTAGATGGCCAGGACTTTTCTGCAAGTTTGCACCTGGAATAGGCCATTTCTAAGAAGACTCAAATCTTCAATTAATATGAAAATTATTTGTTGTTCTCAAGCAAACACAAATAACCAATGACTTACTTTGAAGCATCCTCAACATCCATGAGAAGAGAATCTTGTCTAAGATGAAGAGCATCTCTGTTCATTAACTCAGTTACCAGCACTTCATTTTGAGCTATGAAGCAAACATCAAAATAATTAAAACAAAAGTGCACCACAGTTTTTTCAAAAACTAAAGAAGACACTCATAATTTTATTTGAGACATGAACTGTGAATCAACCAATCAAATAGAAAACCCTTGTTTTAGCAAAGAAAATTAAATGTTTGTGACTGAAGACTTGTAGCATACAAATAAAAAAAAGAAACCTCAACATAACCTTTTAAACCCAACAAGTGACCAGCATCTAATTTCTCCTTACAGTAATGCCACTGAATCAGTCATTAAGATCATGAGAACAAAGAAAAGGATCACCAATCTAAGAAGAGTTGATTGTTAACCCTTTCACTCCCATAAGTGACCAAGACAAAATTTCTCCTTACAATATCAATACAATATCAAGCAGGTAGGTGATGAGAATAGAGAAGAATATCAATTATGGGATTATTAGCTGATCCAATACCAAAATTCTCTGAGCTAACGTCATAAGAATTGTATGGCAGACAGTAAGGAGAATTACTAATTAGATCTCGGGAGTAAAAGTGTTAAATGGATTCTCCTTGTCAGTACCAAAGGGAATGTATATAGAAAAGTATGGAGAAGATAAATACTGATGTAAGGGTGTAAAGAGTTAAGAAATCTGTAATTCCAGTTCCAGTCTGCATCACTCAACATCTGTGATTAAGCTCAATATCAAATATTTTCAATTCATGCATTGACAACACTTGAGTCCTAGAATTTTCCACAACACTTTACCTTCAATCAGTTGACTCATATTTTTCTGGAGTGCTTGCAGTTCTTCCAAATTTAGTTCTTGTAACCTCTCTTCAGTCCATCCAAGCATTACATTTGTATAATTTTCCTGTTTTTCATTTTCACTGTCCTGCTTTCTCAGTTCTATCAACACTTTCTCAGATTCCTCCTGAGATATTTCATGTCTTTCCAGTGTTTCTGGTCTAACCGTTTTAATACTAAAGGACTCCGATGCCTCATCATCACCTGCCACGCAACCTGAATCTCGTTTTTCTTCATCTGAAACATCCTGTTTTTCAATAATATACTCTTTTATGACACAGCCATCTTCATCCCCTTCAACGTCACTTAGGAGCGTATCGTCAACAAAGCATATTTGCAAATCATTTGGTTTCAAGGAAAAGTGTTTTAGCCTTCCATTGGATGTGTCTGGAAGCTCACTGCTTTCGAAGTCCTGTGTTTCACCCTCTGAAGTGAGACATGATTCTATTGATTCCCAGTCAGTTGTTGGTGATGGCAACTCAGCTGGCGAGCTGACAGAATCCATTCCAGGTAGTTCATCATTAAATGTGTCTCTTTCCAAGACATGATTGCCATCATATAAAACATGTCTATGAGGTCCATGTTCTTGAGTATTTCTTAAATTTTCCTCTTCTACCTGTTCAAGGCTGTCATTGAAAACATCCGAAAGATTATCGTCATCACAAAAAGAAGCATTGTCTGCACTCTTCATAAATGGATTTGTCCTTATATGTAAACTTCCCATGTCTGGAGTGGAAAAAAACGGTTGTGATGCCGCATCAAAACCTGGCATGTCGTGTGAGTTTGTGGTCCCTTGTCCGACAATGATCTGATCTTGAGATTGTTTCTTATGTTGTCTCCAGGCTCTTTGGATGCTTCAACAAATTAAAATGAGTAGAAATAAGAATGAGGCACCCTCTAATTTTTCCTAACCTCACTGTAAACATCGATAGTTTCCTGATAGTTTTTTCTTAACTCTTTGACCCCTAAGGGAGACTATAGCATCTGATTTCCCCTACAAGCATCACCCTTGAATCAAACATTATGGTCAAAAGAAAAAAGGAGATGATCATGAACGGGAAGCCCTTGATTGTTAAACAAATCCTCCTTGTCAACATGTTAAGAAATACATAGAGAACATTATGAAGAAAATGCATACTAATTTAAGGTGTAAAAGGTTAATAACTATAACAGTTGCATTTACCCCTTTAAGTGCAGCTGCATTTGTTAAATTTTCCCCTGGCCACTAAAATAAGGCACTTATTTAGGGGAAGCAATTCTTTGGGGGGGAGGCCCCATTTATAGAAAATCGTGATATTAAAAGAACTGATAACAAGAAAGCATTAACAGTTAAGACAATTGCATCGTACAGAGTCATTACATGTCACTGTAAGTTTGATTGGAAAAATTATGCACGAGCCCTTAACACTAGTTTACTTCGTATATTCAAAATTCAAAAGTCACTGCCCCTTTAACAACCCAAATCCAAGACTTTAAAGGAAGAGAACAAAAGCTATTTTGAGCTGAAAAAATGTTTCTCTGGGAAAATTGAATTTCAGTATGCGCATAACAATTTGAAATAATTATATTTACTATTCATACAAGGAAAAATTTATTATAACTTAGGACCTCAGATTTAGGTGATAAAAACTTAAAAGAATGAAACTCACGTTATAACATCACATTCAATTCCTCGCCGGAGGTTTTTGCGCAAACAGGTATTCTCTTCCATTTCAAGGTTCAAGCGATAGCTGTTAAAACAAAAGTAAAAAACATTATGAAGAAATTTGACTGTTTCTGTACAGAAAAATTCATTAATGAGAACAGTGACTTAAAATTAAATATATTCACATGTCTGGACATGACAAAGTGAGAAACACCACATACCAGTATTACAAATAAAATCTTGCTTTCAATCTATCACCATAAACTCAGCCCATGTTATTTTTGGCATTTTGTGGTTGATTAAAAAAAAATTACCCTCTGTGTTTTGTTTTATTCTATAACCCTTACATGCATTATAATTTCAAGTTTGATACATCAAAATGTTAATAATAAAATTGACACTGTATGATTTTGAAATGGGAAAATTTTCAATTATTTTTTTACCATAAAAGCCCCAGACAAAACGGTCCAAAAAATTTTCACTGTACTATTTTTGGATGTGATGTAATATTCCCTTTATATTTTCAACAATTTACAACTCAGTGCAGAGTCAGGTCCTACACAAAACATGACTTTCAAATTGCTGTCTTGAAGCAACTCGTAAAATCACGTTTTTTGAAGGACAGCCAGCTTAAAGAAATCTAGAAAGTTATTTCCAAATAAGGGCATGTTATTCTTATCTTGTACAATATCAAAAATTCTATACATCTTCCTCAATGATATTCTGCCAATAAAAGGAGATTTTAATACAAAATATCAAAAAGCTTATGGAAAAAATCCTTCTCATACTAAAAATGAAGACAAAAAAAAGGACTCAAATTAGGTTTGGAGTGAACCAAAATTCAAAGTTTTAACTTGAAAAATACAGTACACATTTTAATGCACTAACATTAGTATTGAGCTATAAAATCTGAATTCATGGACTTTTTTAGTCACATAAATTGTAAACAAATTGGAATCCAGCTTTGCTACCAGTGGGATTATGCAGATTTGAAATTATGACGCAGCAAATTTGAAAGATCTACCATATATAGTTAGAAAAAACTCTGCAATGTTAATCTTATTAGCAACTTAACAACATTTCCTACAAAACATGGATAAGAACACACATGAAAAATATGCTCTCTAATGGATAGCCTTAAAATCATAAATTCAATCAGTTTCATTGTGTCTACGGCATATGCACTGTGAGTCATAATATCATTATAGTCTTCCTTCCAATTAAATACCACAGGAGAAAAATTGCAGATATAAAATATATCTCCTTCCTTAAAAATTCTGTATCATAACGAAGGTAGCAACTTAACAAAAAATCTATTTTTGGTCATTTAAAGAACATCTGAATCAAAATGTGATAATATACATTTGAATAACCCTGCAGACATATCCATCCATGGCCTTGTGTTTAAAGATAAATTTGTACAATGGAACCATTGACCATTGAAAAGAGATGTGAAATCATCCATTCTACTTACTTTTCCACCAGAATTTCTCCTTCTTCCACTTGCTCTCGCATTTTTGCTTCTCTTTCTTCTTCCTCCTACAGTTATCACAAAGAACAACATCCATCAAATACAGCAAAACAAAATTCAATTCCAATTTAAATTAGCTGCCACAGTCTTTATGAGAAAACTGAACAAAATAAACTAAAGGATATTCCAACCTGAACAAACACTCAGGAGATGTCTGAATCAATTCTAGTTAGACGGCTTATCAGTCAGAAATTACCACTGAGTAATTGTTTTCTTTGATTATCTGTGATATTTCAGTTAAAGTTTTCACAATCCCCAGACTGAATATAATTTGTATAAAACTGTTGAATAAAATTTGCAAGTTAAAGTGAATAAGCAATGGCTATATGGCATAATAATGTACAATCCTCATTTGTTTATTCAACAGATAGAGCTAAAATTTAAACAACATCCCTGTCTTAAGGAGTAGGAGGCTTCATTATTGCCTATTAAAAAATATTTGAAAATAACCAAGAGCAAGATTCTGTGCAAGCTTGAAATCTTATCATTTTCCTTCAATTTTCAAAAGCAATCTTTATCTCTTTAAAGTACATGTATAAACACATCACATGAACATTAGTAGGATGCATATAATTTGAATAATAATCACTCATGGTACACATGACGGCCACTTAACTATTAGCTAAATACTGAATTTACCATGCATTTCAAGCAAAAAAAAAGCACTGAATTATAAACTTAACTATTTCAGATAAGTAATTTTTGAAATTAATCCTTTCACTCCCAAGATCTAACTGGTAATTCTCCTTAACATCTGCCGTACAATTCTCATGATGTTAGTTTTAAGAATTTGGTATTGAATCAATTATTAATCCCCTGGTTGATGTTTTTCTTTATTTTCATTTCTTGTCTCCTTGATCTTGTATTGATAATGTGTGAATAATTTCTGTATTGGTCAGTTACTTCTGGGAGCTTCAAGGATTAAAAGGGTGCCTCAAAGAACTTTGCAAAACAAATGGCAGATCACTTGACAACATTGATATAATTGTAAAGCCAGGCAGAACTGTACTTTTGACATATTTGTGTTTTTAACCAACCTTGATGAATCTTTCATAGAGCAGCTGAACAAAAAGCTTTCGGGCTAAATATCCTCTAAAATAAGCTTGAATACTAATTGCTGCGGCTTCCTCTACTGTCACTTCATTTGGCTGAGATTAAAAAGAAATAAATAACAGTGAATATCAAAAGACAAAATTTATGATTTAAAATTGGGGAATTTATCTTTTGGAGCTCTGACTCTTAATATGAACTGTGACTTGTATTAGGAAAGTTCTAACCTTCCCAAACAAATAAAATTTATCAAAAATAAACCATGAGTATAGGATGTGTACTTCTTTGGGCTTAAAAAAAATTGACTACTTAGTGTGATCTCTTCCAATCCTTTTTTCAATTGATGTTTCATGTCCCACAATTACATTCTATGACTTAACACACCTAGAAACTTCCATCAACTGATTTTGCGGAACTGCCACGACACCCTGTCAACACAAGACCCAGCTAACAGAACAAGCTTTGTATGTTTCTTTGCAGTACTTTTTGAAACATTTGCTTAATTTGAGAATACATCCAAGAAGATGATAAAGATTTTTCCTATAATTAGATGTACCCACTGCTGCTCATTTTTCAAACATGTCTCTCAGCTTCAAAACATAAATATTCTAAGGAAAACTGGATGTGTTGACATAGTCCTGGCACCTCCAGACATTTTGTCTGCATTGTAAGGATTTGTCTGCAGAGCTATGACTTCTAGTAGTCATACAATAACAAACCCAAAAGTCATCAACCACAACTTAAATTGATTTTTACATCATCAATAAGAATTTCTCAAAACCACTTTTAATTTAAGCCACCACAAAAAATAACAAATTAACTTTTCTCAAAGGATGATTCCTCTAAAAGTTACAAAAAAATGATCAAGGAGATGTGGTAGTTACAATTCAGCTAAAAACATAAATGTATTTTTCTTAAAGCTTGTTCAGAAGTAAAAAGGCAATGCCCAGCGCAGTAGTTCAAGTCACTACAAATCTACACCAAATTGCAGTAAAGATGTCATAAAAAATCAAAATAGAAAAATAAGAAAAAGCCAAATGTGAGTTTGTTAGTATATAACATACGGCACTAGCATGAATTTTCTTTTTATTTTTTTGGAACTTGTACATAGAATAAGAGAGATGGTAAGTTTTGGGCTTGGAAAAGAAATAGAGAAAGATGTTTTTGGTCTTTTCACGAGCTTGGGACAAAGAAAAAAATTCTGAGTCCCCATAAGGAATTGAACCTCAGACCAGAATCTAAAGGTCTGAGGTTTGATTCCTCATGGGGACTCAGAATTTTTTTTCTTTGTCCCACACTCGTGACAAGATGAAAAACATCTTTCTCTATTTTTGGAACTTCTTGAAAATTCTAACCCAACATTTAAGACTCTCAAGAAGTTTGAAATTATTTTTTAGTGGAAATTATGTGAGAATTGTTTGGCTGCCAGGCATGTACTCTAGCTAGAGGGTATTTCAATATGCTAATTTCTATTTGGTTTTTTCCTTTTCAGTTTTATGCATTTGCTTTTTTCTATAACAATGTTATTGCATTTGGGTCTATCTTAAAAATAACAGGAGGAGAAAAAGCAGTAGAAAAATTTCCACTTACCAGAGGTAACACTTTTTTTGCCAGCATTGGATTTATTGCCTGTTGAGATCAAGCAAATTAAGAATTTCATAAATACATATCCTTCACATGTAGTGATGAAAACACACTCACACTTAGCCCTTTCACTCCTAAGATCTTATTAGTAATTCTCCCTACTGTCTGTCATACAATTCTTACAATGCTACTTTGGAGAACTTGGTACTGGATCAACTGATAATCCCTAATTGATATTTTACTTTATTCTCATTACTTGTCTGCTTGACACTGCATAAGTATGGTAGGGAGAAATTCAGTCTTGGTCACTCATAAGAGTTCAATGGTTAAGACAAGCATTCATAAAAACTAAAGGTAATCAGTGTGTTCCAGTGAGAGTTCAACAATCTACAATTTTTTTTGGGTCCTAAAATCCCTATGAGTGATGTTTCACCCTTAAGTTTGTATTTCCTAGATTTAAGTTTCAAGTTGATCAGACAATCAGCTTAGATCTTACTGATTGTGAAATAATTTTTTCAGAAGCAACTAATTGCATATCGGTTTTCATTCAGTTACTGATGTAAATTAAATTAGAAGAGGTGTTCAGAGATATACATGCTACAAATACCTCGCATTAAAAGTTTAAAAGAAGGCATCAAATTCTAGCCACAATCTTAGATTGTCATTAAGATACTTGCAAGAAAATACACTATCAGAAAACAACAGCACAGTACATGAACTTCCCATTAGTGATGAATCTGTGCAAACAGATTGATTAAAAAAATTCATTGTTGTATTAGGAAAAATAAACAAAATATAGTACTTTCACTTCACTTTGAACTCAAATTCCAAATAAAGTTGAATTAAATATTTGCCCATTTAATCAGCTATCTCTTGAAGCTGACTAAATGATTTGTTTGAATGGTATCACATGAAGTCTTTACAGACCAGAGAGAATATGAAAACATGGGTGGCATGCAAAAAGTCCTACTAAATACACAGCTCTTGACCATCTAACCTCTTAGGTTTATATCATGTCTGAGTATTCATTACACATAAGATATAAGAAAATTGTTGACTATGCAGAGTTTTCTGTGTATGTTTTGATATCCAGAGCTGTTTTTAGTCAAGAAAAATGGAGCATTCTTTTTCATTTTAAACTACTCTTTGACTAATACTCTTCTTGATGAAAACCCTGTCTAAGCAGACACAAAGAGGAAAAAACAGTAATTTTGAAGTCATGAGCTATTTTAATCCCCTAAATCCAAGAGCTTACACTGATATCTTCCAAACTTATCTCCCAAACTTAATTCCTGCAGAGTCCAACTTGTTGCTCAAGAAAATTTAAAACAAGACTAAAATATCTGACTCACTTTTCACTGTCATTAAATTTGAAATTCCTGGAAGTATGGCAAACTGCCAGTTATTCATCAGTCAAAGTCCTATTTTTGTACACTCTCTAGCACTCCTGGAGGTCACTATCTCAAACCATCTTCAATTATTAAGCTCTTCACGGTGATTTCCAAGGGATTCACAATTTATTGACAGGTTGTTTAAAACTAACACCCCAACAAAGCTGATGTTGAGATAAGACAATAGACCTTAGGTTTCTTTGAAACTTTCCCCGGATTAAATTCTCAATAACAGCACATATGATTTTGCAATTCTTGTTTTTTTCCATTAAATCAACTTTCAGTTAGAAGATTCTAGGAACATTAACAATATGTTTTTAGGTAATGGCTGTTATCTTTGAGAAATGGAAAAGAACTTCTATTTAATGCCTCCAAAATAATATCAGACACATGGAAAATTGACATCTGGGGATTTATGTTTGTTTAATCAAATCCGCCTTTATGACACTTCATTTATACGCTGACATGGAAAACAGAAGAATTTTCCATCGCAGGCTATTATCACGAAGGGAATCTTAACATCGTACTCGTAGCAACTCAATGAAAAAGTCCCGTCATACTATCTTCGGCTCCGACAGATTTTCTATGTAGAATCTAGCAATACGCTCATAACACGGCATTCCTGTGTTATGATTTCAAGTGCGTAACTAAATTTCCGTTGCATCACGCGCCCGAGAGATGATCAGTTCATGCAGAACAAGTTAAAACCCTAAATCGACTTTCAACAGAAACGCCAAACCACAATATTACTGCCTCTACAGCTGTTTCCTACCAGGGAAACTGAAACACTGATGAATGAGTAATACTAATGGATCAACACTAAACCCTCAACTACAACTCAATCGATCAATCGAAATGTCTTGTGAAATAAAAGCACTTCCAATTGTACAACCCTTAAATAAAGTTTAGTCTTACCGCCATCGCTGCTCGAGTTCGATCGTAAGAGTTTTTCTTTATGGCACCCATGTCCAATCCTTTTAGGGAACTGTCTATTTGAGAATCCAGTAAGTCTGGCAACATATTGCCATCACAATCGTAGACGCCTGTATCTTGGTAACTCGATTCATTGTCGTAATAACAGTGACCGTCGCCATTCACACTTGCCGTAGATGAACGTAGGTGGCGATCCATCGAGAACGTCCCTCAAAAATCGTTCGCTGAGAGCTATCAACATGGAGAAAATCTTACGAAATACCACGTCGGCTTGGCACACAGCACTGTCATACGGCGTTATCGGATTGCGGCGGCGATATTCAAGGACGGCAAACAGACAACTTCGCTGAAGTATCACTCACACTTTGCTTCGAAGCCCACCCTTACGACGTCACTTCCTTTTCATATCATGTTGCCCACAAAGATACGGGGATTTTTAGCCGCCGTTTCTCATCCAGAGAAATATTTCTCAATCCGCACTTTGACGAAAACGAACACACGCATTCGAAAGCTCTCCAACAATCCGTAACCGCGTTATATTCGCTTCTCTTGTCGTTATGATATGTAAATTTGTGTACTGGAATCGACGCCTGGCAGCCTGGCAAATAAAATTTAATTTAGCACAAATGGCGCACAATTTTCCCAGATAGTCTGCTGGTAAACTACACTGGGGGCTCAATGATCTTATTGTTCGACCAAGTGCGTCTCTGTAGAACCCTGTAGGTGCTCGTAGAAAGGTTCATGAAAAATAACGTTGCGAGTAAAAAAATTAATAATCATGGATACGTAAAGTGCATTCGATCTAGCTTAAGAATGCATATTCATGTCTCGTGTATAATCAAATCTTCCAACATCGAATGCTGGCGTGGCCCACAGTTCTGATTTGTGGTAACTCATTTCGTTCTATGAAATGGCTGCAAATTGTCTACTTACCTTCCCATTGCATCCAAACCGATGGGAGTCAACCCGCGGGACCACGATTTAAAGCTCTCGCATTTCACCTACTTAAGTGGTCAGTCAGTTCCTCTTAGTACTTTACTCGCGCGCTGATTGGCGAGGTCGAAAGTGCCGTAGCAAGTACTATTTACCTCCGGGCAGCCGATGAGACAAATTCGCCCGTCGAGAGCTTAGATTTCCAGAAATTTAAGGCATTTTTGCAGAAATATACTCATTTTTGGGTTTCTGAGTGGTATATTCTCAAACAATTATTCACCAGTGTCAGTGAAAGTAGTAGATATTCACCCTCACTTCGTTGAATAATTGCTAAGTAGAAAGAGGTGGAACAACGAAGGAAGAGGAAATCCAGGATGACGCTCAAACCCCCAAAATGCTTAGCATCCAGAGAAAGGCAACACGAATAGTATGCGTTTTCCTAACGTCGAACGCAACATGAAATTGATGGAAAATTTATGAAGAAGAAGGTTCCATTCAAGGCAGAAGACCTTGAACCGGAGGCTGAAAGCCCGTCTTCGGAGGAAATTGAAATCGCGAGCGACAGGGTCTGGAAAACGAAATGGATTTCGGGTTTTAGCCCTGATTGATGTACACTGACTGATCACATATAAGCGAAGAGAAATGGTGATGTCAACAATCACTTTGCTGAACATCATCGACTTACGAACCACACTTTTGACTAGGACTCTGTATAATGCCTGACATACAGCATGCTCTAACTGTTTTCAAGGACTGACTCTGGAAAGCTTGTTCAATTACTTAGAACAGAATTCCCCCCAACAGATGTCATCAACTACCGGCACCATACAAACGCAGTTGTTAAGTTCATTTACAGAACACCTTAATATCAAAATCCTTATAATTTTTCTGAAGTTATTCCATAGTGGATTACAAAGCAACGAACTTTACTTTTGGGCATCAAATCGTTTTGCTAGTTATAAGGAACACTTCAGTGGTTTCTTTTGTCTTGTTTTCGTCTTTCGCATATGCCTTATACGATCGATACGATGCTCAGATAAGGCCGTTTGGAACGTTACAAGCCAAAATACCCGAAAAGGTAATTTTTTCTCATTCCTCGGGAACTCGGAAAATACTACGCAACTCGCTAAATGTGCGTGTGTATTTTAGGCTACTCCATCGACGGATTGTATATATACAGTATTAAAAAGTCATTGACAGGTTTTTGTGTATTAAATGAAGTAATATCATCCAAAGAGTGCAGTTTAACCACGTCCATGTTTGGGCAAATAAAACATTCCCCAAAGGAAAAAAAAACAGCTAATTAAACTAGGAAAAGCCTAAAGAAGTTGTTTGAATTTTTTTTACCATAATTTTTCCTTCTTTTTCGGGCAGGCAACGAACAGAATTCCTTGCATTGTAAAAAATCACAATAAGACTCTCTCGAAAACCAGAAAGTCGAGGAGTCTGGGACCGACTTGTCTCGCGCAAGTGCGTCATAAACTGAAACTGTGACGTCAAAATATCATTTCGCTCTGTTTCTCGGATCGAAGCCGTGCGTTTTTTTGTGTGAGAGGAAAAACGTGTGGTAACAATGGGAAAGATTGTGATTTTGATTACTGTGATGGCAATTTTGCTTCAATTAACAGCGCTTACATATGCTAGAAAACACGAAGGTAAGTTCCAGCGCTGTTCTCAAATGTTTCAAAGGCGTTACTTTTTTCTTGCAGACGACAATTCGGAACAGAAAATGTGTGAAACAATCCTCACTTTCATTTCCGTAAAACGTTTCCCAATGACTTACGGTACTATCAGGTTTCATTTGCTTCAAAAGAGACTGTTCAACAGCGTAGCCACGAGAAGTAAATTCTTCCGCGAATTTTTTCTCAATTCTTTGTTGTCTAATAATTCCAGTTATTTCATCACGTAAAGTTTGGTTTTAGTGCTGTTCGTAGTTATTTTGTTCACGGCGTCGCGTTACGTAATCGTTTATTGTTAGTTACATAAGTTCATTTGCTGTATTCTTTCCTGGTTCAAATAAGTATAAAAGTTAGCATTATTTTCTTGTAAGTTAGTTTTTTGTGTTTTTTCGGAGTAGCCGTACAGATCTTGTAAGTATTCTAATTTTTCTTGTGAATTTTCGCTCTTTTCTATCACATTTGAACATTTTTAGTCTCTCGAGTTCGTATTTAGTAATTCAGTATTTGTTATAAATATTTGTTCTGGTGAATCGTTCGTAATAAAGTACGAATTTATAACTGTAAGAGGAGTGTAATCTACAACCAGTCTCCAAATTGCTAAAGGGGCATTTTACAAACTTTTCACACTTTCTCGGGAGAAACAACATGTTTGATGTGGCCATGGCTGCTTTCACCGATTTTAGCCGCGTTTGACCTGGGTGTGAACCTTACGCAGGGCGCGCTTATTTTTTCTTGAACCTGTTGAACGCGCGCTTCAACGGTTATTTTTCTATTTACACACACAATTCTTTTTCTACCAAAAACCTTTTACGTCAATCAACAAAGAATCCATATATGTATTCCTAATAGGTATGACTGTAAGAAATAGTTGGTAAATAATGATGATGCTGATGGATATATTTTTATTTTGCACGTGAAGATTTTCAAGCCATCGAATGGCAAAAGCTACCATTCGAAGATTTCAACGAGGACACGTCCGTAGTCGGAACTTGGAACGAAAAGGTTGGTCAGTAGTTGCGGAACAACATCTACAAATGTAATGAGTTCAGCTGTTGTGGACAGCCCAAGTAATTTTTACTCGATGTACTTCACCGAAATGTATACCGTGCTTGAATTGTAACCAACTTTGTTTCTGATTTGTCAGATTCGATGTAAGAAAAATGATCACTGTGATCATCGATGTTTCTTTTGCCGGCTAACGATCGAATTTCGTAATAACAATCAGTAGGCTGAATGTAAGTTAATGTCTCTCTTTCCCTCCCCATAGGAATACGTAATAAGGATTCAGGTATTGTCGCTGGATCTGGATATGAAACTGATTTTCCCTGAAGGCCCCAAAGATTTGAACGATCCACCCTTTGGAAACGATCCACCGAACCTTGGAAAGGTATAAATATGACCACTACTCCGAATTTCTTTCTTAATACAGTTTTCCATCTGCAAATATTGCGTTTCACCAGGATGGTATTTCCTTCCATTTTCTTTGTTATAAGTTTCTTGTCCGAAAAGAGCCAGAGGATATATAGAGTAGGCAACAAACGCAAAATCTTCCACAGTGATATATTTTTATTTTTTAACCTAGATATCTATAGTGACCATAAATTTTTCGCTCTTTTTTCTCTGTTAGATTCTTAAGTGCAAAGAACTACCTGAGTACCCTGGGAACATGACGTGCTCTGAGTACCAAGTATTCAAACGGAAAGAACCAGGACTGATCACGCGGGTGGCAACGATGATAAAAAATACTTGGAGCTTTTTGTTCACAAAAATGGTTAAAATTTGGAAAATCTGTTCTAACGGCGTTGGAACAACAGTTAAGAACATTTGGAACGCAATGAAATGGTTATTGAATTTCGCCGGTAAAATTTGGATAAAAATGTTGGACTGGATCGGTGGAATTTGGAAAGGATTGATGGCAAGGGTCGGTATAATCTGGAAAGAACTGAAAGCATTAGCGGAATGGGTTTTTGTAACCATGATGTGGGCAGATGAATATGTGTACGAAAGAAGTTTGTGGTTGATTGAATGGTATTCGAACAATACTAAACGGCTGACGGAGCTGACCTGGAACGGAATGGAATGGATAAGGGATCAAATTGAATGGTTGGTCGGTGTCTCAAAGGAAAATGCAACATGGTTAGTTGAGAACGCATGGAGTGGATCGAATCGGTTGGCCGAGTGGGCATGGAGAGAAGTGAAACGGCTAGCGGACTGGTCATGGAAAGCAATTAAAAGGAACTGTAAACCTCTTGAACCTGCACTCGAATACGTTTTGGAGACAGTTGAAGTTGCCATCAAGTTTTACAAGCAATATGTACACAGTGAGTAGAAAGCGTTATGGGAAATACCCCTAGGATTTCTGTGAATACCCCCTGAAATATTCCTGTATTATCCGAAAAAAAGGAAAGTCAACTCGATTTTTTTAATATTTCTCTCGTGTTCTTTTCTGTTCGTTTACCAACAGAACATTTGCTGGGTATTCAAACCCACATTAAGTTCTCGACCTGGCGTGAAACTGGTTATACGGTCTCAACAGTATTGGCTATGAACTTTGTTGTGTTCGCCGTTTACAAGTTGATTTCGTGGCCTGTAAAGTCGATCTGGCGAAGATGGTGAGTAGAAGAAGGGAAAAATCAACGAAAACTTTGCTTAAGATATCAAAACACACCCATAGATTGTAGGCAACTCTTTCGACAAACCACTAGTTCTACCTTCTTAAACAAATGAGCGCTTGTAAGTCGACTTTTAACAAATTTTCCCCATACTTTACCTTCATCTGTAAACTTTAAAAGAGCAATTTTTCATCGGTTTTTTGCACTTTTCACTAAACTCAACAACAGGTTCAGTCACTTGCCTCTACGTTTTTGTTTTTTTTTTATTTCGCAATTTTCTAAATGCTGGGGGGAGGGGGGAAGGTTTGTCGGCGGATTATTCTGGTTATGTCACGATAAAATTTACCTGATGCCCCTATAAGGTTTTTTATTATTCGCATGACCCCCCTCCCTCCCCCCTCACTGGCAGTTAACTGACAACTAATTTTCTATATTCTCCCCCTAAAAACTGTTTTACCCTCCCAATCCTCCACCTCCCCCCCTCCCACCTCAGGCGATACATAATTACTGTTCCCTGAAACCCCTGGGTTTGCTTAATTTGCTTGCTGCAATTTTTCCTTTCAGGCAAGCTTACAAAGAATGGAAAGAAGCTGAAGAGGCTTCATGGAGATTACCACCCAGACGTCAGCCTCAGTCAAACAAACGAGTTTGGGAGAACCCCAAAAAGAAAAAGCTATACAGGAAGAAAAATTGAGACTCAATATTTGATTTCATTTTATGCGTGTAATATAAGCTATACTGATCATAATTTTTGGTGGATACCTTTCATTCTTATTAAAATGTGTTATTGAAACCTGAAGTTAGCGATTGTCTTTGATGTTTTCTGCTTTTTCTGTTGGTCTCTCCGGTGTTTTCATGTCACATCTTTCAAAATGCCGAAAACCTAGACTGTCTCACTTTTGGTTGTAACATATTATAAGCCTATTTTTTTAGGAAGAATTACATTCTTCTTAATACAACATCGTAGGTTGGGAAAATTCTCCTAACGAATCATGTGGTGTTTGAGTTTTCGGTGTACAAGTGGTGGGCTGGAATGATCGAATTGTTAATTGTGTTAGCTCCAACTGAGTGATGATTGCCATTACGATGAACTTGGACACTGCGATGGAGTGGTCGCAACGTACCAGGCCGCTCCTGTGTTTACTAACGTATGCGCATAGTATTTTCTCCCAACACACGCACACGTCCTAGCGTATTACCTTCTCCTTTCCTCTTCTACAGATGTAATATCAAGATTTGTTCCTGAAGTACAGTTGTTCACGTATGCTTACTAGAGCAACTTGTTCCTGCGAACGTACAGTCACGCTAACAAATTTTCTCGGCTTTATAGTGTGTAAGTGTAGTGCACGCGTTTTGCTGAAACGTCTGCTGAATAAAAGTGGTGTTATGGTGTAGACGTACCCACACAACAGTTGGTACGGTCACACGATCGTACACTACCAAGTTTTCTCGGCTTGGCGAGTTATAACGTTTTTCTGCAGGTATGGAGCTTTGCAGCGCGCACTTGAAGCTCCGCTATGCTATACATAATTGTTTTCCAGTGCAGCTTTTTGCAATACGGATCATGGTCCGGAATATTTCCCGCACCATTCGCGGTAACGCCGAAAAAAAGCAAAACAGCATAAAAAAAGGTTATGTACCGGTCCAAGTCGATCGGTTCGTATGATTTCATCTTTCAAGAATTCACAATTTCAAACGATTCATTGGTTTTCCTTTACCTTTATAAAATATTGCTTCAAATAAAAGTGCATCAGATAAAGAGTTTTTCTGTAGACAATTTTATAAGGCTTTCCGTTGTATAAAAATTGAAATCTACCGGTGTCAAACTTGATTAAAAACGATGAACTTTTCAATGAGAGATTTCTATCCTAGAAACAGGGTTTTCTTGCGAGGCTAATGGATCAGACCAACCATTTCGGGAAGGTGTTCACACCAAAATGTGTACTAAGCTGTTTATTATTCAACTGCTTTATTTCATATGTAATTCTTATTGGGCGAGAGAAAGGGAAGAGGAGGGAGAAGTGTAGCAGGCGCAGCTGAACGGTTGACAGGTTTTTTTTTACAACACAAAATAACCAAGTGTATTATATCGCTGGATATATCTGTACTCTGCTTTTTGTACTCTGCTTAGTGCAGTTAGGTAATAGACAGCAATTTTGTTCAGGTTAAGATCTTAATAATCATGTTGAGTCTAGTCAGTCTCTTGTTATTATTTAATTTCCTAAAGTTTCCACTTATTATTACGAGCTATCTTGATGTGTTCCAACAAAAAAATTAACGGACAAGATGGTTTGACATCGTAACGTCAGCTTAACATTTTATTCTTAGTCCTAATATAAGGTTTGTATGGAAGGTTTATTAAGGAATTCGAAGTTAGTTGTCTGCAAGAGAAATCTTCTGCTAGTTGTTGGTGAATAAAACGTGGGTGACGAAGCCTCGGTAGGTTTTGGTTTTGCATTTGATGGGTGTAGAGCCAGGTGCGAGATCCCTATAGACCAATACAGAGTATTGAAAAGAAAATCCAGGGCAATCATGAATGACTTCAGACATTCAATAGAACATTGCTGTAAGCTATCAAAAGTAGCTTAAATACCTTGGCCTATTTCCTAACACGTCAGATTTGCAGGTGATTCTTGCATTTGGCAGCTAACGATGAATAAGTAGAAACTGATTAAAAAGTGACTGATCATAACAAAACAGATGAAAAATTAGCATGTCTTTGGGATCAGGATCAGTTAAGAACAACTCATCATTAAAATATTTGCAGCTTCAGTCGACAGATGTCATAGGCGTCAAGCGCTAATTTTTGCTTAAATTATGAGACGTAACAAACGATTTCAAGCGAAAGCTGAGAGAATAAAATCACTGTAACTATCAAACGAACGCTTTATTGCGACTCCAGTAACGTGATTGCTTTGATGATAAGAAATGTTTTTTATTTCAAAAGGACTATCCCATAAACACTGAAATTTAACATTAATTACTTCATTTTTAAAAATTGGCCACCAGCAAGCGCGAATTCAACTATGGAACAGGTACGTGACGCGCTTTTTTAATGAAGAGCTTTGTGGTCAATAAAAAAAAAAGCTTTGAAAATCAACTGACTAAATGGCTATGAACGTATTTTACGAATGTTTGCAATGTCTTGACTCAGTGATCTTTCCAAACTTACAAAGAAGATGAAATATTATAGCATCTTTTATATTTGTATATAAAAAATTAGCTATCCTCATGAGACGATCTCTTTGGTTACTATTTAGAAAATAATAAAGTTATTGACTCTACCTTGTAATCTCAACGAATGATTCTCCTTAAATCGCATACTTAATGGCACCTATTATGAAAGCAATAATAGGAATCGCGAAAAAAAGAACCATTACAACATTGTGAATCAATTTTTCGATGATTACGCTTCTTTGTTACAGAGAAAAATGTCTGAAAAGTAGTTTGTTAGGCTGGGGGTTAAGCCATCCAAGAATAAAGAGGATACCCAAAGAAGCGGTAAGGCAAATGATTAGAGGATTAAGACCGATTATAGATCGCATCCTGACTTTGCTTATTGAAAAATGGAACGAAAAGAAAAGACATGTTTGTTTTCCCGACGTGGGATGTGAGTCGTTTTTCTCGTTATCATTTCTTGATCTATTTTTATCCCTCTGCAGGGAGGCAAATAAATAACATAGAAAGGGTTAATTTTCTTACATTTTTAAAATTTAGAGCTAATAAATCTCAATTCCAGCATGCAAACGTTTACGTCTTCAGTAGGTGAGGCGACTTAGATATTGTCTAGTTTCATAAACCAACAGTAAACTCGCTTGCAGTTACAGAGAAATGTTCCACTCTAGAATGGCTCCCAAAGAAATTGAAAATTTTCTTACAAGCAGTTCTGAATTCTCTGGAACGAATAGAGTAGACCCAAGGGTTGCTGGCTGAACTCAGATAAGCCACTAAGGAAACCCACATCCAAACTTCGCGCTCTAATTTCACCAAAGTTACTTGATCTTTAGGTTTGTTTGACCCTGATAGGCTGAACTGAATGGCCGCGGTGGCCAAACTTGGCACCCACAGAATTATAAAAAGTAGAATCACAATGGCAACTGTAAAAGCAGTTTTCGTGTGGCTAACACGAGCCGGGTTATTACGACGCGTTTGTTCTTGTCTCGCTGCAAGTGAGCTTTCTTGTTTGATTTTCCGAATTTGTTGTTTCGCTTCCCTGAAAATGCTCATGTAACAAAATGTTATGATTAGAGTCGGAAAAATACATGTTATGACTCCCATAATGAGCCAAAGTGTCGATAAATCTTGGGGTTTATCAAGAAATAGCCGAACGCTGGCAAAGACGAACGAGCCGAGCCACACAGAAGCTGTTGCAAGGAGGCAGAATTTAGGAGTAATTAGGGTTTCGTATCTGAACCCAAATTTCACAGCAATATAGCGATCAATACTAATGGCGGTCAGGCCGAAAGTTGTCGCAACAACAGCTTGGATCCACGCAAAGTCTTCCACCTTGTCGAATACAGACCCTTTTAGAGGGCGTTCGGGATCCAGATAGCTGAAAATGACGGCTTTCGCAGCCAAGATGGGGTTGAGGAGAATTCCCACCATCAGATCAGCAACGGCCAACGATGCAATAAAATAATTTGAGATGGTATGTAGGGATTTGGTGCGAAATATGGCGATCAGGACCACTGTGTTTCCACAAATGGATAAAACTCCAGAAATACAGCTCAACGCTGCGAGAAAAATGAATTGTGAAGATCTTGCAGAAATCGCAGGGGGGAAAGTTGTTTCGTTCATAGTCTTGGGTGATTTTTGTAACTGGTGGAGCAACTGTTCGTCTAGTTTTAGTCTGCTTTGAAGCTTCGGCGGCTGAAAGAAAAAGAAAATTCATATTTTTGAATTCACCTGTTATGACTGTCATTTGTTCCTGTTTAATTAATAAACCGACATAGTCATTGTTGTTTCGTTTTCTTAGATATCGATGAAGCCAATAAACAGAGGTCGGCGAAGACAGAAACTTAAAACCAAGATGAGATCCCAGGGATTTAAGCAAACAAGATCATTTGCGGCAAAGTAATTGGTCACCAAACGCCAGTTACTAAATTGTTCATTCTAGAAAAAGGGAAAGGAAAACCTACCTTATATTAAGGTTTTCGAGAGAATAACTTGACAATTGAACATAGTTCCATATTCAATATATCCGAGATGTAAAATGAATATCATTAAATATTAAATTTATTTTTGGTAGCAGCGATTACGTTTAAGGAAAAATAAAACAACTATTAATATTAAATTTTTTTGCCTTAGGGAAAGAACTTTTATGAAAACAAATTTTACACTGAGTATTTTCTTTGAAAACAACTTAGCCTGGGAACAGGCTCTTATGATTAAAGTGAATATTCTGTGTTTGTTTTGCCGAGCGTCGATGTCTAACTATAAGACATCTGTTAATTGGAAGTCAAATCATATTTGCATGAGAAAAAAAATACAAAAAAAAAAAAAAAAAATGCAAAATAGGATTGTACAAAGACATAAGAAATAAATAAAAGAAAATTATTTTCTCTAAAACCGACCGCCTCCAAATTTTTTTATGTGATCGCTGAAAGCAATCAAGCTAACAACTTAAATTATGGAGTGATTTTTCAGCTAAGGGTTAGGTGTATATGACATAGTCTTCAGGCAATCGTCACGATGGTCGTTCACGTCAATTTAATGAAAACCAACCACAATTAAAGAATCAATGCAAAAAAACTGGAAAGTGGGCATCGATTACTCTCAAGTAAAGAAAAATTAGGAGAGAGTTTTTGAGCATAGAAAATAGCGCGTTCTTTTTTCCAAGTATATTCCAATATATATATATATATTTGTGTGACGTATAAAGTCACGCGCAAACCGATGTTGTATATGGAGATCTCTCGAGTTTCAAAACGATTGCTTGCACTCGTGATGTTTTCCCTTTCCACGCAATTACATGAAGATATATTTCCATCAGGCCAAGTATCAATTTTCATTTCTAAAGCAAAATAATCTAAATATACTAGCGGAGCTCGCAGCGCGCAAAGCGAAGACCCATACTTATATAGAATGGTTATTCATGGAAAATTTCCGATGTTAAAAACGAACACTTTTTGACCGAGAGGTCAGGTGCTGAATCGTGATTTTTCAGACGGAATGAGGGAAAATAAATACGTAAAGTAAAATATATGACAACAGGAGCCCATCACCATGGGTTCCTGATGATAAACGCAGTCAAACTGCTGCTAAAAACTGCTCATCGTTATCAAATTAAAGAGCGTAAAAGAGCCAGCAAGATCAACTGAAGGCCATTCTAGTTAACGACCCTGAATAAATAAGGTTGTATGATGTTGTTGTGGTATCGAAAGAATTGCGCAGACACTGTTTTTGTTAGTGCCAGACCCCGTCTCAAATCCTATCGCTGGCTAGGAAACGCTCGTCCAGCAATACTAATGATGAGGACCTGCGCATAGGCTACCGTTAAAATAGTAAGCGTCCTTAGGTATGGGGTAGAACGAAACATCAAATGGTGTGTTTTCAAGATCTAAGGTCCCTTTTAGACAAAGGAAAATTCAAGTGCTTTTAAGGAAATAGCGAGATACCATGTTGCCCACTAAATCAATAAATTTCCTCACAATAGAAATTATTAGCAAAATATTATTGAAACTCTTGAAAAAGACATTTACATCGCTTATTTTCCTCCACCATTCTATTCAGTCAAACAGGCTAAAAGTCTCCCTTTCAGCGACCTTAGACAAAAAGAAATAGCGGGCACCTAAGAATGGTGAGGACAGACAGTGCTTGCCTTATCTTTTTGTTTTACGACCCGTAGGGGAACTGACTAGACTTCCAGTAGTCCCTCTTTTTTTTGGCGAAGTTTGTCGCGCGACTAAAAAATAATCAGCGAAAAAAACATTTACGTAGAAAAGACTATCCGTAGTCTAGTGCCTGAGGACTAAACATAACACACAGACTTTTCCCTTTCAGATTTCGCCTAGTTGACAGTCCTTTTCACCGCCTACGCCATTAATAGGTCTTAATATTCTTGGTGCAGCTTGCCAGTTCAATAAAAATCGCTAAAAAGTTGTTAATGCAGGATATGGAGAGATCAAACCTTCAACCCGCAAACTAAACCTACGCGAAACTTTAAGCGAAAACTGTCAAATTTGATCTCTGTAGTTTTAAAGCAAAAATAAAGGGGTTTATCGATGGAGTTAAATTGGAGTTGCCCTTAAAATTCTAACATGCTATTTGATTAAAAAAGTTTGCGGCAATCAATCATTTTATTATTATCAGTAGACATCCCTCTTTTACCGTTTGGAATGGCTTACTTCGCTCTGCGCGTGGGAAAAAAATTAAAAAAATGTTGTGTTCTGATTTTCTAACTGATCGATAGAGCGATTTATCTTTTCTGTTTAATATCCGCCATGTTACCCCCCCGAAATAAATACTTGCAAGAGACATGAAAGCGAACTGCGGTGAGTTCCGTCGGTGTGTATGTCGGAGTGAAGAAACTTCTGCCTTGTAGTCAAGTGAATAATCATTCATCGACATTTTTTACCACCACAGCAATACCGCTAATTCAAATATCATATATCTGTAAAAACAGGAAAAAATTATCCTGTTTTAAAATAAGTTGTTGTAAGGATATTTTGAGGTTGATTTAAACATAATTTGACACGACTGAAACTTTTGAATGAAAATTCTTCAATGTGGGGATGGAGAGATTTGATCAGTTTGTAGACTTTTTTAATTATGTAAACTAACATCATATTCGTCTAAAGTAATGCAATATAACCAGCTTCATTACTTAATTTTTTCACTTTTTTTCTCGGAAATGAAGCTTTAAAAATTGCCGTTTAACAAGTCGTTCGTAGAAAGACGAATGACAGATTCCGCAAAGCTGCTTCATTACTAATTAAAGTTTTAAATATGCACGTTGACATGAATAGGCGTGCGGTAAAAAAACGTTGATAAAAATGCTGTAAATGCTCAGCATTCAAGGTGTGACAAATAGGATCAACCACAAGAAATCAAGAACAGCGAGTATGTAATGAAAATTAAGATCTCTAAGTATCAATTATCAATTTTCTTCTCCGTTTTATTCATTGTACATACATTAACAGTCTTAAACTGTGATACGAAGCAAACATTTTTCGTTTTAAAACATTGGAGTGTCGAGAAATTTAAATTGCTGACGGATTACTTTTGGAATTCCTAAAACTCGCAGCTATACTCCGAGAAAGCTCTCTACTCATTCGTTTCCTACCCAAAATTCTTCTCAGAGTGTTTTTAAATTCTGGCACTCTTATCGTGTAGACCCATGGATTAACTGCTGATGAGCAAAAGCATAAAAAGGCGAGCCAGAACCACGCATAGTCAACTTCTAACTTTTTACAGCGATTCGCCGTCGTAAGCTCGATGCAGGAGGCCAAGAAGCTTGGTAACCACATGACCACAAAAAGAAAAATAACTATTCCCGCTGTCCACGCTGCTTTTCTGTTCATTGCAGACAATCTCGCTTCTTCCGCACTTATCTTGCGTTCAGCAATTTTCTTGATCTGCGTCCTTGCCGCGCAGTAAATTTTCAGGTAGCAAAATCCGATGAGAAAGAGTGGAATGATAACTGTTAAGACTGTAGTTGAAATCCAAAGTCTTGGAAGATCCGCTGAGTTGTCGATGAAAAGTCTCACAGAAGCAAACAGGAAAGAAAACAGCCAGATCAAAGTCAATGCAGCGAAACACTTCTTGCGGGTCATGATTCGGTGGTATTTGAAAACTGCAGTAATTGCTACATATCGATCGATGCTTACGGAACATAAATTAAAAGTAGCACTTGTTGTCGTTTGAATCCACATGAAGTCAGCTAGTTTTGAAAGCCAGTGGTTTCCTTGCCAAATATTCAGTGCTGCTTTAGAAATCAGAATCGGGTTCATGAAAAAACCCACTGAAATGTCCGCTACAGCGAGCGAGGCGATGAAAAAATTTGATACAGTGCGGAGTGTCTTTGTTTGATAGATCGCAAGAAGGACAACACAGTTGCCAAAAAGGCAAGTCATGCTGGACACAGCGTACAAACAAATCAGAAAAGCTGAGGAAATTAACGACATTTCCGCAACACATGGTTTGTCGTTTGTTCCTTCGAAGCTTCTGTTCTCCATGATAAATTTCAACCGAAGCCTGATTGGAGTCTCTCTATGCTTAATCTTGATCCGGGCAAGTTGACTCAGAAGATCCCAACTATCGACGTCGAATTAAGAAAGACGCCTTCAAAATGAGCGTCGCGTCTTTCCAGAGAAATACAGTCTTTGAGCAAATTACATGTGAAATGACCCTTTCTACCTTAATGGCATACGGCGAAAAACTAATATAAGAAGCAATTATGTCCCTCTTAATTAACTTTTCATGCACGTTTTTCGAATGTTGCAAGTTTTATTCCCCATTTTGTCGATTTGACTGACAGGTTGTGACGAAACTGTCATTTTCTGGTCAACTGGTCGTCTTCAGCTCAACCACGTAACAGATCAATTTCTCTCTATTTACACAGCTAGAAAAACTACTTTCATTGAACTGATGCGCTGATTTTAGCCACAAGAACATCGTTATCAAAGTTAGTTATTGCGCGGATCCTAGGAAAAGGATTGCTATGAGTGCGCGTCCCATAAACTGAAGTGAAACTGAGTGTTATTAACTTTAAGCACCATTTGCGCCGATCTTTTGTTTTGTGAATGTATCAGCCAAATTTATTATCAGCCAGATTTTTTAATGATCCATGGTAAATAATCTCTTGTGATAACGGTTTTCGAATACAGCCAAAAGCGTCAGTTGTTTGTTCTTCATCGTTCTATTGGACAGGAAATTAAAAGATCCTGCTCATAGTTTCTTGTCGTCTTTTTTCATATTTTTTTCTACAGTTAATATAATTTATATCTTTGAATTCGATGAGATATTCCTTGACGAGGCTCTTGGCTGCAATGTAAGTTACATCAAAAAAAAAATTATTTTATCGTACAGGTTAGAGCGTCCATTCCCTCCAAGTTGTCTATCATTTGATGAAGAAAAATGCACAGACGAGAACTTTTGAGTTATATGAGTAATTTCTGCCATGTGATAAACACTTTTACATTTACATTTACATTTCTCCCATGCAAAGTGTGGATTCGCAGCTCAATTCGTAATAGCAATCAACTAGAATCTGCGAGGCGAGGTTTTGAATCCCGCCGAAACAAAAGGTTTTCAGTCTCCTTTTCTGCAACTTCTTAAATTTAAGTACACCTACGAGGATCATGCTTGTTTTTTTTTCTCACGCGTGAATACAAACCACAAAGTGGACTTCATAGTGAAAAAAAACTTCTATGCCAGTAGCTAAAATCTACTGGAGCATATAATATCCGAAACATTCAAACCTCTTTTAAAATTAATTACTAGTACATGCGCTTAGGTGTCCAATGAATGTCACTTTGTTTTGTTTTTATTTGTTTATCCCAGCGTTAATAATGAAAGGATGTCGTTTTTCTTTGTTTCACATTATCGCGTTTCCGAACCGAGTCCTGATAAAAGTGTCAGCTCGGAGTTCGCCGCGGTCAACCACAAGCTTCAGATTGATGTTTAAGATTTTTTTTCTCGATCACTAGTGATTACGGAAAGTCCTGAAGCATGCGGGAAGACTACAAAAATTACAAAGACGTTTATTGCGTAAAGAAATAGCTAAGAAACGAAAATAAACGACTTGAAAAATTAATTCAAGGAAGGGAAAATCTACGCTATGGTTCTTAATAAGGTGCCTAAAAGTGGAAAAAATATCTCCGAAAGTCTCGGCTTAACTGAGAAATATCTCCGTGTACGTAAATAGTGTAGGTAATCATTTAATTTCGAGTGCAGTCTGGTGTAAATCATCGCGAGCAAATTTCTTTAAGGCAAACAAAATAGTACAAGCCCGTGGGGCGAACGCATCATGTAGTCTAAAAAATTTATGAGTGCTGTTTTATACCAAATTTAATGAAATTTTGGCATGTGTATATACTGAATAAAGAAATGACGCGATTCGCGTAACACAAGGCTAGTGTAAAGTTCTCGACACACATGAAGTCTTGATATCCTCTCCAGTCTAGAGGTCTGGCCGGGCACAAAGCTCTTCCTCCGTGTCACGTGATATCCAAAATGACAGAAACAGCCCCCAATTTGAATTTTAACGACTAAGGAAGCCTGGGGACTAGCTGGAGCGAATCAGCGTTTTAGAAGTAACATTAATCAGATACCCGGCTCGGGAAGGTCAATTTTCCACTATTCATTTTCTTTGTACGTCGGTTTGGACAAGTTAGATCTTTACCAGATTTGCAGACTCAAACCGCAACATCATTGGACATATAATACTTTAAATGTGGCACGATTGTCAGCATGGACGCTGTGGGTTTTGGTAGCATATTTTAATGAAGAATACTTAGAAATCTCATTTATAAAAAACAAAAAAACAAAAAAAAACAAGAGGATTGCAAATAACATAAACCAAGGCAATTGCATAATCCCTGCAGGAATTGGTACGCTTTAGTTCACATTTACGTACTGACAACCCCAACTACAAAATCGAAGTCTGCTGATCTCACTAGCTTTCTTTCATTCCTTTAAAGCATTCCCTAGAAAAATAGAAATTAAAAAATACCTCCCCATCACAACAAGTTCAAACATTTTTAGATTATTGCGCAAGCATTTGAACGACAGGCATCAAAGGTTTGACCCTGGCCTTTTCGAATCTATTGGATACAATACGTTGCGTTAGCTGTGAGTTACTAAGTAAACCCATCCACAGTCTTCACTCGGATCTTAATCTCAGGAGATGCTCAGGAAATAAAAATAGAAATATTGCGAAATCATATTAAACTACCTCTCGAGCGAAATTGCTTTTCAACTTTAATTTTTGAGCGTCGGTGGATTTATAGGGACTTAAAAGAACGTAGAACTGGTTTTCTTTCTTTTTCTCTTTTTTTTTTAAGAAAGAATCTTTTTCCTGCTTTAGTAAGTGACAATCTCGTTGAAACGGAACTAAGGAAAAATGGATTTGGAACATAAGCTATATTGGCTCTCAAAGTTTAGGCGTAATAAGGTGTTGACGATTGACAGTAGATAGACAAGTTGATATAAGGCGAATATAACAAAGAAAGCAAAACGATTAAGATCAGCAACGAAATAATAAAAAAAACAAAACATATACGAAAATATAAATGAAAGCAAACTACCAATATCTATTCTAAGTGTGGTTCGCCTTCGTCGATTTCTTCGAAGACTACTGCGGGGTCGCTACGTCCCATTCTAATTTTTATCTAAACTGGCTTTTCAGAGCTTTATTAGTTGAAAAAAATTCAAGACCATGCTCAGTTTCTTGAAAATGTTGTCAGGCGCGACAGTACGACATTTGTAATTAATTTGACATTCCATTTCGCTTAATTAACTATAATTAGCGTCTGCAATAAATGTTTTTAAAACGCCAAGAAACCAAGCAAAACTAATCGCAGAATCATCGTTCAGCTAATAATTTTAGATTCAAAACGTCTTAGGAAAAGTTCGATCTCTTTCTACCGGTCTACTGATGAAAAAACCTATAGCTGAACAGAGTAGTATTGGGGAGTTATTAGCAGTTTGTGTACATAACTCCATAAACATCATATTTATTTTTTGGATGTGAAATGGCCGAATTTACCTTGAATGAAGAAAAAATTAAAAAAAAAAAAAATGAAAAGTAAAAAATTTTTACAATTTCAACTTTCTTGAGATTTTGGACCATCGTTTGCCAAAACTCTCCCTTTGCTATCGCGAAACTCCCCGGCGGATGAAATATAATGTACGTAATCTTATGCTAGTATCCAAACTGCTAAGTGCCTCAAGGTTACGTAGATACACAAATTAGCTCAGAAAAACGTCATGCCACCTAATGCATCCCGATCTCCCTTATTAACTTTACTTTGTAAAGGGCAGCTGTTTTCTGAAATCTCAGCCATTAGACCATCACGCTTGTCTCGATCTGCGGCTTCGAGCTTCATCTCTATAATTAAAAACATTGGTTGAGGCCAGTTCATTACCGGAGAAATTAAGTCGCAAACCAAAGTTTACTCAAAAGAACGGATATCATTTGAGATGCAATATCACAACTGACTTATACTGAGGAAATATTACCTCTAAAGCCAGCTCTCGGAAAGATGCATAAAAAACAATGCCTCGTTGATATCGAAACCTTCACGTCCCTAAAATGATAAAGTTTTAAGGTAAGAAATCTCTCAGATTTTAATTTTTTTGTTCTTAATCGTGATTATTGTATAGACTCACTAATCTTATATATACGAATTATTTTAAAATGACAATTTGCCTGTTTTGTCCATGGCATTAGTCAGTAATAAGCGCTAAAATATACCCTAAAGTGGAGTTATGGCTGTTGATCATGTTCATCATTTTTTTTTTCCGGAGCAATTTCGTCAAAAATTTTCCTAATTTTGCTTCATTAAGCTGTGACTATATTTCGCTAATAAGAGAATTCAACTCTACAATTTTGGTCTTGTCCTGACCGCGAGGGAGAACCTGAATGGAGAGAAATTTACAGCCAAACATTTTAATCTTCTTTTGTTGTGATCTGAGTTCACGAGGAGAAATTGTGTGAGTATCAGATTCAGAAGCTTGTTTTCATCGCTCAGCTTTTGTTGATATGCGATAATGAAAACGCAGAATGCTGAAAACTTTGTCTGACAAACATAATGCGCCTTATGCAGATCGGAATTTGATATCGACACCTGACAGTCAACAGCATGTTTCAAACCGAAAATCAGCATTCAGTTGAAGAAGGTGATTAGAAAGTAGACGGGTAACTGATGCATGATCTATCAGCAAAGAAATGATCCACATAGGTGGACTGTAATTATTAGAAATGCGGAGAAGAAGCCTGAAAGAGAAATCAACTTCAACGGGATTTGCACCCGTGCCTCAAAATACTAGGGTAATATAGCATTATCAACTGAGTTGATAACTTGAATTGGCCACCGTAAAGAGTTTTCAAAGCTAACATTTTGAGCATTAGCCCTTCATCAGAGCGAATGAAACTTTGAAACTCTTTACAGTAGCCAATTTACGTTATAAAACTCAGTTGATAATACTATATTACCATGTTACACTCTTCCATCAACGCAGCACCACAGTTTCTTTAGAAACTTACCGCCTTTCCTCAGGATATTAGTTTGGCACCACAGGCACCACACCATTCAGGCGTAGCTAAGTCGGTAGTAGCACCGAATTAGTGTTTGTAAAAAGAGATTATAATCTCTTGCTGTTCACTGTTCCTTGTTTAGGTTATGTCATTAAAATGAAACAGTAGTTTCAGTGTGTATTTAATACACAGTAGTTTATTGTGTATTCCGGAAGGTTAGTGTTCGATTCCCCTTAGGAAAGTCAAATTTATTATTTGTCTCCAACTCTTTTTATTACTGTAACTGAATCGTGATCGTGAGGAGACTTGTCAACGACTAACTTCTCGCTTAAGATGCCTAAAATTAAACCTGTTATATCATTATCGAAGAGGATATGCCTTTTCCTTTTGGATGAGAAGTTAGGTTATCACAAGAAGCCAACAGAACTTTTTGTGGGGTTTTCTCAAAACTTCTCTCGGCGCTGTCCACAGAAATGTCCGGGAAACCAGATGGAAATAGAGACAATGGTTCCCGAGCTGGACTCTCCATCTATTGGTCTGGGTACGATCGAGAAGTCTGGGTACAATCTATAGGTTTGGATTCGATCGAGTGGTCTGCGTACGATCGAGAGACCTGGGTACGATCGAGAGGTCTGGGTGCCATATAGGGGTCTGGGCGTGATCACTATTCAGAGTAATTCTGATGTGTTCTTGATCTTTGCCTTCATAGTGTCTCTCTCCACTTGAGTGTAGAAATTGCTATGACCGAGTTTTGTTACGGAAACCTGAAAAATGCTCGGGAGTGAGAGGAAGCAGTAATCCTCCTAGTCGCTTCCTCTATGGAGTCTGATATAAATTCCAGCACCTATGTGAGGACGTCTCCTTTGCAGACCTGGTCCAGAAAAGGAGATTCCACGTGAAAGTTCTCTCTGTGACAGATACCACTTTATCGGGCACAAGAGAATTACATCAGGATTTAGGTGAAAAATTCAGCTACTAGATGCCGAAATGGAGCAACTGTCGTACGACATCTAATATCAGTTTTCATTTGTGCGCGTGCAAAATTCGTCACTTAACAGTTGTAGCGTGTTTGGAGTTGACAGTGGGGTTTAACCTTGTTCCCAGGTTCTCTCTTTTCCCAATCAGGGCTAGTAGAGAGGGAAGGGGGGGGAATTGAAGCTGAGTGGCGTCCAAGCCCTCACGTCTTATTTTTGCAATACATTTCTCACCTGTTCTGAGTTATTTTCGGCGTGCTGTAATGGGAAATTGCAAATGCTTCAAGCGCAAAAAAAATGTAATCCATAAATTTGACTCGTGGAGATCGGCCTTGAATAAGCCTTTTCGTCAAGAGGACTGACGGTACAAATAAAAACCGTTACGAAAAAACCCACTTGGTTTGGAAATATTTCTCCGATGCTTATAACGGCAGTTCACAGTTTTGTATTTTGATCCCGACAACAGAATTAACAAACCTAACAGTTTTTTCATTTTGCGTTCTAGGTGCATTCATTTAAAAATCGACCCTGTCGGAAGCTTTATTCAATAATCGATGGATTGATGCAGATATTGGATTGCGAATGATCACACATCTGAAATGAGAACATTGACACCAAGCTAAATCCAAGCTAAAATTCAAAATTCATTTTCGCTGCCTGCATCAGTTTTATCGCAGTATTTATCACTAAGTTCAAGATTTTTCACTTTTAAAACTATCTTTAACGTATTCTAGGGCCTTAAGAAATCGTATGGATGAAGTTTTCAGCTCTACACAGTGTAGCCACTAGATAAAAATCTGCAAGCAATATATTTTCTGTAAATCGTTATCAATTACCCTAAGTCGTAATTACGGAAAACCCGCGAAATGAGAAAGATTAAAAAGCAATTTTTAAACTTTTCATTTAAACCTTTTCATGTCATGTTGCGCGCGTGTTTTATCAGGACTGAACAGATTACAAATCGGCATTGTCTAGGTTTCTTAATACCCTACAATGTTTGCTTTTCAGAGATCTTAAAGTAATTTAAAATCTGTTTGCTAATATTTAATTCACAGTTCCATTTATCCCGAGGAGATGACACTTGTGAGAAAAAACAATGGACTGTCATTGTCGAAAATATTCGAAAGCTTTATCACTTGACAGGTTTAAATAGTACTTGAATACAAAGGTGATCTGTTATTACGCGGTCGAGTGACTTTTCTTTAATGTATACATATCTCCTTTTTGCTTTTCAGAGCTGACTCCGGTTACTTCCTTCGAATACTGTTTAGCGTTCGGAAAGCTAACAAAGTATCCTTCAAACGAACGATCGTGTCATGTTGACAGAAATACCCTCGGATGAATCAATTTGTTATGGTATCATTCTCTCCGCGCTTTCAATCTTAACTCTTCTGGGAAACAGCTTGGTGTGCCTTGCTGTTTGGAGATTTAAGAATTTAAGAAGGTTGACGAACTATTTAGTGTGCAGTTTGGCGGGTGCTGATCTGTTGGTTCCTATTCTTCGCGTGATTTACATCAATATTTCAGTTTATGCTGGAAAATGGGTGTTTGGAATAACATGGTGCCATATATCCTCGATGTGCGGCGTGCTTCTTTGTAGTGCTTCCATCCTTCATCTTTGCGCCATCAGCATCGAAAGACTTATCGCAATAAAATGGCCGTTATCGTACGACGCGAAAGTCACTCCGAAAAGAATTGTCATTGTGCTGATATACATCTGGGTACAGTCCTTTGTGTTGTCCATTTTCCCTACTTTGGGTCTTGCTGAACAGCGTTTCAACCCAGTCCTGGCAGAGTGCGAGATAAACTGGCTTAAAAAGCCAACTTTGACAATACTGTTGATTGTGTTTTATTTTTTTCTGCCGGTTTCTGTAATGCTTATTGCCTATGCAATTATTTTTAAAGAAGTCCGCAGAAACAGCCGCAGGATCTCCGCACTAGAGAGCGCTGGGAATCAAGGCTCGCAAAATAATGTGTTTAAAAGGGAAATGAAGGCCGTTAAAACTTTAGCAGTGGTCGTAGGTATGTTTTTTATCATGTGGATGCCTTACTTTGTTACCACAACTATTCGAGCTTTCAGAGGGGATGATTTGATTCCAGGCGCACTGCAGAGAACTGTTATAACGCTAGCGTACGGCAACTCATGCTGCAACTTTGTAATTTATGCGCTAATGAATGCTCAGTTAAGAAATGCGTTTCATCATATTTTGAGAGAGTGTTGTGGCAAGCGTGGAACGAGGATAGATTTGAATTCCACGCGAGGATTGAACTTGACTACTGTAAGTACAAAAAGGCGAACTAAAGCACCTATGGAGGGCAAAGATAAATATCGAAGAGACTAAATAGAAAGATCCTGCTTTAGTGCTCATGAATAATTGTTTTGGTTTATATCAACATGAACCAAACAATATAGATAACAAAAAAGTTAGTTTATTTCTTTCAACATACCGACAAATGGTCGGAAGTCATACTCTTGACATATGATTTTGTCTGGTCGGCAGCTCGAAGGTGAGTTGTAATTGCTCGTCACACTTCCAACTAGCCAATTTAGCGCACGAAAAGCACTATTCATCTTTGGTATATACTAACTAGTGGTGTCCAAGCATTCCGGGCGCTGCTGAGCAAAGGATGAGGAAAAGCTGAGTTGTAACTTATTCAAAAGAGGCATATCAAGTACGCGCATATTTATTGACAATTAAAACTAACGTGGTGTTTTAAATATCGTTTTATCTGTGCTAGGTACTAGTTTTAAATAATTGATTAAATGTTGAAGCATTAAGAATGTATCGAAAAAGTTTCTGCATATATATAATCTAGGCTAGAATCGGTTTACAGGACCACTCTATTCAAAGAGAAAGTACTGATTTTTCCGAGACTTGTCCTTGAATTTTTTCAAATTTCATTAAAGTAATGGATAAATTTCGATTTTGAAATATCTATATTTTGATGAGGGCTGTGACATATTAATACTGATCATGAGGAATAATATCATACATTAAACTTACTATGAAAAATCTGATTGGTCGAAAGCATTTAATCAATACACAATAAATAAATAAGATAAGCTGCAGTAACTGTAGCGGATATTGCTTTTATTATGTCGAGTTCAAAGTCTGCCTCGTCTGTGAAGTGTTCTCAAACTTTCGCAAACTCAGAGAGGAACTCAAAATGAGTGAACAATTTTAAAAATGTATAAAGCAACAATTATTGAATTCGATTTTCGCATGGTTATCAAACCTTGTGTCTGTGTTATCTGCCTCAGCCCTTGGCTTTAGCAGATAGCTCAGACCTCGGTTTTGATAAATAAACAATAACCTCCATTTGGCTCGGAAATAAGCACGGATGTGTCAAGGGACGTTATCTGTTCCGAGATGCGAACAGCTTTCGGAGAGCGAATCTCAAGGAAAACTGTAAACTTTGAGGCAAAGATAAATCCCGGCTAAGGACCAATACTTGAGCATGTTTTTGCGTCAAATGGAGGCTATTGTGATGATTATCCTTCACATATTTTGGCAAAGCGCGGGAGAAATGTTTTTGAAAAGTTATCATTTACTGCGTAGATTTTTACTTTTCAGCGTTCTCTAGTACGACTTTATGAACAAATAAACTTGTCCAATATTCTGTAACAATAACAAAACGCTCTTCCATCTAGAATTTAACTGTATAGGAAAGCTTTTATCGGAATAGACGTCAAGTTGAAAACTGGGGAATATCACTCGAGGTATATCCTTGGATACTCACCAGTTTTAGCTGGGGTATATTCGGTCAGGTGATGCATTTCGAGAAACGGCATGCTGGCAGAAAAGGTTCGCTGTAGTATAACTACCAATTAGCAACCAAAGTGGAGGTGAATATTGGTGGGTAAATATCCACCACTTTCACCGACAATAAGCAACATTTATATCCCATAGATAGCGAAAAACATCAGTTTATATCTCTCAATATACCGAACAATGGTCGGAAATTGACGCGGAGGTGACGCGGAAGTGAATAGTGCTTGCCATTAAATTCCGAACTAATCAGCGCGCGCACTATCAATGCACTATCAACTTGTGTGGTATATACCAATTCATGATATCATGATCAACTTTATCCAATAATTGCTTATTATCTCCATGACTGAACTGTTTAGCCAGTTCAAAAGTGTGCTAGGAAACCGAAGCCTATAAAAGAAGGTTGTGTGCGATTACTTGTAACGGTAATACATTTCACGCGCTCTTTGGCTTCCCTTAGGCGCGTTTAGTGAACATACGATTAGGAAATAGCACTGGCGTGGAATGAAAAAAAAAAAAAAAAAAAAGAGATAGTTTCCTCTTTCATTTTATTTTGCGTCTTTTTTAATTTCCCTAACTTCCAGATTAGCTTCGTTATCATTTTTTAAATCATTAGTATTGTTGTAACATCAAGATCATTGTATTCCAGATGTTTTTAATCCGCGTATGAATAAAGAGAAAATTTGCTGCAAATTGAGATAGATCGGACAGGCTATGCGTGTTGCGTTACTGATTGCGTTACAGGAAAATGCTTTTCATTTTAGCTTAGGGACTTGTCAGAAATTAGCAGGGGGGGGGGGTGGAAAAATCACAACTTTTTGAGCCTCAGAAAAGGGAGGGGTCATGAAAAATGAGCAGTTAAAAGGGGAGGGTCATGCAAATATATGCCCGTGATCATGTAGAGGTTCACCCACAGAAGAAAAAGGAAGTTCTTTATTTGGCAAAAAAAGAGAAAAATACAACGGTTTACGGAACGTTATGGATATAAACTGTGAAGTACTATAGCAAGAATTTGAAATAGAAATATATTTTGAGTTTTCATAATACTGACGCACCCTAGTGTATTGCAAGAACTAGATTTTATCATTTATACAAGATGGGGAGGGTCATGATATTTTAGGCCAAGCTCAAGGGGAGGGTTAGCAAATTTCACTCCCATTGCAGGGATGGGTCACCTAAAAAATTTCTGACAAGTCCCTTACACAAGAGGTGAAGTATTATTGAACTAAAAAGAGGCAGTTTGAGATTGCGTTACAGGAAAATGATTTTCATTTGCAGCTTACACAAAAGGCGAAGTATTATTGAACTATAAAGAGCCAGTTTGAGATTGCGTTACAGGAAAATGCTTTTCATTTTCAGCTTACACAAAAGGCGAAGTATTATTGAACTAAAAAGAGGCAGTTTGAGATTGCGTTACAGGAAAATGCTTTTCATTTGCAGCTTACACAAAAGGCGAAGTGTTATTGAACTAAAAAGAGGCAGTTTGAGATTGAGGTATTTCGCTAGGTCGACGGCGTCTGAGAGTCTTGGAACGGATCACGGAATAAAGAAACTGGGAACAAGACGTAAAATCACGTGCAAAGACATCATAGTGTAATATCGAATATCTGGTCAAACGATACATTCATCATATCAAGTTAGTACGTTGCTGTAACACATCCCGATCAAATTCAAGACAAATCTAGAGTCGAAAGCGTTTAGGCATCGCTTAAATATGACACAGGGTCGAACGAAGAGTGCATTTACCTCGACTGGAACTCTGATTTCTGTGGTCTCTGTCCTGATCTACTGTGCTGGTTTTGTAAGAGTTGAAATCAAACTTAATGAACAGGAAGAGAGAATGAGTGAGATGGAGAAATTGCTGAGGGTCAAAGATCCTTCTTCAAGCGAAGTGAAATCGAGTAAAAAGGACCCAACTATGGATTTAACAGGTAAGAATTTCTTCGCCACAATTTTGCGAAACAAATTTTCAGGTTGCCAAAGTTTACTTCTATGTTTGCACATCATTAAAGTGGCGACACAACTTCCGCTCTTTAGCTGTGTTTGTTTGCGTCCTCGCAATATCTGTATGATAATTGTAGCCGACGATGGGCATCGACAGTAACATTCTCACACGTGAGAAAGTTTGTGCTCTATTGTAAATGCTTACGGTAGTTTCATCAGCAGTTAAAACTACATTCCGCTGATCCAGAAAAGAAATGCCCCTTAGAGCGTGAGGGAAATTCTAATCCCTGTACAAACAGACGTATGAATAATGACGTAGATACGAAGCTGTGTTCAGTGAAACCGACAAATCTTGTGCTGAAACTTATTACGTCATTAAATTAAACCAGACGCATCTTAGAGCGTTCAGCAAAATTCTCTTGCGTGTTTATCGTAGACTTAATCCTATGCTTTTATTTTGAAAAACATAAAAAAACATAAAAACATTTTGATATCAGATATTCGTTTGTTCAGCAAAAATCCTTTCGTGTCATTAGCCTAGCAAGACAACAAAGGTCATCTTGTAAAAACCGAGCTGGATGTCAAATTATTTATAAAAGTAATACAAATTGATGCATCAACCGATTGAAAACTCGATCCTAAATTTTTGGACTTTCGGATGGCGAATTTCCTGTTAGCTTCAAACCCAGAGAAGTGACAAACATGTAACCTCTCCTTACAGAGTTAATACATCATCCAGCTAGCAGCTAATGAGAATTGACAGAAATTATCAGCTGAAAGGATGTTACCTTAATAAAACGCCAAAAAATTGAACAAGAAAAAAGGAATTGTATAGTTTCTGTGGAGAGGAAATTCAGCATACAAATCTACACCTGGAAAGTCGCCTCTCACTTTTAAAACTGAACTAAACGAAACTGAATCTTATAGCAAGAGCACACAAACAACAACAACAACTAAACAAACAAACAAAACAACCTTTAGAAATGAGAAGAAGCCACAAAGGTGTCTGCCATTTTACTTATTTCCCACTTGATTAACCTAACAATTCGACTGTTCATGTTTGTTCTTCGTTTAGGTAAAACTTCAGGGATTCACTCAGACATCGCAAACGACATTAGAATTAAGCGACATGTTGCAAACGATTTGAATACCACTGAAAACAAAGAGAGAGACCAATTTGTCGTGAGACTTGACAGTCTGCTATCAGACAGAGTGATGAAACTTTGTCAAGTAAAACATTCCTGCTCACAAGGTCCTCCAGGCCCTCCAGGTCAACCTGGACCACGCGGAACAAAAGGATCCCGGGGAAGGAGAGGCCAAAAAAGGAATAAAGGGCGACGAAGGAATCATGGGATCGCCTGGAAAAGGTGGAAAGCAAGGCATCATGGGCCCTCGGGGGCACAAAGGAGAGCCAGGGAAGAAAGGACAGACAGGGGCCCCAGGGGTGACTGGTAGACCCGGAATGAAAGGAGACCCTGGAGAATCTATTTCATCTCCTGTGGTTGGTATTTCGCCTTCAACGCTGAGGGTAAACGAAAACGAGGCAGCCTCGTTGCAATGTTCAGCGAGTGGAAATCCTCAGCCTGTAATTGAATGGAGTAGAAATGATTCCGCTTTGAATCCAAAGTTGGAAATGACCTCTGGAAAGATTATGTGGAAGAAAGTTGCTGGTAGTGACTCCGGCATTTACACGTGTACGGCGAGAAATATTTTAGGAAAAGCGGAAGGATTTGCAAAACTTACAGTGAACGGTGAGAGAAGAAAAATATTTACAATCGATGATTAAGTCGGGTCACTTGTAGTTATCAGAGAGAAACTGGTCGTGCATATCTTATGCACTAAGAAAAAGACTCTCCTTGATCAGGCAATGCAAAAACACGTAGTTATTGCCAACTCCTGCTTCTCTCTCTCTCTCTCCCTTTTCGTGCTATCAGCTTTATTTATGTTATCTCAAACAAAGTATAGTTGTGAATGAAAGTGATCCTCGCAGTAATGTGCACTACTTGGGCAGTAGTGAAAATAAGGCCTGAAAAAAATTCAAGCCTGTACGGGATTTGAACTCATGACCTCTGCGATACCGATGCAGCGCTCTACCAACTGAGCTAACAAGCCGTGATGTTGGTTCCAAATAAACCCTTGAAGTGATAAATAAGGAATCGTTTGAAATTTGTGTTGCCTCCGCAGTCAAGCCTCTTGTATCTTTACATCCGGGACCGACTTACGTAAAGGAAGGAACTAATGTCACATTACCGATATGCCATGTGACTGGGTATCCCCGTCCAACAACGACATGGAGCAGGCCACTTGGCAAGCTTCCACACACAAGTGTTTACAGTTACCTTGGCAATATCAGTATACTCGAAGTGTTCAACATCCAGATGAAAGATTCTGGTAATTACATTTGTACCGCCTCCAATCTTCTGGCTACTACCTCCATGCAAACATTCTTAGTCGTGGTTAGACTTCCTAACTTCACTATCAGGCCTCCTGGAAATGTTTCCTTGATTGCAGGTGCTTCTTTAACGATACACTGCAGCGCAACTGGTGACCCGCAACCGGTCATTTCTTGGAAGAGACTTGGAGCACAGCTTCCTGATGGATGGAATCAGTGGTCAAATGGATCACTTACAATGAGAAACGTGACACATGAAGACGCTGGTATTTACATGTGCGTCGCCACTAGTGGAGGGGTTTTAGAGAATTCTGCAATAAGCAAAGTTCGTGTGAAATCAGGTAAGACAATTGCATGATCACAATTCACCTAATTTTCGCATTTTTTGTTGATGTCAAATCCATTTTACTCTACTAGTCTCCTTCTCTTTTTCCCTTTCTTGTTTCGGCTTGCATCTCGCGGACCCTTCACCAGACGGTAAGGCATATTCCGCACAGAACCGCTTATGGCCCTTACTGAGTATTTTTAAATGTTGTATTTGTATTGAACTGCGTCACTTTCATGTTTCAAGTTTTGCAAATGTAATGAACAAATGATGTCTTGTTTGCTTGACTTGCTTCACTCAGTTGCATTACAAGATTGCTCGACGCTGCTGAAAAATGGCCACACCCAGAGTGGGATATACAAAATCGACCCAGACGGGAAAGGACAGTTCAGAGTGTATTGTGACATGCATACTGAAGGCGGAGGCTGGACTGTCTTTCAGAGAAGACGAGATGGCTCAGTAGACTTCTCTCGGGGATGGGACGACTACAAAGCAGGGTTTGGTCAGCTGACTGATGAGTTTTGGCTAGGAAATGAAAAGATCCACCGACTGACAGCCTCTACACCCAGCTCCCTAAGAGTTGACATGGAGGACCGGAACAGGTCCAAAGCGTATGCCAAGTATGACCAGTTTAGCGTTGGGGACGAGAAGTCTCAGTATAAACTTGAAGTTGGATCGTTTTCAGGAACAGCAGGAGATTCACTGACATATCATAATACAATGAAATTCAGTACGAAAGACAGACACAATGACGTATCCGGTTCTAACTATTGTACGAGAACTTATACTGGAGGGTGGTGGTTTAAGAATTGTCACTATGCTTATCCTAACGGCTTGTATCATGGAACAAATGGGAATTACTATAAAGGAGTTATTTGGTACGCATTTAGAGGAACAAAATCTCTTAAATTTATTGAGATGAAACTGAAAACGACATCCTAAATTAAAAATCATAATTTCAACTTAGAAATGAACAACCGTTCGTTTGATATTGAAACGGCTTAGGCGCAGCTCGAAGTTGAAGAGGAGAGATTTTTTTCTTTTTTATAAGTTCCGCCTATAGCAAACATTTGCATCACTACCAATGGAAATTCAGTTTCTTAGCTGTACTATGGCTATGTAGTGTCTAGGATAATCGTAATACGTACGTTAGACCTGAAATATCTTGAATATTTTTGTTCTCAATTTTCCGAGTTTACTTCTTTTGTAGAGCCGCATCTCTTTTCTACAGCGATTTCCCAGTCCGCTTCCAATATCACGCGGCTAGTTCCTCGAAAGCGGAGAAAAACGCTTTTAAGAGGACAAGTGAAACTGTGTTAGATAAATCTAAGAGGGTTTCGTAAGACCCGGGTAGAATATAATTTTGAAGCTAATCTAGTACAGGAGTCTGATCTGTTGTTCACGAGTATGACGCATGTCACAAACGATCTGGTCATCAATCGCGTTTTTTTTTTTAACAGCTTTTAAGAGCTTAAAACATAAGGAGTCCCTTCTCTTTCGGCGAAATCACAACCGTGACTACAGGATGTTGGAAAATTTCTAACGAATGACACTTTGATGAAAATTCTGATCACTTGCAAGTTCCTTTTATGTTGAGAATTAGAGAATCTTTTAAACTGCGACTTGCATTAGAATTATTATTTTATTTCGCGACTTTTAAAGTAGAAAGAATATGATTTAACAACATCAACAATAAGGGTAAACCAGATCAAATTGAGTCATTCGTGTCTCAGCATTAAAGTAATATTTTTACAGTGTTTACAGTGCAAAATAAAGATACCCAGGATCAGAAGTCAGTTTTTCTAGGCTAATGGTATGATTAGAAACAAGATTATAGGAGACTTCTTTGTACAGTGGTTTAGCTGTTAAAATTAAACATTATCAGATTTTATTCAATATAAAGACTGTTAAGTTTAGTCTAGACTAACAACACTACGAATAGGGAACGCCTACATATACCACTCTGTAGGACGGCTGCGGGTCAGCGCATTTACTTTCAGATGAGTTTCAGTCTATCACTAATTTAGATGTATTTAAAGTAAAAATAAAACAGCATTTTTCAAGGGTATTTTTAGAAAACTAAGTTTTAGATATTTGACATTGTAAATTAAGCTGAAAAGCCTTTTTGAGGAGATTAATAAAGTTATTATTTTATTATTATTAGACTGAAGCCCATTTCAAGAGATCTTTAAGAGAAAATATCTCGCGGTTTTACTTTATTTCTCAATCAATTTTGAGTGAATTCCTCTCGAGAAAGAAGAAGAAAAACATTAGGTCTATGCGCGGTACGATGAATTGGAACAGCTGGCTACATTTGGTACAAGTGTCGGAAAGTAAAGTAACACTGGCGCAAGTGACTTAAGAAAAAAAAAAGGAATAACAGCAAAAAACACAAGGCAATTGTAAATATGAAAAAGAATAAAAACGAACAAAAAGAGGGGAAAGTTTTCTAATGGTGCATCTTCACCAAGACCATATGTCTCCAGATCAGGGCATTCGTAGGTTTTCAGTTACCATATTGTCACTTGAATTTAAATCGAAGTTATGTAAGTAGTTCTAATGTTTCTAAGAGAACAGCCGTCTTTTTTATATTTAGCAATGATTGCATCAGGCTTACAGGTGTCGCCATTAAATTTTGGCAGCCCAGTCATCACCGTCAGGCCAGATTTTGCGCGATTTTTGCCTCTCCTTAAAGAATAAAAGCAAAGGATTCTCCTGAATTCATAGCGATATTTCTCGCAGAACAGAGGATAAATGAACGGGTTTATTGCGCTGTTCGCGATCCCAAACCACGGCAAGACAACGTTTACTTCAAAGGGAATATGGCTCCAGTAAACCTCATAGGCAAATCGTTTTAATACCTCCGCTGCTTGTAAAGGAAACCAACAAAGTGCAAACACAGTGACTATGCCAATCAACATCTTAGTGGGTTTGCGGCGCGTGGCTCTGATTCTTTCAATTGCTAACTCCGAGTGGTGGCCTGGGGCTGCACTCTTCCAGAGCCTCGCGGTGGTGACGAGGTATAGAGTTGCTATGGTTGCTAAGGGCACTATATAACTAAGTGCCACAAATACAAGAGTATAATGGCTCGCAGACATTCCACTGTTCTTCCAACTAGGATAGCATCTGTGCTTTTTCCCCTTGGTTTTGACTGTTGCAACCATAAATTGCGGAATAGCAAATGCCACGGCGATTGCCCAGATGACCAGAATTAACCTTTTAATATATGTTTTAATGAAGACCTTTTTTAAAGGAAAGAATATAGCACAACAGCGGTCTACACTAATAGCCAGTATACTGTAAACGGAGCTCACAACCGATAAAGCCTGGAGAGAGATCGCTAACCGACACGTAACCTGTCCCATTACACCGCCGAACCAGTCAAACTGGTAATAAAAAAATTTCACTAGGTAGACGATGACGGGTATCATCATGAGGTCAGCGGCTGCCAGATTGGCAATCAGCAGATCTGTTGTTGTACGCATGGGCGTTCTTGAGCAGGTCACATAAATGACGATGACGTTGCCAACCAGGTCAAATGTTGCGATGACCGCCGCTAGTAGAGTCAAAACAACTTGCACGGTGACACTTACTTCCAGGTTAATTCCAGATGTTTTGCCTTCTGTCAAATGAATAGATAGATGAATAACAAACAAGCCAACCAATAAAATAACAACAAAGAAACAAATAAATAGTGATCCGTGCCACAGTAAAAGATAGACATTCGATTGCAAAAACATTGGCACCTAAGAAGCGTATACAATGAAAGATGATTGAGAAACTATGCAGCTATGTGGGTCAGATGTGCATCATAACCACCATTACTTGCACTTGGTGAATGTTGAAAACTATCCCAGCTTTCCTGAAAGAAGAGGATTATCACAGAAAAATATTTTTTTATGAAAAATGAAAAACGTGAATCACTTGAATTCAATAAGACTTATCACGTATCAGTGCGATCATTTTCCAAAAAGGCCGTTGGGTGTCACCGTTCATGGCCATACTTTTTAAATATCAACGTTTTCGCAATCGAGTGCATATTTGCAATCGTCAAATGAAGTCTCGTACCTAGACCTTCCACGGCCAAGCGGTTTCATTTCAGTGACACGGTAGGATTTGGGTACGATATTACGTCACTCGTAAATCACTCGTTGATACACCCCTTTACACTTCTTACCAGTTCATGTTAAAAAAAAAATAACTCCTTAAGACATTTGCGGCCGAATAGTTTTTTTAAATTCAAAATCAAAAGTTAATTTGTATTTCCAAATACAGAGGAAAAAATATTTTTTTAACAACAATTCAAAATTTGAAGAAATACGTCTTGTTGGTTTTGATGTTAAATACATTGTTAACAGATATCGCTTATAATTCTTCTACAACAAAATACAATTTCACCAAAAGAAGAGATGTTTCGGTTATCTTTGAGAAAAAGAGTCACTTGTTACTAAGTAAAGAGTGCACTCTCTATCCATCGACCAGCATAAAACTAGAAGAGGAAAAAATTTATAAATTTTTCGAGCGTTCTTCTGATATTACAAGTGTGTTGTTACGCGTAATCCGATTTTACAAAAGTGAAGTCTATAGCTTTTATGAAAAATCTGTAGGATAACAAGTAGGACTTGACCAATCAGTGAGCGATTAGATCACCTTAGTTAATTGATAAAAACGAAGAATCAGAGAGATTGACAATCTTGTCAGGAAATTCAATAAAAAAACATGAGATTACTAAGGAGCACTTATTATAATGTCAAAATATTTAGTTAAATAAATAGCCACGCGCAAAGGTCTGTAAAATTATTAAAAACGTTCGATGATCCGCGCTGAGACGATTTAAGTGTGACAAATTCCGTTTAAGAAGTGGAAATCTGGAAACAGTAGCATGAAACAAGATTTTAGGCTTGTAACGGAAATTAAAACAGTTTTTCCGTATAAAATTTCAGTACTCAATAAGCGAAACAAGGATTTTCTTGCGCAATCGTATTCAAATATTTTCTTTCCAATGTATGCGAAATATATTAATAATATTTAAAAAGAACATTTTAATGTAAAATAACGATTCTATGTCTAATAATTTGACTATCGGGGATATCTTTCTGGATGCATGCATTTTATGGCTAAAGTCTGATAGCTAAATTAGGTCTGTTCACATAAAGGATTCTCTTAGATTTATTCTGTGGTTCTACTCGTCTGGAAGTTCACGAAAACAGTAAAAAACTCTTAACTGTCTGCCTTTAAAAGTAGTAATGGGGCGTGTAATGATAGGATTTTCAGTCATCAAGTTTTTGTGTTAACGCTAAAATATATATATGATTCCATGTGGAAACTGCGAGATTTTACTAAGCTCAGCAAAGCGTAAATGCGACCAAAGTCAGCCGTAAACAGTTGTTGTCGGATGATAACTATAATTAGTGTTAAACTGTAACCGTCACCTGTTATTGCCTTGTTTTTAGTTGTTATCCACCTGAGCTTTTTGAAAAATGATTAATCTTGCAGAAGGCGAAATTCCTTACTGTTCTGGATTACCTGATCCTTTAGATAATTTATAGCATTACCTAATCTTTTGTACCTTCGGCTTAAATAGAGCTGTTTTGTAAAGTTTTCTTTGCTCAGAAAATCAGCAGTTGGGTGACCTTCAGTGGTACATGCAGATCAAACCTACGTTGAAACAAATTCTGTTGTCAAAGTCATTGTCTCAAGAATCGTCAACAGTCGTTATAGATTCTGGCCTTCCCGCAGCCAGCAAGTGTCTCTGGGAAGAGCCCTTTTTAAAAGAGTTTTATTGAGTTGTTTCTCCTGTCCGTCCGTTTATTTGTGGCGGCAAAAAACCTGTTTTCACTGGCGGAAGACGGAAAGACAAACCTGATGTGGAATTGTTCATGATGACATAAAGTATCGTCTGCTTGAAAAACACCGCACGGCTAAAAGAAATTGTTTGAATTAAAAATGAATGGGAATCTATTCAAGTACTAAATACAACAAGTTTAAATACAAAAAATATAGCCTGAAGCATTTTTCTGACTTAAACTGTCACAGCTAAACGTAAGATCACAATTTGTAAGTCTAACGATGCTGTTTCGCAAAGCAATATCGGATTTGATATATTTTATTTCGAAGAAACACGTCTGCGTAACTCAGTTGAGCATACCTCTCGAGCCAAACAGCAATATCCGTAATTTTATCTAGTGACTGACTTGATAACGAAAAGCGAATTTATTCGGTCAAAAGATCGCTTGGTATCCTTTGTGGTAGTCTGGAGCGAAATACAAAGTAACCGAGACCATTAAGGCTTCAATGACAAAAAAATACTGATTTAGGCGAAAAGAGACAAAAACGTTTGCAGGGTAGATTTAGGCTCACGAATACGTTCTGAAGACTTGCGATATACTAAAACACTAAACGCGATGAATGGCTAATTTTATAAGTAACCGGGAGGCCTTTGCAAAAATTGAACATGTTACCTTCAGTTTCACCAGGGATTCAGTGAAGATGACAAGCTTCTTCGACAAACCCTCGCCCTTTTCTATTTGGAGGATGCTTGTCAAGTCAGAAGATAAATATATGGAACCTCTGCATGGGCATAATTATAAAGGAAATAACAATATTGACGTGAAGGTTAACTTCTGACAGTTTCGTGCTTTAATGACCTTAACATGCAATCTTATTGGTTCATACTAGTGGGTGTTATCTTGTCTATCTTTTATCCAACGATGAAGAGGTTTTCGTGAATTACGTTCGTTGGACCTAATTTGTTACTTTTATGGCGTCACTTTAATTGATAATGTTTGCTCATAACAAAAATTTGCAAATGTGAGAGAAAGAAGGTAAAGGCCTGAGTAGATGCCGTACATACTTAGCAGGTGTTTTTAAGGCTAAAATTGGAAACTGTTGTTCACAGCAGGTTGTAAGACATTTTATTGACGCCTGTGCACATTACAATATTTCATAGACGACACTTAAGAGTAAACTTAAAGCTTCGTAAGAAAGGTGCATCAGACACTAGTTAACTATTCATGGACAGAGACCTTGTCGTGAATATTCTTCTCTCGATTAAAACAGCATGCTGATGACTGTTTGCGATAAACAAGGAAAAATATTGGCTCTCGTGGATTACAGTAAGCGAGATAAACACGCGAGCGAAATTGTCAGTAATCGGCAAAGAAAGATAGCAACGCATCCTCAAAAACTGTGTCTTCAAGATCGATTCTCTACCTATTGCGAAAGTCATATCGAATTATTCAAAGCGGATCATGGCGTAAGTTTTCTTCAGTGACGTAAATGCAGTATTGCATGTTGCTGTTTGTCCGGTCAGCTAATGTAAACCGATCCATTGATTCACAATGTCATACATTTAGGAACACCAAATTATAGCTTCCGCAGGAAAATTTCGCAGCATCCTACGACAAGGATTGTCACATCAGCGCTATTTTAGGAAGTTTGGTAAAGCAGTTGGGTTGAGAAATGTCAAAAACGCTTGACGAGAATCAAACAGAGTTTACCCCATTTTCCATCCAACAAGGTTCTCAACCTGTGTTTACCTCGTTATTTGCTAATTGGAAACCATTTGCGCTCCGGTACTTGTCAAAGCTGCAAACAAACAGACCAAACATATTATCGTAGACTATAAATTATGTGCAGATACACTCGTTTTAGAAGAGGGGAAAAAAGGAAAAAGCGAAGATGCGGAGAGGCTTTCGACCAACCTGCAGCAGTTTCACTACCCAGTTCTCTGTCCTAAGATATGACAGGGTTGGTATAAAAAACTTGACTTTCTTCTTCTATTACGACTTCCATCAGGCCATTACCAAATTAAGTTCAGCTGTTCCTTCTAAGTCAGCTTTCTTGTATTCCGTTCGTTTTATTCTAGCAATTTTCGCAAGATTCATAAAAAAGGATTTATTTCAAATAAGAGTCTGTATTATACACTGAGGACAATAGCTGACGTCACACTAACACGTAAGCAAGTCCTAGACGTCATTCGTGACAGAAAAACAAACTGACCCATTTCAATCAAAGCCTGGCTTAACCCTTTAACTCCCAGATAAAATTTGTAATTCTCCTTACTGTCAACCATTAATTCTTATAATGATGGTTCAGAGAATTTAGTATTGGATCAACTCATTGTCCCCAAATTGATATTTTTCTTTATTCTCATCACTCCTCTGGTTGATATTGTATTGATATTGTAAGGAGAAATTCTGTCTTGGTCACTGTAGGGAGTTAAAGGATTAAGTGTATGTCTTCTCCTTACTATGCTACCTTACTGTGCATCTGAAAGGTGCGGAGAAACTTAATGAAAATCACCACCGAAGAACAATTGATCTGTTTGATGTGGAATCGTTATACCCAACTTTTTACAAGAAATGCGAAAAGATTGACAGAAAGAATAATAAATTTGATCGCTATTATGTTTTCTTTTTCCGTTGTTCTGCTTTTCCCAACATTCTGAAAATCTTTTTCCTTTCTTCTCTCTGTTTCTGTTGTCGTTTTGCGTCCTTTTTCTCCTGCTCTGCACGAAAGACCTTTCTTTTCTCTTGAAGCTTCTCCTTTCGCTTTCTTTGTTTCTCCTTGTTTGCAGTGTACAGTTGCTTCATGAGCGTGAAAGCCTGTTAAAGGAAAGGAAGGAGGAATCTTTAAGTTATCATGGCAGTTCGGAAAGCCGCTAAACTCTAGAACAAAAATTTATCTTTCAAATCGGCACTCTTAACTCCCACGGTATCAACGAAAGCTTTTTATTCAATTCATTTCTTCTTGTTTTCTCGTCACCATGTTTCCATTAACAGAGCGAAGTAAAGCAAAACCAATGCATTCTGGGATTAATTTCGACACTCAACTGAAAATTTCTCTTAAATGAAAAGAAAACCAGCACTTGACCGTCATATACCTACCTTCTTTTCGTGCGGTTCCATAACAACAGCGCGCTTCGTTTCCAAGGTTGGCTTAGTCCTTTTCTTCATCAGCTTGGGTTTGGATTTAAATGGTAAATCTTTTTGAAGTTTGGCTGGAATCACCAGTGGGTTAAAGTGACGAGTGACCCGCTCTACAGGCTGCCAATAACACAAATATTGCTTCAGTTTATTACTCCTTACCCCTCACGATCCACGCCCTTTTTTCAGTTCTCCGAATCTTAGTTGTCGGTAAAAACAATTTTTATAAGCTTTTTCAAAGCGTCTAATCCTGAATACACCACATACATGGGTAACATTCAAGAGGTGAAGCCTTTATACTTCGGTGAATTCACGATAAATGTTGCTGGATACAACTGTTCCAAATCCGCTACAACTGATACCAAACCAAAATTAGGCAGAGAGACAAAACAAAGACAAACTTTGAGACCTGGCATCATTAGAAGACATTTCGTCTTGGTCAAGAAAATCACTCGAATATGATACTTGTTGTTACGCGCGGTTGTGAATCCTTCTGATTGAAGCCTTAACTGCCTAAATCTTAGGACCTTGCACTGATGAGTAGTCTTATTGTCAAGACAAAACGCTGCGTCATACCAGAATTATTCTTTCACAAGTATTTGACCATTTTTCCTAGCATAGCAGTTGACAATAATTTTGCAGTACTTATAAGAAATACTTCGACGTCGACTCGAGCTAACACCTGAGCGTGACTGATGCACTCACCTTGTACAACGAATCACTTTTGACAGGCGCTTTCAAACCTAGGTCTTTTCGAAGTTGACCAACAGTGCGCATGCCCTGCCACGTTGCCTTCTGTTCTGGCGGTAAGAGCAGTGACGTCACAGGGTTGCAGAAGTTCGGAACTGTGACTGGGTACCAGGTTCTAATGAAAACTATGTCTGGAGAACACAACAGTACGAGGCTTTGAGTTACCGAGTTACCACAGGTGGTTGTTGATTTGATTACTTGGTTCAGATCTTCAAGTCATCACCTTAACTAATCAGATGCGCAAGCCTGTCAGAGGCGCATTCCCTGCACATGCTTCAATTAAGAATTGGTTCATGCCTAGCGAGCATACATCGAATAATGGATGCACGCGGGATGTTTGGAGAGCACGAGAGATGCGTAAGAGTGGCTCGAGACGAAGCCAAAAGCAACTCTTGCGTGGGTTATTTCGCCAGTAAACCAATAGAAAGTGCGGACTTTTACTTGAATACACCATGGTGGCTCATTAGGAATTAGGTGCGAGATACGCGCGTACAATGTTATAAACTGGATTTCATTGCTGATCACTCTGTTCTCATACCGTGTCTTTATAAAAAAGCCGGCTCACAAAAGTAGTTGTTACTCACCACTTATCAAAATTTTGTCCTCAAATGTTGCACGGAAAGCACCTTCCGGATTCTAGTGAGAAAAGCAAAACAAATGAGCCAAACAAAACCTCTTTATCCCCTTCGATTAAGAGGCTAACAAAACATCAAAATAACATACCTTCAGCGCGCGCTTAACTTGTCCCCTGATACCGCTGACAGTTCGTATTGTTGCTCCTTCAAATTTTGCTACTTCCAAAGCTGAATTGAACATGCCCTGGAGATGGAAAAAAATTATCTTGAGTTCCATGAGTTCCAAATGGTCTTTTGTGCTTAGCGACAGTTTCACGTTATCATTATCATTCATAGAGAAGGCTTGGTCGTGTTTCAAACGAATTAGACTAGTTTTATCATGATGGTTACATGATATCGACCCTTTCCAATCTCCTAAATCTCGATAAACCTTTCTTACTTTTCTTGAACATTCAAAACATCGGAACTGGAACTAGTCACTACACTAACAGGACCTAACTGAGTTCATGCTTGGTGAACACCAGAAAATACTGGAGAGGGGTGAGTGCTAAGATTGACCTGAGAAAGATCAGTATCCCATCGAAGGGACTGGAATTTTCTTTTTCGCTCAAGATTCTCGCTACTGGCTGAAAAAGCTCTCCGTCACTTTCAAATGAAAATATACAAAAGATAACATCTGTAAATCACCTTGATAAATGCAGTGTTCTTAAATATCTTCATGGGTGTTCCTGTTAACTTGAGTTTCTTGACTAGTTCTACAGATTTATCCAAGTTCAACACGGTACCAGTGGCTGAGATGCGGAAATCAGACTTAAAATGGTGAAAAGAACAAGGAAAAAGACACTGTAATGATGGAACAGAACATCTATGATCCTCTAGACTAGTACTGATGCTATTAATCGACCGTCCGTAAACTGTAACAGATTTCTTGAGTTCGATAAATCACCAATTAAAAAATTCTCTTCTCTAATTCCCAACGAAATGTTAAGCATCTGAAAAGAAACATTTCTAAAACCAAATCTAGTGAGTTTAACCCTTTAACTCCCACAAGTGATTAACAAGTAACTTCTTGCTATGATATTCATTAACAATCAGACCTGGAGAGTTAAAGGGTCAAAGGCCTGCTAACTCACCATATCGCCTGCTGTGCTTTGAATTGCCAGGACTCCAGTTCCGGGGGGAGCTATGGGACCTGAGGAGAAGTGGTTATTGAATAAATTGTCCTTGTGATTCTAAAAATTCTTTTCAACATACATATAAGCTTCGTGCAGAAAAAAAGACAAAATGATGTTCATTTGTGTACAGTGCACACATCACCGCTAGGTTTTCTTTTTATCTATTTTGTTTTCCGGACCGCCGAGTCTTAAGCTGCTACAGTTTGGTGCTCCCCCGAAAAAAAAACAGTTTGATCTTAGGTTACGTAAGCAAAGAGGATTTTAAGACGTATCCTTACCAAATAAGGTAGCCATGCAGTGTAGATGTTCAGGGGTGTACTTCAGCAATCTGTGGCGGCCGTTGTGGTCCTGGACTGAGTACATCGGCAAAGTTTGAAATCTGCGCCAGCCAATAGATAAGATCAGCGGATCCCTTGTCTTGAGGATGCGCTTGTGCCAACGATGTTTCTTAAAGCGAACCTGAAAAAAAATCACATAGAGCCATATTCTTAAATTTCAAGTTTGTCATAGGCTGATGGCGTGAGCTAAACATTCTTCTTTTGTTCCACATGACTTCAGGGTGAAAAGGGTTTAGGAATCATTCCATGATGTCTTTCGTATTGACACTTACCTGAAGAAATCCCATGTTATCCTCACTCGGCAGAAGGCCGCCAAGAATTACGGGATATTTGGCATCAAAGTTGGTGACAAACTCACAGGGCATACCACTGAGCTGAAAGTTTGGTAATGAAAGACAAAAATTGGTGACACGAAATATTTCTGGGTATGACGGTTTCAAGTGCATACAATTGTACCCACTGAGATTTAAGTTTATGTAGTTCTCAGAAAATATCAAAGGAAATTCGAAATACTTGAATCAACTCTATGACTGTCCACTACATGATGAACCTTCAGATGTGAAATCAAAGTCGGTTACAAGTCTCTGATGATTCATTCATTCATTCTCCTCGCTTTGACCCCTTTGCATCTTGTGTTCAAATTGTTTATCAAATGGAAATTGCCATGAGCATTTTAGCAGTCAAAACAGCCTTTGCGATAATCTGGTTTTAGATTTTGCTCCAGTTTAAAAGTACTGTCCTACGACTGGAGAATGAAGCTTCATTCATGTATAACTTAACTCTCTGTAGCTACTGTAAGACAGTAGGTAAAAATACGTCATCTGATCTTGTACTAACCTCCACCCTAACATACATTCCTGGTCTGAATCCCTCATACTGTGTTCGCGTCTCGTCATCCATGTCTTGGAACTCGGACTGATTTAGCTGTGGACAGAAATAAATGTTAAGTCAGCCATGGTCTTGAAAAGAGGATCCATTGTTTCAATCAAAATGTAAAACGAGACGTGGTAGCAGTACAAACCTGTGCCTGCTCTGTCATCTGCGCTTTGAGCTCATCATAATACGAGGTTTCGTCACCTTCATCATACCTTAGTCAGGTTAAGTCACCAAAACGAAGAAAAAAACGACCAAACAAGTTGACGAATTCTCCCCAATCACATGAAACACAAATTGGACCTACACAACCAAATTAAATGACGAGCTGCAGGAAAATCGGAAAGTAACCGCTAATTGTTAAAAAAACAAGATTCTTAATTGAGCGTTTGCGCCTCTCCATTTCAACCTCTGGTCTGTCTACTGAAGGAGTTGGCATTCTAAAGGAAACCGTGGAAGTAATCAATAATAAGTCGAAATGCTGATCTAGCCATAGAGCAGTTGATCAAGGAGCTGTTCAAGGTGTAAGTTAATAAATTCTTCAGAAAGGATACGTTGCATCAAAAGCCGCCTTCTGTTTCTTTTTCATTTCCATCCTCCTATCAGCTCCATCAGTTTTCTCCTCTTCACTTTCTTCCTGTTCATCCTCTTGTCCCTCCCTCTCTGAGTTGTGTTTGTCGTCAGCCGTATGCACTTCACCAGTTTCCAGATCTTCAAAGTCTCCGAACATTTCATCATCGGAAACTGAAAAAAAAAAATGAAAAGCTTTATTTCCTTTCTTTTCTTTTCTTCTCTTTTCTTTCTTTTTTAACGATAACTTACCAATTTTACTGTCAAAAATACATGTAATCATGATCAGCTTTCAGTTTAGAATCCAAAGCAATCTAGGCCCCATCACATTTAGCAGTTTTGCTTCACTTCGCTCTGTGATTGGCCGAGAAAACTTGCATCATCCTCTACCAGTCAAGTGCAAAACTAGAACAAATCAAGACTCTATCACTCGTGTTTTCCCGCGCTTCAATTTGACTTTTCACTGGTTCTTTATAAAATTCATCTCTTCTTCTGATTGGCTGTTATGATAACTTTGGCTTCACGACACTCAACCGGAAAGCGCTCTGATAGGAATGCACATTTAGGCATTGAACAAGATAAGTTCATACTTGTATCATCGTCCTGGAGGAGCATCTCGGCATCTTCAGAATCTTTCCATTTGCCCGTCACAAAACAGTCCCGGATGCTCTGAAGCACTTCCGGTTGACTCCAATCCCTTAACGGCGTAGTGATAACCTCAAGCGAGCAGTCTCTGTCGTGTAAAATGCCTTTACTTTCAGAAGCGTTCATGGACTTCAATTTAAATATTCCGCCGATAGCGTCTTCATCACTTTCCTCGTCTTCTCTCTCTTCTTTCTTATTTTGAAGAGCTACACACACAAAAAAATGGTTATTGGAATCTTAAGACCAAAAATTGGACGTTTCTTCGAGTCAGATGCAGCTTGAATACAATGCGTAGTCATTCAAAAATATCTCTAACTTCAACTCTCAACGAAAATGAAAAAGACCACCGAATTTCGAGTTGAAGAGACATAAATAACAAACGAACAAAGAAACAAATACATAATCAATGTTACCATTTCCATAAACAAGTTTCTGTATATTTGGCGTGTCTCGCAGACGCTGCAGAAATACAGCTGCTGCCTTCTGAGCTAGATTTTCCTTCCACTTCAGAGCACCTAAAATAGGGAATAAAGAAGGTAAAACACTTCCAGTTCCAGTAGTCTAGAACCGTTAAAAATGCCACGCTCATTCTCTTATATTTCCATCTTACTAGTCTATCCTGATTGCACTTACGTTGATCATCGGTTGGTTGGTTCAGATACATGTAGCTACACTGTAAGTCAGTTGGTCGAGAAGTCTGTTGGTTTATTGATCAGTAACTCAGTCATCCAGGCACTTATTTAATACATAGACGTTTGGTCAGTCAGTTTGTCGGTCACACTTGTCTGCCAGTTAGTGTCTCATTCAGTTAATCAGTCAGTCGATCAGTAAGTCTACTTGCAGGTCATCATTAAATCTTGAACTGATACATGTACACTATACCTTCTTCCATTTCAGATCCTGAATCTTCGCTTGCATCTTCACCTGAGTCACCATAGCTCACTATATTGACATCTCCATCACTATCTTCTTCACTCTCTTTGTCATTTGAAATTTCAAGAATTGATCCTGATTCCACAATGGAATCAATTAAACTCGGCTTATCACCAGTCCTTTCAGTCTGTTCTTTATTTTTCTTATCAGCTTTAACACCTTTGACCGCATTTTGTTTCACAGAGCCTGTTTCATTTTTTAACTTCTTTTTAACACCGTGATCTTGGTTCCCTTTCTCTGTAACATCAAGTTTTCTCTTTCTCTTCAGAGAAGGAAAATCAACTATTGAGTCTGATTCGGAATCATTCATTGAATTCTCATTAGTATTAAAATTGTACTCTTGTTCAGATTCTCTTCCATTATGTTCTTCCTCTCCCTCCTCCTCCTCCTTTTCTTGTTCTCCTTCGTCTTCTTCCTCTGAATCTTCTTGTGATTCGTCTCCTTCCCGGCCATTTTCAGTTCCTTTTTCCGAAGCCGTTTGCTTCCTTAACAACAGTTCTCGTCTAGCATGTTTAGAATTCAACTTTAGAACTATTTCATCATCATCCTCCTCGTTAAATTCATCCTCCTCGTCACTCTCTACCACAGCATCATCAATGTCACTGCCATCACTATCATTCTCATCATCATTACCACGTTCGTCGTCGTCATCATCCTCATCACTATGTTCACCATCATCTGAAATAACTTCGTCATCTTCACCATCTTCCTCCTTATCATCCTCATTTTCATTATCACCAAATACAGCTTTCCTTCTCCTTCGACCATTCTCATCCACAACAATTTCTTCAGAGGGTCTGTAGTAGTTGTCATCCCTACGTGGTTCAAATGCACATGCATGTAGCCTAGTTTAGTTTAACGAGTTCGTAACAAAAAATAACAAATGATAGACTAGTAATTAAGCAATAGAGTGCACTCTCTATTGGTTTACCAGCGTAATAACCCATTGGGGATGTTAGAACAACGTAAAAATTATTTTCAGTCACGAGCCAGGAGTGAGTGATTCACAAACTTTTCGCTTGTTCACCCAACAGTTGGTTATAACGCAGGTATACCGTTAGAGAGTGCAGTTTATTGCTTGTATAAAATAAACTTCAAATTTTCAAATTTTCTATGGGTTTATCGGTGAAATAAATGACAGGTTTTTGACCAACCAGGCCTCTCATAGGTAATATTTTAGTTATTTTGAAATTTAGAAAAAACTGGGGAAAGAAACAGCACGATTCAAATACACTTGTAAAACGTGCACCCACGCATACACTTCAGATAGGAGCCTTAGGGGCAATTTGTGACCAAACAGAACCATAATTTTTAACACAGGCCTCCTCTAGGAGCGCTAAGTGTCAACAAGAATTGCTACCCTATCTATAATGGGACAATCAGTTTTCTTTAATACAAAGAGGGATCCAAAAAATACTTATATAACAAATAATTGTAATAATTTCAAATTATGGGACAGTGTGAAAATACTTACTCAATGACTTCATCAGGTGCTATTTGTGCACCATCCTGTGAACAAATAATAAAAACAGATTTAAATATCACTGATTAGAACAAATGAATTTAAAAGCTCATTTACAGTAGATTTTTCTGGAATATTAAGGAAAACTGAAGTGAAAATGAAAGACTTGAATTTATGTTCATTGTTGATGAAATGCTACCAGTAATATAATACATAATGAAAAAAAGCTGATCCTGTGAGACAAAATGGCCATGAACTAAAGAGCTGCAAGCATTTCATTGGTTTAAAGCCTTGTAATTCTGTGAATATTGTTACAACTTTGCAACAAAAAATGTTTTATAATGAGCAATTTGTTTTCATCAAGCGGAACTTCTGTTTATTAGTGCTTCCCCATGTACTCTGTCATCCACTGCTTACCTTAAACAATGTCAGTTGACTTGTCTGCATTTTACTGTCAATTGTCTGCTTTGTGTCAATTAAAGAAGACACAAGTTCATTTCCTGGTCGATTTTCAACCTAAAAATTAACAACAAAAACAGTAAGTAAACTGTTGATCAGTTTTGGTGCACATAACAGATGTTTACTAAAAAATAAAAAATAATCTCTGTATCATAATCAATAAGTTTCAGTGTATTTCTCATCTCGAGATAATTAATTTTTTTCAACTGAGGCTGTGATGGAAATTGATCACTCTAAAATGTTTCTAACTTACACTTAAGATATTATCTTTTCTTCATTCTTATGAAGGGTAAATGCTTGCAACATTAGCATTTAAAAAAAATCTTGACCCTTTTAGTATTATCTAGCCTATTTTTTATATTATCTTAGCCTATTAATTTTCCTCCACAAGTTTCCCTGTATCTTGAAATTTCAGTCTCAAATATTATGGGAGTGCATTCAAACTTTTTAGAAATCACCTGAGTGGAGGGGTTGGTTCTCTCTTTCCCTGCCTGACTTCCGCCAAGGTCGATGTACACTGCATCCTAGAAGTGGCACAAAATAAACATTAAGAAAGCAGCTTTTTGTATCTGAAATACAGTATATCGTGAGGAGGGTTTCTAAACATTTACAATGAAAGTTGAAACAATTTAAGTAGTGTACTATTTGAATAATTCTGTATATTACTAAAATTTACATATGCTACAAATTTATGGATCTTTAAACTCTTTCTTTTCCAAAAAGGTACATATGTCCTCTAAACATTTCAATCCTTTCTCAAACATCAGGTAAAAAAAATATATATAAACAAGGAAACTGTGTTCTTTTCTCACCAAAGTCTCAAAACTAAACAGTATAGGGAAAGCAAATTTAAATTGGGGTCCAAGTAATGAAAGGGAGAATAGAAACAACCACTAAATTATAACTCTTAAAACACATGTACAGTGTATACTGCCTTTCCAGAGTAAATTCAACTGTCAACGGTTACAGTTTTTTAGGGAAACTTAATTTACAGCAAGCCAGAGGTATGCTGTAATATCCCTGAAAACTGTTGTGTTATGCAGAAATTATGCAAACCATTTGTTACATAAAAGTGATTAGCATCTAATTTCTCACCACAATATAACCCCTGCATTCCACATTAAAGTCATGAGAATAAAGGAGAACATCACCAACTAAAGAATCTCTAGATTGTTAAACAAATTCTCCTTGTCAGCATCTTAGAAAATGTATAGAGAACAGTATGGAGAATGTGTACTGAGTATAAAGGCCGCTTAAACTTAGACTGTCACCTTGTCATAGACGACACCCCCAACTCCAGACATAGGGGCATATATGAGTCTTTCTTTTTCATTCAGTGACCGTTTCTTCTCTGCATTTGGCAGAGGACAAGGGTCTGGTAGGAGGCTGATCTCTTCAAGAGTGTGATCTCCACAACCTACAGAAAAGTGATGAAAGAGAGAAAGGAAACAAGAAAAGGAAAAAAAAAGAAAAACATTATTACATCACAATTTAATCCTGGTTGGTACCTCTCATGTTTTAAAGGCCATGTTGGTAGTAAATTCATAGACTTTAAAACACTTGTATAAATATGCACAAGGGTTACACTGTTAACTGAATTTTCGGTTGTAATGATTATCTTTTCAACTACATGTAGCTTAAATAGAAACCTGGGCCCCATTGTTCACAAGGTGGATAATGCTATTCATTGGTTAAATACTATCCAGCAGATAATTGATGACAAAACTTACTTTGCTATCCACCAGATAGAGTTTTATCCAGCAGACAGTGATATTCACCCTTTGATCAACTAAGGCCTTCTCTCTTAATGGGAGAGCTTGCATGACGCCATGTTAAAGTAGTTGTATGTCAGTTACCTATGATGTGGACTCTGGAGTTGTGTTGTAGGTGTGCTCCTCTCACGTAGCCATATAGGGAAACCTTCCTATCACATTTGGCATTTTGACGAATAAGTTCTGGATCTGTCAACTCTTCCATTCTGGAAAGAGAAGACACAAAATTCACAAAATTGATAGAGAATATTGGAAACAAAAAAGCTGCACATGTATGGCACATACAGTTTATATGACCCTCTTTGAATAGTTCACTTTACTTTCATTCTTATGTCACTTGAATGTGACTGTACAAAACTGAAAAATCAATGTTCTGCAAAATATCAGCTTTTCTCCTTTAAACTCCCAGAAGTGATTAACACGAGACCTCTCACTACAACAGGGTTGTAGATAAGAGCTGGTAGCTAGCAAAGTACGCCAGCTTCTCTGCAAGGTTTCCCCGGCTACTCTCATTGCTTCAAGAGCCCATACAGATCTGCCTATCTTTTCTGAAAACATAAAAATACTTCTGACTCAGGGTTGGTTTAAAAATGTTCTGATGGGGACTGTCTTTTTGACAAATCTTGTTGAGTAGCAGGAAAGTATGAATGATATGACGTTTTGTCTGCCATATTGGATTTCGAGATATGAATATTCTTTACCGTTTACCTTTAAAAAAGTTCCAGCTACTTAAAACCTTAAAGAAAACCCTGTACAATATCCATATAATTATTATCCAGAAAAAAAAAAAGAAGAATACTCAAACTAATATCAAGCAGAGGTCCTTATCTGGATCTTACACCAACTAATTTACAAGGAAATTTGTAGCATCTAAAACAACAAACAGATCTTGGAAGTAAAAGGGTAAAAAAATTTACCTGTCGGCAAGGATGTATGGATGTGAAACTCTCCAGGTTAAAGGTCGAAACTTTGACACAGCAATAAACCTTCCCAGGTTATGAATCTCCACTTTAGGATAAGAGCCGTAAACTAGACCCGACAAATAAAACAATTTTGCTCCCTGCAAATAGAGTAAATACCATCTCAAATAAGACATGTTTTCAAATATTGAAAAAAAAAAAAAAAAAATGACACCAGAACTGATGTCTGAAGGTTCTGACCTGTGATATTTTGGAAATGTCAATTCTATAAGCAAGGTTCTACCATGAAGTAGAGAAGCAGGAAAATGATGCAAGGTAACTGAAGAATTTTCTCCACTTGAAGTAAAGAACGTCTTGTGTCATTAAAATTAAGCCACACAATTTTGTGTAGAAGCCACTAAACTCCCTTTTCTCTAATATTGATACCTAATGTTTAATCTTCACAAGAAATTTAATCCTTTCACTTCAGAGACATTTATCTTGATTAAAATTCTCCTTACTCCATGCATTATATCTAACTTTGTTCTGAGAACTTGGTGTTTGATATAATGTCAATCCCCTACTTAACAGTTCTTGCTATTTGTATCTCTTGGCTGTTTGATAATGTTTTGATACTGTGAGGAGAAATTATGTGTTAGTCACTCCTGGGAAGTAAAGATTACGACTAGAAACCAAACAGTCACCTGGTAAACTTCTGTCCAAAACCTAGTTTTCAGTTTCTTCTTGGTCTTCTTAAGGGCTTTGTTGTTCTTCAACAAGTCAAGATGTGTTAAGACACCCATGATCTTTGGGAAGCCATGAACTTGACAGATATTCAGAAATTCAAAAATTTCCATTTCAAAGCCAAAACTAGCATCAATCAGGAGGAGAACCTTGAAATGTTTACAAACAGAAGCAAAAACAACACAAATCAGGTTTTAGCCTCAGAAAGTGACCTAATGATTAAATAATGATGTTGTCATCACCCACAAAGCATTAATAGATAAAGGTAATTTATTTTTATCAACTGTGTTTTTAATGTTAATTGGCCACCAAAAGACTTTCTAAAGCTGAGGTTTCAAGTGTTGGCCCTTCATCAGAGTGCATTGAGGGTTGTGTGTGGTTTCTAACAAAAAAATGAAGCTACGCTATTTGTGGGAACATGGTAATGAGAAAAACACAAGAATAAATTAGTTGAATGAAAGGAATTTGTTGATACCATGGTGATTAAGAGTTCGGGTTTGAACGATAAATTTTTGTTCTAAACTTTTGCAACTTTCCAAATTACCTTGATGTTGGGAAAAGCTGCAGACTGTTATATAGTTCTTATGGTGTAGAATGATTTAAGAGATTAGCGTGTCTAGTAACTGGTTTGGATGTGTCTTTGTCATTCCTTTCTATGTCAAGCAGGTGTTCTCAGAATCTTACAACATAAGTATACTTAACAAAAGTTGTCTATGTGAACTTACCAGATCCGCAATTTTTGCCACGTCAATCATAGAGTTGATGTCATTATTACATTCAATCAAAGTGAGACGTCTCTTCTTTCCTGAAAAATTAATCATATAACATATATAAACACCTAAAGCCAAATGAGAAGTGAGAAGTGCTCTTAAGCTGTAGAAATGCTCTTCAGCTGTAGTCCTCATTAAAGTTTGCCAAGTTTTTACGGTTACAATGTGTAACGCGACCACAAATACGTAAATTTACAAAAACAGCTTCGTAATTCTGGGCAGCTCAATTCATTCCTTCAGTAACACGGAGATCTTGGTTTACGATCCTCATGAAACATGTGCCCGAACATTTGATAACAATCGTGGTTAATGATTGTATACACTCACCTGACACAATCGTAATAGGACCTTTCACATCAGATAACTGCTGACGGGTGAAATTCTTCAGTAGTGAGTTGATGAGCGTACTTTTACCAACTCTGGGTGGTCCAACCACTGCTATGATGTATGGTGGAGGTTCTAGTGGCGTTCGATCAACAACTGGTTCGTGATGTCGCTTTGTCTCAACATCTTGCTTTCGACGAAACTGGCGAGCTGCTCTAACGGCCGACTTGAATGAGAAGGCCTTGCGATTTCTCTCAGCACTAGCAGCTTCTGGCGGGTGTTTATTTTGTTTCTTTTTCTCTGCTTTAGGCCCAGCTTGTTTCTTTCTGTGCGACTTGGCAGAAAGGTTTCCTTCATCATCCGCCATTTTGGAGCTTCACGTGGGACTACGTAACCAGGCCAGCGCGTGCTAAGTTTTGCTTCTTCCTAAGGTAGGGAGAGGGCCACAATAAAACTCTATCCCCTAAAACATATATTTCTGTTGGAATTAAAGTTTAATACATTTTTTTTAGAATTCATTTATTAAAACGAGCCAAAAGTTTCGAAAAAAAGCCTGAAAACTATTTAAAAGGATTATCTACCAATTTCATATTTCTTTTTCTTACCCACCCCCTGATAGTATTGAACATTGACGCCTGGTCAATTTGTATTTCAACATGGCTGGAGTTCTGTTTGAGGATATTTTCGATGTCAAAGACATCGACCCAGAAGGGAAAAAATTCGACAGAGGTAAGTTATGTTCAGGATATAGAAGTTTTTATCGCTTAAGTGTATTTTAAGCCAAGATTTGAGTCAATTTAACGTTTTACCGCTTCCAACTTGATGGGTTTCATTGATCGATACTCTACTAGACTGTTGTTGGGAGTTTGAGCAGGCCTGTCTCAAGGAATGAGACAAATCATCGTTTCAGTTTAATTAACAGGCTACAAACATTACCATAATCCTCCAGATCACTGTGGAAAAGTTCCACATCGACATTAAAACCTAAGCAGTGTGCAGGAGTTTATCACATATGCGCAAACGCCAATTGGCGGTGTACAGCTGTAGTTGAATCCTAAAACTCAGAATTCGGGAAGAAGTTACTTTTCCCACCCCCACCTCTCAACTTGTAGCCCTTCTTCCCCTCGAGCAATAGGGGACAGTGTTTCCTGTAATTCTACAACATTGTGGTAGAGGGTGAACTTATGTTTAAATTTAGGTATGCTTTTACATGTATCTACAGGCCTGTCTACAGAGTATGGCAGACGCATATGCGAATTTTTTCCTTTCGTACCATATATGCAGATCCCAAGCTTTGTCATAAAGATCTTTTGACAACAGGCAAAATAGACACTGGCACTGAACCACCTGAGAAAGAGCAAGAAGAATACATGACAGGAATCTTTTGCTCTTTCTGCAGATGCAAGTTGCAAAATTTTCTCAAAAATAGACACTGGCACCACATAGCTATTGCAAACAAGCTGAGTGATGTTAATGTGCTGCTTCCTTCCTTTTCAGTTTCTCGACTTCACTGTGAAAGTGAAAGTTTTAAAATGGATCTTATACTTGATGTGAATACCCAAATCTATCCAGTTGATTATGGGGAAAAATTCAGACTGGTTTTGGCTAATACTCTCAAAGAAGATGGCACCCCAGATGATGGGGAATATAACCCTTCAGACAGTGGACCCTCACGCGCTGACCAGTTTGAATATGTCATGTATGGAAAAGTTTATAGAATAGAAGGAGATGAAAGTGGAGTTGATGCTCCAACAAGACTGTGAGTAAAACAGCAAATGTAATATACAGTGACCATTTTGTAGAGAGAGGAAAGTGGCTGATGTAGAGTGTTGTCTGTTATTGGAGTTAAGGGTGTGATGAGACACCTATTTTTTTCAAATTTTAGGGCATTATGTTAAAAAAAATGAATTGTGTGGCATGTATGTATTTACCTTAAAGTTTCTACACACCAGTAATTAATGCACATTCTGATTGGCTGAAATAGCATGCTCAATAAGAGTACAGATGCAAGGAGTAATTGTGTCATGCCATCAAGCAATTTGTACAATGGCAGACCAATTCCTGGACTCAAGAAGTTAAAAAAAAAACAAAAAAAAACCACCAGACTGCCTCTTGTGTTTTTTCTACCTTTCTTTTGTACTTTAGCTGCATCTGGCATGCCTTACAACAGAACAGAGCACAGTCAAAGCTTATTTTGGCTAGACAAAATTGAGGTCCAAAGGAAAAGCCTTTATGAAGCAAAACAAGCAGGGAACAGGCATTAGCTTTTGTTAATAAGAAAAGATACCTTTGAGAACTCATGGTGAATGCAAGCTTTTGTTTTCTTTTTTAGAGCTGCATATGTGTCTTTTGGTGGTCTACTAATGAGGCTTCAAGGTGATGCTAACAATTTACATGGAATGGAAGTAGACGACCATGTGTACCTCTTGATCAAGAAGCTGGCTTTTTAAATGGGTTTGCCTTTGTGGCTGATATGACACCAAGAGGAATAGTTTCTCCTCTTAAAAATTTTAGTCTTCATGAACAATAGGTTGCAGGTACAGGCATGAGATGATTATGTTTAGTTATGGAGCATGGCTGTTTATGTAAAAAGGAACAGAAGAGCTTATTTTGTACCCTTGTGTAGGTATACTTTCTCATGGTTGTTATTATGGCAAGAAAATAGAAATGTTTGCTTCTTGACTATCAAATCTAAAATGTTGCTCTAACTTGTTTCTGTTTTCAATTATTTCAATAAATGTTTGGTGATACTGATGTCTTTCAAGATTATACCAATGGAGAGTGAACATCATAAATCCCAACAAAGTTTATTTTATTACAAGCTACAGCAACAGTGAAGAAAAATGTCAGGCTTTTGGTAGGAGAACATGGTTTCACTCTTGTACATGACCTGAGTGTTACTCAGCAGTACAGAAATAAAGAATGTAACAACACAATATTGATAACATTGTGAAACAAATTTGCAGTCAACTTTTGCTTTTGGGAAATCTTTTTTATTGTAGATAAAGCTGTATTTTCACCATTCTACTGTTGCATCATCATCATCCAAATGTAAGCAGTATACAGGAAGTTTAATGCATGAATGAAGCCTAGCCACAGCAACGTTTGTGCAACCCTTCAACCCCCAAGAGTGATTAGCATGTTATTTCTTTATACAGTATCACCTATGAATCAAACATTAAGGTTACGATAAAATTAAGGAAATGATCACCACCTAAAGAAACTCTTGATTGTCAAACAATTTCTCTTTGTCAGAACCATAAGGAATGTTAAGAGACCAGTATGGAGAATATGAATCCTAATGTTGGGGTTTAAAGAGTTAATGAAAGAAAACGAGAAAGAGGTGATCGCAAATCTAAGATTTCTAAGAAATTTTGTTTTCTTATGTTTTGCTTGGTGATGTGAAACCTCTTGCTCCCTGGGGTAGGCAGGAGAGAATTTCTTTAATATTACTATATGTTCCAGGGGAAAGCTGATGCGATGGACAAAAAAACTATTTGATATCGTTTCATATCACAACATTCTTATAGCCAAGATTTTGAGAAATTTATAGGAGACAGGATGGAGAATTGATATTTAGAAATTTTTTATGATATGTTGCAATTTGCATGGCTTTCGCCGAGAGTTTTTACCTTTTCCCCTAAAGATTAACAAGCATCGAATTTCTCCTTACAATATCTTTAGATTTTCTTCTAAAGGCAAAGACAAATTTTCCCTTTTAAAAAAATTTCGGTTTAAACTTTAAGGTTATCCACGGCCTCTTTGTATTTAGCTGTATGTCAAGGTAGTCAAGTATAAGAACAAATTAAAAGTTCTCGAAAGCTGTTTACGTAATGGTAATAAACACTCAAAGAAATGATCTTACTATTTCTCCGGAAAGTCTCCTAAAAGCTTTGGAAAAAATATCGAGATATCTTCTCAACAAAAAACTCGAATGCGAAAAAAAAAAATAAAAAAAATAAAAAAACAGAAAGAAATTATAAAAGAAAAAATTGAAACGCTCTGATTTAAGGATGACCGTCTGCTGAATGAAATTGGAGTATTAAGTTATTTTTTGTCTCATATACATCGTCACGGATTTTCCGTATAATTTTTTAGCGAGATTTGCGGCGTATCGCTATATCGGTAATTTTGCCCGTAGACGAGGTCCTTCGACAATGATTTTAGTTATAAAGTGCGCCGAGCATTTTTTTTTCCACAACCGTTAAATTGACCTATCTGAAATGATTTATTTACTTTTTGTGCTTACACTAGTAGATTAGCTTTTCCAAGCGCTACCTTTAAAAGCTAGATTTCCATAAAAGTTAACAAAAAAAGTCAACATCTTTCTATCACAACAAATGACACCGGAGAGACTTATTCACTAATGAAGAAAAAAATGAAGAAAACCGGACGCGATTTTGAGAAAATTGATTGGTTTAAAACCCCATAACAAAATTTTGATTGCACTTTGGCAAGAATTGTTTTTATTCGGGACCACTCGAGCGATTTCCGAAACACGTAAGATTTGACATTTGGCGTTAAAACTTAATGCACTTTTTTCGTCCTGTGGTCTTTTTCCTTCCTTCCACCTTAGGATGGCGCTGTTGTATAAAGAGGTTGGGATTACAAGGCGGCGGACTAGATGTGAATCCGTTGTCGTGGGCGCGTTGATAATCGCTGGGATAGCTTGCCTTATCGCCGGTATTGTTATGATGATACAAGCAAATACGGTGCGGAAGAACAACGAGCCATGTCAAGTTGCAAAAGTTACACGAGCGGTCCTGAGCGGCTGTGAATATTCAAGGGAGGCGCATACTTCGGGACTAGCAAGGTTTTTGCACGAAGCTCAAGAGAGATTTTATGAGTTGTTACCGCATAAAATCGCGTTTAAAAAGGGGGTGATGCCAAATGAAATCCGTCAGCGGTATAAAAGCTACGATTCCACGCCAATGCAGATAAAATTTGTCACAGACGAGATAGCTAAACTGACGAAGAGGCTTGAAGATATGAACCTTCAAGAAAACAAGCTGACACTTCGGGAAAAGCGAGCCAAAGCGCAGCTCTCTCACTGGATGCGGCACATTTTTCCTTACGGCGTTCCATTTGCTTATGATTATTACTTAGGAGATTGGCTGATGGGACCAAACGTTTTCTGTTGGTCTTCTATCTGTTTCTTGCCAATGGATGTGGGTAGCGCACTGCCCCATTTCCAGCCGTCAACTGTGTCTGAAGTGGAGATAATAAGGAATAAGTTGATGGAAATTAACCAAACATTTACACAGTTTGTGGAGAACATGAGATTAGGCGTGGCTACTGGTATGGTACGTACGATTGAAGAGTGCAAGGCCGGGCTGGATGGTTTGAGAGGCGCCTTTAGAGAGGTCGATATTGACGGCCCAGCTGGTAAGGAAATAAAGGTCTTATAATCTTACAGCAGTTATTTATTCAACTCAGTGAATTAAAATGTTATCGATTAATGCAACAATTTTGACCTGCTGTAAGAATTAATGATCAATCTGAGAAGAAGAAAATAAGTTCATAGAGTAGCATATGATTATCACTGGATGATAATCATATCACCTTTGATATTTTACAAAAATTTTAATCTTTCTTGTCTTGGACCAAATATATGTTTTTGTCCTCTCAAACTGCGTAATTCATTTTAAGATCAAAGCTTAAAACTGTCATTAGAAAACTTTCCCAGATTGAAGTAGTAAAAATATTTAGCGGAAACTTTTTATTCATTCAAAATAGTTCTGGATGTAATGCTGATTTTATTTTTTGAGCTGGAAAACGGGCTCAAACGCTGCAAATTCACCACGCAATACATTTCTTCAAGTCAAGGGCGTCGATTACACCAATAGACATCAGAGCAATGTAATTCTTTCTGTATTCCAACAAAATCGCTAGAGGTTAATTTGCAATTTTCAGACACTCGTGGACATTTCATATTAGATAAAAAAAATGATGTTTTTTTAAAATTGAAAATATATTCGCAGATTGCAGCTGTGTTTCAATAACTTTTTCCTTTCTTTGTTTGTAAAGTATTCTGTTATTATGTTTTGAAGCTGTTTTTGTACTGTCAAAGGTCTTTGGTGAAAATGTCCCGCCATAACAATATCTCTTGAAGTCACATGGAATTAACTGGATTTCTTTTCAAGTCTTCAAACCCCTTGACAATTTTTAGCTTTGAATTAGATGAGGAGACGCCCGTAGTTTTGTTACTTATGAAAACTGATTCACAGCGGAAACAAGAAAAAAATTTCATTAACTTACCATGACTTATTTTGTTGAATAGAGAGGCGAAAAATCTAGACATGAATTGCAGTATAGCCTAATATTATATAAAAGAGAGAATTTCTCCTACGGAGAGAGAAACAAATAAAATTATACGGCCAAGGTTAAATTTCTGAGTTGAAACCTTCGTACGTTATATAAGACATCTGTTTTTCTTTTATGATCAATTTGCGGTCTCTTGTCAAAAAAACAATTTATGAAACAAAATAAAACAAGTGAGTAATTCGTAAATTTGTTTCTGTGTAAATATGTTTCAGTCTTGGCATTGTTATGACAAACAATTGGGAAAAAAAGGCTTTTCAGGAAATCAGTCAAAGGAAGAGAGCATATCTGATTGAAATTAACTCTAGGCAGTTTAAAAGCTCTTCATTTCATCGGTTTAGTATTGAGAAGGAAACATGCAAAGTCGCAACCTTTGAGGTATAACTCGTTCATGAGCCTTCTCGATTGTCTTTAACTGTGATTTTTCAGTGGAGAACACAAAAGTCGTTCAGCGTGTATCATACGTTTAATAACTGAAAGTAAATGTGGAAAAGTAAAAGGTTATCTTGTATGTTAACTTCAAAAAATTTTGCCACGAAATGAAGCGAGCTAAAATTTTGCGGGCAGCGCTTTCCGCTGTGGTTGATCTGTTCCGATCCGTCGGTAAACTTAAGTCGTCGCTGTTCTGTTTCGTTCGTTCAGTGATTTCATGGCCTTAGATTAAAACTCTCTCTTTGAACTCACGTAGGGTTTTTTTTAGGTGTGGTCGGTTAGTCTTGATCTGTCGGTATAATTGTTATTCTTTCTTCGGTGTTTATGCCGGTTAAGATTAAATAAGATTTATTTTAATTTGAATAAAACGTTTAGCCGTAGAGGTTGTTTATAAGTTTACCACAACATAAAAAAGATAAAAATAATGCAGTTATAATAACATTACTAATTAGCATATACCACACAGGTGAATAGTGCTTTCGGCGCGCGCTGACTGGTTGTTTCGAAAGTGAATATCAGGTGCTATCACCTCCGAGCTGCTGACGAAAGGGTTATCGGGCGATATGACTCTCATCTTGCCTGTATTGATGACTTCCGCTAGTTTAGGTTGTCAAGACGTTAGTTGTTGTTACAAACATACTCTTTCATCTCTAATCTTCCAGGAATTCTTGATGCGCCATACATGAAAAAAATTCTGGTCAGTGACTTCTTTTCTAAGATGAATTCAGAAGAACTGGAAATTTGGAAAACTAGGCACGGTAAAGCAGTGAATGAGTCTTTAAGGCAGTTTGTCATAGATTATGTTGGTGAGCCGATTCAGCGCACATTGAGGTAAGAAGTAACTTAGAAATATAATATAAATAAATGGACCTATTGACTATTTCTAACGTCTGAATGCATTTCGATAGAGTATTATAAAACTTAGCAAACCGAAGTAGTTACAGGGACGGCCAATCTGAACAACGCTTCTTTTAGCGATTCCCACACAAACGTCTTCTTTTTAGTTAGCGACATCTTTTTCCAATCTCATAGCTAATTGTGTTACTGGAGGGCTGATCGTGGGAAAAACAGACAAACTTTGAAAGCATTGTTTGAGTATTACAAGTAGTTTCCTTGGGTATCGTTTAGAGATATGTGCTTCGATGGTCAATGCTTTAAATAAAAAAAGACGGGAGAAGAACGTTGCGCCTAGGCAAGAAAGTGCCTGTAAAAGGTCCTGAAATGGCTGCCTGAGATCCTTGGATGGAGGGATGTTATCATGGATTTTTTCATGTAATTGATAGTATAACAAGGGTCTAACACTTGAACTTATCAGAGAAGCGTATATTGCTTTAAAAAGAAACGAAGAAATGGGCTAACTTTCTAAATAAATTGTGAGACTGCTTAATGGGGTTATGACAATATAATTTGGTTAAATCAACTGAGTTGATAAAGTAAATTGGCAAGCGTAGAAAGCTTTTAAAGCTTCGCTCTGACGAAGGGCTAAAGCTCGAAACGTTAGCTTTGGAAACTCTTTAGGGTAAACAGTTTACATTTATCAACATGACAAAAACAAATTTTCTGGTTTCAAACGATCCTACTGCTAAGATGTTGCTCACAATTCTTCTAAGTGACTACTTCACATTTCCTTATAACTTTCTTCTGTGCTGGATAGTGTATAATATTATAAAGATAATGAACAAGTTAATGATTGCAATCGACTGAAATGCATCGCGCTCCGCTTAAATGAAATCGTTTGATTTAAGGTATGTCGAAAAGGAACATTTACTTTACTGCACCCCGAGCAATTTGTCCAGCGGTTTAGCCAGCCTACCCCTTGATTACGTTTATGTCAACGGTACAAAGACAGACCGAAAAACGACAAAGAGGCTGCCTACGGGCGAAAAGCTTGACGGGAAAAATACCTATCTGAAGCTTCTTCAGTACTTCACCACCACCAATAAAACCCCGGATGAAATATACGACCTTGGCTGGTCAATGATAGATCAAAGTTATCCAGAGGTGAGATGATAAGTCTTGAAAAATAATTTATTTGGATCTGAGTGTTTTTGTTCTTTGCCCTTTAAGTATTAGAGCGAAGGGTTTGTGAAATCCGTCTTAATTGGAGTAAAGAACTGGCCAAGTTTATCAAATCAACGAACCGAGAAGAACGACCAACATTTACGAGGGATCTTAACTCAAAGCTGACTTATACCAGTCGCTCGGCAACGAAATCGTCATCAATTTGAGCTGAACTTTCGCTGAACTTTCGCCGCAGAAGTTCAATTAAGTTTCGTGCTGATAACAATTTTTTTTTGCACCATACTCGGCAAGATTGCCATATAATGCAATCAAAATTTAGATGTGATTTATTAAACAATAAACTGCTATGAGTGAAAGTAATGGAGAGAATGGTATCAATGCTGACCTTAAGCCATTGGAACTGAAACACAATCGTCGGTTCCACAATTGTGATGGGTCGAGAGAAGATTCTCCGTATTGCATTGCCAAAAGCGCAAAGCATCTCTCTTTGAGTTGGCAAAGGAAAATTATTTGAACCATTGAACCTTGAACCATTGGAATACACAATCATCTGTTCCTCAAAATTGCCGAGTTGAGCAAAACTCACCGTATTGCATCGCTAAAAGTGCACAACATCTCTTTTTACCTTGGCATAGGAAAGTTATATAATTATATGTATATTCCTATAATTTAACTTAATGTGACTTTTTTGCCCTTTTTCTTTTCTATTTTAGGTTCTAAGTTTAGCGCAAAGCGTAACCAATGAGAATAACACTCAGAGGGCGAAGGAAAAGTTCGTTAATATTCTTAATGGATCGGAAATGTTTTACAATAAGAAAGATATTCCAAGGAATGAATCCAACGCAGTTGCGTATAAGCTGTGCAGTACAGTCTCCGGAGCCAAAAAGCATTGTCCTGTCCGCTGGAATGCTATGCAAAACTGGTTTGCTCATGCGCGAGAGGTCAGTTTGGACCTTGTTTGAAGTAAAATCGTTGAATTAAAAAAATTGAAAAATGTTGGATTGCAGTTACCAGAATATATATCATTCCATTGAGAAAACTGTGGGTACTTGTTTTAATAGACATGTAGATGAAACTAAAAATTTCCATGTAACTTCTATCTCTATGTAATCCGCTGCTACTCATGAACAACTTGACACATATGCTGAATAAGTACCTGTTTCCAATTTTTCAGATTCCTACACCACAGCCTCATGCAAGAAATTTACGAACATTTAGTGTTATGCAGTAATTGTTGTTGTTGTTGTTGTCAGTCTTTTTAAGGGATCTCATTACCCTTGATTTTAGATTATGGCCACCCTTGATCCAAAAACGATCGACTTATTCCATTTTACCGGTCCTTTCCGGTCTACTCCAAACTGTCCCGTTCAACTCGTCCCAAGCTTCAACCCATCCTCTGCAGCTCCATCTTTCCAAGAGAGTGATTCACAGTGTACAAGGCCCTCTACTTACACCATCCCATTCTTTCTACAAAAGCCTGGCCCTAGGAATGAGGAATGGACAATAAACGCACACGAGGCAAGGCCTGGACACTACACACAGGTTAGTCCACCGTAGTGCCTCAAGCGAGAGAATCAATGAAGATCTCGATATCTCGGTTTCAAAAGTAACAGAGAATCAATTAAAGGCCGTTTCCACCTAAAATGACAGTACTTAGAAATTATTTCTAGACACTGGTAATGTAAAGAAAATCGTTGTTATTCCTGTAAACAGTAAGTTACTGTGTAGTGTAAAGCACTGTTTAATTTACTACTTTCATTTAATCTCTCTACCAATCTCAAGCATAGCATGTATCAAGTCACAGTTTCAAAACAGTCTTGCTTTCAGTTTTGGATTTAGCATGTAGGCAAGCTCCCTTACGGGTTCTGTGTTTTTCAGTTGATATAGCTAAAATACTTCTCTCTAACACTTTTTTTGTTGTTGTAATCCCAGAGTCAAGGATATGTGGAGAATTTTCAAGAAGACTGTTTTGATCCCATTTCATGGATCCAAAAGAACACGTTTTTCTTAGAGTTTTCTGAAGGCTGGGCTCTTTACGCGGAAAATCCGCTGATATCAAATTACACGGACACTTACAAATATGATCCGCTGATCAGATACGGCATGCTCAAGTGGCAGGTATATTTACTCACCAAACGCAGCAGAGTTTGAATGCATATTTGATCTCTGTTAGTCCTTAATTAGGGTCACGATATAGATTGTCGAGTGGGTCCCCCATAGCTGATTTTACATGGACAATGCATAAGCTTACAAGACCTGTAGAGGTCAATGCTCTTGTTTTGGTAGCTAAATGTTCGACATATTTGAGGGCGTCACTAAGTCATAAGTTGTCCTAACTTTAAGCCGAAATTTCCATTTCCATTCACTCATCAAGTCTGTTTTTCATATTAAGTTTCTTAACAATTTTCCCTCCTACTGATTTAAACTTTCCATTTTATCAAAGAAATATTTGAGGTTTGTTTCACGCTGAGGTGGTACTGTTTGTAGGTTGCAAAACGCACGGTTTTGATGGAAATTTATTCCGAGGTCTGATAATATAACGTTTTCCATCCGACGCTTTTTTGCGAGACCTATCTTATTTCATCTATCTTATTTTACAAGATATGGCGAGCCTTGAGGCTGATCGTAGACACAGGGTTGCATTACAAAGGCAAGTCACGCGACTGGGCTCTAAGACTCTTTGCTGATTACGCTTGGGACACAAGTGACAAAGTTGAGAAGGAGGTAACTCGGTACCAGAGCATTCCCGGCCAAGCTGTCACTTATATGCTCGGACAACTGTCAATCATGGAGCTGAAACAAGAAGCAGAGAAAGCTTTGGGGGAGAAGTTTAATTTGAAGGATTTTCATTTCCAGGTGATTCTAAAGTTTCGCATCAAGTGTTTCACTTCTTTAATTTTTTTTAAAGTTATTCTCTTTCATACCTTTAGGGATAATTTTTTAACCCAAAGAATGGCTGTAAACCAGTTTTGAGTTGCTGTTATGACCTCAAATTAACTCCTTCCATCCCTCATTCCTTCTTTCCATTCCTGTTAATTATTATTTTTTAACAAGGAAGCAATGATCGAAACCCTTACGCTTTTGACTTTCCCGAGAAAATGTTAGAGGATTTTTGCTATATATAAATAGCACCTGCTTTCGGAAAGATCGAATGTAACAGTAGAGGCCGATTCAATATCCAGTTTTCCTAATAAACCAAATAATTCCAATAACTTGCTTCCTATATCTCCACAGGTTCTAAGGCATGGACCCTCGCCTTTGAATTATCTTAAAGAGAGCATCTACAAATACATAGCATGCGTGAAGGACGCTGAAAGTCAACCAGATTGTGAAGATTTCTTGCGAGCTCCAAACAACTCTGGAAACGTAAAGACAACAGATAATACAGAGCATTTGCCATATCATTCTTTCAAAGTTTTCTAAATTCAGCTCTGATTATGACCCCACAGACGCCGTGAGCATAGCTAAATCAAGTTTATTACTACGTTTTGCGTCCATCTTGTGCATAATTTAAATTACAATTGTAACAAGTGAGCTCGTCGGCGGCTGTTATAAAATCATTCAATCACAAGCGAGAAAGAAGTCTTTTTTTAATTATTTCACATTGCTAATTTTATTCCTATACTATAATTGTATGTTAATTAATTTCTAGTACAAAATGAGGAGACGTTGTATATCTTCGTTTCCAAGGGAAGTACATAAGATGATAATTATAAAGATGTCATAGAGGATGTTGCGTATATACAAATTAAGAATTTGTTCATGCTTAGCGTGCGTATATTGAGTCATGGATGCACGCGGGAAGTTTGGAGAGTACGAAAAATGCGTAAGAGTAGTTCGAGCCGAGAGCAACTCTAGCTTTTTGAGTGCTCTCCAAACTTCCCAAGTGCATCCATAACTCGATATACGCACAGCTAAAAGCACGAGCAAATTCTTTTAGAACAGAGCAACAATAAACAAAAAATGCTCACGTCATCTTATTTACGCACGGACGTGCGTAAATAAAGATTTTGTTCATAGCGGTCCTGTCCTATATGATAAACAACCTTTTGGCAGAGTTTGAAAAAGTCCTCTAACAATAGTTACTACAAGGAGGTCTACACGGACAATGCAGTACATTAACACGAAGATCGCTTTCATATGCATTACATTACTAATTGTTTTTACTTCAAACTGATCCCACATTTGTTTCCTGTTTGTTTTCGCTTAGACGTTGTTTCGGAAGCTGAAAGGGCTCTAAAGTTGAACTTCTCAGGGGCAATAAAAAGCAAACGATAGAGTCATTTAAGTCCAAAAGCTATGATCTAGGTGGAGCAAGACGTTTTTTCCACATGAATTTTATTCAAGGTGAGGGAAATGAAAACCTGCCCATAAAACAACTACTAAGGAACTACCCAGAGTCAGCCCTATGACATTCCGCATACAATTTAAATGATAACTAAAGAGTAAATTTTCTATGTACAGTAACGAACATAGAGCAGTAAATATTTGTTGAATTTGCAAGCTTGGATAACGATGACTAGTTAAAAAACGTAAATAAGATAGCTCACTGTTTGTGCTATTGAAATAAATGTCACATAACCCAGGGGGAAAGCTGCATGTCCGCAAACACAGATCTTCTTTGAGAGCCGTAAAATTTAGATGCTGGCGGCTTCATGACTTCATCGCAGCCCTTTTGTTCCTCGTCTTGTACACAGGAGATGTACTTATTTATCACCTCTTCAAGGTAGGTGAGTGGAGAAGGACCTTGACGGAGAACCTAGAATCAAAGCAGGATTTCGTCAGATACCTACTTGAAAAGTTACGCTACGCGTGTGTTTTTTACGTCCTTAAAAATAAGCCTAGACTTTTTCATGGTCGTCGTTTTAAATATTTGTGATGTTCGTTATCATTAACCTTTCACCTCCCAAGATCTGATTGTTAATTCTCTCCTCTTGCTACTGCATATTACCTTGTTTATTAGTCGTGAGAATTTGGTGTTAGATCAAAATAACGTCTTCTGCTTGATTATTTTGTATATTCCTATTACCTGTTTGTTGGTTAATGCATGGACATTTTTGGGAGAAGTTGTATGTTAATCACTTCTGGGAGTTAAAGGGTTAAACAGCCCTTTTTCTTTTTGGATAAATCTCATCCCAGTGGTGTTGAATTATTGAGATACTAATTATTCCATTTTGTCGATTCCTTGATTTCAAAGACGGTTGTCTGCGTTAGTAAATCAAGATGTTATCGAACCTGGTAGTGAAAGTCCTTAATGTTGAACTTCTCATTCAGCGTACTGTTAGCTTTGTCTCGGAATTTCATGATCGCGAGTTGTCCTATCATGTAGGTGACGGCTTGTCCCGGAATGCTTTGGTAGCGTGTTACTTCCTTCACGGCTATATCACTAGTGTCCCAGGCGTAGTCTGCAAACAATTTCAGCGCCCAGGCTCGATTCCGTCCCTTCGCGTGAAGCCCCGTGTCCATCATCAGGCGTAATGCTCGCCAGATCTAAACAAAGAGGGAACCAGAACAGAGGTTACTCCTAGTACATCTTAAAAAGCTGGTCAAGCGTTTTATCAATAATCGCCAGTTGAAGGCTACTGGGTCCACGGACGGGAGAGAAACTCGGACACGCTCTAAGGTTTCTTGATATGAACTCGGTCAACTGGGTTAACACAGTTTTCCGGGACCCCTCCTCCATCTCCCAATCTTCCTTTAAGCAAATTATACTGAAATGTACATAACAAGCAAAGGAAAATTTCCCTTAGAAGCAAACCATTTACCATAAATTTCTTTCCCTTAAATCTTTTATTCACTGATAGTTAGGTTAAATGACTTAAACTTTAAGAAAAACAGGACATTGTATCTCCTCAATGAGAGCGGTGACTCAAAGGTTGTACCCAGTTGGGACAAACTGCTCTAGTTGACATCTTAAAGTCAGATGACTCTGGGAACTCACCTGCCATTTTAACATGCCATACTTGCTTATTGGATCACTATCATACGCTGTGGTATGTTCGGGAATCAGTGGATTCTCTGTGTAAAGTGCCCAGCCCTCTGAGAAGGTGAGATACAGGGTACTGTCAGCAATCCAGCCAATAGGTCCTTTGCACGAGTCCGAAAACTGTTCGATATAACCTTGCACCTGATACACGTATAAGGAAGTATAAGTATCGAGCATGCGCAATACCGACTGCATAGACGTTCTTTATAGTCTGAGTCGTAGTAACCTTTCTCATTGATTTAAGAACGAGGAAGTGAGATAGGGATGGGGGAAGGGAAGAATAAACTTTTTTGGCAAACAGCTGTACCAGTGGTGTGAGAGTTAAGTTTAATCTAGCAACGCACATCATGCTCAATCAGTCCAAATCTTAAAGTCCTGTTTAGGATGCTGATGTATCCGAACTTTTATCTCTTTAGACTCTGAGCTGAGACGTCCGGGCGTAGGTTCGATGCACCACCACCAGAGAGTTCGATAGTGGCCAAGGTCATTATGAAGTCTAGCTCTTCTTTGTCCAAAGCTCTCAACCAAACTAATAGCAATGTTTTTCATTCGACTGCCGAATTCAAATTTAACATTTTTCCTTTCGCCAAAATTGGTTCGAAAAAAAGATGAGCCTAAGTCTCTTTAAGAAAAACCGATAGTCTTTGTGACGATAATTTCATTTGAAATTTCGACGAATTGTACTTTCAAAGAAAGTTTTACTCTAGCTTTCTTTTTATTAAAGGAGATAAGGGCAGGCCAGAAAAGACATGCTTAAAATGGTCACGATCTGGTTGGCTATTATGTGAGCCAATCTGATTGGCTCTCAGCAGAGAAATTTATTCACGAATAGCACTAATTTTTTGTTCAATGAGAAAGCAACACTAAAGCAAAACAAGTGATCAGATTTGCAGACTTGTTTACATTAACCGCAATCATGCAGGAAAATGAAAGCCGGCAAAAGAAGCCATTGTGTGGCCAGTTTTGAAATTGTCTTTTTCTGTTTTTTGTTTGGTAGATTAAATATTGCGATTTTTAAATGGATGCGACAAAGTGGCAATTGAAACTTCGTGTCGCGAAATTTGTGCTTTATGATTACAGACCAAATTCGCTTTACTCGACTGCACAGGAAAATTTATGTTTCCTCACGCTGGAGGCCATTTGCTAGCTCCCTGGTAATATTACTCTTTTTTTCCGATAAGCCATTGGTTCTGAAACAGTTTATAAAAAGACCCCCTTTGGGTTCGACTCACTTGGGTATGGTGCCCAGGCCTCGCTTCGTGTGCTGCCAGCGTGACTGCTTCATATCTGGGCCCAGGCCTCCCAAGAAAGAACGGAATGTTGTAACTGGCAGTCCTGGAGCAATTTTTGTCAGAGCTTTGGTAAAATGGTACACCACTGGATGGATTGAAATCGATGTCAAGTTTGATGGGACAGTTTGGAGTGGAATGGTAAGGGCCAGTAAAATAAAACAGGTCTGCTGTCTCATAATCTAAAGTTGCCATAATCTATGAAAAAATGAAATAAAAATAAAAGTAAACATATATCACTAGGAATTACTTATTAGGCGCTTTTTGTGCCTAGGTTTTGCCTTTTATCAAATGATCAAGTACATGGAAGCTCGTGTATCAGGTACTTACACTGACAAAAGTGTACAATACTTGCGACCAGGGACGGTGTAACTTGTTTCAATGTTTCAGTCCGTATGACAATACACGAGTTTCTACGGGACGGGAGGAGTTGTTTCTTACCAATTGTCGTCCGGTTTACTTCGTCTCTGTTCGTTGTTACGTAACAGTCGTGTCAGTTTCTGTTGATGTCCAGTACGGTAACGTTTAGTCGTCTAGTTGGCTCGTTTTTTTATAAGATCAAATGCTCCGACTGCCATGCCTCCTACATTGGAGAGGCTGGAAGAAACCTCACCAGAAGAGTAAGTGAACACAAGCGAGCGACGAGGAAAGGTAATGTCAACAATCACATTGCTGAACATCATCGACTTACGAACCACACTCTATTGACTAGGACTTTGTGCAATGCCTAATCTACAGCACAAACTACTTTCAACGACTTACTCTGAAATCTGGCTTACTGGCTTAGAAAATACTCCCCTTGACAGGTGTCAACCACAACTGGCACCATACAAACGACGCATTCACGACATTAACGTAACATTAAATTCCGCTTTTACACTCGATTGCAAAAACTTTGACAGTTGAAAAGCGTTAGCAATGAACGATAAGACCCAATTGCTTTATGGCTACACATTTCCATAATAACCACAATAAGTTGAACGTGGTTAATGATAGGAGCCATGCATCCACGCTTTCCTGAAAGAAAGGAATTGTCGTAAACAAAGTTTTTCGATTAAAATCAGAGAGTGAAGCACTGATTATGTGATTGTGCGAATATTTCTTATAAAGCCTTTTGGTCTCATTGTTCATGGATCATACTTTATTGGGTGTCATCGTTTCTACAATCGAGTGTATACCAATTAACCCAAGGACAAAGACAAACTTGGAAATTAGTGACCAAAGATAGTCGGTCCAGAAAATGTTTTAGGTTACATGCTGCCTCGGACAATCTTAAAACCATGGTTAGAGTATTTTCTCTTGGATCTCTCGCCTCATATTAACAAGAGGTTACGTATATCGGATGAATAAAGGGGTAAGTTAAGTTTCTAAAGAAACTGAGGTGCTGCGTCGGTGGGAGAGTATAACAGGGTAATTTGGTATTATCAACTGAGTGAATAACGTGAATTGGCTACCGTAAAGAGTTTTAAAGCTGACGTTTCGATCGCTAGCCCTTCGTCGAGCGTAAGCCCTTCTCTATGACGAAGGACTAACGCTCTAAATGTCAGGTTTGAAACTCTTTACGGTGGCTAATTTACGTTATCAACTAAATTGATGACACTAAATTATCCTGTTACGTATGTCGACCTGGTGCACTAAAAATTATTTCTAGCACTTTCAATAAAACTATTTTTTATACTAATTGTCAAACTTTTTTTCTTACTTCTTTAGCATGGGAAAACCATTTGGTCATGGCAGCAAAACGTTTGGGGCAGTATTTCTTTGCATCTTGAACACTGCTGCATACTTTGTGTGCATTTGCATCAGACTCGTTTGCTGGGATGTCACCATCGTTGTAATACTGACTGGACTCATCAATTAGCCGTTTAAATGTAATCTTTGCTTGTTCTTCGTCAGTAGTTTTAGTGATTTTCTTGGCTACCTCTAAAAGCTGTTGAAGGAAGGAAGAAAAAAGAAATAATTTTGGGAAATTTTAATTGAGATTCCACTGGTCTTGCTTCACTACGCGAATGATGGTTGATTTTATATTTTTGAGTTTGCAACTGGTACCTTGTAACCTTGAACTTTATAGTTTAGTTGGCTGGAAGATAAAGGAAGGGGCCGACACACTGACCATCTATCTTAACCGTTTTAATCCCGAGTGTGACTGACACATAATTCTTCTTACAGTATCAATACAGTATCAAGCAGCTGAGTGATGAGAATTGCGACAAATGTGAACCAGGGATAATCATCTGATCCAACACCAAATTCTCAGAACAAACTTTAAATGTATATACTTTGAAATGTATAGCAGACTAAGTGAAAGGGTTAAGCTTAAGGGTCCAGCATCTGGAAACAAACATTTTCTGGATTATAAGCGCTATTTAGCTTACCAGAAATGATTGGGAATAACATATTGAACAAATTTGTTCATTTTCACCGTTTAAAAGTATACCTCATTGTAAAGTTCATCTCGCATCTTTTCCCCAAGTGTATAAATTTCATCCGGAGTTTGTGAGTTGGTGGTAAAGTGAGCCAGTAACTTGATGTAGGAGTTTCTTCCATTGAGCTTCTCTCCACTTGGCAGCTTCTGCGTGGTCTCTTTACTCGTACGAACTCCGTTTTCATAAACGTAAAGAAGTGGTAAACTTCCAAGGCCATAAGAAACACTGTCTGGTGCACAGTGTGGTATTTGATATGTTTCTATAAATCTAGAAAGTAGTATTCGATAGAAGTACGTGAATACAGGCATGATGGAGTGTTTTGATTTGACATTAGGAGGGAAAGATTTGGCAACTATACATATATATATATAAATAGAGAGGTTAATTTAGAGCATGATTCAAACATCCTCAATCACGTCCACGGCAATTACCCGTCAATATGTCGTGGATGGTTTCATGCTTTCAGCCTCTACTGAACTGCCCAGGCGTTCGAATCAATTGAAATTACTAAAATAATAATAATAATAATAATAATAATAATAATGATAATGATGATGATGATAATAATAATAATAATAATAATAATAATAATAACAACAATAAGAATAACAACAATGATAAAAGTAAAGCCTGTATGCGAGACTGATTATCGCAACCATTGAAAATTACTCTGGTCTCTGTGTCTTGAGGATCCTATATCTGATAATTTTACGCTTAAAAGGGATGCTTTAAACGGGGGTTGAAAAGGTTTCCCTGACAGTTTCCTGACACCCATTTATGTCATTGAATAGTGAGAGGCGTCAGGTCCTCTTGCATTGCCCACTGAGGGAACTGAACCCAAATACGCCGATCACGGCTTAGGCCTGGATCTTTAATTTCAGTCTGAATCTGTCCTCACATCTGTCTCCTAAAACTGTTTTTATGAAGACATACATACTTTAACATGTTGTCTATGGGCTTTCCAACATACTCCAGAGCGTATTCTCGAAGTGAATCGCTCACTGATTTGCCATATTTATCGTTCCACTTTTGCTTTTCATCATTTGTCATGTTCTTGATAAAATCTGGAGCAAGGACCAGCTTTATGAACGACGCTTCGTAAATTCCTGCATCGGCGAAAAATATGTGCGTGCATTAGGTTTCACTATTTCGCTAAAAAATTTTCTGCATTACCAAACCCATTACACACTAACATCAGTTTGTATATTCTCCTTACTGTTCTCTATACATAGCCTAAGATGCTGTCGAGGAGAGTTTGTGTAACAATCAAGAGCTTCTTTAATTGGTGATTACTTCTTATATTCTCGTGTCTTTAATGTATAATTCAAGGGTGACATAATAAGGAGGATTAAATGAAGTCACCGCTGGGGATCGAGGGTTAAAAAATGAATTGGACTTCAATATAATGTTTCACCTAGTTATTGATGTACCATTCCACTGAGACAGCGTCATTTAATTTGAGAGTTGGATTTTTTGCCGACATCTGTTATTCATGTCATTTTGTTTTGTTTAATTTTCCTCCATGCACGAAATTATTCTGTATCGTGACTAACTAAACACTTTTCCTGCATTATCAAATTTACAAATATCTGCATGTTTACATGGCAATAATGTTCAATCTGTCTCGCGTCAATAAGTTTCCCAAAAGGTCTAGACATGTTGAGAAAAGTGAGCGATGACCCAAGATGAAGAGGCACTGTGATTGAATGGTGCACTTCAAATGTCACATACTCTTTCAAACACGGAAAAGGTAATCGAAACATTAACTACGTTTGAACTTCGTGGAAAGCAAGGAGAGCATTGTTTTCTATAGCAACGTCTTTCAATAGCAAGTGAAAGGATTACTTTCCGTAATTGTTAACTGCATATTTGCTTCACAGTCAAGTGGAGGTCATGCATTTTATTTATTTCAAAAAGATGGTTTCAAATCGGGTCATTGCTGTGAATTTAAATTAAGTTCAAGTATGTTGTTCTCCAAACATCTGTTGAAACACAAACAAAGAACTGAAAGAATTGAATTTCAATCATTCGTCTTGCTGGGTTAAAACATATTAGTTTTTGTAACATATTTTCAAAGACTTGATACCTGAGGGCCCTTTCAAAGCCACATCTTTGTAGCTGCCTTTCAAGCCATCCAGCCCAGCCTTGCATTCCTCGATCGTGCGAACCATTCCAGCATCCACTCCTAACCTAATGTTTTCCACAAATTGATTGAAAGTATTCTCCAGTTCCTTGAATCTGTCTCTTAGTAACTCCACATCGCTTACAGTGGAGGGTTTGAAATGTTTAAAAGCAGCCCCAACCTCGGAAGGAACCATGCAGATAGGGAACCAGCAGAATATATCTGGTCCCATCATCCAATCTCCAACGTAATAGTCATATCCGTACGGTACCATGAAAGGGAATGCATGTTTTGCCCAATGCAATAATTGTGCCACGCCTCGTTTCTCTCTCAGAGTGAGCTTATCCATACTAATCGGCATCTTCTCGATTTCGTCTGCAATCTTTGCTGCTTCATCGGCAATTAGTTTTATGCTGGCAGGAGTTGGATCGTACGAGCGGTACCTCTTCTTGACTTCCTCCGGCGAAACGTTAGGCTTTCCTGTAATCTTGTTGGGGTATAATTCAAAGTACTTATTTTGTGCTTTCTGAAATAAATCATCGAGACCAGCTCGCTTTGCCTCCTGCGAATAATCGCAGTCGCTTTGCTTGGACGGCTCACTCTCATCAGTGTTACGGTTTCTTCTCGCCTCTGCAATAAGCGCGATTCCTGCGAAAAAGCAACACAAGCAGAGAATTCCCAGCAAGACGAAAATTATGATCAAACATAGTTTCCGTCGTTTCTTCTTGGACGACTTACGGGAGGCGGTTTCATACTTTACGAATTCCATGTTCAAATTTTCATGTACGTAGTTTGCAGATGAATTAAAACTTCTTAAATTAGCACAAAAGCCATCCTTTGTTACCTAAAGATAACATATGCATTAATCAATTGTGTTGGGTAGGTGAAGTAAAACACGCACTAAAAAACACTTAAATAAATCGTGATATTTCAATCTTTTAATATTGAAAATTACCTCATATATCGTAGGTTTGAATTCTGTAACCCAGAGTTGTCAGGGTTAATACATTGAATGAAAGTCATACAACCAGTGAAGAGAGATGTTTGCGTTCTTTGTTTTTGTTCCTGACCGCCTGCCAGCCTGCTTCACATCATGAATAGCAAATTAAGTAGAGCAGTCAAAAAATGCTACTTTGACGAACCCAGAAAAAAAACATTTGCCAACCACTTTGATTAATCTATTGCTCTTGGTGTATAATCATCCGAGGTTGTTTGCTAGATCTTGATTAAAATAATTGATGAGCAACCATCTCTCTCCAGAAGCCAATTGCAGAGCCGGTCTTTGTATTCGGTTTTGAAATTCATTGCCAGTAATGTAATATTCATCACGCATAAGTGTTTATCCTTAAAAGCTGTTTACCTTATCTCTCGGAGTTGATTTTTCGCTTAGGACTGCTTTAAACTCTAACCTTTGTGTTAAGATGAAACCTTTCACTTGAGTTTCTAAAGGAGGGTAAGCAAGAATATTAAGTGGAGTCCTAAAAACAGCACTCGTTCAATAGACTTAATTAACATGGATAAGAAGGACTGACTTTTAATTAGACTTTGATTCTTTTCCGATCAACATAACATGTTACCTGATTGGTGGGAAGTGCAGAGTCTGGAACAGATGCAGTTGCCTTTTACGCAGGCTTAGCGAATCCAAAATAATGTTTTTGATATGTCACTCTTAAGCCGGCGACACACCTGGCGTTTTTTTCGTTGTTGTTGATCGCGGCAAATTTGATATCCGCGATTGACAAAAATAGCAATCGCCTCACCGGGCACACCTGGCGATTTTCGCCAATCACCGCGATCGGCGTATGAAGTCGCCAGTGTGTCGCCGGTTTTATCACTATTAAAAAACACATCTTTTACAGGAAGTCTGTAATATAATGACAGAGAGCGACAAATTTTCGACATGTTTATTTAACATCAAATAACAAGTTTTCCATGATCAGGAAGTACAGTAGAAACCTTTGATAACAAAGTGGGGGAAATGAAAAATCCTCTAAAGCCACACCGAGGTTATCTTCTGGACATCATGTTACATTTTGTCTCAACACGTTGTCCCTTTCTTACTATAGAAGTATCTGTTATATAAAGGGCTGCAATACCGAGTTTTGTCACGAGAGGGTTCATTGTCAATATAGGATTTTCGTCATATAATTTATGGTCTTTTAACGGTGCGGTTTTGCTGCGCAGCGGGTTTGTAACACAGGGATGGTCAGTACATTGCGTTTAGTTATGCTAGGATGTTTGTTATATTATGAGAGTCATTTTATTGGGTGGCTATAAGGGAAAAAAAACGGAAAAGCCCTTGGGCCAGGCCCTAGGAGCTGCCAATATATTGAGTTTTTCTTAAATAACCTCAAATCAGATGAACGTAAGTTTGTTTTCCGAGACGTCCACATCGATGCTAAACTCGATCTAATGGTCTAAATAAAAGCAACCTTATTATTTGTGGGACATTGTGGCGCATTTTGCAGGCTAAAATGTGGATTTTTGAGAGCTAAAATGTATTTTAGCTGCTTGCACACTTGCGTGATTGTTCAGAATGTTCAGACCTCCTGGAACGGTTTGTTGTCATTTTTACAGTTTTTATTTTGTCAGAGCTCTCTATAGTGATAATAATAGAATGTAGTTTATTTTCTTGGACATAACTATGCTTTGAGCCTTTCTCAGATAACTCTTAAGTTTATACTAAGTTTAGTGTATACTAAAACAACTAGCGGAGGATATTTAACTCATCGCTTCGCGGCTTGGTAAATATCTACCACTGGCCATCTCTAGTTTGGCGAATAGCTGTTAGTGGTAGAGGAGTGGGTTTTCTTATGTCTGGATGTTCGTTATATAAGGAAGGGATTATTTATTATTTTAGGATAGGTTTTTCTTATCAGTCTCATCAATATAAAGAGGGTTCTTTACATCATGATGTTGTTTGCTGTATCAGGATTCCACTGTAAGCTGACATTATAAAAGGAAGTTCATATTTCTTAAAGACCTTTCTTTAATGATGTTTGTGACCGATTACTTCTGTTATCTGAAAGAAAAAAACAAAAAAATACTGGTGTTTAAAACGAAAGGTCCGGTCATTATTTATTGTTTGAAGGGGGGGGGAGGGGTGGCGATCGGTCGGAGAATTCTAGAGGGAATCACATGGTTTTTAGGAGGAACAGAGTGGGGAGGATCAGTCGTTGCTGACTGGATTTAAGGGGGGGATACCATGGATAATTGACTTGATTGGGGGGGAGGGGTCCATGAGAATGTTACAGAATATTATGAGGGATCGGCTATCGTGACACAAAAATAGTCCCTGCCCCTCCCCCTCCCCCTCCCGGACCATTTGAGCCTCCTTATCGGGCGTCAAATAATGAGCGGCGTAATGCTAAGGAAAGGATGAAGATACGGTTTATATCACTCACCTACAAAATTTCATAAATGTAGTAAGTATGAGCCTTCCCAACAGCATGTTCATAGCACTGTGTAAGGACGGTCTTGAAATGGGAGCTCGGCATCTTACCGACCCAACATTCACCATAGAATTTCACTCCAAACACCTTGTAATTTGTGCGTTCAACGACCTCACGGTAGCACTTTTCCACTACAGTTTCTATTGCGTTCCATTTGATGCCACCGGTACGGAAATTGTGTTCCAGAAGTGGCAGGAGGCGCTTATGTGTATTTTCTCTGTAACAACCCAGTGATCTGTATTTTTGAACTGGAAAAACTGTAAGGAAAAAGAATTGCATAAATAACTTACGGATATTAGTCGCCATATTATTAGTGTCTTTTTGTTAAGAGCGTACGCTGTCATCGGTTACTTTAGGGTCACATAGCATCAACAGTGACGGATGATGGAGCATCTAGGAGAGAGCGAGAAAGGGAGTTGGTTCACCAGAAGAAGAAGGGAGCGATGATAACAATAATGACTAAATGGTAGGAGTTTAGCGGCTTACTGCAGCTGAAGCTTAAATCAGTTTCTCAGCATGGAAAAGAAGAGAAGCATTATAATATTGAACTCCCTGTGGTCTGACCGGTCTGATCGCTGGAGTGAGAATATTATCGGTAGCAGTTAGTGACGACTCGGTAACTTTGGCAGACATGATGGTCATTATCTGAGTTAACTGACGAACTGTAGGTTAAGGAACAAACTGTGGGAAAAGAGTGCTTTAATCATCAGCCAAACAGATATAATCCCGCTCTTCTGACCAAAGCCCGATCAGAGGTCCAACGCACCAGTCGGTGGGGCACTGTGCTTCTTAGGCTTACAAAAAAAAAACAAAACAAAAAGCAAACAAAACACGAAAGGAGAAAAACAGAGGAAATCAAACAATCATGACGAAGACGACCAAAAAAGAAGAAGAAGTCCAACCCCCCATTGGTAGTTTGTGGGTTCATTGTTAAAAACGATTTTTCTATTTGTTATTTTCCAATCAAAGTGAAAATTGATTGAACTGGTAGCCAAAGGCAACGCAATCAAGGTAGGATATAACTTATCCGCCGGTCAAACCATATCCACGATGAATGGTCGTAACTCAATTTAAATTTCAAGAGAGCTGAAGATAAGTACGGGAATGACTAAAAAGTTCTGTTCAGAATCTTTAATATCTTAAGGGGTGCTATATCACGATACTTCAAGTCGTTCAGAAAATATCGTTATGTTCTCTTAATTTAATAACATTAAAACTTTATAATATTAATTTTCTCAAGCGATCACGTCTTATGCTTGGTCTCTTTCATTTCTTTTGAAGCAGCAGTAGTGGGAGGGGCACGCAGGGAGAAAGGTGGCGTGGTGTCGCTTCCGCTCTCTCCAGGCACCTCTTAAAAGGATTTTTAGCTGGCAATCAACGTGTTCGTCTTAGTGACTTCTTGATCCTGCCGACCATGGAAATTATGCACATGTGGCCTTTATTATTTTAAAAACGGTGACCACAGCAACTTTGCCATAGGGTTTTTATATGATGTTTTTTTTTTACGACACTCTATGACGCATTTCGTTACGTATGAATTTCGTAGTGTTTACGCTAAACGGATATGATCTAGAGGACGTCGTATGGGTCAAAAAGGCGATTAGATGTTCCGATATTAGGTTCTTTTTAGTTGATTCATTTAATTCACGGTTTTAGGTGGTATTTAAGCTAATCACAAACGATCTCATTTAGACTAGAGATTTTTTTTTAACGTGGTTTATTGACATGATACGACTCAGGATTTATATATATGCTATATGAAAGCGAAGGATAAAACACTGATATTTAGACTGTAAAAATTGAGTGTAGTTATTGTTTAACTTATTTACTTGTCAGATAATTGTAGTAAATATTGCATCTTGTTCATCTCCAGCTTTAAACAATTGCCTCTCTGACATCGTCGCTTAGGTTTTCAACTCTTTAAACGTTAATGGTATCGCTGTCAATTAAAAATATCATCACATTTCTTCAGTGTCTTTAATATACTTCTTGGGATGTAACTGCTGGTGTTCATTTCCCCCCCCTCCCCTCCCTTAAATAATGTATTTTGTGAATGTAAATGGTAACTTAATCATTAAATTTTTTTTTCTATTTTTGCCAAAACGACAACAGGTGATATCATATTTGTTATGAATAATAATTGTTGAGAGTTGTTTAATTTTTTCATGTAAATAAACAAAGATAAAGGAACTTGAACACACTTCCCGAATGTGTGGATTAACAAAAAGTCACACATTCGGCGAATCCTCGTGCAATATTTCAATTTCTACATTCAGCAAAGGAGTTTGTATATCAGTTAAATCACTCACATAGACACAGTACATAGTGACTGAATATGTTCTACATTTGATTTGTCAAAAGGGTAGTTTAAATGTTACTTCCACAACTTAGGATGAGAATTTATAGGCTTTCATTAGTATGCTAAGGACAAAAGAAAAAAAAAACCCTACATCCATAGGTTGCGAGGTTACATGGCGGAGTTAACTTTTATAGTGGTCTGGTGAGTGTTGCTGATAAAGGGCGAACACAACCAAAAATGTAAATTTAATTTTGATCATCGAAATTAAATTTGACCAGTGACGTCCGGTGATATGAAAATAAGATAGGTAGAAACTTTTTCTTACCAATTATGGCTGAATTTCGGACAAACATGCAGTCGGTTCTCATGCGCCCTTACCAGAGCAGGAAATATCCTCGTTGCACTTCTCTTTTACTGGCGGTTTGACGGAGTATCGGCAGAAGCCATCTGACAATGGGTGGTAGTTTCCATCACCGAGCGGCCTCCCGCAGCTTAAATTGCGTTTCATAATGCCACCTATGCAGGTCTTTGAACACTAAAAGTAAACGAGGTAATAAAGAAAAATTTTTTTGGCAATCCTCAGATGGAATTCTTACGGGACCGCTCATCATTTATCCCTGTGGAGGGAGGGGAGGGGAGGGGCTGAAGGACTTAATGGAATGAATAATGAATAATGAATAATGCTGTGCTTGCCCGATGCTGTATGCGTTGGTATTAGGTAATTTGTTCGCCGTAAGCTTTTTTTATCATAATAGTTCGAAAAGTTTCCGTCTCCGACTCTCTTGGATCGTGTGTGTCGAATAATAACTTCAGTAAAACATTGTGACGAAGTTTCGGAACGATGAGACCATAACTTGGAACGAAATGACCATGAAAGAAGTGACTGAATATCCTTTCTCTAGGTCGCCTCATACACTAATAATCTTGGGTGACCATTCTTGGTTATGAAAATAACAACCGTGAGTTGAAAAGATCTTTAGGTTTGGGTGACGAGTGACGCAGTAAGATCGCGCCGGGAGATCTATCCGGCAGCTTGCCATGAGAAGCAGGTTTCCCTCTTTACCTTTCCCCACTTAGATGGAATCCATTCCGGTCCGCACGCCTCCTTAAAACAAGGTTTAATTAGTGGTGTTGGCTTAGGTGCCTTGCAGCTGCTCCAATCCAGTTTCTTGTATCTTCCAGGGTTCTTGTACTTCTTTCTGCAAGACAGGCTACGTTTCGCTACACCATGTCCACAGGTTTTGGAACAGGAGCTCCATCCAGTCACGTGCCATCTGTTTAAATTAGTGGATGAAATAGGTTTTTAACAAAGAATAGATTCTTAAAGGGGGCGCGGCCTTACGTCAAACTTGATCTGCCTTGATCCGGCAGGAAACAACCGTAAAGCTCGGAGGTAAGACATAAGAAATTGTCGTGTAACGAGCGTGGGGAAAAAAATCAAATTCTACCAAGAAGAAATTAACCCGATACACAACCACTGGGTTACAGGGTACCCAGTGAGCCACGCTACTATCTGGTATGTATGTGACACGCCCTCTGAATACTGCCAGCAATGTAGGAAGTATCGTGTCAGTATATTTTGGACTAATACGAGAAACATTTTTATTCAACTTCAAATTAAACTGTTATCATAGTTCGTGTCTCGACTTGTTTTCGCTAGTGCCACATGAAAACTGATGCTTATCTTTCCAGTACAGAAGGTTGAAGCTTACTATTTCATATCCTACTCACTCTACTGGACACTCTTGTGTGTTACACGGCATCTCATCTTCGGGTTTCTCAAGTCCTCCCTTCTCACAGACACTGTCCGCAACAGCTGATTTGTCATCCTTCCTCATGCACTTCACTCTCCGCGTTTTCTTTCCTGTAAAAGAAAGAGATCGTCACGATTGGCTAGAAACCACTCTTTAATGTGAAGTAATTTCATGTTTTCACACAGGTCCTTCACATAAAAGAATGGTGCTCTATGAGTGCCATGTTATATAAAAGCAAAAAAGTGGATATTTGTTCAAAAGTTATAACTACGCATCTAGTGATGTCAAAACTGCGGATCCTATGTTATATCTAGGGATCCAAAGTTAGAACTATTGGATCAATATCAATATCTGGGCAACTACCCATCTATCCCTCCCCTAACCCAGCATTAGCCCTAACATGTTATCAATTGACTGTTGTTGAGTTAGGGGAGGGTAGGTGGGCAGTTGCCCAGATACTGATATTGATCCGAACTATCTATCAAAATTTTGTATTACATGCTGTTATAGTTTTAGATCCGTGGTTAAAACTACATCTATGGTTATTCATCTGAATCAGTAGTATTAACTATGGATTCGTAATTATGAATGAGATCCTTAGCAGTAACTTTGGATCCGTAACCATAACTTTGGATTCGTGGTTATAACCTTAATCTTTCCTTTTAACCTTAAGACCAAAATCCACTCTTTTCTTTCATCAAGAATGGCACTTACAGGCCACCGTACTAATAATTTAGAACGTCACGTTACGTTAATTTATTTTAATAATAATTTACCTCCGGCGCAGGTCTCGGAGCAGGCTGACCAGCCATATTTCTCGTCGACAACCCATTCGACATCGGCTCCGGTAACCTCTGATTTATAGGGACTCAAGTATCTGCATTCAACTCCTTTGTTTTTTTGACCGTTGAGTATAAACTTAAAAAAAAAAAGATATATATATATATATATATATATATTTTTAAAGGTCATTCAGTTCATGATGATAAAAGCGAAACTTCTAGAAAAACTTCGTACTAACCGAGTTTGAGAGTCGCACGGGGGATTATTGGCCCGAGGTCATGGCAGCATGGACTGAGCATAGCGAGATCCTCACAAAAAGGACCGAGGGCCAATATTCCCCAGTCGAGCAAGCGAGAATAGTCAGAAGTTTATAATGCGGTACTCGAACCAAACTTCTTTATTTTGAATTTGCCGACTTCTGCGGATAAAAATACGAGGCTTATGATCGTTCCCGTGGAGACGGTCCGTATGGCAAAATCTCGACCAGGAAAAAAACAATCAGGACGTTTGGAATTACCTCAGAACTACTTTGCCATATGATAAACTTAAGTATAATTTTTTTTACCATAAAACGCAGAGGTGTGTTTGTTGGGCCAGGAATGTGAATATATTCCTTTCCACTACGTTTTCCATAGGTAATAGTGCTTCCAGCTGCATTGATTGTTTGCGTTTGTTTTGGTACGGGCTCTAATAAATACTTTTTTTTCATGTTCTGTACACCTAGAAAATGATAGAAAATGATGTTAAAAATATAATTGAGGTGGAGGAGAATAGTAAAGAATTACAATAACATAAATATTTTGGAAATATTTCACGAGAAAAAGGGAGCAAAGAGATTTGATCAACTCTTAGAAAGCATTACATAAATAAATAAATAAATAAATAAATAACGTACGCTCTTGCCTATCATTAACGCTCTAATTTTTAGTAAGCCTTTTTATTGTTCAAACCTATGGATCAATACATCTAAACCTTACAAAAATAAATTACAAGCCATTCAGAATTTTCGCCGCTCGTATTGTGACCGGCACGTATCAACCCAACTATATTTAAGAACAGCTATCATGGCCTTTAAGTGCCTGACAGGCCGTGTGCCAGAGTATCTGCTATCTCAGTTAATAAAGCGAATAGAAGTAAGCAGGCGTACTACCAGGAATTCGCAAAAGCTGAACATTCCACTTTTCAAGGCAGCTAACGGACAGAGAACCTTTTATTACAGAATAGTTATTACATGGAACTCGTTGCATAGTTCTCTTAAAACTATTAATTCAATGCCTATTTTTAAGTATAGTCCTAAACATGAACTTCTTAAAGATTTTATAGATTCTTAGTGATACTCCTTTAAGTCAGCGTTATATTGTTGTCATCAATTAGTAGTGAAAAATAGTTATACCTTTTAATAATAATTAATTGTAGTTAATAATAGTTATTTATTTTTAATTGTAGTAGTAGTTATTGTTTTTGAAAAGCCCCTTCGGGGAAAGTCAATAAAGGATGTATATCTGTATGTATGCATTATTATCCTTGACCCTCTTTTAATATCAGGTAAAAGCCGCATTTTCCTGGCGGTCCATCGTTAAACTGGTGACTAAGGAAGATATTGATGGTGGTAAAAAAACTGAAACAGTTAATATTATGATAATAATCGTGCTCCAGGAAAGTGAGAACAAGAAAAAAATTTCACTTGTTTCGATTACACCAGTATCTCTCATTACTTTAGTACCTCTCTAGATTTATTTAGGATACCTTCCCCTAAAAGATTCGTCATTTGAAAGAAAAGGCCAAAAGATTATACAAAAATTACCAAAAAAAAAAGAAAAAGGAAAAAATAGTAGGCTAAAAACTCTATGTTTTTGTGGAAAAAGTGGTTAAAACCGGTTAAACCGGGCCAGAAGACCACCTTGCCCAACTTGGTGGGTAACTATCTCACCTATGTTGTTTTTGTCAGCAGCCATCTCGAAAACCCAAATTTCTTTAGACCTTCTTGGGATCCAACAAGCTAATGCCGCATTTTCAGGTCCTGTATTTATGAAAATTAAAAGAGAGGTGAGTTCTTTAAGTAGTCATAAATAACTAGATGATGAAAGACGTTCAATGCTCTTATTTAGCTGGTTTTTTTCCTAAAGAAACAGATGGCTATGGCGTGCCTTAATACAGCTCTTTACTTAGCGAAAATACCTTCGAGAAAATTAAGATTTTTCCAAGTCATAGAGATTCTAACTATTTTTGTTAGTCACGATGATGGGATCATTAAAAATTACTTAAAAACTTTTGGAACGAACGTTTTACCCTTTTTTTCCCAATAAGTAGTGAATTGTTTTTTTACTGCTCTACATGAGGTGCTATCTCCATTACAAACTCCACAACGATCAACTGCACTTTGAGATCCAATCACGTCGTCACAACCAACGGGCTGTAAGAGAAAATTATTATGCTGAGTATTTAAGGCATATTGTAGCTTTTCTTACGAAGCATATTCCATTTCTTATCAGTGTACGAGTGGGAGTTTAATAGCCAATCAAATGTTTGTACGTGTCCCAGGTCTGCTCAAAAGCTCCAAGTACTATCTGTCACCATAGCCCATCCCTATGATCAGATACAAGAGGAAGCTGTTCCGCGTCAGAACGAAGCTATCTGTGAAGACTAAACGTTTTACTCCCACCGACGACTTATCTCTGAGAGACAACGATAAAACCTGAAATAAGTGTGTGTGGCTGTAACCCCTTCCGTTTCGAAAGGGATTAAAATAATGTTTTAAGTAACTACTTATTTTCATGAAGAAGCCTAGGATAGTAGAGCTTTCTTAGCAAGGTTTATCTAGGGCAAGGTGAGAAGAATCATACAAAGCATCTGATTGGACTGGTAAATGACTCAGTCCTGTACTCCTTTTAAAGGTTTTTTTTTCTTTTTAGACGGTCTAACTTTTTCTCTTTGGGAATAATGGGTTGAGCAAATCTTACGAAAGGTTCCTGATAAACCTGAATGCTTCTATGCGTTCAAATTGGGAAAGATACAAATTTTTAAGACTCGAAGGAGGGAAGAGGACAGCAAGTGGTATCTAGCTGGTATTGTAGAAATGATCCTACATTGCATTTTCCTTCAATGCACATATCCCGGCTTTTTGATGCACCATTTTCGCATCTTGTTCCATCTTTTACAAGGCCTCGTGGTGAATATGACCATCCCTGGCGGCAAAATAATTTGCATGCCTCTAAAAGAAGAAGAGAATGTATTAAAGATACTCCTCTGAGGTTCGTCAATTCCAAAACCTTCCCCAAACAGCCCTTTTCCTTAAGAAAAACTGAACTGAATTTGATGGGTGTCATATCACTTGTTCCTGAGGCTTGTGGTATTATTGTCTTCGTGTGCAAGAGTTTTCACATTTCAATATTAATATTACACTGTACCACTCTGATTTCCATGTACTTACCGGCTCCTCCCCTGTAGTATATCGCCGTATATTGTTTATTTATAGCTTGGCACTGAGCAAGTCGGAATTCCATTGCACCTGAAGGACATGGCACCTGTAGAAAAATCGTAACAATCAGTTAGCTCTTTACGGTAATCTTGAATTAAAGGTAACAAGGGTATGGCCAGTTATTCCGGGCCACACAACATGAAATGAGTAGGTCTCAGTCAAATAACCCTCCCCCCCCTCCCGTACTTCCTGCCTTTCCTCGTCAACAGTGCAGGGACATGAACGAGTGTAAGTAAATCATTGGCTACCATATAGCTAAGAGAGTGACTATACTGAAAAGACGGTACAGAATCCGGAGGTAAGTTCCCATCAACCAATATGTTCAACTACATCGTCAAATGACTTTCAATTCACAAAAGGTTTCGTTACCTTTCTTTTGCAGACCTTTGGATATCCTCGATTCTCTCCTATGCAGTCTTTTCCTCCATTTTGGGGGCTTTTTAACGAGAGATATAGACAAGTCAATAATTTTTTCTAAAAGGAGGCGTGGTCAGGTGTTACATGTGACGCAAATGGCACAAGAATATCAAGAATTGGTTATTTTTCAAGTACTTCTCGTGGAAAAAGACATCATACAAAACAGTTTTAAGCTTTTTGCTAGATAACAGCCGACTAATGATAAGAAGAGCTGAAAACACGACCGAATTTTTGGAATTATATTAGAAAACAGCTAGCAGCTGAAAACCATATACTCCACTCTAGATTGAAATGCCACAACTACGTATACTACTGAGCTTACTTGACGTGTCCTATTTTCCTTTTCAATCTACCTTTTACCTCGGTGGAGGGGGTGAGTTTTTTAATTATATATTTTTCAATTTTTAACACACGCGGAGTTTCGTCAAACTTGATGTTCGCTAGCAAAGGAACAATTTTTCGCTGCTTTCAAGACTTTCCGCCTAAAGAGGTCTGATTAGTATGTAATATGGTCTCTTCTTGACTCGAACGAGAAATCAAGAAACTTGAGACTTACCGTGGATTTGTACAGGTTCGTGTTTTGAAGTAGACTCCTCCTCCACATGTGCGGGAACAAGTAGACGGATCATAGGTACTCCATTCACTCCAACCACCATCTACAACTTCTGAACCATCGAAAACACATTCACCAGCTATACACCACTAGGAACGAAAATTAAAAGTTTGTTGATCAAACTTACCTGAATAGATAGTTCACTTTAATTGGTTTTTATCCAAAAATAATCGGCAATCGCGCACGCTGATCATTTGCCAATCACCCTCGTCGGTGACAGTGACTGACACTTTGAAAATTAAGCGGAAGTCTTTATTAAAGTCAACTGAAGAGTTGTTTGTTAGTTGAATGGTAAGAGTCTGACCTGTGATAAATGATCGGTCAGTTTGATGTGATTATGGTTCGTGGGACTGAACCATTTGACCGCTAAGAGTGACTAGTAGCTAATTTCTCCTTACAGTATTAGTGCTGAATAAAAAACATTGAGCTCACAAGAATAGACGAGATGATCGCTTGCTAAAGGAGACTATTGAATGTTAAACAAGTTATCCATGTCAGTACAACTATAGGAAATATAAAGAGAACAGTATGGAGTTATGCAAATTGGTGACAAGGTGTAAAAGTTTGAGGGGCGTCTGTCAGTTTTGATTAGTTAGGACCACTTGATCTCGTAAACCCATCATAGTCACAGGTATTTGACACATTTTGCAGCGAAAGATCTTTGTTTTTCTTCTTTTTTAGTTAGTTCCAGCTCATGATTACAAAGTGTGATCGTAGGTAGAAAGCTATTGCTGAAACCTGTTCTGGCAACATGCCTTTTAGAGGGTTAACTTTTAATTGATGTTCATAAGTACAGGGAGAAAACGAAGCTGAGAGAATCAGCTCTATTTCTACAATCTTTCCTTTCTTTGCAAGTTGCTAAATGTTTTGGTGGGGCACGAGTTTAATGCCCATAGGCCATTCATGTTTATAACCCACCCATTAATTTTCACACCATTCTATTCGCTACTTTACGTGACGTGGTGCAAAATCACTGGTCAATTATCACGCAATAATAATCTGCGTCGATCTTTGTCCTCCGATTTATGTCCGTCGAAAAGAAACAAAGTCAACGGAAAATAACCAGCAGTAGGAAATTGTCAGCCGACATTCCAGCCGCCTGTAGGGGTTTATTCGGTAAATACTAAATTTACGACACAGGATCGACCGTTCAATCACTAAGAATTGAATAAGCTAGGAACCAGTCAGAATTTGTCTTACATGTCTAGATGCACATGGTGTCCCATCCAATGGTGGAGCGACTTTACTGAAGCAGGAGAAGCCGTTGCGTGTGCAATACAGGGAGCCACAGTTAGACTGAAAAAGAAATAAACCAGCAAATTAACCAAAATTTATCAAAGGACATCAAACACTACGGCCCCATTCAAACGTGGTGGTTTTGGAAGGGGGGGGGGGTGAGTGGGTGGGAGGTTTGATAATTACTGCTCGCCTTACCCTTACCCTCCCCCCTTCCACGCTCACTTTTGGCTTCCGTTCTGGAAATGATTAAAAATCCTTTGCGTTCTTGCACTTCTCTTCCTTTTCTCATCCTAGGAATTTTTTTCATCGTACATTTGCCTCACCCTTCTCTCGTACCACCTCCTCCCGCTATTCTCTTATCCCTTTGACTCCTAAGAGTGACTAGCATGGAATTTCCCATTACAATGGCTCCTCTGAATCGCAGATAAGAGTCACGAGAATAAGGAAAATGATAAAAAACTAAAGGAGCTCTTGATTGTTGAACAAATTCTTCTTGTCAGCACCTTAGGAAAGAAGTAAAGAGTATTATGGAGAATAAGCATACTAATGTTAGGGTGTAAAGGGTTATACTCCACCATTTCCCTTACTGAACTAACATGCTTGTAATTCATAACAAGGTTATGATCTTTTTAATCACAGTCACTTTGAGCCTTAACGATGTACCACCCAAAATTCCATTTGTTTCTTACCAGTACTTGTTTACACTGAAAAACACCTTCGCCATATTGCTCTTTACACTGCTCATCTCCAGATATCACTCTTCCTGGGAGCTTCCCACGGAAGTACTTCAGGTAATTTATGTTACGGGATCTTCCATCCATTAGGCACTTCGGGGCAGTTCTTATTGAAGACAAAATGGTTCAAAGATCGAATATCAACCTCGTGATCGCCATCTTTTAAACTGTATTTCAAGGCATTTTTCGTGTATGTTATTTCACGGGCAGATCTCGTCCTTCGTGAGTGATCCGAACAAAGAACTATATCGTTCATCTGTCTCGTGGAAATACATTTAAACAACTGATGCGAGGAGAAATACAAGTCCTTGTACCTGGTTTTTCCTAACAGATTTACTCAATTTCTCAGGGAGTCGTAAGGTCTTATTAGGTGAGTAGGAAAATCATCTTTAATCTGCATTTGAGGAATAAAAATTGTATGAACTACCCTAGTAACTCTTGAACATATTTCCTACTGCAAGGGGACCATGTGCCCGCATACTTCCCTCCAGGTACCGCGGTAGACATAATATATGTTGCGTCGGGGCAGCCATCGGCGGAGTCATGATTTAAACCAAGCCTTAAACGCAAGAGTATTGGACGGGTTAGGGTATTGTATGTGCATTATTGACCAAGCGTGAGGTCAAGATGCGTTTTTATCGCATAAAAAAAAGATAACGAGGTTAATACCAAGCAACCTTAACCTGAACAAGCTCGCTCAATAAAGGATTTATTATTTCGAAAAACGATTTCGTTTCATTAAGAATCAAGAATGACTTGTTCAATTAGCTTTGAAAATCAGACAAAAAGACATTAGGAAATAAAACTGAATGGACTGCATTTTTTTTTTATCAAAGACCCTCGCTACTATCTCCAGGATGTATGCTTCCAGATATGACTTTCATGTTGTTTATGTCGTCATTTCAAAGGTTTTTCTGCCAATTATCCGTTTTCTTTTCTCTGAAAAGATGAACGCTTAATCTGTATTTACGTAACAGAGAAGTGCGGTGAAATACAACTGAAGGACTTTCATATGTTAAAAACCTTAATATGGTTTTTGCAGCCGATGGAAGCTTCTTGTACGGTAAAAAATTGAACTTACGTGTGCCCAATTTCGTGTGCTAGAATGAGGCGCGTGTTAAAGCCCATTGCACCGTTATTAACGGTATAACTGAAGCTGCCTTTGCATATTGAATTAAAACTCGCCAAGCCTGCAATAAATTAAACAAAATCAAAATAGACTTATCAATTTATTGCCTATGATATGGATACTAACTGTAAAAAAAAAAGTTTCTAGGAATTTCTAAAATGTGTAATCATGCTGACATGCGTACCATGGAACTTCCTGGAACATTCTATTTGGTCACGTAGGATTACGTCACGTTAAATTATGCCGTAACACGTAATTAAAGACACTTTTTTTCAACATATTTTTTTGAAATTATAGATACGTCTTCTTCTGAAAGTAGCAGACTTCCTCAGGGATTTTTTATAAGTAGGATAAATAAGCTTGTTTACTTCACAAATTGTGGATAACATGTCTATTTTCGACTCTTACGCATAGTGTGACTAAGGTGATACGTTATACACGCTTGAAATTTTTCGGACGTTACATATGTGAATAAGTGATGAGTTTAGGGGTCACAGATTTAGCTCTATTGTCCGAGGAAACGCGAGGGAGATTAAACAGAATTTTTTTAAATCTATTTCAGTTCGTACGGTGTTGGTCACTAGTTTATCATTTTAAGAGAGTTTTACATGGACTCATCAATTTATCACGTCATTAAATAATAGGGAAATTAAAACTAAACAAATACTCAGATGAAAATCGATTTAGACGGTGGATAGGGAGAAATGAATTAAAAAAAACATACCTCCTGAACTTCCCCTGAGAAGAAAAAAAATGAAAAAATCATTATTGAAAGACATTCGATTTATTAAAAAAGGTTATTTCTAAATCTTGAATTGGCTAAAATTGTCAACGCTAATGGTTGTGCTCTCTCCTTTAACGCTTTACACTCTGGGATCAGTATCGATATTCTCCATACGTTTCTTTATACATTTCCTTCGATAATAACAAGGAGAATACGTTTACAACCAATGCCTCTTAGGTTGGCGATAATTTGTTTCATTCTCATGATTTAATGCATGATTCAGCAGTGTTCGTGATGTGACAACATAATTACGTAACTTCGTAACATAACGTAGTCCAAAAAGGATTAAATTTTTTCTACTCGGTCCCGCGGTATTTCTGTATTGTAATGCTACTGTTACGTCTTCATGTACACATACACACATCTTCAAGATGATGACAGAGCCACTTTATACCGTGAGGTTATACCCTTGTGTTCCTAGTGTTATACATCGTCTTATGTCGCTAAGTTAAAGTCATTTTTCAATCTTGAAATCAATTACAATCTCAAAGTCAATCTCAAAATCAATGCCAATGTCGATGTCTTTGTCTTTGTCTTTGTCTTTGTTTTTGTCTTTGTCTTTGTCTTTGTCACTGTCACTGTCACTGTCACTGTCACTGTCACTGTCACTGTCATTGTAAATGTCAATGTCAATTTCAATGTCGGTGTCGGCGTCGATGTAAATGTCATTGTCTTTGTCATTGTCAATGTCAATGAAACCTACACATCATAATATCATTTATATTTCAATTTAAGCACTGCAAGTATTACCGACTTATCAGAGATATGACGTCAGGATGGTCTCTTTGAGAATCCAGTTTTGGAATTTTAGCGTCTGCCGCCCATTTCTTGAGAGCCGCCATCTTAGCATCATTGCTGCCCCCTGAATACTTAAGCTAAACAAACAAACAAACAAACAAACAGAGTTATGTTTAATGACAGATATAGTTTGGTATTGTATTTCAGGCAAAGTCACACAGTAAATATATAGTAATACTCAAATGACCTACCCCATCCTGTACAAGTTTAATCTGCACGATGGTGATGGTAATTTTTTTCTGACCAATACTTTCATGATGATAAAAGGCATTTACCTAGAATACAAAGTTAAAAACCAATCATTGAAATTTACAAAATGACTCGGAGATGGCCCTCTTTCTCGCAGAAGTAAAGTAGCTGATCACAAATAAACACAGAACCAAGTTCGAGTTTACCATATGTGCCAGCTTAAGCAGATAATCTGCGGTGTCGTCGCCATGAAATGCAATCATACTTTTATCAGCTACCATTGTCATCTCGAGAAAGAATTGTCCGCCGTCACTAGGTTTGACTTTCGCAAATTTCAGAGAATCCTCGTCAAAACTGGGCTCTTTCCACTCAGTACCACTTCCTGATAATTTTTCTGTAATTTATAATCACGAATGAGTTTTGCCTTAAAATCAAGTGCATTAACAGATAAATTAGATTTCTGCTGTTCAACCAACTGGTTACCCCTTGAATAACATTCATCATAAAAGACAAAATTTTTCGCTGACCCAACTACGTTTGTTGTTTATCTCTTTAGATAAGCTATAATGACTCACAAATTTTATGCATTTAAGTCCTTCTCCCCGCTTAGCACTCTCTTTCTCAGCGCTCAAGAAGGAGTGCACAGAGTGCACAGTTCGTTATTTTTTTCATCACCTTGAAACTCGTTTTCCATAGCCTCATCGTCAATCGAGCGCTTGATGACTAAGTGACTTCTGGATTTACTGTCTGATAAAAGATGACTTGGAAGTGGTTGAAGGAAAAGAGACTGGTCCAAAAGTTGTATTAGACCTGTCTGAAGAAACAGAAGGAAAATGTGTATGTCAATTGAATTGTGAGATGTAGCCGGGAGGTTATCCTTAGAAACGACATCATCAAAAACACAAAGAAAACTGAAAAAACAAAACTTATTGACAATAACTGTACTTATTTTACTCACAAAGCCACCTTTGAACTAACTTAAATGTTCTTAAAAAGCTACATAACTCCAAAGCATTCCTGTCAATGCAGTTTGGAGTGTTGAGGTTGCTTTTTAGTACTCACCAGTCCTCCTCTATTACTAACTGCAACCGAAGAGCCAAGTTCTCCAATCACGTGACCATCTAAGAAGGAATTCTTGGGTGGTTCCTCAGCTGTCACTGTTCCATTTTCGTGTCGCTCAACAGTTAGCCATGGTGACATGAGATCTTGGTTCTTTGTGAGGTTGAGATGCATTGATATTCCGAAGGCTTTGACATTGAAATACCATACACGAGGATCCTCGGCGTTTCTCTTCTGCCTGGCGTGAGTATGGAGACTTTCTGAGAGAAATCTGTTTTCCTCATCAACTTGGAACGGAGAAGTGACATCGTACAGTGGTACTGTATTATAAAGTGGGGTTTCAAAATGTTAGCTTAAGTTAATGGTTTCAACGTGGGAGGAACAGCCGATTGTGTGGAGTCATCGTCCAAGTGAGAGCAGAGCTGAAGTTAAAGGACCACTATTGACTTTTCGACAATTCAAGCGGAAGGCATAATCCGGCAGTGCAGTCGAGACACCAGTAACACTCACCAATTACAGTTTTCTTAGGAAAAATTTTAGCAGATTGTTGACTTGAAAATTTGTTCGGATATCCTTCTTGGACAAAATATGTACGTCGAAGCTAACAATTTTCTTCGAGCCTCGCTCTCGGAAAATAGTTAGCCTCAAGGAACAGCTAATGTATGCAGATAATTTCGCGCCATATGTAGACCATTTTTTGTACATTAAGGTGGTTATAGAGATGTGCGCGCTCTACTTGGCCGAGAATTAAACTTTACACCTGCTATGGATACCCTGCGCGAGATAGATATGATACTTAAACAAAATTTCAAAATGGATATGTTTCCAGTTTTCTTATAGTCACCTGAGGTATTTTACATAAACAATCATTCTTCTTAGCCTCCTTAGAATATTCACTATATAAACTTTGCATTGGAGGAAAAAGTGTTCAGTATCTTTAGACTTTACCTTCCTCGTGCGAGCTTACTCCAAAATATTGTTCCAATTCGCTTCTTTTCATCCGGAGATGGATTTCATCCTGTAAGGACATGTGAGTGTACTTAGCAAGGGTATATTTCATTTGCTTATGATTTTTGACACCAAAAAATTACTAGAGATACTGAGAATAACTTAGATATTACAATATCATTTCTATATAGTTTACGTGAACTGAATTTAAGAAAAAAGAAAAGTTTATAACACGTAGAGTTTTTAGTGCCGCTTAACTTGCCACGTTACTCGTTTATCAGGGCTTAGTTTAGGATGCACGAAAGAGCTTATAAAATTAATCGAAAAATAACCAAAGAGGAAGACTGGCGATTCTCATTTAAGAGAAATCTAGTCAAATTTAGCCAAAGCTACCATGTGTTTTGTAACCAAAGTTGCTCTGAATCAAACGGGTCAACCATAATTTATCCTGCTGAGCAGGCGTCACTTTTGTTAGTGAGTGCTTGTGATATTATTGGTGAAAGTTGTAGCAGCCATCTTTGATTCTTACAGCTGCAGAAGGCTGGTGAGAGAAAGAGGTTTGTGCCAGGTGAGTGAGCGACGGTCAAAATTATGGGGCATTAATTTGCAACCGTGTCTAATATGAACTTTGTTACTCTATCAACTTATGTAGAGATAATAAACTAATGCGTACAAACCGGCATGTGTTTGGCAGTCACATCAAGGTTTCCATGTTCTACTGATTCTGAGGTCGTCAAGTCTCCTATCAATCACATGTCATGTCGTTAATGAGGTATTAGATGAAACAATTTCAGTAGAGTAGCAGTAATACCACATGAAATCTTCTTACCTTTGGAGACAGTTAAACAAATTACGAAGGACAGCAAAATAGAGAAATACATCGAAGTCCTAGAGTAGCTCTGAAAACTAATAAAGAGAGAAAGGACGAGAGATTAATTAACCAACACCACGACATGGTTGATATGTATAAATATATTTATGTGATCATATATGCTTAATTGTTATCAAGGTGGTGGAGAGTATAAATACAGCGGTATATTGGGTAAACAAACACAACTGAAAACGATATTAATGAAAAAGTCAAATGAAAGAAAGTGAAACATGAATAAGACACACAATGAATACACATAAATACAACAAAACTAATAAAATACGTGTAGCAAAGTATGAGCAACAAAACCAGCAAAAGCAATCATTTTATTGCTGACTTATTTCTCTCACATCTTGCACTATGCCTTAAAAATCAGCTACCTTAAAAATCAGCTAAAGACGCAAATCAACAGATAACCAAACAAACGAAAACATCAACGAACGAGCAACGATAGAATGAGCAAGAGAGTGAGAATTAATTAGACGAAGCAAATTTGAGCGAATCAACAAATTAAAGGAATAAAAGTAAGGAACACGAAGCGGCCGTTAACGAATGCAAACATAAATAAGTGAAAGATAGAACGAATGCTGCAATTTCAATGTAAATATGACAGATGCCGTTTTTTTATAATTTGATTTCATAATTCAGTTTCTTGACGAATGCAAACATAAACAAGTGAAAGATAGAACGAATGCTGCAATTTCAATGTAAATGTGACAGATGCCGTTTTTTTTATATTTTGATTCATAATTCAGTTTCTTGAATTCCTGGCCAAGCCACAGGTCTTTTTAAATGGGTCTTAATGGTATCTTCGAGAATAAAAAAGGAGCCCCAAGCCTAGCTTGGCCTCTTCACGGAACGTAAGCGATTCACTGAGTTACATGTCCTTAATGTAAGAGTTTAAGTCAATATTATGTTCACGAGCACTTTTGAATTAGACAAAACAAATCATGCGGCCAGTCTCGACGTTTTCGTTTCTAGACGAAGTTATCACAAAATCTCAATTACCACTTATGCTAGCTGATTATGATTCATATATATCGAACTTTAAACAAGAACGTGAAAGTTTAAGGTCATTAGATCCACAACAACAATTGTAGAATTGAATAATTAAAAATATCGAAAAAATATTACTTCACGAAAATATACTTTCGTCTGAACATTACGAAATCGAACAGCTGTGCTATTCTATCAATATGCTAACGTGTAAAACTTAAAGTAATAATTAGTGTAACAAATAAGCATCAACGTTATTTTGTCTTTGCAGAATTGGCTGGTTGGCAACGCTTTTGTCTTAGAAATTCTCTTCAACCTACCTGTAATCTTGTCTTCTTGTTAACTTCTGGCGTTGGCTTTAGATAAAGTCAATAAATAATTTTTAGATTATGTTGTTATTCAAAATGTAATCCTTAAAGAGAAAACGTTTCCGTAAATCTCTATTAGCATTTCAAACCAACATTTGATAACAAAATGCATACAAAAGCCTTTCGAAACATCACGATTCGTAAAAGAGATCGAAGAACATTCAGTTTGAGCAGGTTAGCTTTAACAGAACTTGAAAACTGCTATTTTCTCAATACATTCATACAGTCTTTACATTGTTACTATCTGAAGAATTATTTAGAGTTTGGAATTTGAAAGGGAAGAAACGGATAAATTGAAAAAGTCCGACACACACATTTATATCTAAGGAAACTGAAGTCGTAAATTGTTTCCGCTGTAGATTTTTATACTTACGAAAAACGTTGAAAATTTTGTTTGTCGAATTCTGTTCAGCCTCTGCTTCGAGTCGCAGTTCTTGCGGTTCTCGTCGTGTATGTAAATAAGAGCTGTATTGAACACGAAACCTATAATGAAAAATGTATCTTGTAGGTGCCATTAAATACACGGGTATTTGATAAAGATCTGTTAATTAACTGCTTATAGACCACCTCCAACACCGCAGCGTCAAATGAAAAAACTTTACAAAGACTTGAAAGATAAACAACCGAAACTAACTTCAATTGTTTCGTGTGAATTTAAAGGGAAGGAGACAAACTGTTGGAAAAATGAAAGTGTAAGTGACAGGCTAAACAATGAGTCATTTTAAATAGGAGTCAAATTTAGCAAATCTACGAAGAAAAAAACCTCTTGTTTAAAAAAAATAAAGATACATGTTGCTGTTTCACTGATGAGTGATCAGTTAGATAAATCTAGATTAAAGAGGGTGGATTCGTTGTAAATTGTCATGGGCTTAATTATAAATAGAATGAGAATCTGCGTCATGGAATATGTAAATTTATTTGTTATCAAAACAGGATAGGAAGTAGACACTTTTCCGCATAGCTTTTTTTCTATTCTTATTAGTGATTAAACCAATATTAAAGTCTGCGAAGCATAAAACTTAACCCACGTCATTTCAATTTTAATTTTGATAATTTATTGACGATGAAAGAAAGAGCCACAGAGAAGGTGCCCACATTAAGTACTACTCGCTCTCTCGCCAATACCTTTCATTACGTTTAATTCAAACTGGCTCGACCTATAAATAGCAGAATAATGTATGACAGAATAAAAGACATAATTGTTACAATCTGAATATCTTAATTATCATTTTCTGAGAGACTACCAAACAAAATTTTCTAATTTTCATTGTTGCCCAACATCTGCGAATGTTATTCAATTTATTTTCTAATTTTAAACGTGGGATACTCAGTAGTGATAAAATCCCTGGAGATTAATTGTCTCAATCTGTTGTCCTGTTTGTTCTCAGTGATAATAATACTTGCAAAGTGACTGTTATAGTGTCACCGATCGTTGCTTTGGCGAAACTAAACTTATCCTCTTTTCCCGTAAACCATCATCTTCAAATTTTAATTTTTGGAGGCTAGCAATTCTATTACTGCCATTTAAAGTAATCCAGTTGTCTGTTTGATGGCTTTGAGCCTCACAATTGAATTGTAATTGGCTTTGAAAATCACGGAAAGCTCGTCCAATATCGTGTCATTATTGTTCTACACAACTTCATGATCGAGAGGGAAACTCTGATGTTTGTCCTCAAGGACTTTTTTATTTTTTTACAAAGGAAGCCTTATTGAAAGAATTCATGTGGTATCAACCAAGAGTGACAATTTTTATCCGGTCACTATTCACTTACCATGACGCATCCAAATGCTGCATGAAATTAAATTTCACATTTCTTCATAACTCAATCAGTTCAACTTTTCCACGGTCTGGTTGGAGCCTCTAATAGTGTTTTCCCCGTTAGAATTTTTTTTCAATTCTATTTTTTTTTACTTTTCAGATGCGAGGAACATTTTGACATTCAATCGATTTTTTTTTAAAAAAAAGTTATTGAAATACGAGGATGTTTACTTTTTAGACTGTTTGGTACGCTGAATATGGGTCTATTCATATTGTGTGGTGGCTCTATTTTTCTTAATGAATTTTTCGACCATTTGCGAAAAATGAAGACTACCTCTGCTTATTGCTTTCTCGTGATGGTTGAGTTTTTTACTGCTTGTCCGCAATGTTTCATGTAGATACAAAACTTCTGAGAGTCAATTCGAAACTCGTTTAAGATGAGACAAAAGAAATATTTGAATACAATTAATGATTCAATTGAATGACAAGTTCGTGTCAACAAATGGTAACCTTTAAGTTAACGACACTATCTCCATGTTAATAAGTGACAAAAAACTTCCAAGATATGTAAAAATTTTAAAACACAACAAAGACAAGTAAGCTGTTACACTAAGTCTAAGATTAAAAGCAACACGGAATCCGTGAGGAACTTGTCAAAGACTTCAGTAATTACGAAAGTAAAACTGAGATAAAACATATCGCGTCGCTTCAACAACAAAGTTTTTTGCGAAGACAGATTAAAAGTGATGTGACATTTTGAGCGATAACGACTTAGCTCATAATTTATCATCCTTTTCTGACTCCACTCACTGACTCACTCGACGTTATCGACATTGGTGTTCGTTGTCGTTAGTTTCCAGGACGCTGGTCACACATGAACTTTGCAATGGCCTTGTTCACCACTAAGTTTTCTGCTTCTCAGAGATAAAGCAAAGGAGCGCAAAATCCTAAGGTCCGGGGTTCGATTTCTCATAATGATTCCTCGGTTTTTCTTCTTTGTTTAACTCTCCGGAAAAAAATGGTAATTATCTTTTTCATGCGAAGACGGAGCTTAAAATTTAGCACCTTTTTTTTTTGTGTGCCATATT